CCACAACCACCACAACCACCACAACCACCACAACCACCACAATGGCAACAACAACAACAACAGCAGCAACCCACCACACACCCTCCTCCTCCCCCCGCCGCCGCGCCCGCGCATCAGACCCCTTCCTCTCCCTCCCAATCACACCCCCACCCACCTCCACAACAGACCAACCCACCACCGAAACCCCCAAACAAGCCCTGATCATAAAGGTATACCCCCCCTCCCATAACCAACCCCAAAGCTAACAACAACAAAAAGCTCCTCCTAACCCCCCTCCTAACAACAACCTTCATCCTCTCCCTCCTCTACACAAACACGCGCGACCGCACCATCCGCGCCTCCCACGCGCCCCACGCCACAAAACCCCCTTCTCTCTTCTCCTCCATCTTCTCCTCCTCTTCCTCCTCGCTAGCGGCCGCAGAGCCGTACCAGCGACCGGCTGATTCGACGTGGGATGTTGATTCGACTGGCAGCGGGGATGATGGCAAAAAAGGCGGCGACGTGTGGGTGATGCGCAAGAAGCATCGCAAGATGGCACGGTTGCAGATTGGCGATGCGTTGGAGGGGATGCGGGTTGTGGTGCGGGTGTTGGGCGTGCTTGGGTGTGCTGCGGTTGTTGTGCTTGGGGTTTGGGGGTGGGGGGTTTGGATGAGGTGGGGTTGAAAAGAGGTGATGGAGATGGGTGAGGATGGGGTACGGAATGGAATTGGATGGAAGGAATTCATGACCTGATGAGAGATGAGACGAGTGAACGAAAAGCACTAAGGTACCGATGAAAGAGCATAGTTATAGTTGAAGAGAGAAGAAGAAGAAAAAGAAGAAGAAAAAGAAGAAGAAAAAGAAGAAGAAAAAACAAGCCTGCCTACTCCGACATTGCAAAGTCGGAAATAGCGGCTATTCTATGCAATATTTCCGCAAAAATACCTAGAACGCATGATGAAGGGCAACATGCGCTGCTACCTGTACAACATACATATATCTATACGCCCAAGTGGCAGAACAAACAACTCCAATGCAGAATATTACCCCGCGTTTTCCGTTGGTCCTTTAAAACGCCGTGCTCATTCATGCAGGTACACACATATACACACAAACCTGTATGTGTATACTCAGGCAACTCTAGTCAAGCAACTCAAGTCAAGCATCTGAGACTCTCTTCCAACCATTCAGAAGAACAGAACAATCTCTCCCCGCTCATTGCGCCGCACCCGCAGACTCTTCCACAGCTCCTTCTCTTCCTCGCCTTTGCTCAGCCCGCCCCACTCCTCGCCGTCGTCCCAGCGCTCACTGCGCTCGCGATGATATCTCTTCAGCGCCTTGTTCATGCTCATCCCGTGCACGCTCTCGGGGCCTTTATTCACAAATCGCATGAATAGATCTGCGCGCTGCGCCGCAAAGGCCGCGTCGCCGTCTCGGTTATGCGCCGTCACTTTCAGGTCCTCGCTCTTGTGTAGCACCAGTGCGCGGGAGTCGCCCGACTTGTCCGAGCCGTCACTGGGCACCCGATACTCGATTCTCTTGACGGCGCGCCGCCCGTCGCGGTCGCCCGAACTCTCGTCGCTACGGCGCTTGCGTCTGCGTCGGCGCTCCTCGGTACCTTCACGCTCTCGCTCTCGTTCACGTTCACGCTCTCGCTCGCCCGAGCCACGCTTCGGCCGCTTGCGCACCTGGACCAGCTGGACGGCGCGCCCCTTACTCGCGCTCTTGCGGCGTTCACGTTCGCGGCCCCGCTCGCGCTCGATGTGGGCGTTCTTACTGCGCTTGAGCGGGCTCATCGGGCTGGCCTCGGCGTCGACCCAGTCGGCGCCCGAGTAATCGGGGCTGGGCGGAAACGCGGGACGGGCAAGGAGGCGGGAGAGACCGCCGGTCAGGCCGGAGTGGAGTTCGGGCGGGGCGTCGGTCATGAGGGTATCGGCGGCCTGTTGGGCGTGGACGGCGTGCATGTCGAGTGGGTTCGGGGATGCGCGCTTGCGTTTCTTGTCTGTGGACGGGACAGTCATGCGGTCGGAGGGTTCGCGCGGTCGGACTTCGCGGATCTTGGGCGCTGGGGTGGTGTAGCTGTTCTTTGGGTGGTTGGGTTCGGTGTAGGAGTTGAAGCGTTCGAAGGAGGGTGCGACGGGAGCGTGGCCGTAGGAGAAGCCTGTGTCGGCATAGGCTTCTTGAGAGTCGTATGCACCGGGGACAGGGAGGTGCTCTGTGTTCTGGTAGTCGTGCCGTACGAGTTCTTGCGAATGTGTCGTGGGTGCGGCGTTTTCGTGATGTGTATCTTCAATCATACGTGTCTCGTCGACGTCTGGCAGGGCGAGGCGCGAGGCATTAGGAGTCTTGTCCTCGACGAGAAAGTCGAAGACATTGACGGGCGGAGAGGGCGCGCGGGGTGGAGCGTCCACTATTGCGACTGAGGCATCTTGCTCAGACTCGACATACGCATGAGGAACCAGAGCAGTATTCTGATACTGCTGTGCCTGAGAGTCCTGCTGTCTTTGCTGGTTGTTGCCCTTCTTCTTGTCCTTGTACGTCGACCCCTGGTATTTCTGTGCTTCGCTGATGCAGCTCTAGAGCAAGGAGGTGTTAGCCATCTGCACGATGGGCGAATCGCAGTACGGTGGCGACGTGCGACCCGAATCTCTCCCGTTGTTTACAACAACAACATAAAAAAATAATTTTGACGAGGATTGTGAAGTGGGTGCGAGCGCGACAAACAACGTACAGTGTGGGCGCGATACTCGGTGCCGTAGAAATGGACCATGCAGTCCAGGCAGGTGAAGGTAGCCCCGCGACATTGGTTCCTGTGCGGATCGAGTTTCTTCTTGGTCAGGACATCGCCGCAGCTCTGTCAGGGCCACGCAGGGCTGTGGTTAGCAAAGTTCGAAGCCTTGCAAGGACGGTTTGAGTGCAAATTCTGCTCTGGGAGATGATACAGGAGGAGTGGGGCGTGAAGTACCTCGCAGGAGAAAGAAACCATTGTCTCTCAGACGGGGGAGACTCGCAGCGTCAGCGTCCTGGGACAGAACACGACGACTTGGGAGAAGCGGTGTGTGTGTATTGGGGGAGCGAGTGGATGTGGATGGACAGACAGGATATCTAGAGTTGCGGTGAGTGGTACGGTCGGTAGTAGTGTAGGTAGATTGGGTGAAGAGGGATATCGTTGGTAGAACGAGGGGCGCAAAGAGAACAGAGCAGAAAGAGGGACGTGTTGAGTGAAAAGGGAAGTGGATTGGGATGAATTAGTTCTAAAAAGGGGGCCAAAGGGTTTGAGGTTTGTGGGCGTTTCAGTCTCCGTGCCTGAGGCCAGTTCGCTAGCTTGTTGGCCATCATCTGAGCCTGCGCCATGTTTCTCACCATCACGCACTCTCACGCAGCCGCCCATCTATTTGCATGTCTCGGGGGGAACTGTCATTAGCACTCATTAGCACTCATTAGCACTCATTAATAGCAGTCTTCTCGCCTGGCACGCGGCACATACTGCTGCTGCACCACCATCTGTGCCTCACCACCACTCCAATAATAGGACATGTGTCTTCATCATCCACTGACGGCTTCTGCACGCGACAAAGCGTAGGTAGCTAGCTGTAGCTGTAGGTGTATGAGGCAGTTAATTACCTGGATTAAGCATTACTCCCGAAAGACATGATGATGATAACTTAATGCCTCATGTCGTTTGTGTCGTCCTGGAGTTCTAAAAGTGGAAGCTGATCGAGTACGTGCCAGATACTCGTCTATAATGATGCCTACGCGCTCTCCGTCCGGGCAGGGGGGGGAGCCCTGCGCAAAGTACTAGGGACTACAACTCGAAGCTGCACTTTCAAGATCTCTTCGATAATGTCAGCGCTTTGTATAGTAAATGCCATAGTGAACAAGAATACAGGACGTAGGTATTGTGGCTGAGTGCTAACGATGGTGCTAAGGGGCGATACCAACGACGATACTAACCACTGATGATAATGCTAACGGTAGTTGCTCGTGGTGTGTGTAGTGTACCTAGTGGGTGTACGTCCCGTCCCCACAGCGCCAACGTCGTCACACGCCCTATTTTTGGCTGCAACATCGACGCAACGAACCGACATCCCACGTCACGAGTAGTATATATATTCCCAAGGGTCTACTAGCCTGACAAACCGTTAACCGTCTCCATAAAAATCAAGGGATACCAAGTCGAGTTAGTCCATTCATTCATTCATCAATTCATTTAGTTAGTCGGAGGGACAAGAGTCAAGAGTCAAGAGTCAAGAATCAAGAATCAAAGAGATCAGAGAGTCAAAAAGACTTTGGTCCAGACAAAGGTGCACGCGCCACAGTCGCATGATGCTCGAGTTTCGATATTCAAACCAGTCTTCTCTCGGCCCTATTCTATCACTCACAGGCATCATGCTTACCACGACGGCCTCATTTCTAGTGGTACGTGGTGGGCCTGCTGACGCTCTAGAATGTTGCGGAGTGGCATTCATTGATTGTATATTGTTGCTTTGGCAAGCAAGCCCTGCATCGGTGCTCTCCTGTTTCGTCGCGTCGTCCTCGTGAGGAATACTAAAGATGCTTTCTTCGCGTCATTTGCGTCTCCCCTCCCATCCCCTCCCCCTGTTAATACTCTCTGCCCTGCCCTGCCCTGCTAGCAGCAGCCCATCCAGAATCCAGAATCCAGAACTGCACCAACCCACCACCCTTTCCCAAGTTTCAACTGCAGCCAAGGAAAAGATACCTGGTCACACATGCAAACATGCAACTTCCCGGATTTGCACGGAAATAAAAATAAAAAAACTCATCGAAAACCTGATCGGAGAATGCGAATCCCTGGTCCTTTAGAAAAATCGATAGAAGGCCGAATATGCAGGCGGCTTATTATTGCCCACCATCATCTGCGAGTTTCGCGGTCGTGACCGGAGCTCGCTCCGACCAATTGCTCGAATCCTCTCTCCAGTTTCCCATAATTACACGAAATGGTATTTTTGCCTTTCCTATGCTGTATCTCGCCACATGTTCATGCAAACCGCGATTCATGTTCTCCAGTGGGCTGCCCACCCCTCTTTCATCTGTGCCTCTGGGCAGCTGATCGTGCTGCGCGTGATCCAATGCGAATCCTCTTCTTCTTAACTGCTATATGTATGGACCTGGCCGCTATAATAGACAAGGTGTGCTTCATTCTTCGCCTTTTGTAGACAATGACGTCGTTATGAGCCCACACAACGGTCCATGGTCGCATTTCCGGTACGATGCCCTCGGAGATGACCGAGAATGTCATCCGGTTTCATCAAAATGCAGACCGTTTGCTGCCTGCGCAGGCTTCTATACGTATGGAAAGCTCAAAATGATTACGTGGTTAAGTGATTGCGTGAAACGCCGTCAGTAATTCAGACACTCATCGCACATTGCTCGCCTGTCGCGCATGCTCTCCTGCGCGTGTGAGCTCATCTGCTCGTAACAAGGCTTCGATCGATGAAGCTCCGGGTCGCAAATTTGCTGGCTGCGTCAGAATCGACGGGAACGGCCCGGCGGTAGGCGCTAGTGTTGACACAGGTGGCAGAGTTCGTTGCATTTTCGACGTGTCTAATACTGGCAGAGTATTCCCAACATACGATGGCATACTCACTATGCTACCACCATCTGATGAAAGCGTGGTTTCTTCATGTGTTAGCGGTGGGAGGCTTGGAGAGTCCCGAAACGATCTCCGAGGGAGTTCACGGTGGGACAGTCCGGTCGACGGGGGTGTTCCCGAGGATGTACTGGGAAAGGATTGCGACGCTGGAGTTCCTCTTTGTGTATCTTTCATGTGAGATGGCGTTGATGATATCGGCGAGTATTCAGGGACCTGGTGTATAGGCGGAAAATAGGATCCTGGAGAAGTAGTATTGCTGATGTGTGGTGGTGGAGCTTGCCGATTGTATGTGTGAGGTGGACTTGATCCTGAGCGGCGGTGATTGGTAGCAACTGCATCAGTGTGATTGTTCGTGGTAGTTCGTGTACGATGCATCGAATCTGCCGTCTGGTTATTAGACGTGGACCCGTTGCTTGTTTCAGTCTCGAGCTTGGATCGTTTGCCCTCTATGTTGGTCAGCATACCCTCCGCTCGAAAAGCGTTCGACTTACTCACCGCTCTGTGTCGTTGCATGCTTGGCTTTGAACTCTTTCAGATACTCCTGATACTCGGCATATTGTGGCGTTTTCTTGTACTCTGCCAGTTCGGCATAATACTTTTCTTTGGCCGTGTTCGCTTCCCGCTCGTAACCCTCCCTGGCATCTGGCGAAAGAACTTGCCACCGCTCACCAACCACCTTGGCAATCTCGGTAAAGGTCAACTCCTGTCCCTTCAGTTCTTCGCGCATCTCTACAGATCGATTAGCAGGGTACCACTGGGATACGAGGAATAGTGACCTACGATTCGAGAATATGACATAGGCGGAAGGGGGCCTCTCAGGCGCATGCTCGTCCGCCTGAAGGACGGTCAGTGATGCCCGCCGCGTACTGCTTTGTGACTAACCTTGGGGTGCCGTCGATACTTGCGCTTCGTGCTCGTCGCAGCAGCATTACTCGATGCCTCTCCTCTCTTCACCGACCTCATCTCACTGGAGTCATCGCTCCGATAACCGCCATCTCCACCACCACCATATTTCAGCGGTAAAACTCGGTCAGGATAGTGCGGCCTCGTTTCTGCAATGGCTCTCTGGAGTTTCTAAGAAGTAATGCATCAGCAAGAGCCCGTAGCAGCTGCAAGAGGTACACCTTACCCTCCTGTGGCCAAGCTTGAAGCCAAGCGCATTGCTAAAGTATGGGTTAGCAACCAGGAATATGATGCTTGTACATATGGTCACTTACAGGTCTGACTCCGTGATATCAAGGATCGTCTCCCATGTATCGAACCCCTCAGCCACCAACTCCTCGAAATACGCGGAGAGGCCCAGCTGATCCAATCTGTCTCTTAGCCCGGTCATGAGCAGATCTAGGCGTGGTTCCCAATAGATCTTTTGGTTGAAGTAGTCCCACGAAGCCTCGTTGTCTTAAGCGCGGAAAACACGAGTGAGTTTTGTGTTCTCAAGTCTGACAAACGTGCAATTGGGTGGTCGAGAAGTCGAAGATGCGAGGACTCGTAGATCTCTGGAGAATCGAAGTCTAGGAAGATCTCCAACGCACCGAGGCGATGGTTCAGCAGGCAGGCTAGATCCGAATACTAGTGTATGTGCGCTGCAATTCCGGGAGAAAGAAAAAAAAGTGTCAAAGCAGGAGTGAAAGGGTCCACTGTAGAAGCTTTGGTCTGCGTCCTCGGCGTGATGTATCTCTGTCTAGAGAGAGATAGACACCTGGTACAGCGAGGAAAAGGATGCAGCAGAAGGCGAGTGGCGGTCCAGCTCTGGCCAATGGTGAGAATGAGAATGCTGATGTGCTGATGTCAGTGGGTCGATTATACCAAAGGCGTGGGGCGAAAGGTGGTGGAGAGCCCAGAAGGCGGCCCTTTTTGGAGATGGGAATGGAGGGAATGGCGGGTATACAAAAGAATTTGAGAATTCGAAGAGTAGGAGCGCCGGCACGCTAGAAGAACGGTAAGGTTTGACGGACGATTGAAGGGTGGGGGAATGAATTCAGCATCTGGGAACGGCGGCGGAGCGCGTTTGGGAGAAACATGGAAATGAACATGGACATGGACAGATTATCTGTCGGTAGCAACTCCGACAACGAGGACAAGGACAAGGATGATGCACTGACGAGGGGGGGGGGATTCAGTGTGGCCTGTGCGCCTGGGAATTATGGAAAGGCGAGTGCGGGCGAGTGTTTGATTAATAACAGGTGGTGGTGAGGAGGAAGGTAAACGGTAAGTAATAAGTAATTCGTGATAAGTGGTAATAAAGTGGTGATGAGGGAGGTGATAAGTGGTAATTAAGTAGACAATAAGTGGGTGATAAGTGGTAATAAGTAGGTTGATAAGTAGGTAATAAGTGGTAACAAGTATGTAAGTAGTAAGCCTCCAGGCTTTTAACTGTACTAGGGCTCCCTCTGTACGAAAATGCCACTTTGGCCAGCTGCCAACAGCCAACTAGGGGAGAATTTGAAAGGGGGGGCGTTTCAAAGCTAGCTAAGGTATGTATATACAGTGTAGAGGTGCATTGGGACATTTATGACAGGGGGAGAAGACCTACCTACCCAGCCCATGATACTACTGCACCCGGGGCTGCAGCTGGGTGGTAATGGTGCGTGGTGCGTAGTGCGTAGTGCGTGGTGCGTGGTGGTGCCCGCCTGGAGGGAATGACCGCCGAAGCTGGGACAGTGGAGGCTGCCAAACCCGCCTAAATCTACCGGCAACTAGCTGCTTAGCCCAGGCTGAAAAACCATCGCCCGCCCTGCTATATCATGCCCGCCCGCCACGTCCGCTTCTACTGCGCGCCAGGGAGGGGGGAGACGGGGGAGGGGGCGCAAGGGGAGGCTTACTTAACTGACTGCTCAAAAGTAAAATGCCATCACCCATCGCCATTTCCGGTACCCAAAACCGACATTGGGTGATTGCTTCATCGCCTTGCAGCTTGGTCATGCCCATTAGAAAATAAAGCCAGAGGCACCGACAACACAAAGTCCACCGCCTCTCCAATATACTAGCTGCTGAGTCCGGCTACGTTTAAGCGCACCGCAATATATCGCCATCGACGCCTGATCGATGATCGGAATTGCTTCGTTAAGCTGACAGGCGGCTCGTGAAGCGACCATGACGATGGTCCAGCTGGGGGGACAGACACGACGGGGTGTGACGATGGGCCATGATGCTGCTGAATGGCAACTCTACGCACTGATGCAACGCTTGCGAAAGATTCCAAACCGAGTCACTGGCCTATCCCTGCCTCCACTCATCCAATGAGCGCCGTCAATCGTGTGCGAAAAGCGTGCTGGGCGAAATGTTCGAGATCGTGCTTCGCGCCCGCGATCTAGCTTTCCCACAGCTCGCATCGGCTCATCGACATCGGAGACCTCTCCTAGCAAGGCAGAAACGGGCTTCTTTCGCATGGTGCCTGTCCGACTCTTTGTCGCCTGCTCGTCATGCGCTGTTGTCCCCTTATGCCAATCTGTAATTGCCATGTTGCGCGAGACGGTCCGCTAGATGTCGTGGAAACTCATCGTCTGTACTGATGCGTTCTGTCACAAACTCGTGGTGAAGCTGCACTAAAGCACAAAGTATTGAGGTCTGCGAGCTCTCCCCTACCGGTGGACGTTGACTCTGACTCTGATGGTACGGAGTTCAATCATTTTTTAGCTGTAATGTCCCGTCTATACTTGCCAATGCCAGCCTCGGCCCTTTTTCCTCTTCATGAGTTGCTAGAGTTGGAGCGTGCTTTACTCTGTGTAGGATGCATTGCGGTGTTCATGGATCAGGGTAATGATCATATCATGCTTTCGAGCCGCATTCCCTTCTTGAACGGCCGGCTGACTGCTGGAACTGGTATGTTTGTGAGATGATCGCGTACATAATTAGTACAAGCGTAACACAACTGTTTGGAACCAGTAAGATCTTGACGTTGCTAGCGCGATATTCTAGAAGCTCTCTCTCCTCGACACCTGCTGCCCTACAACTGGTGGCAAGATGCATGTTCCTCGACAAATCGATGCTTCATGTATTCCAAGACTATTGCTGTGCCATTCCATCCGTTAATGCGTACGCTGCGGGCCTATCCTGGAAACGGGCGATCTGCAGTTTTGGATTCTCCCGATTTCGATGCCTTTGCCATATCAGAAAATCCCTTGTCTACGATCCCGCCGATCAACGAATTCCGTCCCTGGACGTCAAAGGTCCAGAACTCAAGTCACGAATTCGATTATCGCCAGTCCTTCCGAGTGCTTGCCCTTTTGATTAGTTCGACGCACTCGGTTCCTCGGGGCCTGGCCCGCCTCCTGGAATGAGCTGTGAGAAAGAACATTTCGTTAGTGTCGTTAGCCAACTACGTGGGGATCTCCAAAGACGACCGACCATGCAAACGTTATTGCCATTCAGCAGAATCTTCGACATCTTCGTCTGTTCGCCGCTTGCCATGTCGCTAACGAGCCGTTTGTTAGCGGGGTAGTCGGATGATTTTTTTTCTTCACAGATAAAACCCATGAATTACATACATCTCCGTCACATCGTTCAATACCATGTCTGTCCCCGCTCGCGTCAGAATCGTGGAAGCCCAGACGTGATCAAAGAGTCGCAGCGAATACATACTGACATAGTCGTCAAACCCTAACAACATGCCGCTGAACTCCTTCTCGCCCTTCATCACCACGTGAATCACACTTCCGACACATTTGTCGATCAGCTCTGCGCGAGTCCAGTAAGTCTCCAGATGTCATCGCGATCTGATCTTTTAGCCGAGACCTAGGCTTACCGAGAGGAAGTAGTTGAGACGCCATCTTAACCGCTGTGAGACGTATCTGTGGCGAATGTGGACTGGTACAAGTTGTTGATGATTTCCCCGGACCCCGGATGGTTAGATGTGGAAAGTATCAACAGCCCTAGCGTGTGGTTCACGTGATGCTGTGACACCTGGGATCGCGTTCGATCGAGAAACGTCCTTTATAGATTGAAAAACACCCAAAACTGTCACATTCGGCCATACCAACCAGAAAGCAAGCGGTCCCGTTCGCTCCCGCCTATTTAAGCTGGTTAGGGGTGGATTAGTAGTTAGGTGGGTGACCACTAGCGAATCCCCACTGCTGAATGTTTTGTATTTTTCTGCGTTTTTTTGCATATCTGGACTTACCTGGAGTGTAATAAGGCGCATATATTATACACATACAGGTAGACTTACTTAACAAGCGCTTTAGCGAAGATTTATTTATTTCAGCGCATAAGAATACATTAAGGTGAGAGGGCTAGCTAGGTCACATCACTCCCGCAGACATATACAATGCCCCCTGATTATCAATACCCGTTCTCAGACGTCTCTCATCCACACATCTCCATCACTGTCAACCCACAAGTCTCCTCTTCGACTGTATCGCGCTTGCGCTTGGGGTATCTCCAAGAACTCCAACTCATCGTCTTGCACGAGGCCATCATCAACGCTCAAAATTGTCGATACATTTCCGTCATAGCTGACCGCTCGCTCGTGCTGCAATTCCCCGACATCTGCCGACTCGTCGATAGCAGCGGCATGGTAAGATATTCCATAAGTGTTGGTGCCAGGGCTCGACTCAATGACCCTTCCATCTCGTGTAATGGTCCTTTCCTCGACACTGGGACGCTGAGCACCAGTGCCCAGTTGCCAGGTGACAGTCCATCCATCTCGTCCGAAAGCCCATATGACAAGTCGGGGGTTGCTCTGCATTGCAAGTTCCACAAGGCCGGTGACCTTGCCGATCTCAGTACCTGGCAGATACAGCGGCCATGAGAATGTGTGGCTTCCCCGATCTGTAAAGTCAGTAGGCCAGTACGATAAGCGTTCGCGCAAGACACGAATCTTCCCTTCAATATCCGCGCCTCGTATCGATGCATTTCCACCTTCTACGTCACTCTCCAGCGATTGTTCCAGATTGGACAGCATCATGATATCCGGGGGGATTGTGTACAGGACGATTCGGTCATCGTAGCCGACAACAATGCGCGCTCCCCACGTGAGATCGTACGCCGTGGTGTAGATCTTGCGAATGGCCGCATGTTTCGGAGGAAGACAATATATCTTTCGTAACAACTTCTGCGGGCTACCGAGCGGAGCATCGCTCCCAAGGACCAGCATTCCCGACTGAGGATCTGTAAACATAATGTGGCGACCGTCGCTCAACGGTACAGCACGGAAGTGGTCACAATTGAGCAAGTTGCTGGAGGGCGTATGTAATCTTCTACATGGCATCCAGAATATGCCCCTCGCCCTATCAGAAAGGAATCGTCGGACTATCGCCCGCTGTTGAGAAGGGTGGGCCGCGCTCGAGATCAGGCGCAGCTTTTTGGCAGAATCCACCCCTGACCGGGGCGGGAGAAAGTACAAGAAGTCACTCTCAGCCGTTAGGGGAAACCAACGACTGACATCCTGACCATTTACAGCATCAACCCAGTGCAGTTCGATCCCGGCGGCACATCCGAAAGCTACACATCTTCGCTGTGGACAAATGGCCACGCTACGAGGAGGGTCATCTTCAGAACATAGATGTCTATAGATATTTCGAACTCCAGTCTCCACCGGGACAGTACGTGCGCTATCTTTCTCTCGGATGAAGCTGTAAGTGGCTTCAGGTGTACTATCGAGTCGCAAGTTCCAAGCTCGATTGATCATGTTCTGATCCCCTAGGGCCTCGTTCCCAATATCATATAGTTCGATACTTTGCTGGTCACTCTCGACATTGATAGTATCAATGGGAACTAATTCAGTGTTTTCGATACACAAGGGTGTCGATTGCTGCGTGAGCAGCGGGAAATGACGAGGGCTTAGATATGATGAACCATTGTCTTGCGTGCGTGCTTCTGCTAGTGGTTTTGGGATACGTAATTCGCACACAATACCCATACGACCATCTAGCAAGGCAGCAATAGCATACCTATCAGCGGAGGCATCCATACTGACAGCGAGAACCTTACGAGGGCAGACAACACTAGTTACCGGTTTGAGACCTCTGCCGTGTAGCTCGTACACATAGATCATGCCTCCCTCTCCAACCAAAGCGAACTTCCCACAGACGCTTGATGTGAAGATCAAGCCACCACTATGGCTAGTCTGTGGTGCTGCATACCCACTGGCAAGATCTGCGAAGTCCGTAGTAGCTGCAACAACCCAAGGCGAAGGATTCGATTTATTTTCCACGGACTTTGGTTCCTGGCCCCGGCTGAAGCCATTCCCTTTCCAATTGTGGCTAAGAGCGCACTCTCGGGCGAGAAGACAACTAAGGTTCCACTGGTTCCCTAGAAAGCTTCCGTCATGCGATGTAAGTACGTCCTTCATGCATAGTTTGTCTATGGCGCTTGCCCATCCGCCACGCTTCAAAGCAGACATAAGGAGGCTTTGATCCAGGCTGGCCAGCATCCAGGATCGGCACGCGTGGCGTGCCGAATTGAAATCCTGTGGCGACATGGACGAATATATTTGCTGCAGAATTTCGATTGGAAGAACCACAGGCTCGGCGCGTGGTGAGAGACGGTGTTTGCGGCGAAGCCTATCCACTTGGTCTGATGGTTTGTGTTTTAAGTAGCTGCTGATATCAATGACGCTATTCCTCTTTGGAATGGCAGTTTCACCGCTCCATAATTCAAATGAGGATCCAGCGAGAGAGTATGCAGGCGAAGCCGACAAGGAACGTGCCGCGGAGAGGGGCAGTAGTGATGATGAACTGAGGTTGATTATGGAAGCGGAGGCACCAGAAGTACTACCGCTGACCTGCGCAAAATCTGGTCCACTGAAAGTGAACGGTCGGTTTCCTAGAAGATCGATACTCCCTGACGAGCTCTGGTTGAGTGTGGGAATGATTCGATGTTGAGGTGTAGGTGTTTTAGTGTCCCGGTCAGAATGCGCTGAGCTAGCTCGACTGGAACTCTGTGAGGAGGAGGAACTCCCTGCTAACAGTGATGTAAAGAATTTAGGAAGAGTTACGCTTCGGCAATGGACTTCTAGAGGCCTCTTCCGTTGTACTCGACGACCAGATGATGGTACCAGGCCTAACGAGTGTCTCCATGATACTCGTGGAGTTTTTGGGCGACTTTTGCTGTAGCTGGGCCGAAGTGTACGGTGATCATCGAGGACACGTGTGTGATTTTCCACCTGCTCATACCACTGATCGCGAGAGAAGTCCAGTTGAGGGTCGTAGGTATCAGAGTCAGATTCAGCGAGTTGTGGAGACAATAGAGCGGTCCCTGAATATCCACTCTCGATGCTGCCAAAAGAATTGGCAGGTCTGGTTTTGTGGGATGATCTATGATCTACAGGGGAGTAGCACCTAATCGACGGTATCGAAAGGCTAGAATGTAACGATGTTCTGCTTGAGGCTGGACTAGGGAGGATAGAGTGCTCGAGATTTGGTGACATAGGGTTGGACTCGGATCGTGGCTTGGCGACGCCTCGAGAAAGATATATTTGCGACGACGTTATGTCGACTGCCTCCGTCTGGAGGTATTTCGCTCAGTTTGTCTTCGGTGGTTGACAGGGAATGTATATAAATATAGGATGCAATTATAGACAGGTTGCGTACGGAATGATGCTCGCTTAGGGAAACAAGATGAGCCCGGATTATAAGTAGAGAGATATTACATAGAGCATGCGCTTTAGATCCGGTGTGTGTTGCTCTTTTCTATACGTAAGAGGGAAAGCGCACCCTGTTATGGACCCTCGTAGCAAATTAGGAAAGGTAGAGCCTCGCTATGCAGAAAGAAGATAGATAAAAAAATTCGGGTATCATGATGCAGTTCAGTTATCGACGCCGTTAGAGATGCCTGAAAAATCTCCAAAAACCCTTGCTGTTTTGTCCGCAATCCATACATCGTCAAGCCTAAAATTCGTTAGCAATAATGTCTCATTTCAATGACATGCCCAGAACGTACGGCATGATGAGACTGGGATTGATAAATTTGAGTCCCTTCTCGCGTGCTTCATCGACGGTTTGGCTCCCGCCTGTAAGCACCGTTTCAAGGCCAGGAAGGTGCTCAGATTCTCGAGTGTCACGCCCGACAGAGGGTGTGATCGAATCTTTGAGACTCTTCAGTGCTATGAAGCGCATCAATGGTTGATATGTGCGGTTGTAGAGGTACATGAACCAGAGCGTTGCAAAGATTAGAGGAACGATACACACAGAGCGCTTCCATGCCTGGCGCAAAGCAAGTTGTCCAGCCATGGTGATTTGGAACACAAGTACTCCTACCATGGCTCTGTCGCAGATTAAGATCCACCCTCGGCCTGTAGAGTGCTGACGATGATCCATTGCGTATAGTAGCTGGTACTTGTGGACAAAATGACCGATGGTGAAATATACAAGCCCAGCTAATAGAACCATCCAGGATGACCGCAGCACGCTGTAAACTACACATATGATGAATATGAGAATGGTTTGCGGGAGGTAGAAGCCATAGCTGAAAACGGGAGGCTGAACTAGTTCAGCGTAGTCTAAAAATGATTAGTGGGTGTTATTATCGTCGCCACTACAAGCAGGCTTGCACATACCTCGAGGAGTTTTCGCGCCCATAAGACTGATGGGATAGGTAGCAACGGCGCCAAACTCGAGTATCCGAAATGGAAACAGTCCAAGCCCTTGTAATATTATAAAATTGGTGTAGAAATTCAAGAGCTTTCTCAGAGAGTCCGCAATCAGTCGAGCTATCTCTGTGCCCTTCCTGAGCTGGTCTCCGAAGCGCTGAAGGAAGTCAATCAAACCAGACGCCGTACCTAGAAGGGTGAAGACGATGAAGAAATTGAAGAAAAGGAAGAAGAAATTCTTAGAGATGAGAGATAGTTCGACATCGCCCTGAGAGATCATGCCTTGCATGTTTGAGAGCCAGTCATATAGATATGGTACCAGCACGTTGAGAAGCGACAGGAATAGGGTTGGCAGCTGTGTATTGACGATCGAGGACAGATACTCATGCTCGGTCAATATTTTAGCCAGCTGAGGCCAAACTGCTTTGATGGAACAGGTATTTAGGGATCCAGCGATCGGCACAAGGATACCTATCCAGAATACAGTCAGAAGGCCAATGATGCCAGTGATAGACCATGCTCTAGTCATGCGCTTAGAGCGTGGTAGATACGTATTTTGCCAGACCACATCAGAAGGCGCCGGACTAGTATTTGCTGTGAATCGCAGTGGTGCGGGATCCAGCACGGCTTGCACAGCCATTTGGCAACTGGCAACGCTATCCATGGTGACAAAGGCCAGAGGGGTCGCCTCAAATTCCTTCTTCCGCAAGTCTCGAATCTCCTCGTCAAGCCTATGTAAGGTCTGCTCGTAGTAATCGATAGCGTCCACGTTCCGGTAGCGCAATTTCAAGGGTCGCCCGTACCATATCTTTGCCAGTGGACGCGTACGTCCATAAGGCACGGCACGGGAATTTCGTGGTACCGAGTCGTGCAAGAGATGACTGTGCTCTCCATCTTCCTGAACTTCGATGCTTGGACCGGGCGGAGGAGGTTGTGATATGGGTAACGTTTCGAGGTTACGCTCAATTCTGCGATGACCCAAGTAGACTGTCCAAGCCTCCTCAAGTCGTCGCAACGTGCTCATCCGTTCAATCATTGTCTTGTCAAGCTCTTTCCAGTTCTTGCATAGCGTAACGCTTTCTACCTGTCCAATTTCTAGGTTCTCGATGAACTCCTTGATCTTTGCTTCGCTTCTATACTCAGGGGGTATGCCAGACAAGCGGATTGTACGATCGGTGATCGTCGTTTGGCTGCCTAGGTATTTCTGACGTATATCGATTATCTTTCGGGTCTCAGCAACGATCAGCCACATTGCCAAAACCGTGAACCCATATGCGAAGACCAAATACATCCACAAGTAGTCGCTGGTGTATTCTCCTGTGTAGCTGTCAAGAGTGTGGAAATATCCTTCACCACGTCGATGTAGCCCGGTGTGTTCGATCGAGTTGTTGTTACCAGTCTCATTCTTCTTAGGTGGATGGTCCTCATCCGGATTGACGTCGTGCACCGGTTTAATGACTGCAACGGCGAAGAAGAGTGTGATTACTAGGAACTTGATGGCCATCTTAAAGAAAGCCAGGAACTAGAAACCTCGTCAGCGAAAGGCAAGTATCGGAGTCATAGCTTGAAACGCACAACGTATGCATCTAGACCTGCAGAAGCAAGAACTTCCTCCTCTGTGATCCTCCACAGCGCGGGTATCCATCCGAAGAGAGAATCCGGGAGTTCTGGGAGGGACGTTGCTTGGTCGTTTTGTTTCTTTCGCGCCGCGTATAAAGTTTTCCACCTCGGTCGCATGACCTAGAAAGATAGTTAGTTTACTGCGTATATGATCACACAAATTCACTGGTACACTTACGCAGAAGGAAAGGAATGCCGTGAACCCTAGAGCCAAAGAGAGAATGATTTGTATAGTAGCATCGCGAGGTTTCTTGGTCCCCCAAAGGTCTTGGTCGGGATCCACATCCTTACAGATATCATGCATAATGCGTCTCTTGTAGAATCGTCTCCGGTTGCATCTGGAGATATTGGTATACTTGGGCCGTAAATATTGTCGCGATGAGTGATGTGCGGCGCGTCCAGTGGTGACGATTCCGTACTTGGACTGTTCCAATAAGGGTCAATGTGATAAGGAGCCCACCAACTCCGCAAATTCAAGGACTCTGAAGCCAGCAACGTCACCATAGTGTCAGGAGAAAGGCGCTGTACTACATACTTAGACCTCGTCAGAATTCATATATGTACGTAGTTGCTGCTTCGAACTATCAAAGTGTGTAATCACAAGGTGTGGCTCACAATATTGATGATATCACTCCTCGGTGAACGCTCCGTAGTAGAGTGAAACTACGCCCAACTGGCTGAGCACAATCTTACTTTGATGCTCGTCACTACTCGTTCTCACGCCAATCATGTCGACAAATGAGACATCGTTCAAGCCTGCGTTGCATGTTGAATGCCGTATGCGAGATACCGATGGCTTTGTCAGACCTGATCGGGTCCGTTCGAGGCAAATCCAGATGTTAAGATGAACAGCACCAAACTAATACGCAACACCATATAGGTCCGTGAGGAAGTCACCGAATGGATATGTGAGAATTTTATCAGTCTGAGAATCGATCAGAGGCTTGAAAACTATGGTCAGCAAGTGCAGTGAGTTCATCTTCAACTCATTGACATGACTGCAGAGGAACTGAATCACGGCGGCGCCATCCAGTCAATAAGCGTTGTTGGCTTTTCTGGTGTACAGGAGGATTCCTTATTCCATCGACTTGCCGACGTCCAACTCGACGTCCAAGCTTACATGCTTCATCCATATGTGGTTGATGACCATGTCAGTGAAGTAAGACCAGGACAGCAACATGACGACGAGCTAAAACCCAAGACACGCACCATGCCTCTGCCAAGCGCAAATATACACGGTTTATGGGAATCGTAAGTCATGTAGGTGTGAACAAAAAATCATACTAAACTTCGTAGACTAATATACGAGTCGGATTTTCCTAACAAACTTCTTAGGTTCACAACAAGAATGGGTATTGTAATATATTGGCTGAACTGCATTCGCGAGCTGACTAGCAAAGTATCAATGACGAAAAGCCAGCGATTGGACCCAAACATTGTCAGCTGGAATCACTTGGTTCTGCTTTACGGTCCACCCGGGACGGGGAAGAGTTCTTTGTCACGGGCTCTTGCGCACAAGCTCACCATTCGCCTGGGAAAGTACTTCTTACGCGGGAAACTCGTTGAGGTCGATCCGCAGTCTCTGTTCAGCAGGTACTTTGGTGAGAGTGGACAGCTCGTGGCGCAAATCTTTGAACAGATCAACGCAATGGCTGACGATGAGGCTTGCCTTATCTGCGTAGTCATCGATGAAGTCGAAACATTGACCAGCCCTCGCGAGAGAGCTGCCACGGGAAACGAATGTGGTGATGCATTGCGTGCGACAAATCAGCTACTCACCTGCATTGACGCCCTGCGTCACCGCCCAAACATTGTACTCTTCTGTACTAGCAACATGTTGCAAGCAATCGATTCAGCCTTTGTGGACCGCATTGACATCAAGCAGCTTGTTCCTAATCCATGTCCAAGAGCAATCTACGAAATCTTTCGCACTTGCATAAACGAGCTCCTCCGCACGGGAGTTCTTGTACCCAGTAAGAGTAATAACGAGGACCCGAACCTTAATATGAGGCCAGAATCTCCACTAAGCCAGTCTGTACATGATTTTGTTTTAATTGAACCTATCTCGATTCCAAGATTCGCGGAGATGGAAATTCGCCTTTACGACCAGCCGCATGCTCCAGCACGAAAGTTATGGATAATATCGCAAAAGGCAGATGGGCTGAGCGGTCGCACACTACGAAAGCTTCCCTTCCTGGCTCTCGCTCTCTATACCTTCACCGAGCCAAGTACGATCCATGAAGGTCTCTATGCACTATCTCTAGCCGTTGAACATGAACTTCGCGCCTACAATCCCCACGACACTGACTTGAGTGACTGAAATCAACGAACAAGAAGCAGGACCATGTGCGGGTCATATTATGATCTCGTATCGAAGAGATACGTGCGTACATCTGGTCCAAAACACAGATATCGGAACCTCGCTATCATAATCGAACTATTAGTCACAGTTGTTCCCCATTGGGACTGAATGTACCAACGTGTTACACAGGACCGAAAAGAACGCAGGCATAACAAGGATTTAAGGGTTTTGACCATGTATAGTGTTTCATTGCACGAGTCGAGCAGCCCTTCCTACGCTGCGCGTCTCGAAGAGTTCTATCAGACCCGCTCCAACACATTCTTCTAAGATCCATTCGAAACATAGACCATTAAAGCTTTTCCACTTCTTGGTCCTGGCTGGCAACACGCCTGTGAATTCACCTCTCATTTTCTTTGCTGATCCAGGGGCATCGGCTGTGCCGCCATCCCATCGCTCACGCAACATGTCCAAAGGGGCTTCTTTATACTTCGAAGTCTTCGAGATGAGCGATAAGAGGTGTGTACGGGCTTCTACGATGAGTTTCAATAGTGGACCAGTATTGGGTAGCGCGTAATTGTATTGTGCGCTCCGTGACGCGTTCGAAGAGCTTTTTTGAACGACACCGCTTGCACTGCCTCCACTGCTCACGAAGGCACCAGATCCACCTACAGCCTCTACTGCACCTGATGCTGATTTATGTCCTACGGATGATAATGAGGTCAATGTACTGAAGGTTCCTGTTCCTGGGCGGAAGTATGTATCCATGATGGTTGATCTGCTTTGTGTCGATGACGTTAGAAAGCCAGTAGACGTCAGCGCCGACGCTTCACTGGGACTCAAAGAAGTTGCAGAGATACTGAGCGACGTGGAATTTGTTCTCAGAAGGCTGATGTACTTCTCTTGTATGTCCGTTGCGAGATGTGGATCTCCCCGAACACGCTTTTCCCACTGCGGGACTAACACGAGGCCTTCGCCTACATTGGACGCTCCTGCACCACGGTTTGGGACGATAAGCTTTCGCACAATACCTGCTTGCGATAGCTCAGCGATCTCACGATCAGCGCGTGTGATTGACCGTGAGAGTGCGTGTATATGTGCTATTGTGACTATGGGTGGGAGGTTCTTCCTGTAATTTAGGACTTCCGCTATTCGCGTCGAGTTCATGCCGGATCCTCTTTCTGGTATCTCATCGAACATGCGCCGATGGATATTCTCTGTGAATTGTGCGACATCTCGCAGACTTAGATCGGATGCCAGTGAGGCAATCACCCCTGTATCATCAAGTGGGTCCTCGAATATGTCATCGCCCTCGTCACGCTTGGTAGAAAGCTTAGACGACTGCTTTGGTAATGAAGGCTTGCGACGGCGGGCCGAGGAGAACGGTGAAGATGAGGAGCGGCGTAGGATAGAGGAGCGCTTTTTCTTGACTTTGGAAGACTGCGCACCTGTGACGAGCATCCTTGGGTACAGATGGGAGCGTATGTTGGGTGGCGAAATCTAGGTGGTTGCTTGCCAGTACTTTACATAGGATTCGACCTTGGAAGGTAAACATGGGAGCTTATTTATTATTCAGGCTGCCAGGCAGTTAAACCACGTTACCCTACTTGGATAGCGCGCCGGCCTACTGGGCTCCGGCCGGACCTCCCAAACTTTGAAAGGTCCGCCAGTGGAGGTAACGGGAATCTTCATAGCTCCGCAACCAGCAGCAAAGTTTCACGATACTTGATCAATTTCCATAACAAATTGTTCAACATGGCGGCTGCGATAAAAGCTCTGAACGCAAAGATACGGTCTAATCCGGTCTCTAACTACCTATGCTCCACTCGTAAGTCTTCCCAACACTCTCAGAGAGTCGTGTGAGCTCCGATTCCCCGAGCTCGTACAAGCCGTTATGAAGCCTGCGATCTCACTGTCGAGGCAATTGGAACATATCACTGACTGTATGTCGTGTAGACTTCTGGGGCCCTGCCTCAAACTTTGGTATTCCTATCGCCGCAGTTATGGATACGCAAAAAGACCCTGAATAGTAAGCTCCGGACGACAACTACACCAAAAGAGCTGTGCTAAATGTGCAACGCAGTATCTCGGGACCTATGACCGTCGCTTTGATGGGATACTCTGCTGTCTTCATGCGCTATGCTCTCGCAGTTACCCCAAGGAATTACCTCCTCTTCGGCTGCCATGTCGTCAACTTCAGCGCACAAACGACGCAGGGATACAGATATGCGAACTGGTGGAAGTAAGATTTAGAATCCAGTCTAGAAGGCTTGACTAATCAATGACCAGCTTTGGCGGACGGGAAAAGGCTATGGAGGAGAGGGCAAAGAGCGGCATTGATGCCGCCGTGAACACTGCGAAGGAGACTGCAAGCGATGCCTCTGCAAAGATCAAGGGTGCTGCGAATGACGCCAGTGCTAAGGCACATGAGGCTGTTGATAAGATTGTAGGGAAGAAATAAGTGTGGATTATATAGACTTAGGACAGGGAAATCCTCAACTGAACTCATCTATCTCACATCTTATAACGGTATAAGGACACATTCACTATCGTCTTTCAATCAGTTTTTGTCGTTCTTCTTCCCATTTTGACCTACTCAGACGTGTTGACTCATATAGGGTTTTACACCCCTTTAGGCTGCTGTTATCGAACAGCCGATCAATCAACACGGCGGTAAGTCTACATAAACACACTTAACGTATGGGATATGCGCGTCAGACATTCGGCAAATCGTATACAAGGTCTATTACACCCTCAGCGAGTTAAATTCATTCACGACAACATCAATCCGCGTGGATCTCGCTGAATCGATTCCGCCCTCCGACCCATGGTTTTTCAAAGCAGCGGTCAAGAGGATTTCCGCAAATTCCGAGGGATCATATGAGGTAGTTATGAAGTAACCACAGCAATAGAACTTCTGACTATCCGTCCCATCTTCTTGATCTACTCAGTCTCATTAACGAGCACATGATCACCTGAAACTCATGCCACCCGTCCCAGTCAAAGACATTCCCGATACAGAACATCCTACGCCATCTGGAACTTCAATTCGGGGGTAATCACCGCATCACAACGCACTTCAAGCATCTCTCCCCCTCCCCCCCCCGGGCATCAAAGAAGCATCCTCTACACCACGCATTCTCCGATTCCCGCTGCTAGGTAATGACTAACTCTCAATATTCCCATAACAACAATGGACAACCCCTGAAGCGTCCACAGAGCGTATATGGTGGTCACCACAACATCACACTATCAGACCATACTCGCTCTGATCGTGTTTATAAAGACGAGCATATTCGAAAGGCCAGTCAACATGCTCCATCCAAATTTGAATCTCGCATAGTACTTATGTAATGAACGAGCGTAAGCATACATCTAGCAACACGACGAAGGATTTGAGTGAGATGACTTAAGGTCTCCAGGAATCGACCGAGGGGAAAAGAGACGCTGCTTGTGATTCGAGTCGTTATCTAACCGAACACACGCGGGTGCTAATGTGACTTCAGGCGGAGCGTCGGAAGCTGGTTGGCCATCTCATCGCTGTTCTCCGTGATGCCCACAAGCTGCAGATCATGTATCTACTCGTTATGCCAGCTAGGAAACGTCGACACGAGAGCAGTGTTTGGGGAAATAGAGGGAGAGAGGCGGAAAGACAGTCACATAGCCCTTCCAGTTAAGTGGGCGACCAGAGGACGGTAGGGCAATGCTACTACGATGGTGGTAACTATATACTTAGTCTATGTCTCTTATATGTAAGGACATAATTCTTAACATAGCCACAAGCAAGTCTTATTGGTGTTAGACCAGTGGTTGATCTGTGCCCGATACCTGCAAATATTCGGGCCATTTGATTTTCGATTCATATCATGTCATATGAAGACCAAACTCCTGATATCCTGTGACATGTAAACACATACGCTATGCTACCGAGTCGTACAAACAAGATCCAGGTAATTAGAGAGCGGCAAAATCTATGAGCGGCTGTTTGGGGCTAATGGTCTTTGCAAAATATCTCAAATTGTACTGTTTCCACTTGCAAACTCTCCATATCTAGCAAGACAAGTTGCCCAGTCTCTCTGAATTTAGGAACCGCGATCAGTGTCACTTGCTGGCCTAATGGCCCTTCGATGACAGTGGTCTCGAGACGTGGCTGGTTGCCAACGAAATATACATGCGGACATTCGGTAATCAGTAGCGGGTCATCATCTTGAAATGGGTAGCACCCTACGTCAAAATTAGCGTGGCGGAGTTGCGTCTGGCTTTTGAGAACTCACACAAGGTATCAGGAGCAGTAGGAGCATTGCACCTCCACCTCAGGAGGTTTTCCATCATCTCCAGCCTGTCATCACCAGGGACATATTTGAAGAGATCGTCTATCGGCTGGCCGCCTGTACCTAGAAAACGATAACCGTCTATATCACCTTCCCAAGGGTTCGTGACACTATGGAGCCATCCAGGGGGCGCGTTGCTCTCGGCCGGTGGGGAGGCATACGCTCGACTTTGTGGGAACAGAGCGGCATGGAGTGGTTGTTGAGGTATTGCTACATTCGCGGGGTCCGTGGCTCCTGGGATGAGAGTCACTGGAAGAGACGGTAAGAGTGCTGCGAGGAAATCATCTAGGAACTCCGTGGGTGAAGCATTGTATCGTGAGGCATCATAACCATATTTCTTCACGCCTTTCTTCGACGCGACGTCTTCTCTAGATGGGATGGGCGAAGCGTTGGCGATTGAATTCCCGGCTATGATAAGCCTTGATATGCTCGCTGCTTGGGTCCGTTCCGATTCGTTAATTGACTCCCCAAGTAGATATTCCAGGAGAAGATCAGGCAACAAAGGATCATTTGCATCTCCACTCATGGAAAGCCCACTGACGATGGCGACTTTACCAGCTTTGGGGCGTTGCTGCTTCACTTTCTTGCCAGCGACTGCTAGAGCCGCGTCATCACCCTCCCACCTGTCTGGCTGTCTTGGGAGATCTGCGTACTTCGTTTCGATCACTTCGAATAAACCATCTGCATTCTCGCTCCCTAACGCTGCTATGATAGTTCCAGTAACCAAGTTGGATGAGAGGAGCTCTCCTGTCATGCGTAGACGTCCCGATTCGTCTTCCAGCATCCTTTCCTCTCCGCCGATCTGGGATATGTACTTTTCCCGGGGTGGTGGTGCAGCTATCCAGTGCTAAGGAATCGTAAGATGAGAAATAAGTCGCCGCTTCTTTTATTCGCGTACCTCTTTCGATATATCGTCCAATACATTTGGCTTCAATGTCATCTCCATGAACACAGTGCCGACCACCCAGCAGAGCTCTCCTTGCCGTACATCCAGGACTCTTTCCACTCTCCTAGGAGTTTCGTCACCTAACTTGCCACGAGTGAGTCCTTGCTGTATGCGGAAGCTTAAGTTTCTTCGGCTTTACCTTGAAGTCTGCCCACTCTTCGGCGGCGATTTTTTCAACATCCCTTTTCAGTTGTGCTAATCGCACAAAGTACATGTCCGCATACTGTTGTTGGTAATGTCTGTCCTCGCCTTTCGGGAGTACGAATCTGTTTGACGGTCTATACGAGGAAGGGACACGATCAATCTGAGAGAAGACGGCGCCTCTAGCACTTGTTAGGGTATATGCGACTTCAGATACAGGAAGATATACTTGATAGGAGCTCGAAGCAGTGCTTCTGCGTTCTCAACCAGAGCCATAGTGTAAGAGAATGGATGCGCGGCTACTCAAGATGGCGGAATATGTATGGACTCGGCGCGCGACGCGTCGGAGCCTGAATTGGGCAGAACCACTTTAGAGGTAAAGCCTCTCCACCGCTAGCCTCGTGGGGTATCTCTCAGCCTTACTGGACTCTCAGGGCTGTTCATGTGATTCGTTTTTATTGCTCATACATACTATAATTACATCTAAAGCTTGCTTGACCTCTCGCTGATATAAGTCTGCCCTAGTTTCAACATCTGAACAGCCTCCTCTACCATTTCCTCTAGGATCTGACCCGCAGGCTGTATCTCTTTGATATATCCTGCAACTTGACCCATCAAGAACGGCATATCAACATCCTTCTCATCCTCCATATCCTGCATCATAGGAACAATTCCTTGCTCGGTGAGAGACTTGATCTTTTCGGGCTGGGCTTCCCATGAGTCAACCCAGTCATTCCGACGTACCCTCAAAGGCCTGCCACTGACAGTGAGCGTCCGCAAGGTGTCTTCAAATGAGGCAGTAGTAACGGCTTCTTTGTGGAGCTTCGAACAGCCAGCCTCCTCCGAAGCGACGAAACGTGTGCCGACCCAGACGCCCACAGCGCCTTGCATCAGGCTACTTGCAAGTGTCCTACCGTTCGATATACCACCGGCGGCAACGACTAAGGCAGGCTTGCCGGTCATCGACGAGGTATAGTTTTTCGCCACGTCCACCACGGCAGGTATGAGGATTGAGTTTGCAATGTCACCTGTGTGCCCACCTCCCTCTCCGCCTTGTGCACAAACGATATCGACGCCTGCCTTTAGTGCCTTGTGTGCATGTTTCGGATGACCAACCATGTTCATGATCAATATACCGGCTTCATGGAGCCTCTCAATTACATGCTTCGGAGGGACACCAACAGCGCTCACGAATAGCTTTGCTTTCTCCTTGATGATAACGTCGACAAGCTGATCCAATTGTCCATGCGTGTAGTCGTGGTTGGTTTTCCGCGCACTGCCACCGACTTGCGGAAGAGCAAGGTCGACACCAAAGGGTAGATCTTTTGATTTCAAGTTTGATTTGAGTTCATCAATGATTTCTTGCAGTTGCTGTGGCGTGTATCCAAGACCGCCGATGACACCTAGACCCCCGGCGTTGGAAACAGCTGCAGCGAGGGGTCCACCAGAGGTACGAGCCATGCCAGCCAGAATGATTGGGTACTTGATGTTAAGTAGCTGGGAAAGCTCGGTATTGAGAGCCGGAGGCGCCATTGCGGACTGGTGATTAAAACAAGCTGGATGCGATATGGTAATTATCAGATTAGACGGACGATTGAGGAGAGCAAAGTTGACGACAGTTGATCTACAGCCACGGCCGCTGCATGTTTTTATGAATAAAATGATAGCCTGTTAACTTTACCCCAGATGTTCTCCACTCCGTCTGCGCATAAGTAGGTGACGTCCGAGGTTCTCTGATGTACTGGGGTCGAGAGCGGAAAGCTCCTCGGCTGACAGGGCGCCAAACGCTTCTAGCAATTTAGATCGTTTACACGTGACCATTAGCATCGCCATATCAAGTTACCCTTGCGAAAACATTTATTATCCGTCTGCCTAAGACCTGGTATCTAGAGCATGGTCATATGTATCGATTTTCAATGGTAACCAGAACAAGATCCCCGGAAGCTATTATCAGCTGTGAGACATATAGGTAGTGGCAGAGTAGCTAGACAAATTGACTTGTACTCGTCTAAAAGACTTATTTTCCACAGAGCACCTATTGCTTCACGCCATTAACCTGTTTCATTGGTTTCCCCAAGTGTCCATTTACCTTGCCGTTTCGAACAGCTTGCGATTGCATTTGAGGTGGAGGAGGTGGTGGCGGCCCATACGTCTTAGGTCTGGGCTCCACAGGCCCTTCTTCCTCGGTCTCATCATCGTAGTCCTCACTGCCATACTCCTCGTCATCATCACCATCTTCATACTCACTTTCAGTACCTACGTCCTCGTCAATCTCTGCAATGCTCGCCTGGCCACGTCCTTGAGCCTGCATGCTGCGGCAAAGCTTCTCGAGTTGATCATGTCGTTTCTGAAGCCTTTGCATATCCTCTTGTCGATGGGTCCTGTCTTCTGCCATATCGAGGATACTGCGGCTAGCAGCCTCTTGCTTCCGTGTGAGGACCATGTTCTCTTTTTCCAGGCGCTTCGTCTTCTTCGACATTTCCTCCATTTCCTTTCGAAAGGTTAGGAATAGGTCATTTGAGTTGTTCAGGGTCTCTTCAACCTATAATGCATCAGCTTCGCATTGCTTGGCGTAGAGTTTTGAGGGACTGACCTGTTTAAATTTTTCAACATAGATGTTGAGTTGATTACGTAACTCAGACTCTGTCTGCGAGAAAGTCGATACTTGCCTTGTGAGCTGATTGGACTTGTTTGATTCCATTTCTTGATCTTTCCGTTGTCGCTCAAACTTGGCTCTCAAGAACTCAACCTCCAAGTCTTTAGTACGAAGTAAAGATGCGAATTGGATCTCGCGCATCTCATACTGATCGATAAATGATCTGAACTTTTGCCGAAAACTACACGGCACGTTAGACTCAGAGGCCAGTGATATAGTCATGTCGGACCGTACATTTCGTCAAGTTTCAGATCAGAAGCTGGCGGTTCTGGAGCTAATTTGGCTTTGACAACGTCGTCGACATCGCGAACCATGACCTCGAGTCGCTCATGAAGGTCCTCTCGGTAGGATGTCTCGCGAGACTTGATATGGTCGAGTTCCTCCTGAATATCAACAGTTAGCGGTACTTCATACCATTTGGTCTTGGACGCTTCACCTTTAGCTTCTTGTTATCCTTCTGAAAATCTCTGGCTATCTTTTCTAACTTGTCTCTTGCAATAGTCGCCTTGTTCAGTTCTGTCCGTTGAGTGTCTTTGTCTTTCTGCAACTGATCTGACTTCTTTTTGGCCTTCACATTCTCGCGTTCCAACCTTTTCATATCGTGTAAAAGTTCTTGCCACCTTTTGTTAACAGTGTCTAGCTTCAACATCGGCGTTTCGAGCTTAGATAGGAGGTGTGATAGGTCCCGGGTGGCTTTTTTAACTTCTCGTTCTGTAGATGTATGTAAGCATTGCAAACAGGCCTGACCAGTTATCTATCGATTTACCAATCTCTGCCTCTTGCTCCTTGTCACCAGCGGCATCTTGCTCTAATTGTGCAAGTCTAGCTACGACCTGCCGTTCGGCATCATTTGGATCGACAGGCTTCTTGCCTTTTGCCTTCTTTGCTGGAATAGGCGCCGGTGCCCTCGGCTGCTGTGCGGTCGCCATCTCGGGATCGTGAGTGACTCGCTCGTTCGGAATTGAAGTAGTATGACTACCATCCATGGGGAGACCAGTCCAAGATCGAAGTCTGGGGTTGTTGAGACTGTTGACGCCGAACGAGGTAATGCGACGGTATGATGGGAAAGGTTCTTTAGTGCCACGGATACTGAAAGGTCCGTAGGTCGAAAGAGTGCCCAATTTCTCCGTATGATCTTGCACGGTATATACTAAGCTCGACAATGTATGGTTCGCATGCAGTCGTCGCTATGGCCACAGATGACCGAAATTGCCGATGTATCACGCGGGTTCATAAGCTTTGCAGTGTTCTCAAGTAGACTAGAGCCACTCGTGTTTGCTACGAATATAGACCTCTGTGGTGTAAAATTGCTGAACAGTAATGAATGTTGACGTGAGGACCTCTAAGCTAATTCGTAGGAGTAGAAAGCTGGGTTGGTTAAACCACGGGCTCGTTACGGAAGTCGGGTTCCAGGTGCGAAGAAGGAAGAGGAGACTAGCGTCTAGAACGATGAGGCTGGATATATGAGACAGCTGCGAATACAATGCGATGACTAGAAGGTTGGATCGAGTAACAAAAAGTCTTGAACTCGAAGTAAACGCTCCTCAGATAATATCGTGGTAGATTTGGTACATAGAGGCGAATGGCCTTGATGCAATGAATGTCATTTGCCTGTAACACTAGTTGCTAGGCCCAAAGAAGCTGATGCAGGACGCCCATCAACACCTTAGTCTTTTATATTACATTCCACACTCCACACTTCTACTCGCGCGCATCACCAAAATTTACGGGATCACTCGCAGCCGCGACGTCTGACAGGTCATGCGTAGAGCTTCAACAGTGTCTAAATGGTCGTCGCGACTACATGACGCATCGCTCGGCCGACATAGTCTGAAGAATCACAATCACAGAAGTTTTGCCTCCGTCGCGGATCTTGAAGCACTCCCTAGGGTGGGACAGCAGCTCCACGGCTTCACTTTGAAGCGCCTCAAACAAGTTCCCGAACTTGAAATCACTGCCTTGCATCTGCAACATGAGAAGACAGGCGCCGAATACCTCCACATTGCGCGAGACGATTCCAACAATGTCTTCTCGATCGGCTTCAAGACAAATCCGCCTGATGCAACCGGTGTGCCGCATATCCTAGAGCACACCACGCTATGTGGTAGTAAGAGGCATGCAACCTTGCGTAGCTTTTGGAAGAGAGACGCTGACTCTTGCCATACAGATATCCCGTTCGCGACCCCTTCTTTAAGATGTTGCGTCGATCACTGTCGAACTTCATGAACGCTTTCACCTCCTCCGACCATACGTCTTATCCTTTCGCTACGACAAATGCGCAAGACTTCAGAAACCTAATGTCTGTTTACATGGACGCCACACTACATCCTTTGCTAAAATCCAGCGATTTCACTCAGGAAGGTTGGAGAATAGGTCCGGCGAATCCATTGGCAGACACGAATGAGACTGATACTGCAAGCAATGACTTAGTCTTTAAGGGTGTAGTCTACAATGAGATGAAGGGGCAGATGTCGGATGCGAGCTATCTATACTATATCAGATTTCAAGACCACATGTTTCCTGCCATCAACAACTCCGGTGGCGATCCTCAGCATATAACCAGCCTTACATGGGAGCAGCTAAAGCAGTTTCACGCCGATCACTACCACCCGAGTAACGCGAAGATCTTCACTTATGGAAATATGCCTCTAGTAGAGCATTTGAAAGAAATCAATGAGCGCTTGAGCCCATTTGATCGGATAGCTGTTGACAACGATGTCAAGTCACCCATCAGCCTAGAGGCTGGGCCACTGTACATCACTGTGAAAGGACCAACAGATCCATTAACACCTCCGGACATGCAGAACAAGACCTCCATCTCGTGGATTATGGGAGACTCGACGAACATAGTCGAGTCATTCTCACTAGGCGTTCTCTCGTCTCTACTCCTGGATGGTTACGGGTCACCTCTTTACCGCGGACTGATCGAGACTGGTCTTGGCACTGACTGGAGCCCGAATACCGGGTTTGATAATGCTGGTAAAACTGGGGTCTTCTCAGTTGGCCTCAACGGGGTCAAAGAAGACGACATAGCCAAGGTCAAAGAAGCAATATTCGCCACATTGGAAGATGTCCGAGAGAAAGGCTTCGATGAGATCAAAGTGAATGGTATTCTACATCAGTTGGAACTCGGCCTCAAGCACAAGACGGCGAACTTCGGGATGGGTGTTATGCAAAGGCTCAACACCGGGTGGTTCAATGGAGTCGACCCTCTTGCAAGTCTAGCATGGAACGATACTGTTGCAGCTTTCAAGACAGAATATGCGAAAGGAGGGTATCTGGAAGGACTTGTCGACAAATACTTGTTGAACGACAGGACCCTGACATTCACGATGGAGCCTTCCGAAGTCTATGGAACCGAGCTGGCGCAAGAAGAACATGATAGATTGGCGTCAAAGATATTAGAGACAACGAAGAGCTTCAGCAGCGAGGAAGATGCTCACAGATATCTCAAGGAGCGCGAGATTGAACTTCTTGAAGTTCAAGAGAAAGCAAGAGGAGAAGACTTGAGCAGTCTTCCCACTGTTCATGTGAAAGATATTCCAAGAGCGAAGGAGCAGAAGACTATAAGAGAGTCTACAGTGGACGGTATAAAAGTTCAATGGCGAGAAGCAGATACCAATGGCCTCACATACTTTCGCGGCGTTAACACTTTTGATGGACTATCGGACAGTCTACGAGAGTTGATGCCGCTGTTTAGCGACTCCATTATGAGACTGGGCACCAAGGATAAATCCATGGAGCAGTTGGAAGAACTCATCAAGCTGAATACTGGCGGCATAAGTATTGCATATCATTCTGCGACGTCACCTAATGACACTCAGACCGTTCAAGAGGGTTTGGCGTTTTCTGGTTATGCGTTGGACCAGAACGTGCCCCACATCTACGACCTTCTCAGGAAGATCATCATAGAGACAGATTTCGATAGTGTCGAGGCCGAAAGAAAGATTCGACAGTTGCTTCAAGCGTCCGCCAGTGGAGCGATCAATTCTGTAGCGGAGGCAGGGCACAGCTATGCGAAGAGGTTCACAGAGGCTGGCTTGACTCCAGGCGGAAAGTTCGCTGAGCAGACAGGTGGTCTGACACAGGTCCAACTGACGGCCAGCCTAGCTTCGAGATTAGGATCCGAGTCCTTTGGCGATATCATTCGCAAGCTCAAGGCGATCCAGTCATTTGCAATCACTAACACAAGCTCCCTACGCGTCGCTCTTACGTGCGGAAAAGAGAGCTCGACCAACAATGAAGCAGCATTGCAACACTTTCTCTCTTCGCTCCCACGCACAAGACAAAGTCTTGAGTCTACCCGCGCTCAACAGAGCTTTCCGCGCAACACCAAATCGTTTTTCCCTCTTCCATACCAAGTATATTACTCGGCCCTCGCCGTGCCCACTGTCCCGTATGACCATGTATCAGGCGCTTCTCTTGCCGTCCTTTCGCAGCTCCTAACGCACAAACATTTGCACCATGAAATTCGGGAGAAAGGCGGAGCTTATGGAGGGGGAGCCTATGCTTCTGCTCTCAACGGCGTATTCGGATATTACAGCTACCGAGATCCCAATCCTCAAAACACGGTGAAGATCATGGGTGAAGCAGGTGCATGGGCTCGTGATCAGGAGTGGACGGGTAGTGATCTGGAAGAGGCGAAGCTCAGCGTCTTCCAAAGCGTTGATGCACCGAGGAGCGTGAGCGATGAGGGCATGTCACAATTCTTGTCTGGTGTGGACCAAGACATGCAGCAACGAAGGAGAGAACAGCTCTTGGACGTCAGTAAGCGAGACGTCCAGGAAGCGGCCGAAGAGTTCTTGGTGAAGAGAATGGGGCGTGAAAGCAACTTAACAGTGTTGGGAGAGAAGAAGCCGTGGGTCAAAGCCGGAGAAGGGTGGGAGGTCCGGGATCTGAAGATGGTAGAGAAGGTCGAGATGGCTGTCGAGCAGATGGAAACTTCGGCGTCTGCGTAGTTGTTCAGGCCTTGATCGACTTGTATATATGTAAAATTATGGCCTGTTGATGGACGCCGAAGGTATGTAACAACATGTCCCAGTATATTAAGGCCCGAGGGGGCTCTTTCATCGCTCAGCAGACTGGTCTTGGTGGGGGACTTGGACAGGGACAAGAGGATTCCATTGATGGCCACACTAGCGATTCGGCACGCCCAGGTTTGTTGATTTCACTTTTCATTCTACGGTGTCGTGGTGTTCTGCCAGAGCGACAGCGCGAGCTATGTACCTTGTGGTGCGAGCTGTGTTGTGTTGGCGCGAGCTCGATGGCGCGTAAAAGGTTAATTGTGCATCCCGTTCACCTGCCAAGCCGTCAACAGACGCTAGCGCGAATATCCCGGTACCTTTCCTATATCTTTCCTCGCTTCTACTCCTGCTTCTCCTCTTCTTCTTCTCTTTCCTCACCCGTGCATCGCGCTTCAGAACAGTATCTGCCAGGCGGTCCTTTCATGACCGCCTGAGCACCCAGCTACCTTCACCGGTCGCTGGAAATCCAATGCGCAAGATCAATTAGTCAACGCGTTTGCTTCTGAACCGCCTCGGGCAGCCGAGTCGCTGGTTCAGCAGCGTACGCGAAGGTCAAAACTCCGGGCCTCAGAACTGCTCGCTCACTAGTTGAAGGGCTGCAGACTAAAGTCAAGGGGACATTCAAAACTAATCTATTATGTTTCCATCTTTCCATCTTTTCATGTGCGTATGTGCATGCTAGCTCGCCTGTGTTGGACCAGTGAGTGTCGAACAACGGTGTATATCTGTTAGGTGTTTCGCCGCTATGTCATTTTCATCTAAGTCACATTACTACTCAGGCGCTCGGGCTGGGCATTGTTTTTCGTCTCTATCAAGCTCGCCTCGATGCATCTGCGTGCGAAGCGTCAAACTCTCATCAGCTGCAGACGCGCAGACGTGCACTCAAGCGGACACACGATGTCCTTGCGAGACGTCAAATTTGTGAGTTACTGGCGCGTACGTCCCATTGGCTCGGCGAAGGGAGATAGACGATGAGGCACGGAAAAGACAAGGGAGACCCATGCATGTATGTGATGAACGATGATGTGCATGAGGCTCGTCTTGGACCTAGCTCCTTTGTATCCGGCCGGAAAACCGAAACACACAGTCCTACACATGATACGAAGCCGTTCTGGTGAGGCTCCGTTTGTGAACGACAACAGCAAATGGCGCCACTCTCAATCTCGCGTAGCTGCTGCGCCTGTCCAAATACAACACTCCCTTGAACTCAAACTTCATATATGCATGTTCATGATATCCATATCTTTTTGTTCCCTGGCCGGGCACTGACGGCAATCAAGAAAATGAAATCCGTCCCGTTGCCGCCGATCGGGTATTGAGTCTACAGCTCACTTATTCAGTCGCCGTCCATTCTTGTGATGGTCTCATAATGGGTCCCATAATGAAGAGCTTGGCCATGTTGAAGTGAACGATTAATGGGCGCCTTCCACTTCAAAATCTCGCACATTCCCTCTCCTCTACCAAGTCTAGGGTCTTCATCTTAGCTCTTCCAGCGCAACGGATGTCTCATCGACTCATGATGGTCAACGAACGGGTCAAGAGACTTGCGTGGTCATTCGTTTCTCCAACTGCCTTTTTGAGCTTACTTTCACTACTTGCTTACTTTTCATTTCGTCTTCGTTGTCTGATCAAAGTACAGCAGATAGCAGGTGGCAATCTGTCTGGTTCGTGGTTCTACTTGGCTCTTGAGGCCCTCACACTCAGTACGTATTGCTTCATGTGCCAGTTCGTGGCCTCTCCAGTTCACCTATGCTGATGACCATCTAGTTCCAAAAGGCCTGCCTTACGTCCTTCGAATCTTAGCTGTCCGACCGCCTGTGCGCTTCAAGAAACGACTGATTTCTGGTGAAGTAAGGGTCATCAAAGACTAAATTTTCCCAACTCAACCTGACTAATGCGTCTCAGGCTCCCACGGTCGACGTTCTCATCACGTGCTGCAACGAAGACATTGAGGTAATCATTAACACAGTTCGAGCGGCCTGCGTCTTGGACTATCCTCAAGACCGTTATCGTGTGTTTGTTTGCGACGATGGTTCTTCAAATGAGGTCAAGACAGCAGTCGAGAATCTGCCATATTCACACGTTTTCTACACAGCACGAGTCAAAGGACCTATCAAGGACTACAAAGCTGGTAATTTGAATGCAAGTTTAGCTTACTCGCGAATGAAGCCGATGAGCAGCAGATGTTGCATGGACAAAGAACTGCCCTCACCACCGCAGCTTGTCTCTACAGCAAGTTCTGTGCTCGAATTCCCGTTCGAGTCTTCCAGAGAGAGTCTCATGTTCGACTCAAAGGTAATCCCACTGGAGATCTTGAGCATATCCTCAGATCATTCAGAATACGTAGCCGGTCTGGACGCCGACATGATTCCAGAGCCTCACTGGCGTAAGCATTATATTATTTATCCGCCAATACCGTCCGATGATCTGACAGCAAGATACAGTTAAGGCCATGCTGCCTCATTTTATTGACGACAGAAATCTTGGTCTGGCTTGCCCGCCTCAGACGTTCTACGATGTCCCTACTAATGATCCTCTTAATCAGACGATGCAGCATTTCGCTGGGATTATCGAGGTCATTAACGATGCACTGGGTCATGCTGATTGTTTGGGATCTGGTTACGTGGTACGTCGTAGCGCTATAGAACAGATCGGTGGATTTCCAACCGAGTCATTGTCGGAAGACGTCTGTTGTTCTGCAACACTCTTGGGCGCTGGTTGGAAGACACTTTTCGTGCACGAGACCCTACAGGTATGTAAGATGTTCCTTATCTGCAAAAATTTCTGACATAGCGTAGTACGGCTCTGTCCCAGACTCGTTCTTTGCTCACGTCAAACAACGCACCCGCTGGTTCATTGGCCATGCACAGACGGCTGTCCTTTTCAGATTACGATTTTTTGGTCATCGTGGCCGATATCTTACTTTCATCCAAAGGCTTGTGGGCCTGTCTTTTGATCTTACCCATCTCGTCCAAATACCCATCATCTTGGCGTATTTCAGCATACCGTTCGCGTTACTTTCTGGTTACCCACTAGTCACCTACTCAGGCATCGAAGATCTCAGGAACTTGATCAGGTGAGACTAGACTCATCCATTGATTCCTCTTTCTAACAACATACAACAGGTTTGCCTCAGTATGGATGATTTGTCACTGGATACATCAGGGGACAATCGGCATTGTTGCTGGGTTGGGCAATGGTTTCTACGATATGCGCCTACCTTCAACGCTCAACGAGTTAGACAGGTGGTTGGCACCATGTGAGTTCTCTTCATCCAGTTTTCAACTACAACTGCCTCTAATGAAAGCTCAAGATATTGCAATCACCTTCTTTCGATCCTTCATACTCCCTAAGAGACTAGGGGGTAGGAAGGCTGGATTCACTGCCACTGGAAGTCTCAGGAACGACCTGCGAGAGGTAATTGATGTTCCCCATTGCTGGTGATAGTTCAAGCCTTATTGCTAACTTCCATAGCGCGATCAACACCACCGAGCGCCTCTCCACCGTCGACTGTGGGCCATTTTCATTCAGCAACATCTCATAATCCAGTTGATCTTCCTTCTCGCCACCGTAAGCGGAGTCGCACTGTGCTTCACCCGCGCCTTCACAGGTCTAGCACGTGTCTCCCACGCCAATCCACTACAATCTCTCCCAACGACCAGCACCGACCGTCTAATTTACCTAATCGTACGTGTCGGTTGGCCGCCACTCATATGGCTCCAATACGTCAACTCAATCCTCTCTCCAGTCCTATACGTCTTCTTCCCCTCCACAAACCACGGCTGGGACCACAACCTTATCCGCGACGAAAAGACAGGCGTCATGTACCCGACTCAAGAAGCTCGCAAGCCTCGCCGCAACAAGTGGATTCTATGGCGCTATATCAGGCCCACAGTATCAATGACATGGACCGTAGCGTTGCTCGTTATCAGCACTAGAATCTGACCGAAGGTGATTCGCTCCCACCAAAAGCCCCCTTCACCCTCTTTTCTTTCATGTAACGCGCGTCATGTTTCATATGTATACGCGACGATATGGCAAAGGTAGCGCAGGGCAAGAAAGGAAATAGAACGCACGCTGCTATAAGGCGTAGGAATAGAACACTCTTTACAAGCTGCTGTATTTCCGTCGTGGTGACATGGAATCCTTTCGTATAGCACCGATGGTGTCAAGTCGTGAAGCTTGCCGCGCGGTGTTTGACAATGTGTCTTACTAATAGCCATCTTGTGCCCAGTCATCAGATGGTACTGACTCGTGATTCGCATTCCTTCGTGTGTTTGAGACTATCGCGGATCATGGGACGAATCGTCTGTATGTGGTGTGTACGGTAGTAGAGTAGAGCAGAGCAGAGCAAAACAAATGACCGGTACCGTCATTGTGTCATATTGCCTTCTCTTCCCTTCTGCTTCTCTTCCCCTTCTATCCCCTCCCACCTTTCAAAGCGCCCTCTATTCCATTCTCTCTCTTTCTTTTCCACTTTCTCCTTCCCTTCTCCTTCCTTCATACAACGCATCATCCCACATCGGTCTTATCTACCGCTAGTACATACCATCCTTCATTTCAACCTATAGCTCCGCCGTAGCCCTCACACTGCTACGCTTTCGACGGTGATGACAACGATGGCGGTGACGCAAACGAAAGAGATGTCAGAGATGATACTCACGCGTGTTAACAGTCTCTTGTATGTTTGTGTAGAACACACTTGACTAGGAAGTTTGTCTAGAGCTAATAAACCCATGAGTCGTCATGGACATGAAACCCTCGTATACACTCTTCTCGTAGACACGGAAAAGGGGGAATTACGAGAGAGCGACGTGACATGACCACACTGGTTTCTGACCGGACAAAACGATTTAAATATCCCTCCATGTATTATTAGTTCTTTTTGATATTGAAAGACACATTTGGTAACTATTGTAACATTTCTAACGCTTTACATACAATGTGTAGTTGTGGTAGCATTGCAAAAGATCTATAGCACTCGGCCAGCAGTGGAAGCAGTACTGCGATCCTTTGTTTCAACTTTGCGTAAACCCTTTCCAGCTTGGATCTGTCCGAGAAGAGCGCCACGGTCTTGTGCACCAATGGCGGGTCGAGCCCCTCCAGTCGGCATTGGCGGTGGGGGAGGAGGCCCAGGCGGACCACTCGCACCTGGCATCGGAGGGGGAGGTGGAGGTGCAGGAGGTGGAGCCGCACCGGATGGCATTGGAGGCGCTGGAGGTGGAGCGATTGGGGAAGAGACAGATGGGCTGTCAGTACGTGAGCTCTTGTCGTCCATGGCAGATAGTGGTCGCGGCGGTCCCATTGTCCCGAACAAGATAGAAGCAAGCTGTTTGGCAGAACCTCCCGTCGGACGGTCATCATCATCGTCATCAGATGAGTCGTCCCCAGAGTCAGCGGCGGACCAGTCGTCATCGTCTTGTCGACCACGAGTCATACGAGCCGGAGGACCGGTATGCACGGGAGCCTCAGCAGCTTTCGCAGCGTTCTCCTGTGTCAGCCTAAAGAACGGATTGGTTGACACCTCTGGTACTGCCGCTGGAGTAGCCTGCGCAGTGTTGGCATCGTTCGCCATCTTTTTGAGAAAAGGATTCTTTGTCTCAGTGTCGGCTTTGACTCCAGGCGGTGGGCTAGCAATGATCGACACCGGAGGACTAGTGACAGTTGAGGATGGCGTGCTGGCACTGGGCACCGGAGGCATTGGTGGAGCAACAGGGACGTCTCTTGGTAGTTCTTGACTTGCAGTCGGCGTAGAGTCCTGAGGAGTGATGGCTTGTGGTCCTTCATCGTCAGAGGAATCCTCATCACCTATACTTTCAAGTTGCAATTGAAGTTGTCGCTCTCTTTCTCGTGCAGCCTCCAATTCAGCGCGTTGCGCTGCAAGACGAGACTCTTTCTCCTTTGCGTCACGCGAAGCGGCTTGCTTTCTCCGTTTCTCCTCTTCTTTCTTGATCTTACCTTGCTTGACCTGTTCTTCCAAAGCTCGCAGTCTTGCCTGTGCTGCTTCACGTTCCTGTGTCAACTCTGCTTCTTGGCGTTTTTCCTCATCCCTGTATACAGAGTTAGCTAAATGCTGTGAACCAAGCTTCAAGTCCACTTACTCTAGCTCGATTCTTTCCTTTTCTTGAGCATCTTGTTGATCCCTTAAGGCTTGCTCGGCTGCTACCTGCTCGGCACGCTTCTGCTCGGCTTCAGCTGGCTTTGCGTCATGCTGGGCGACATCGGCCTTGTTCTTTCTTGAAGGTGGTGGCGGGGGTTTCTTTGCAGATGATTTTGAGGCTGACGGTGGAGCAATTGACTCATCTTCAAGCCTTCGCTGCCTCTCCTGCTCGCGCTTGGCATCTTCTTCTTCAGCTTGACGGATCTTGTCTTCGCGCTCTTTCTTTTCTCGCTCAGCTCGCTGCTGAGCTGTCTCACCTGGTTTGCTTGGCGCGCGTAGCCCGAGGGCAGCAAGACGTTCAGCCATGCGCTGTTCTGCTTGTTGTTTGATGAAGGCAGCACGCTCTTCGGCAGTCTTGTATGATGAGTAAGATGAGCCACCGGATGGCGCAGGCGAGGCAGAAGGTTGTGGTGACTCGACCTCACGAGTTCGAGAAGTTTCAGGAGCTCTAGTCGTCCGATCATCAACGCGCGAACCTTCGTACCGACCACGAGGTTCTCGTGTATCTTCCTTGCGGACTCTGGCCGACCGGGCTGATCGTTGAAGGTCGTAAATGAAATCACGAACCTCATCTTCAACGCCGAGTCCGTCATGCCAACGGCGACGCTCATGTTCGCTGCTAGCATCATGGCCTCCCTCCTTTAGACTGTCTTCCAGGCCTTGGCTGTAAGTTCCAACGCTCTCCTCAACGTCACGGATCATGCGTTCATTGTTTTCGCGTTCCGTACGAATGCGAGAGTTTTCTTGCTCAAGGCGACGGCCAGCTGCATCAGAATCATCCTCTGGTGCTGGCTTTCCTGTCAGAGCAGCAGACCGGGCTTGCATCATAGCTTTGGCACGAGCCTTGAGACGATCTGACTCCGTGACTGCACCTCCAGGACCTGTTCCGATGATTTTTGATGCAGAGCTTGGATTGGCTTTTGCATCTTTGAGTCGGAACAGTTCGAGCTTCGCTTCAGCGATAGCCCGTTCAGTGCGCCTGACGTTCGAAGCAAGCTCAGGAAGCTTGTCGGTCAAGCCTTGTAGTTGCCGCTTGAGTGTACGTCGTTCGGCATCGGAGTCGCCAGATCGCATAGTAGCATTTGGATGGCTGTCAATGTCCTCTTGGATTCGTCGAATCCGACGGTAGAGATCGTCAGCTTCGCGCTTGTCCTTTCGATCGAGCGCCTCGTCTGCATCTGCACGGTCTTCGTCCTCGATATCCATAGCGTCGAGTAATATCTGCTTCTCACGAATAGTCTTGCGCAATTGATCAATCGACATTTCTTCTACGGACCTGTCGGACCCAGGCGAAGAAGGTGTAGCCGGAGAAGGTGACCGTCCTCCTGCACCAAGACGTCGGCGAGCACTCGACTGATAGCTCGGCATTTCATCGTTGTTACGGAAGACAGTAGCGTCCTTGCGACCACCTTGAGCTGGACTGCTACCACGGAAAGAATGCGTTTTCAAATAGCTAACACCGGTCCTCTGAGGCTGTAAGAATGCACCTGTGTTCTTGCGTTCTTCAGCATCGCGTGATATCAAGCCTTTCATGGCACCGATTGAATCATTAATATTTTTGGTGGATGGCGGTACGAGTTCCGGGGGAAGACGATTTGGCACTGGATAACCGTTGAGCTTCCTGTAAATCAAGTGCATGGCAACAGCAAATTCATCTAGATTCAGTCGACCACGGTCGTTTGAATCGGCCAAGGTCCAGATCTTTTCAAGATCTGGCTTTTGAAGACCACTTTGCCCAAAGATCTCAAGCGCTTGCTCGCCGCTGATGAAACCTTTACCGAAACCATCCCAGGCCTTAAACAAGTCGTCGTATATCTTTTTCTCGTCTTTCGTAACAGCCCATGGCACAGTCGCATTTCCGGAAAGACCCGCACTCGAGAATCCTCCTTCTCGCCCAGCCTGAGGCATCATTTGTTGGCGCAGATTATCAATGTTCGGAAGACCAGATGCTGGTGCGTTGACAAGACCCCACTGACCAGGCATACCAGTTGGCTGTGCATTTAGCGGAGCTGTCATGAACCCCGTTTGCTGGGGAGCAAGACCAGAGCCTCCAAAACCTGTTGGCATCGGAGGCATCGGTGGACGTGGGCCGTCGTAGCCAGTCGCTTGTGGCATACCTCCCAAGAACCCGGTGGCCTGTGATCGAATCCCACTTTGCTGGTGTCCCCCGAAACCGCTTTGTTGACCCGGGTAGCCCGTCATTTGTGGCACCATGCCTGTCGGTTGAGTTACTAGCGTCGATAGGAGTTGGCTGTTTGAGGTCTGTGGTTGAGGTTGTTGGATAGTAGGGGGCGTTGCAGTATTTGTACGAGGCTCATCGAATCGAGGCGCATTAGATCGTGGTTGAGCGGCCGGCGGAGCGTCGTCAGGTACCCCAAAAGAGATTATATCAACCATGCTGGACACCTCGTTCTTGATGCGCTCGGGGAGGCTCGAGGGTAATGCCTTTCCATTCATCTTCAAGTTGCATAGGTACATGGAGACAGCAAATTCGGGAAATAGTAACTGTCCAGACTTAGTTGTGTCAGATAATGTCCTACAAAGATTAGCAGTGCAATGAACCAAACGATAGCATATCCAACCATATCTGCGACAAGTCGTCTCCGGAGAGCCTGGACCTCATGAGGATATCCTTCGCTCCATCTCCAGACAGCGCTTGCGCATTGCCTACTGCAGACTTGAACAACTGCTCAAACTTGGCTTGGTCTTGCGCAGTAATAAAGGACAATCGAATATTCGGGATCTTAGAACCTCCGCTAGAGCTTGTCGTTGGCAAAGGAGGCTGAGAGGAGGTAGATCGAAAAGAATCCGCCATCTGATTGGACGTCATCCCAGTGGGCTGCGGTCGTTGCGGTTGAGCGGGTGGCATATTCTGTTGCTGTCCGCTCTGGAATTGCTGAGGTATTTGAGGAACTGGAGGCGGCGGTTGCTGCTGTCCATAATTCTGAACACCTTGATTCTGATAGCCAGTGTACATAGGCTGTTGCTGAGGAGCCTGCGCTTGCGCCTGGCCTGGAAAGCCAGTATATTGCTGCTGTACAGGCGCTTGTGCATATCCCGTAGGCTGAGGACCTAGAGATCCAAATCCAGTAGGTTGTTGCTGCTGGAATGACTGCTGCATTTGCTGCCCATACTGAGGCTGACCTGGACGCGCGCTGCTGGCGCCTCCCAGGTAGGAATTTGATCCTGAGAACATTACGGGAGGACGCTGGAAGTGTTGACTCGATAAGCAAGGAGCGGCATCCACAAGGAGATGTAGAGATAGGAAACGATAGGGAAGAATGAAGTGAGAGGGAAGGGAAGGGGTGACGAATCGTTGCGGCCGAGTTGGGACTGAGTTGGAGCTCACTAATTAGCGTCGTCACTGCGGCGCAAGCTGGCTGGGCTTCCAGAAGTTCCGTGTTGGATGGATCTCCCAGGGCCTACACACCTCTCCAGCTTCTTCTCACTTTCATAAACATACATTCACTCACGATGACTACTGAACCCAACGGCAGCGCAAGCGACATTTCAAATGAGACAGATTATCTTAAAGTTGGTCGCTACTATCGTAGAGGAGCATCTGCTCACCAGACGTTTTAGGCCTTCCAAGAGCTCGCTCGAGGCGAACAAACAGCCACTGCGCTTGAGAAGAACCTTTCTGCGCTAGAGAAGAAGATTGATGAGCTTTTAGCGAAGGCGACCGAAGACGAGAAACTACTACCGACTACCGCGACATCTCCAGAGACCGATACCAGCAAGAAGGAACCGAGCAAATGAGCCCCACAATGCTGGTGAGCATCATACGAGTCCACAGAAGTATCAGGGACGTTGCATAGACAAACGGTGACGGTTCTAGTATTGTTACTGGTAGATGCATGCTTTGTATACATCACTCAGAGCCGCCTGGGAGTACATGTGCCAAGGCTCAAACGCAGCGCATCCCAAGCTTGGCTATCGAAACTAAGATTTATATACCACCTATCGTCGGAGGATGCATTTCCACGTCAAGACCATCGAATATCTTGTCAAGATGGAACACACCATTCGAATCCTTTTCTACAACACCGACCTCTGTGATGATACCATCGATGAGTTCGGCTGGGGTCACATCGAATGCTGGGTTCCAAATGCCGATTCCGCTGGCAGCAATGCTTACAGTCTCAACAACATTCAAGTCCAACGAAACGCCATCATGTCTGGGTCCTTTGACGAGCGTGACCTCTCTACCCGGGCGCTCCTCAATGATGATCTGTTCACCAGATTTTGTCTCTAGGTCAATCGTAGTGCGAGGCGCAGCGACTAGAAATTTGATACCATGATACTTTGCGATGATTGCAAGAGAGTATGTACCGATCTTGTTTGCCGTGTCTCCATTAGCGGCGACCCTATCTGCGCCTACTACTATGGCAGAGATACTTTCGCTCGAACTTTTGATTCGCAGTAGAGCCGCCGCCATGGAATCTGTAATAAGTGTTGCTGGTATCTGGTCATGCACGAGCTCAAAAGCCGTCAACCGTGAGCCCTGGTTGTATGGTCTGGTTTCGGTGCAAAATGCATGCTTCAAGGACTTCCTGGCGTGTAAGCTTCGGATGACACCGAGAGCTGTACCATATCCTGCGGTAGCCAAAGACCTGTGAGCAGTTATTTCGCAGCTCGATGAAGCATCTTTGACAAAACTTACCCAGTATTACAGTGCGTTATAACGCTTACTGTTTCTCCTGCGGATGTAGCTCTATTCTTCAAGATCCACTCCGCGCCATACTGTCCAATGGCTTTGTTGTCACTGACATCGTCGACAAGCATCTTCTCTGATGCCTTGGTATAAGCTTGTCGCAATGAATCTCCTGTGGCGCCTTGGGCTGCCGCTGCCTTCTCCACTATCTTCCTGAGCTTCCTCGCAGCATCCGCAAGGTTGACCGCCGTAGGTCTGCTTGTGACCAAGTAATCCAGCCTTTGTTTGATGAAGATCTCCGCCTCTGGGGCACTGTCTGATAATTCCATTTTGTTAAGCTCCACGGCCAGGCCTAGAGCAGCAACGATAGCTATAGCTGGAGCTCCGCGAGTCCGCATCTCTTTGATCGCACGCCATGCATCCGAGCTTGAGTAGATGTCATCGTAGACTTCGGTGTGAGGTAGCTTTAGCTGGTCGAGGATTTGCAGCTGGCTGGGAGGACCTGGAGTGTATCTGATTGCTTCCAATACCATGGCGGGCTAATAAGGCTTAGTCGCGAGGGCGATGGGCAGTCAACGGCTTAGTAGTTGCTACTGAGAGGGTTATCTAGTCATAGAGTAGCTTCGACAATTGGACTTGCGAGTCGCATCTAAGATCGAATTTTTGCGGGATCAAAAGTTGACCTCTAATTACATGGATGGTGGGGCCAGCAATGACGTGACTGCTAGTCTTAGTGGCGGCTCGATCCGTAGTATGTAAAAAAAGCTCGCATATCTTGATAATCACTTTAGGCTCTGTAGAGTTGTTTCCACAATGCTTGTAGTGACGACTTCCGAGCTACAAGAGTGCACAGCCGGTATGTGCCTCTTGAGATGCTGTGTAAGCCAGCAAGAGTCCAGCATTATTCGTTGCACCGCAGCGCGCATAATACATTTGTGTCGAGTTTGGATCTCTTCAAAATTACGGTTATTTACATATTCATCTGCTAAGAATACACGCAAGCCTTATCATACACGAAGCCTACAGTTTGCAGCTTGCAGATGACTGTTGCAGGCAGGGGAGTCAGTGGTAGCGTTCGGCATGGATGAAATGCATGCAGCACATATACATGTAGCGTTCAAAGCTCGTGTGCAAAGGAGAGATATTCAAGACACACGACACGACTAAATCCTCTCACGATTATTCGCGAGACATAACAGGCGTCTGGGCTTGGCGTACGTACATGTACTGTTTGTGGTTCGTCCCCGCCGTGTAGTTGCTGGTGATTTGTTGGCGGACTGTGTCCCCGTAGTCCCCACGTTTTGGAGGATCCTGGTGGCGTCCGGGGTCCCCAAATTGCGGGTTCATCGAGGAACTTCGTCAAGTCTGAGAGGTTGATTGCGAACGCCATCGTCGACATCACCAACGGACATCCTCCCGCGCTCAAGGATTTTGGCCTATGACCAGTTTTACTAGATCCATTCTAATCGGGTGGAACGTCGCTGTGAGCGGCCGGCATAATGTCTCATAATCGACGACTTCTCACTGCGGGATGCGCCTATTAATACCTCGGGTACCTTCTCCTCATCTAAGACTCGTCACATACTGAGTTCCAGGCTCTCTGTACAATCAGACGAACATCATGTCGTCTTCTGAGAGAGCCTCCGATGAAGAGACAAAGGTCGGCAACGAGTTGCCGAAGATGCGTGAGCAGACCATTGGTGCTGACTTTGTGCATCCGGACGCACATTTGACTGTGGAAGAACAGAAGGAGATTGTACGTCGCTTGTCGTTTCTTTGGAACAGTCCGAAACTGACTGATAGTACAGGATCGCAAGCTTCTCTGGAGACTCGACATCAAACTTATTCCTTGGGTACGTCCGCCAACATCGTCGCACCTATCCGTGACCTAACGATTACCGTAGCTCTGTCTCCTCTACCTCATCTCTTTCCTCGATAGAACGAATATTGGCAATGCTAAAGTCGCTGGTCTCACGCGAGATCTCAACATGACGGGTGGCCAATACAACGCTGCTCTGAGTGTTTTCTTCGTATCCTACTCCCTTGCGGAGCCTCTCACGAATGTACTACTCAAGAAGCTTCGACCAAGCATATTTCTCCCGATCATCATGGTCCTTTGGGGCATATGTATGACGCTCATGGGCATAGTACACAACTTTGAAGGCCTAGCCGCTGTCGTACGTCCCCCTCGCCTCACTTACTCGACACAATCTAACAAAATCCAGCGCTTCTTCCTTGGTCTCGCCGAGGCCGGCCTCTTCCCCGGCGTCAATTACTACCTTAGTTGCTGGTACAAACGCTCCGAATTTGGCATCCGCGCCGCCATTTTCTTCTCCGCTGCCGCCCTGGCCGGTTCTTTCGGAGGCCTTCTCGCGGCCGCCATTGCGCAAATGGACGGTATCGCCGGTCTGCACGGTTGGGCCTGGATCTTCATCCTTGAGGGCATCTTCACCGTCCTCGTCGGTATTGCCTCGTACTGGATGGTGCACGACTTCCCGGACCAAGCCACCTTCCTGTCCGTCGACGACCGCAAGCGCGTGCTCGCCCGCCTCAAGGCAGACAACCAGGCATCCGCCGAGCACGAGGAGTTCAAAATGACGTATTTCTGGCAGAGCGTCACTGACTGGAAGACGTGGGCTTATGCGGTCATATACATGGGCTGCGACGGCGCGCTGTATGCCTTCAGTCTGTTCTTGCCCACCATCATCCAGGAGCTGGGCATTGCCGGCTCCGACTCGCCCACCATCTCGAATCTGCTGAGCGTGCCTCCGTACGCGGCGGCTGCTATGTTGACCGTGCTTGTTGGGTATATTGCCGACAAGACGCGGTATCGCGGATACTGCAATATGGCCGTGTCGCTCCTCGGCATCGCAGGCTTTAGTATGTTGCTAGGCTCCCAAAAGCCAGCCGTTAAATACGCAGGCACGTTCCTGGGCGCATGCGGCATCTACCCTGCTGTGCCGAACAGTATATCGTGGGCGGCAAACAACGTCGAGGGCGTGTACAAGCGCGGTGTGACGCTTGGGTTTATGATTGGATGGGGCAATCTGAACGGAGTGGTGAGCAGTAATATATATCAAACGAAGGACGCGCCGCAGTATTATGTTGGGCATGGGGTTGTGTTGGCTTATTTGACTCTGTTTTATGGTCTAGGGAGTGTAGTAACACATTTATTGTTACGACAGGAGAATGGCAAGAGAAGGAGAGGGGAAAGGGACGGATGGGCGGAGGGAAAGAACGAGGCAGAGATGGAATTGTTGGGGGATAAGAGACCGGATTTCATGTATACACTCTGAAGATTAACGAATAACCCACATCTTGTGTAGCAATGTTTACTTGTGCGTATGCATTGTTACATCATCGAACAGATGAGATCTACAGTATGTTACAGTAATTGATCCATTATACACACCTTGCCGTTGTCACTCTATGTGTATGCTGACGGTGCTTTGGCAGAACTAGTCCTCACCGTCAACTTTTCCAGCTGTCCCACATTGCCATTCCCAGCCAATGTCCACTTCTCCGCCACAAACTTCTCGTCAACTAGATTCCGCAGCATCCCACTCGCCGCATAATAGTTCAGTATCGTGCGTGCCTCCTCCTTGTCCAACCCGTTCAACCTCAGCACCTCAACGCCCTGGAGGGATCTAATCACACGCTCATCCGCCTTTTTATAGGGATGCCACCCTTTTGTGGTATGTCCGTTCTGTTGCGCCTCGATAACCCTCAGACAGTGGGAGAACGTGGGAATATCGCTGGTGCCAGATGCAGTCGGCGCGGCTAGTACCATACCACCATTGGATAACGTCTGGGCGCCAGAAAGGTGCTCCATGAAGTGTGCGACATGCAGCAGATCGTGAGCGTGGATCGGCTTTAAATCAGGATCGACATAAGCACTTGGCTTCATCAACTCATTCACGTTATCACATGTGTATAAGATGGGCGGCGTTGTCGGCGACGGCTTTGTGAGTTCGGCCCACACGGCGCGGAAGATGGGCCAGGCCATTTCGTTGTTCTGGGCGCCGAGGTCGCAGAGGCGCTTCAGAGTCGAGTTGGCGTAGGGGAAGGTGAGGTTCGGATGGGACATGGTTGTCTGCATCTTCGAGAGGAGCGGTCCATTTGCTGTGGCTAGCTGGGTGAGGAGGAGGGCGGAGTAGGTTTTTTGTTGGTACTGGACGGGCGAGGTATTGGGTACGGGCGCGTACTCAATACCGGCGTTCACCATGTCTATAGCTATGGGTTTGTTAAGAGACAGTATCAGAGATCTGAGAGGCATAAACGTACAATTAGGGAGATTCAGAACTATCCACCCCTTGAGAAAGGCGGCGGCAATTGCTTGCAAGAGAAGTGTGCTCTTTCCACATGTCGTCTCTCCAATTACGACAGTCCGCACTGTCTCAGGCTCAACCCCATCGGTTATGCGTTTGAGAGTATTCACCATCTTGACTGCCGCTTTGGTCATGATCATTGATGGATGCCGAAAATATTTCCATCCCTGATTGTGCTTGAAAGCTTCCACCGCTCTTAGTTGATCCACTGTCGAGTCCATCAAACGAACCATTTTGCCCTCAATCTCAAGACTTTCGATAGCTTTACGTTCCAATTTCGGTATACCGTGAACTTCCAGCGCGTTATCGTTGGTGAGAATGACGGACCTCCTCACTTGGCGCCTCTGATCGCCTCGTAGCTGCATCTTTTGCCATTTAGCCCTCGCCACTGCTGCCGCTTGCTTCTTCTTCTTTGCACCCTTTCCGGCCGTATTCATCTTCATTCCCTTCTTTGGACTGGATATCACCACGGGACCAGCCGGCTTCTTCTTCTTCAGAGGGTCTGAAAGGAGCCAAGAACTCGTCGCGAAGGTTGCGGTTTGAACATGCTGTGCACTGGGCGCACCCACAATCATAGGATGTAAAGATTGCTTATATGCTTGCAAGACATACGGTGTGGAGAGCCTCACAGCCATTTTGATAACTGCGAATAGCGAGGGTCATGCGTCCATTGTCAAATCATGGAGAGGAAGATGATAATTAGCGGGAGTGTCACGGAGAAAAGGAGCTCGGGCCACTACGATCTGAAAATCTAGGATCCTGTCGCATGGTGCTACTAATAAATACCAACAGTTCTCCCCAAACTCATTTTTGCGCAGAATTTTTCCAATCATGTTTGAAGTTACAATGACAGAGACGAAGCAGGCGAATGGTACCACCGAAGTCGAAATTGAGGCACATATGAATGGCGACGCTATGGAAATGGACCAAGTCGCAACGGCTATCGACGCTGTAGCAGACGACAACACGGGCAGACCGTAAGTGCGACTACTCAAAACGTTGATTTCTATGTGTTCATTGCATGCATAGGTCCGTCAACGTGAATAAACCTACACCGTATACCTTCGATCTCGGTAATCTCCTCGCCTTCGACCCAAACCCTCTACCACATAACATTGACGAAGATGTACTTGCTTCTACTGCGCGCGACTGTGCGCAAGTTCTCATAAATCAACTTCTTACCACATGCCCTATCCAGTCCACCTCCGAGGGCGTACTACTTGACCTTCCTGCTCCCTCAACACCAATTCCGCGCGAGAAGCCTGTTCCTAAAGCGAAGGAGCCTACGAAGTGGGAGTTGTTTGCTGCCAAGAAGGGCATCAAAGATAAGAAGAGGGACACCAAGATGGTGTTTGATGAGGAGAAACAAGACTGGGTACCGAAGTGGGGTTACAAGGGCAAAAACAAGGATATGGACGAACAGTGGCTCGTAGAGGTTGATGAGAAGAAGGAGGCGGAGACTGGCGTCGCGCACGATGCGCGGAAAGAGGGCAGAGCCGAAAGGAAAGAAAGGATGAAGCGACAAGATAGGAGAGAACGGGCCAACGAAAAAAGAGGCGCCAAGAAGGTCTGAAGAAAGTTATCACAGACAGGTATCTCTTGGCATTGAATTCATGATTGAACAATATGTTATATTGGCGTTGGGAGGGCTTCCATACTTCATAGTAGAAGCATATACTAAAAGCGTGGGTCCATTAGGCACGGTGTGCATTGGTTGGGCGTTCAGACTTTTGTAGACGGCTGTTCATGCCGGAACAAGATCGTATACTGCAGATAAATGCGTAACATGTTTTGTAACTTGATGAAGCTACCTAGTGCAGCTATGCATTCTGTCAGGAAATAAATACTTCCTGTGGATGTTGTGTTTACAAGATCGTTCTTTCCCACTATAATCAAGCTTCATGGCTTTTATCGGAGTCTATGGTCACCTAGTCGAGTCCTAGAGCTTATAAGTTCAAAAATCCTATCTTATAAGTTTCAGTGAATAGTACTAAGAAATGGGGGGCATCCACCTGTTGTGACTCAGCCGAGGAAAAGCTACGATTCGCTGATACTTCACCCCTCGATCTCAACCTCTGTGGTGAAGAGCTTGACAAGCGGTGCTAGTCTCACCGTTAAACCGAGGAGACTTCTGACAAAATGCCTCCCTATCACCTCCCCATGTGTCGACAACACTCACTTCATTAGGGTTCGTGACAGTTCGAGAAGCAAACATATCTTCGTCGTAGACACCTATGAGTTGTTGAAACCTTACAATCAACATGGCGCAGCTCACTATCGATGGCAATAGTCGCGATGCTGCGGCAAAGCTCAAGGTTGATTACCCTTGGATACGGACTCCAGTTGTAGCCAGTGCGCCTATGCGGTTGATTGCGGATATTGATTTGACGCTTGCAGTTTGCAGAGCTGGTGAGTATGCTACGCACGCTCAAGAATGCAAAGAGCTAAATGTTCAACAGGCGGAATTGGGTTTCTTGCGGGAGGCACTGATGTATCTCAGATGGACCAACAGTGTCAGAAATTGAAAGAAGCTCTCGAACCAACACCGATTGCATCGCGAGTAGGAGTGCAGCCTTATGGACTAGGCTTCATTACGTGGGGCGCTCCACTAGAAGCCTCTGTAGCGGTCATCCAGAGACATAAGCCCGCAGCAGTTTGGTTCTTTGCGCCTCAGAAGCTGAAAGATCTCGTCGATTGGACGCAACGAACCAGAGCCGCGTCACCGGAAACCCGTATCTGGATCCAGGTCGGCACTGTAGCGGATGCAATCGAGGCGACTGAGCTGTGTCAAGCCGATGTGTTGGTTTTACAGGGCCAAGATGCTGGTGGACATGGCTACTACTCGGCAGCAAGCATCGTCAGCTTGGTTCCTGAGGTGGAAGACAGATTGGAAGCTTGGTCGAAGGCATCTGGAAAGCCAACTCCCATCATCTTTGCTGCCGGTGGTATTATGGACTCGCGGGCATTTGCAGCCGCTTTGACTCTCGGTGCACATGGTATCGTGCTGGGTACCAGACTACTTGCTGCAAACGAGGCGATTATTGCGGATGGCTATCAGGAAGCACTGTTCGCTGCTGAAGACGGCGGCACTGCTACTGCGCGTTCTAACTTGTATGATACTCTGCGGGGAACGCTTGGATGGCCAGAAGCTATAGGTGGCCGCGGGGTGCTCAATCGCAGCTGGGAAGACTCAAAGAAAGGCATGTCGATGGAGGATAACAAAATCTTATATGACAAGGCAATGAAGCTAGGAGCAAAAGGTTGGGGATTTGATAAGCAAACCGAAGGTCACGCATACGTTGGTAAGGTCGAGGACGGTCGTATGACGGCTTACGCTGGCACTGGGGTTGGCCTGCTCAAAAGACGACAACCAGCAGCAGAGATTGTCCTTGAGGTCAGAGAGGGTGTAATGGGAAAGCTGACACGAGCCAGCGGAGCTATGTTGCCTTGATACTCATTGGTGAGCCTCGATATCGTTGAACGGCTCTTTGCTTGGGGGATGATACTTGTGATTTATGATAGCTGAGACAGATGGCCAAGAATTATACTAATCCTAGTAAGACAGGCGGTAGAAGATATGCACGGGCCATATCTTCAACAGGACTTAAGGAACTCACCTATGCTATATTCTATTATTAATGTGTATACACTGACTATAGTACTGGAATGGAAAGATGATTATAAGCTAGTATAAGTAGTTATAGCTTAAAGTAAGCCTCTACTGCCCTGAAGTTCCTAAGAAAGTCTAAAACTAGACGTAGCAATATAATTAGCTGGCTGGGATCTAATCCGGATCAGGTGCACGCGCGCACTAGCGCGACATTGCACCATAGGACCGTGTTCGTGATGTGAAGATTATCTTACAACACGCCAACGAGATGCATCTTTCATCTACCTATAAGAGTATAGTTGCACATCTCTTACAACAGTATACACCGAACAAATCCCCATCAAGCATCTGATTGCGCATAGTGCTAGTGAATCAACAATCTACGTATAATGCCGAGCCGCAAACGCGCGGCGCTAGGGGTCATAGATCTTACAGATGAGTCTCAAAATCGCAGTAACAAGCAAGTGTGTGGGTCAAATGGACAAGTGCAACCACCTCCAAGTCAAAGTTCTTACGACGAGGACCTTGAGGCCTATGGGGACGAGCTTATCGCAGGCACCCAGGAATATAATGAAGGCACTTGGCGACGATTGCAGTTCTATGGAACGCTGAGTACCAAGATCGTAGGAGTGCAGTACTACGCAGGTCAGGCTACAGCGGGAGAACTGTTTTGTAGGTGCTTCGGAATCGCATGAGCTTTGGACCGATATTGACTATCATACGCAATAGTAGTCCGACGCGAGCCGAATAATATGTACGATCGTAACGCCATACGTGCCCTGAGTAGAACTTCTCTTCCCACTATTCTGTATTTCATACTGATTCTGCATTGTAGACGTAAGAGAGGAGCAAATTGGTCACATACCCAGAGCAGTGGCCGCAAAATTGGCAAAGTACATGGTAGGTCTCGATGAACAAGCAGTCTAGCTAGAATCAAAGCTCATATATGACTTAGGATAGTAATGCGTTGCGCATTGAAGGGGGTATTAACGGCTATATTGGCCAATTTGATTGCCCTATCAAGCTAAAGCTCTATGGCTCATCAGACGAGGTCGTCAAGAGAGATCTTGTGAACCAGATGAGAGCCGAGAAGTTACCGTTAGACGGCATTAGAGAAGCCGAGGCAGAGACGAGAAGAAATGCTAAGCTGGAAGCAGGCAGGTTAAAAGAACTCCAGAAATTGCAGCGCGAGGCGAAGAAGAACGGCGGCGCAGTTGTAGGTGGCCCGCAGCAATATGTAGGAGGCGGATCTGTTGGAATTGGCCCTACCCCAGACTTGACAGATATCATCAACGGAAGTGAACGCTTTACTTCGCGGAGTGTGGGACAGATGACCGAGGACTATGGAAAAAGGGAGGCCGATCTGGTGAGATGTTTGAGCTGTGAAAGATGGGCCGTCTAACATCTGATAGGAAACCATGCCGATGGCAAAGCAGCCTGAGGCCCTTTCAGCGGAACTGCTACCGTTTCAAAGGCAAGGTCTGCATTGGTTGCTATCGAAAGAATCACCTCAGGTGCCAGCTAAGGGATCGAATGATATTTGCCAGCTTTGGAAGCGATCTAGTAGAGACCCTAATATCATTACTAACATCGCTACCAATTTCAGCTTGAAGGGAAGCAGTCCTGCCATGGCCAGTGGTGGAATTCTTGCTGATGATATGGGTCTGGGCAAAACAGTTCAAATCATAAGCTTAATCGTCGCAGATAGGGCTTTTCGGCAGCAAGACGGGCTCGATACCTCCGCAACTTTGATCATCGCCCCCTTGGGAGTCATGAGCAACTGGAGCTCACAAGTCAGTTCTCAACGCTCGATGGAAAACGTTAATTCTGACTGCCACTCAGATCGAGCGTCACGTGAAGACTAAGCATAGACTACGAGTTATGACCTATCACGGTAATAGAAAATTGAAACTTGATGCTAGCGAGATCAAGAATTACGATGTGGTGATTACCACATACGGTACTGTAGCAACTGAATACTGGAGTACAAAGCAACCCCAAGTTCCCATGAAGCAAGGGTAAGTCGTTCGGCTAGATGTGTGTCTCAATCTTCTTACTGAATATAGTCTGTTCTCTGTCGAATGGCGTCGGGTAGTTGTGGATGAGGGCCATGGTTTGCGTAACCCCACCGCAAAGAAGACCGTTGCGGCGATGAATTTGATGGCTCAATCAAGATGGATTCTGACGGGGACGCCCATTATTAACACTCTCAAAGATTTCTACAGTCTGACCAAATTCATCAGGCTATCTGGAGGGCTTGACAGATTTGAACTATTCAATGCAGCCATCATTCGACCTGTCAATGCGGGTGACCCGCTTGGTATTGGCTTACTCCAGACCCTCATGCAGGACATCTGCTTAAGGAGGAGGAAAGACATGAAGTTTGTCGACTTGAAGCTGCCCAAATTGACAGAGTATGTCCACAAGATTACCCTACTGGAGCATGAGCAACAGAAATACGATGCACTAGAGTATGCACCCTGTCCACTGTCTGTACAAAGGACTGACAATCACAGAGCCGAAGCCAAAGGAACGCTCAGTGATTACCAGGCTCGACAAGCCAGTTCTGGCCAGAGCGCAATGAAGGCTTATCGCCACCTTCTCGAGATCCTCATCCGTATGAGGCAACTCTGTAATCACTGGAAAATGTGTGGCGAAGAGCGCTTCAAGGATATCATGGAGATATTGGAAAAAGAGAAAGTGCTTGATCTTACCCCCGAGAACAAGGCGGCCTTGCAGTCCATGTTACAGCTGAACATTGAAAGCCAGGAAGACTGCCCCATATGTCTCGACAACCTCAAGGAGCCCGTAATCACCTGCTGCGCACACATTTTCTGCAACGCCTGCATCGAAACGGTCATCGACACGCAGCGAAAATGCCCAATGTGTCGTGCGGAGCTCCCTGCTATCACCAGTCTTGTCCATCCTGCGAAAGAGGAAAAGCCGCAGCAGTCTAATATTGACACAGAAAACAGCAGCAGCAAAGTCGAGGCCTTACTATCCATCCTTCGCGCATCGAGTAAGAAGATGGGGACCAAGACTGTTGTCTTTAGCCAGTGGACAACGTTTCTCGACATTGTGCAGGCCCAGCTCGATGAAGAAGGCTTCAATTACACACGAATCGACGGGCGGATGACAGCCACTCAGCGCGACTCAGCCATGGATGAGTTGGAGAAGAACGAAGAATGCACAATTATGCTGGCCAGTCTGGGTGTGTGCTCCGTCGGGCTGAATCTAGTTGCTGCAAACCAAGTCGTGCTTGCAGATACATGGTGGTAAGTCACCCTGTCCACGTAACTGCTTCAATAGCGATTTCTCACGGCATACGAACAGGGCCCCAGCAATCGAAGACCAAGCCATTGACCGTGTACATCGACTCGGGCAAAAGAAGCCGACGACTGTGTTTCGACTCGTTGTTGAGGGTAGTATTGAGGAGAATGTGCTCCAGATTCAAGGCGACAAGCGGAAGCTGATGAACTTGGCGTTTGCGGAGAAGGCCGGAAAACGGGACGCCGGTGTGAAAAATGCAAGGCTGGCGGATATCGAAAGGTTGCTTGCTTAGTACGTTGGCTTCTCGAACAATATGATGTCGTATGCTTTGGAGTATAAAGGCGTTGTGTCAAGACAAAAGAGCTACAAACAGGGGTCTGCGGAATTCGGGGTTCAACTATGTAGTCTATATGTGCTTCTAAGCTTTCTCGGACTTCATGCCTTGGAATAACGACGAAGACACCAGTCACGTCACTACAGGGCGGGAATTTAGTTCTCCAAATTCCCGTGTTCATCCCACGCCTTGCACTCGCCATCCTTGCTGCAGAAAGGTTAGCGCCTTGTATGAAGTTTAACAGTGAAGGTTGTAACGTACCAGCAATTGCACCTCTCATTCCCAGCTCCCAAGAAGGCTTTCTTCCATTCCTGTTTTTGTACCGCCCTTCCGTATATCTTGGCTGCAATCTTGCAAGCTCTGTTGGCCTGGGAATGGAACTTAGCTCATACGTATATATAAAGATGATGCCGCTGTGACTCACTTGAAAGTCAAGGTCCCCGTCACGACATACGTCTTTCATGCATTTCTCGAAATCCTTATTGCAAGTCTCGAAGCATTCGTCACATTTACCGTAGCAATAGTCGTGCCTTGTGCAGCAAGGATCGAAGTCTAGCTGTGGGATCGGAGATGCTATGTCGGAAGGGCAGCCGTCGATGAATGGTTCCGGAGCGCCTGGTCTCTCCACTATGTCATATCCCTTGGGGCAGCGAGGAACCTTGGTATCGACTCTGCGGGCAGATAACGTGATTGTTTCGGGGTCCACCGTGGGAATGAACAGTAGGGTTTGCGAGGACTCAGAGGTATTGGAAGTCGATTGACCATCGTCATTTGAAGACGGCACAAGAATCTCGCTCAAGGACCGGACAGTGCCGTTGCAGAATACTCTGAAGAGGGATTCGGGACCATCGGACGAGAATATGTCTAGAATAATTCCACCGTCTTCTGAACCCGTAAGGTATTGGGGTGGGTGGGTGTTGACGACAACATGAAAGACACTAACCAAGCTTAAAATCTATCATATCTGGTCGCTATTCTCGAGCGAAATGAATAACTTACTCTGTAGAATAGTTCGAGTCTTGCGGCTTCTCGAACGAAAAGCTTGAAAGTTCCACGCTGTTCGAAGATTCAGACTTTGGAAGAGTAACCACACGACCGTCCTTGGCGACAAAAGGAGTGAGGTTAGAAGTGAAGGCATGGTAGACGATGTCTGATCGTGTTGGGTCTACGAGGCATACGTTGCCGGCCTCATCTCTGGAGAAACCAAAAACGAGAGCGGGAAGTGCTAGCAGCAGAGCGATATTTGGAGTGACCATCGCTGTGGTTGTTGTCAGTGATTATAGGATGAGGCAGCTTGTGAACAAGAGAGCTTGGTGAGGAGATTAATGAGAGAGATAAAATTCAGGAATGTGGAGGATGGTGCAATATAAGTAGCTTTATGATCCGGATCAGTCGCACTGCAGTTTCCTAGGACCTAAAGACGCATCCATGGTAGACTGATCCAGCGATTGGCAACACTAATATTGAAAGCAGTAGCAACAATAACATGACCATTAATAACACCATTAGTACGACTGAAATGAACAATACATTACCGTTTCTCAACTGTCGTGCATCACTGCTCATAAGTGCAAGTTAGGCTTACATGTTGATCAATAGCTCTCCGCTGGTTCTTAAGGCCATTGTATGCATTGTGTTCTGTTCTTCACATCGCAGCAAGCCTCATGCGCACGATGCCGGTGGTCAAGTGGTCGACCGGAAGTGCGCGGGCTATTTGTTTTCAGCCCTCAGGTCAAAAAAATGATATCGCAGCATTCGTTGGCTCTCAAACCTGGGCCATGTATACCAATATCTATGGTACCCGAGATAGTCCTAGAGCTTAATAGTGACTTCCCATGGCATTTTGACATCGCTACTCGTACCGGACATTGCGGAAGCTCCTTTTTGCCAGGTATCAATGACCGGATCTCTCTGGTGAGTTGGAGATAAGGAAGAGAGTTTTGCCTGAGATACGATCACAGCCCAATTCCTAGCGAACGCTCTGGAAGGTAGAATAGGTACGTCCGTGAAATCAGAAGTTTCCTTTCGTTGTGTCGCGGTAGCCAACATCACGTTACCAGGCAAGGAATGGCAAGCATCGTTGCCATATAGTCGTCGGCAACAGTTTACTTCAACGGCTCATCAGACCGACTGCAAAGGCTTGTAGATATCTATTGAATTGGTGTTGTATTTGTAGGACATTTGGTGCAGTGATAGTCATGGAGGTAACACTAAGCTACATCCTACCGTGTTCGGGCACCGCGTTCCCGGTCATCACTACATCCATGGAAGTCTTGTTACATACAAGATCTAGCGTGCCAAGCGATTAAGGGAAAATGGATTCATCCGGTAATGTCTAGATCGGGATGCAAAGGGCGCGCAACTTTGCTCAAACCGATGCATCTGCGTGAAGGGATATTACTCGTGAAGGACATCTGAAGAATCAATTTGTCCTCTTTTCCCGGAAACTAAAAGCGGGGATGCCTGTTTAGACAAGAGCAGCCCCGGTTCGTGAGATCAGAGCTGTGACTGAACTGTGACTCCGAACGGCCCCCACAGTGCTAGCAACAGCTGCCGGTGTCGAAGTCCTGCAGTTCTAATGAGGCATCGCTCATATGCCTAACCTGGAGCTGTTTCAGTCGATATTACAGCGGGTTGCTCATCTTCTCTCGTGTTGACTTGTACACAACACACACTTGGACGTAACTTCAGTGAACAGGTCTTCTAAGTCTACTTCGTAGCTGTGTCAGCCTCAGGCAGCAACGTATCATCATCCAAAAAGCCATACTCTGTGCTTAACCGGCTGCGTAGCTCGTTGGCAAATACAATAGTCCGTTTTCACCTGATTAGTCGACATCATCATAGACATCAGTAAGGCTTTTCAATCTCCATTAACGTAAGGGATCGACACTAAGAAGCTGCAGAATATGCCTCTGGTCATCGAGCCCGCCACGGAAGCGGATTTGTCTGACTATGTTGACATTCAACACGCTGCTTTCGCTGACGGCGAGGTTGGCCTACTACTCAACTCCAGAGGACCATTGACAGAAGCTCGTCGCAAGATGTATCACGAGCGATCACTAAACGACATGAAGAATCCGACCTATCATTACATCAAGTGCGTCGACACGGACCTAAATAAGACCATCGGCTTTGGTAAATGGCGAATCCATCCAAATGGCAGGACGCAACAGGAAGTTGATGATAGCTGGTATACGCCGACGCCACAGCCAGAGAGCAATGTGAAGGCTGAGCATGACTTCTTCATGTATCTGAACGAGTCCAGGAGAGATTATATGGGAACGAAGCCGGTTGTTTGTAAGTTTTGACAACTCTGTTCTGTAGTTTTCTTAGACTCGACTTACACACAATCTTCAAGTCTTACATGTGATGGTCACACTTCCCGAGCACCAGGGACGAGGCGCCGGGAGGATGATGATGAAGTGGGGTGTTGATGAAGCAGACCGGCTTGGTCTTGATGCATACGTTGAATCATCAGAGGCTGGCCGTCGTTTATACGAGAGCTTTGGTTTCAAAATGCTGAAAGAGCGTATATGGAAGCTGGCAGACTACGGCATACCTGGAGATCTCACTGCAACGAATGCGATTCTCTGGCGCGACGCTCCATCTAAAAAGGTGGTCTGATTTGGGTTTCCGTTATAGTTTCAAGAGTTCCATGTGCATGTTGGTAGAGGTAGACAGTCGTATCAGGATTGTATACTGGTTACCTGTTCCAATATGTGGCAGGGCGGGCCTCGGTGGTTGTTCGTACAAGACGAATGAAACAACTATTTCCAGCAACATTGTGCGTCTCTAGATCTCCATTCAGCACTGTTACACCAATAGCTTCAGTGCATCGGTGAGATTTCTAATACTCTCGGTCTTTGTCGGGGACCCGATCGGATTTACACATTTTGAAGGGGCTGCACTAGGGTATCCATGCAAGCGTGGTGTTGGACATGCAGCGTCCAACAGTAGTGCGTCTTCAGCTCGAATTCCACTGGCGCTGAGCTGGTCTTATATGATCCATGACGTCTAATCTTTGACATTCGCACGAGAAGTTCGCAGATATCAGGTCTAACACAATCGAGCATGCTGGAAAATTTTACGCTAAGCCCAGTACTTGTCCGAGTCGACGGATCCGATAGTAGCTCAAGATCTGAAGCTCATGTGTGATTATATATTGACCCAACAGCCATCAAACTCTAGCACTGCGTCTCCCCAGTAATACCATATACCGAAACCCACACCCATAGCAACATACTCCTTCTCCACTCACAATGATCACCAACCCCACCATACCCACAGATTCTCTCGTCCTCGTGACCGCCGTCAACGGCTTCATCGGCGCCCATATTGCCTCCCAGTTTCTCACGCACGGCTACCGTGTTCGCGGTACGGTACGATCTCTCTCCCGCTGCAAATGGATGCTCTCACACTTCACCGCCCTCCACGGCGCCAACCGCTTCTCCCTCGTCGAAGTCACCGACGTACTTGTCCCAGGTGCCTGGGACACAGCCGTACAGGGCTGCGCCGGCTTCGTGCACGCCGCCGCGAGCGTCGACATGGCGATCCCGGACGCGCACGCACACATCGCAGAAGCGGAGAAGGGCGCGATCGAAGCGCTTGAGGCTGCGCGCAGGGCCGGTGTGCGCGCGTTTACGTTTCTGAGCTCGAGCTGGACGCTGTATACGCCGCCGTTCCGGACCGTGGGGCCGTTGACGGAGGACATGTGGAACGAGGAAGCGGTGGCGCTGGCATGTAGTGGGAAATCCGACGAGGAGAAGGGCATGGCACCGTTTATGGCGGGCAAGGTGCGTGCGGAGCAGGCTTGTTGGGCGTGGGTGAGCGCGAATCAGCCTGGGTTTACATTTAATACGATTCCGGTTTCGACGACGTTTGGGCCATTGGTGAGCGCGCGGGATCAGGCGTATGGCACGACGGCGGGATTTTTGAAGAATGCATTTGATGGGGAGAACACGGACTTCTTGAATTCGTTTCCGCCGCAGTTTTTTGTGGATGTCAGAGATGTGGGACGGCTTCACGTGGCAGGTATCATTGATCCAAGCGCGGATGGGAAGAGGATATTGGCATTTGCGAGGGACTTTAATTGGGATGATGTGTTGAAAACGTTCAAGGAGAAAGCTCCGGGGAAGGAATTTGGGATTCAGGGGTCAGAACGGGATCTGGCCCAGGTGGAGAACAAGAGAGGGGAGGGCTTGCTTCAAGCGCTGGGAAGACCGGGTTGGGTACCCCTGGAAGAGAGTCTGAGTGACTGTGTAGATGGGTATCGTGAGGGTACAGAGTAGGATATTTATAGGCCGCCAGACACTCCAAGTTACTCCTGGTATCATGGACTTACCTTACTCCACCATCCCTCGTCGTCACAAACGCCTCACGGAAAAGATACGTCCTGAAGCTCGTGTCATCAATGATATTGTCCTCATCAGTAGCAATTATGATTGCAGCTTCAGGCGCCATGACCTTTGCACTCATTGCCTCCAAATGTGGCTGATCTCGTAGCACAATTTTTGCGATTGCGCCGTATGCGCTGTCTGACGGCTCGCGTGGAGCCATAGGAGTGATGTAGTGCTTGTCATGCTCGAGTGGGAAGCCCTCGCCGGCGATAGAGCGGACGAGAGTCAGGAGATTCTTCTTCCAGTACTCTGGGAACTAAGTGTTCTGAAGTATGACTTGCTTGCTATCCCACAATGGCACAAATTGGCATCATTGGCCACCCCTTTGAAATTAGGAGCTGTGGGTATGTTGAATGAGATACTGAAAGAGTTGAATATCGAGTGGATATTATTTCCTTTGAAAAGATGAATTATTTGCTCTGCTTTCTCGTAAAGGTACTCAGGAGTTAGAACATGAAATTCAGTGTCCCTTAAAGAATTTTCGGTAGGCAGATACATGACTAAGCGATCTTGGCACTTCATAAAGTTACATTTGACACCCTCAATTTTTTCTCTCTTGCACATTCTGGCATTGAATTTGCAACGCAATTGTCGAGCCATCACTAGTGGAGACAAGCTCTGGAGAGTGGTTCCTGCGACTGTTCATGATGTCCAAAATGGTCCCCTCGTCAGCCGTCTCACTGCCCGCCATGGCTACCGGCCTGGTTCTGGGGCGTCTAGACTCTAGCCTCGATGGATCATGGAGAAAGCCAACCGCTGCATCGGAAGCGATGATGCATAGTCCCGTGCGAGCCACTAGTCGAATACGAGTTATACCGCTGTGATGAATTCCTGGATCGTGCATGCATCCTATACGCATGCTGGTAGGCAGATTCAGTTGGAGGCTGCCCCCACGCTGCGTAAGCCCCTGATGCACTCGGCAACTAGGATCATCCCGGCGCTTTCAAATCTAGCCGTCGACGAGACCCTCCTGGAGCCCACCTAGAATACTGAAAATTGACCAGTACACCTCACATATATTGTGATAAATACTTTTGCGATTTGCGACTGGATTGTATTCAATGAGGATGGATTGTACAACTGTATTACAGCGCACATGGTCACTCACCAAGGTGGCCAAGATTTGCTAATAATCTTTATATTTTACATAGCACTACAGAACCTAGATGGTTTGAACATGTGGGCCTCTCTATCATATATCATCATAAGTAATTAGATCTTCTCTTGACTCGGTCGGTGATAGAGGCCCATCTCCGACCTGTTTCACATTTTTCAACATGCTTCCCATGCCGCTACCCTTACGGCTTGTACGAAAGTCGCTGTTGCTACTGGCATCCTTCGACTTTGATCTGGCATACCGTCTGCCAGAGCCTTCCACTAGTTCAAAATCATTCGGCAAATGGGCACCCATTTGACCGGTCTGGAGCTCAGTGAAGAATTTGTGAAGGCTCGGAAGACTAGCAGTGATACACGAGGTATGTAGTACAATCTGGTTGATAGCTGTCAATGTGTTATTATACCAGGTCTTGTCCATTGTTTCGAGATAGCCGCCTAAAAGGATCAGAGATGCAATCGAGACGAAGCAGACCCTAGAGCCGTCAGCTACGGTCCAATCGCCGACCTGCTGAGTACCCACACGAGTCTCAATATGAACAAGGCCGAAATTGACAAACGGAGGCCGATGGCCATGTTCAAGTTCAGAATGACTGGCAGAATTACTGTTCCTAGGAGCAGATCGGTGATGATGTTCAGGACGGTGATTGGGTACCAGAGGTATCGCCCAGTCCGACAACGAGCATTTTCGAATATGTATCTCTCCGGTGAGCGACACATGAAGGCGACAGAAAAAACAGAAAATAAAGTCCAGATGGTGATTAAACCCGCAAGGACCCATACCCAGATCCGCATCTGCTTGCCTACGTTATCAATGCGTCCTGACAGGATGGCGACAGAAGCTTTTGCTAAAGCTTGTATGACTATGGACAAGAGATTTTGCGAATACGTCAGCTGAGATCATCAATTCTATCCTTTGTTGGTAATTATCGGTGACTTACTTTGAAGTAAGATCTGAGCATGCTACTAGTTAAGGTATCGATGTGACGGCCTAAACCATTGTTTACCGAATATTGCACCACAATCGCCTGCGGTACCAACATGATCTAGAAAATTAGAAATGAAATCATAGAGGCCTATATTGGACTCACATTTGCAGCGAGTAGTAAAGCATCACTGACATAGAACGCCCGTTTCTTGTAACCCAAATTCATGTACAGCTGGGCAGCTGCAACGGATGCCGAGACACAAAGGAAAGTATACGTAACGACGACGACTAAGCCGCCCTGATCTGTCTCGTTGTAGAGATACAGGGGCGGATATGCACCACCATCGAGGTTGATGTCTGCCATATCCGGCGGCACAGTCGAGCAGTCAAGACAGAAAGAAAGAATTTGAACACAAGAAACAGTCTTTCAAGACCACAGGGCCCTGACGGCTTCATAACGTGCTCATTGTCGAGTTGACGATCCGACAGCTTGGAACAAGGCTGCGAAACAAAAGAAAAACGCCTTCGCTACTGCTTTGCCCAGAGCCTGTCACCTCTTGTTGACGGTGGGTCTATTGGGGGGAGAAGCACGGCCAGTGGACGGTTTGCCTCGATGGCACATCCATAGACACGACCAACAAGCAAGCATCCATGCACGCAGAAACGACATTTATGTACCATGATGTCCATCAACCAGGCAGACGTTTCGTGGATCGGTCGACGCCGGGAGTGAGTTGCAGCCGGTATCCGACATGATGGGCGTGGTGGAAAGGAGGTCAAAGGACAAATGACAAGATATGATGCAGTTAGATGTTCTGCAGCAGTGTGCGCCGAGATGTTAATCAACAAAGCATGGAAGGATGTGTTTATTGATTGGATGGAGCGCGCTCGGCAGTTGTGGGTGGGTGGATGGTCGTCTGCATTGTACAGTAAGACGGTACAGTAATATTACTCTGCATGTACACAATCAGGAGGCGGGATCTAAGCAGGGGATCCCGCCCGATAGCAGCCGTGTGGGGCGGAAGATATCAGCATAGGGAGCGCACATGTGAGCATTCAGACTCATCTACCCAGGTGAACATCGACCTACATACCAACAAATTCGACACAATATCACCAATCATCAATTAACTTACTTGGACATAAGCACTTATGCGATATAGGCGTATCCGTATATCAGTTATGAAAAGCGCAGAGATGAGCATGCATATATAGGAGTGGAACACTCGCTGGGACATCTACTAACTAGCACGCCGCACCCACGCCGCAAACACGCCGCAACACGCCACAGCCATCAAGTTGTTGAACAGTTGTGTACTCCATCGACTATCATATATTGAAGATTGAATATGCTCTCTACCACGGCCGCCACCGTGCCCCAGCATACGGCATCATACGCCATCCTTCAGATCCTCCAGGAGCCCTGGTTGAAAGCCTAGAATGTAATCATGTAACTGCGGCCCGCCACGCTGCAGCCCACACCCTTGCCCACTGCATGGATTCCCCACTGCCGTCAGTCGTCTACATACTGCCCATCATTGCGGTACTTGAACATGCCATGTTCTCTCCACCAAATCGACCAACCTGCCTTTTGGTGTTTGATCTCTACTCTTAGCTACAGAAGCCGTGCATTAGAAGATAGCAGCCAGAACACTAGCTAAGAGCCCATGGATCGCCGGACTCCTCCATCTCTCACGTTGTGCGTCTAGGAATATGTCTTCTGGCCTGCTTCTATCCTTCTTCTATACTTCTCCTTCCCCTCTCCACTTGGCTTTGCTGCATCATCTTTGCTCTTTCCACTCTTCCTTCTCCTTCTCCCTCTTTTCTTCAGTATCGGTCGTATAGAATGACCGACAGCAAGATGGACAGCATCGTCCATGATGCGGGAAGGTCGAGTAACATCTCCGATGGCGATGGCAACCTTGAGGCCGGTGCTCATAAGGAATACCATCTACGCTTCTCGAACAATAACCTATCCAATCGGAGCAGAAACATGCTTGAGGTATGCTTCAATCTGCGAAATTGGCCATATCTGGACATGCTGACTCATGCCTCCCTGTTCACAGCGATATATCAACTTACCACCAGCAATTGCCTTCAGTATCACCATCATGTCAACATGGCCTTCGCTGAGTTTATCTCTGCAAGCTGGTCTATACAATGGTGGTCCGACAGCTCTAGTCTGGGGTATGCTTCTTGCAGGCTTCGGTTCCACAGCTATTGCCGCTGTACTCGGAGAAATGGCGTCCATGTAAGCTCCACCACTTTATTTCGCGTATGCCGTACTTAATTCTCCGTAGTACGCCACAGGTCGGTGCGCAGTATCGCTGGACCGGCATATATGCTCCGAAATTTCTGAATCCTCATTTCTGGAGTTTGATCCAGGGTAAGTAGTCGATGCATTACTCTTGATTGGGCGATGACTTGCAAGACTTGACTTGGTTGATATGACTGTGACAGGTTGGTTGACCCTCTTTGCATGGATCACACTTTGTGCTGTCTGGCCGTTCTTGACGGCACTCCTGCTGCAGGGCGTGGTGATCCTTAATTACCCAGACTATGTGCCTGAAAGGTGGCATGCCACTCTGATAATGTGGGCTCTGCTCGCGATTCCTGTATTTGCAAATATATTTGCTCGTCGACTCTTGGTTCTTCTTGAGATCATTGGTGGTGTCCTACACATCGTCTTCTTTTTCTGCATCATTATCACGCTTCTTGTCCTCTCACCCCGCAGCACTAGCTCGTTCGTGTTCACTACATCATTCTATGGACAGTCTGGGTGGGATAGTGAATTCGTACAATGGTGTTTGGGCCTATTGACGACCACGGGTATCCTTTGCGGTGAGTATATTACCAGATTGCACCAGAATGATGCTGATTTTTACCAGGTTTTGACGGCTCACTCCATCTGAGTGACGAAGTCAAAGACGCCCCAAGGAAAGTTCCAGTAGCCATGATTACCAGCATGGTTGTGAACAGCATCATCGGATTCATCTACCTGATCATCATCCTCTACTGCATTGGCGACGTCTCACGTGTGCTCAACACCACCACCGACTTCGCAATCATCGAAATCTTCTACCAGACGACAGGTTCAGTCGCATGGGCTACGGTTCTCAGCTGTATGGTCGTCATCCCCTCCCTAATCTGCCAATTCGGCGTCTTTGCCTCCGTTTCGCGGCTCGTCTGGGCCTTTGCCATGGACAACGGCCTCCCCTTCTCCGCATACTTCTCCCACGTAAACACGCGCCTCAAGATCCCCCTACGCGCTCTCCTCCTGGTCACCGTCATATGCTGCCTAATCTGCCTCATCAATATCGGCTCCACAACCGCCTTCTACGCCGTCCTTTCACTCGGCGCCCTCGCCCTTTACGGCTCCTACCTCCTCCCGGTCCTCTTCTTTCTCTACCGGAAACTCGTCGGCCCAAGCGTTCAATACGGGCCCTTCAACATGGGCGGCCTATCTACCCCTATCACCATCTATGCCGCGGTGTGGCTCGTTTTTGTCCTTTTCTGGACCCCTTGGCCGCAGTTCTTGCCCGTTACCACAGATACGATGAACTGGTCTAGCCCGATTTTCGTAGGTGTGGTTGTGCTTGCGATTGCGGACTGGTGTATTGGAGGTCGGAAGAGGTTTCGCGTCCCTACAACTGTGGAAGACTCGCCGTATGTGGAGTAAGCAGATGATGTGTTGGCATATATGTGAATATCTATACACATATATAGGAGTTTACACGCTGCCCAATCATGATATCTTGGGATAGCGCGATATGCGTTACGTTGTTATGATGTACATTTGTGACTTTTGCGCGGTAGTAATTAGTCGTTATACCCGTGTGTGGATGCGTACATTGCGCTAATTATGATTTATATATGCCTTTAAATCATGAAAAATCATGTAAAGTTGACTGTTGACTGTGGTTATGTTCTGCGTTGTTGTACTGTACAATTTCAGTTTTGCGGCTTGGTATGGGTGTGATCTAAAGTCGATCTCCGCACCTTGGGAGGTGCTAGTCGTACAAATTATTCTAGTGCTGCTTATTACTATTAGTTGACTGAACTATATAACATCTTCTTGGATCTTGATCGTCATCTTGAATTTTTCTAGTGTTGAGCTATGCTATGCTATGCTATCGATGGAGCCGCATGCAGTGTTCTCCAAGCCGTTTCATGCGTGCATGCGAGATAGAAGTAGTTCGTAAGTACTATTATCTGCAAAGAGCTCGATTAGTCAAAGAAGAAGGAATGACGTAAGACTATAACTAATCTGTTACTATGTCGCGTTACCGTCGTGTTGTATCATCTGAGCGGGAAGATCTATCTGCTAGGGTTACATGATACGGCGTAGTCTAACATAGTACATACACGTTGGGCATACGGTGTTAAAAGTGGAGTAATGACAGAAGGGATGAGTGCGGCACACGCAGCTCGGCACAACCAGAGTGCTGGAGACGTATAGACAATTCTATCGAATCAGCACACATCGTTGCCAGCCCAGCGGCAAGGTTGGAGTCATCAGGACGTCTTGAGTATATCTCCTGGAAAGTACCTCGGACGTGTGAGGGACTGTGGTGTGGCTGCGGCGCAGTATGATGTGGTGACGAATCGAAGCCTACCCTTGCCTGAGTCTTAAAGCACGGATCCATGGTTGTAATATTGCCGGTTGATCAGAGTATTATGTGTTTAGTGGACTCTTTCTGTCTCTTTCTCCCCTTCTTCGTTTTCAGGCTGGTTGTCTTGTATGTCTTGCTTGGTGAGGAAGGACTGTTGCATAAAGGGTATTGCATCGCCGCTAGGAGCACTATAATGATGTTAGATAGCTCTATGGAGCGGCAAATGGGGACTGAACAAGTCTTACGGCTTTGCTAGGAGATTTGTTCTCAGATGTACCGTCTTTTGTCTTATGTTCCGTATGCTTATCATTCAGCTGATAGAGCTTCAGCTCGCTGCCGAGGTATCGTTTCGCAGTGTTTCTTGGTAATGTCAATATTTTGGTTGTTAGGAGAAGACACGCGTAAGAACCCTGAGATCTAAAGGCCCAGAGCAGTAAACTCTTAAGTCTTGTCAGGGCTAACCATTTTAATCGTATTCAGTACTATCCTCGGTCAAGATTACACCTCTCCTTTCCTTCAGAATCGTTTATATACTCCAGTACATCTCTTCAGCCTAAGCTCCTTCGAGTGGACTGTTGCGTTCTGTTATCAATCGTCTTATAGCCTTGACAAGTAGACAGAGCGTGAGGGTTGTATTGCTTCAGATCTTCCTCGTGCTCCAAGTCCATGCTATATGAGGTTGTGCTCGATCCCGATAGTCTCTTCTTATCGACAACTTCGTCAACGATCGATTGATTACCTCGAACTGTAATCTGTCTCTGATCAGCTTGCTTTCATTCAGCCGGATCATTACCTGAATGCGTGCAGTTTAGTACGTTACCGGTCGGGGCTTTCGACCACTCTACATACTTTCAGTGCTACATGTTTGACATACCTTGTTTCCTCGAAGGAGTCTACTCAGACTTGCTGGCTGGCATTTCATGATTGTGATTTGGTGCAAAACTAGATGGCCAGCTTTGTGTACCGTTGAAACGATTTTTTGCGATGTACCTCCTTTGTGTGCTGTATTTATTCTTGTCTTTGTCCGGTTGTATAGACATATTCTCCCATTGTATGACCAGACGTAAAGGTGGCCTCGGTCCGACTTTAAGTATAGTGTGCTCAAACTGGATCTAGAGTGAGCGAAACTGCGGTAGGGCTCGTAGGCCTGGAGAAATGGATGTAAAGGTTTTCTGGAGTGGGGTTTGGATTGATTGGATGGGCATCTGATACATGATAGGCGCTTGCGGTCTCAGTGGATGTACGTCAATATTTCGAGATTCAGAACCGATAAACCATAAGATATGGAGTTGAGATAAGATGTACTGTGTGATTCCAGATATGTAACAAAGTACTCTTTGAGAAGGCTTCATTAGTAACGGTTGTCACGATCGTGGCAGCGAATATTCTGAACGCTGTAACATTATTTCCCGGGCTTCACCCATTTCGAATGGCACTGTGTGCTTCTTCATCATCGGTAGAGCTTGGGATAATGATCAAATTCAAGTTGTGTTCGTTTCACTGCGTGTTTCGGTAGAGTGCATGTGCTTCACTGCTGCATTCGAGAGGGCATAAAAAGCTCAGTCACTGTACCTGGGGAACCGATCACTGCAGGCTTACAGCCGAGCTAGTGCAGTTATGGTCATCAGTGTATGGCAAGAGAGTCACATATAGTCTACGCAAAAGGAGCTTACTTCGCCTTCGGGCACTTGGTCAATATGAAACACTACAGAGAAGATTAGCATGGCCCCTGCACGAAGGATGACACGCTTAATCAAAGAGACGCTACAAATTTTTTTTAGCTTTTGATCCAGAGATCAAGTCTTGCCCTGATCTTCTTTTGACCCACAGGAATGGCCCAAAGATTCGCATATACTTATTTCATGGAAGCAACAACTCTGCGAACACTGTCTATTGCCCTTTTACGTCTCTGTCATCATACCTAACCCCTTCCTGGATTTTAATTTAGCGAAACACCGCTTTATATATGATCAGCTGAGGCTGAGATGGCTTGAAGTTCTGGAGTGATGAATCCTGGTGTATAGAACGGTCATAACCTGGTTTAAGTAGGGCATAGCATGATAAGATCGAGCTTCTTCTACAAGATAGATTTACAATAATCTCACCAATGAATTTCCTGTTCAAATGAATCGTGGTGTAACTCTCACTGGGAGCTTTCTCACAAAGTTTTGGAGTGGAGGCACATCTGACAAAGAAAAGAAAAGTCCAAGCGGCCTTTTACCAGTTTTCATCTTCCAAGAACCACCCTTGAATTTCGCACACCAACGAATACCTGCCACGGCATCGCAGAAATATTATCTCTCCTGGGAAGCTCATTTACTCGTATCATCGTATTTTCAGGGTTGAAGACTTCCCGATAGATGATCACACGGCTGTCAAGGTAAGCAACATGGCACCTCGATCATTTGAAGTCAACCTCCCACTCTAACATTTCTCGGCTCTATAGGCGACGCCTCCTTAATGGCATCATGTCATTATATATCCACGAGCCATCGGGAGGAGTTACACCACGATTACACCTATGGGAAAACGAATGCGTGGTGTTGATGACGAAAAGAACAAGTCGACGTGTAAAGCACATTGAAGACTACTTCTGACACTACGGGCTCACGGATTATAATACTGGAACAGATGATGTTGAATACTGACACTGACCTCCCAAACCGTAAACCATCGAAATACGAGCTTCGGAGCTTGTCACCTCTGCAACGTCAAGACAGACAAGAAAAGACTGGCATAGAGCGAGCGCGAACACGGCTAAATATGCAGCTGAACATGACGCTGATGATATTACACAATACAATCAGAAGAGAAAGATAAACAAACCTAGGGATGAATACTGTAACTTCAAGGTGACTCTACGAGTCAGGAATAACTTGACCTTCATAGGTGTCTCTGTGAAGTCCTCACTCGGACTTTGTGCATAGTGGAGGCAAATGATACACCCATTGATAGATACTGTTTCTAAAGCAACTATGTATCTTACAGATACTATCATATTAGGAATGGTATCTAGAGGCGCCCAGGTACCACACCATACTACTGATTTACGTCTTGTAAGAAACTCAACAGGCGTTGAAGACACTACCGATGGTATAGCGACTGATGAGCCTTCCGACGTTCGCATAAAATTTCATCGAGTTCAGGATATGACTAGGACAAGTGGTTATGTTTCTATAAGTTGTGTAAAGGCTTCCTCTAGATACATCTGCTGGAGAATGGACCAAAATTGGGATATATGATAAAGGGGTGATTGTTGGATGTCGTGATGAGATATACGCAGTGGATAAGCCAATACTAGTATGAGTAATGCGTAGAGGTTCCTATCGTCAATCTTGCACCACAGAAGCGGACGCATGAACCGGCGCGCCCTAGGGCGTAAGCGGATCCGTAAGCACAGAGTAGCTATTATACTAAGAGGCGGCCCTCGTCACATCTTCTGAAGAGCCATGGAACTTCTTTATCTTCACTATGCACATCCGGCTCGCTACAATTGCAGACGCGCCATACGCGGCTGAAGTATCATTCGCAGCGTATTGGAACAACGAACTATACTGCTGGCTCTATCCACAGCGGGATAAATACCCCAGCGATCTCATAGAGTCACTGAGAATTCGTAACAAGATTGGATTTCTGTCGCCTGGGGTTGTGTCGACTGTTGCTGTCACAGACGAGAATGATGGCTTAGGTGACCCGGGGCGCATTATTGGATTTGCCGTGTGGAGGCGGTTTGGTAGTGATCCAGAAGCGCAGAAGTGGATGCATGATAGTATGTGGAAAAGTGCGTCACCACTCGAATACACATACTACCTGATGGTGACCTGACCTATGTAGGACTGGACAGATACTTACTCTCGTGGGAGAAATGGTACCAAGACAACTTCCTCGACTATGCAACCGACTGGAAACGGGTAGCATACTTCAGATCTGTCATATCCAAGGTTGTCTTCTATAAAACACTTGATGATTACTGGCTGCTTAATTCACTCGCTGTACACCCTCAGGCGCAGCGTCGAGGAATCGGCAGCAGATTGTTAGAATGGGGCATGCAGACTGCCGAGAGGGAAAGCGTTCCCGTAGTCCTAGAGTCGGCGCCCCCAGCGAGGGCTTTATATGAAAGGGCTGGTCTGAAGGTTTTCGAGGAGATCGAGGTCGAAGGTATTGAGCCTGGATATGCGATGCTATGGGAGCCAGATCGTATCAAAGGGACATGGCTGACCATGGACGATAAGGGAAACACAGTCTTGAGAGGCCAGAAGCTTAAAGCTCAGGAGCGAGAAGAAAAGATGTGAAAAGGAAGTATGAAGAATAACGATATACATAGAGCAGTGTGATGAAGTGGATTGTGAAGAAAGGGAATATGAAGGAAGACTGTGGAAGTGAAAAGAAACACGAAAGAAAGATACTGTGAACGACATGGATTGTGATAAGATTATAGTCTATTACATATATACAGGATTCATTAAACGAGGACCGAATCCTTAAGGCATCGACACGGTAATGGCAAGAGCTCAGAGACGTTAGCTAAGAGCACTGGAAATGGAAGGTATTGCTAAGAACGAAAGGCAGAGACTGAATCAGCAGTACTTCGATGGGCTTGTTCGGACTCATCTGTAGTGGCTACTCGCAGGTCCGGATTCACAGCCCCAGGTTCTGTCGTAACGAGACCCCATAGCCGCCCAACGATACCGAACAACCTGGTCCGATTCCCAGGCCCAGCATCTCCATGCACGGGATTAGAAGGAGACGAGGGCGGAGTGGGAAGTATGAGAGGGCCGCAATTGTGGATGCTAGGTTCGCTATGCTTGTGACAGACATATTCGAAGCAGTAGCGACACAGCAACATGTATGACTCTCTACAGCGCCGCTCTGCGCAGTAAGGAGATGTTGGGGCGGTAGAGGTAAGAGAGCAAGTACGTTTGTACTCCGGGCGGAAAGGGATCATCTTAAATAGATGATGAGCGCAAGTCTGAGTTCTTTGAGCGAGTGAGCGGTGTTGGTGTGTAGCATGTGAGCCTCAGGGGCAATGAGTGTTGACGTTGGAAGTGCAGCGGCCCGATGGATATCAAGGTGAACTTGGAGTTGCAAAATCGAGTATGGAACTCGTAATCATGCGCCTTTATATAGAAATTGGCTCATTGTCGTACAGAAGACAACGTGGCATACTCTCCAAGGCGCGACTTTTCACGAGATCGTGGAGTAGGTTGCATCGATATGCGTTGTCTTTAGGACTGTGAAATAGACAGTGGTGACCATGTTGACAAGTATCTTTAGTTTCTAGCAAACCTATGGCTAGGCTTCTGTAGGTAGTTCATATCATGTCGAAAGAGACGTATAATTTCTCTAGATGCTTAATGTGTGTAAGCAATCGAATGGGAGATCTTGAAGTGCCAATCAAAGCTCTGCGAGAGTCTCAAGATTCTGCTGTTCAAGCCACATCTGAGTCTATCGTCAGCGAATACATTCGATATGCAGGACGAAATATCTATTAGGAAGAGTTCCGTGACCACAATGCTGATATAAATCGCCCATGTGAAAGAAGGTGCCGATTGTATGTAATTTGAGGCACCTATTTAGGCCTTAAAAGTGATATAGCTAACACTTCTCCACGCAAAGCCAACTCTGCACAACTTAAATCCTCTGGCAGACGTATGAACACTTGCTCTAATAGTTATGAAGGCTGTGTTCTGCGCTATAATAAATCTGACGCTGATTTGGGATTTTCAGGTAGCCCTCTATATCATAAGTTGCTATGAACGGATAGCTGTAGTTATACATAAAGCATTATAGTAGCCTAGGTGCGCCATGATTTACTTTCGTGAAGACACTGTTGTGTTACGCAATCAGTATCTACAAGAGCAAGCTCGTAATTTTTCATACGAGATTTCTGGAAGTTGACTGCAGGAGAATAGTTCTTAAATGATAGTAAATAGCTGCAAAGCTGAGGAGATTTTTCATGCTTGACGTCATGGGTTGGGTATCGAGGAGACATATGCTTGCGCCGGAGTCGACAATCGTGGTAGCTGTCTTCACGTCGTGACCCAGGGATAAAGATGACAGCTGCATAGATAGACCCAAGATTGCCGTGAGGTCTGGTTGTGGGCGTAAAGCTATGCTTTCCGGGCATTTATATCACCTCTGGGTATTCTGAACGGCTGGAATCCATGCCTGTCTGTCAGCAACCACATAAGCGAATGGCCTCACGATCTGTTTGCCGGTACTTTGTAGATGTCTGCACCGCAGATGATATTCATAACTTGGCTTTCAAAGCTTGTGGTATTATGGCCTGCAACGCTTGGGGTACTACGTGCCTCGTCATTAAGGAAGTCGCAAGTTGCACTTTAGAACTAAGCAATGGTAAGAACGTGTTTCTCTAATGGCTCGCAAATCCTTTCCATCGACCATTCCAGGGTCACCCACTTTGTTCAGGTGCGAGACATACTAGAGCAGAGTCACCATGATCACAAGCTCGAATGTCCTCTCCTCGGATGTAGCGCAAATGGAAGAAATTAACCAGGATGCAACCTGCATACCTGGCTCACCCTTCGATCCTCAAACCGTAACCACGGTTCCATCGGCGGCAGCCAGAACTCCAGCCCGGAAGAGAAAGATGTCGAACGTAGAAGAGCGAACAGATGTCAAAAGGTCAGGCTCATCATCTGTAAGTCTAATACAAGCATCAATAGCCTATCACGACTAAGGTCTTCCTAGCCAACTCAGGACCAGCAATCAGACGCAATGCCTGCATTCATACTTCAAGTTCAGCAAGAATATACTTCGTGGTTGAAGACGAACGAGGACATAAAGTTGCAGCTGAGTAAGCAAAGCAAAGAGCTTGACAAGATCAAGGATGCTCGATTGCAAGACTCTCAGGAACTTTTGCGTCTTAGACCTTACGAGTCGAAATTCGTCGCCGTGAAGGCCGAGCTTACGCAGACGAGGCAGCTCCATGAATCGGACTTGAGTAGAGACAGTCAAATCATCGACACTTTGACGCTGAAGTTCAATCACTGTGCGACGGAAAAGGAAGCACTTAGACGGACCCTTGACACGGAAAGGGAGAAGAACGTGAAGAAGAGGAAGAACTTGGAGCATGAAGTCGCACGAGCCAAGCACCAGCGAGACGTATGGGAAGCGGACAAAGAGAATTTCAAGGATGAACTTTCTGTCACTTTTACTGCACTCAGCCGCGTGAGGGAAGCCTTTCAGGCTCATGTTGGCATTGATGAAGCGTTCCGCTCAATGCATACTGCGCACGACTTTGTCGTAAACAGACGACCAGAAGAAAATTTATCGGAGCTGGAACATAGTGGTATGGGGATCCTTCTCAGTGGGTCTCGAACGAATTCTAGGGTAATGCAGAAGCAAGTCTCTCATGTGCCAAACTTGTCGAGGTCGATCTAGAGCAGGCGGCATCCAATCGATAGACGAAATGAATGTCAAGCACCTGCGCATTGCATATGTTATTAATGTATATACAAAGCAAATCATGGATCACGCTGTATCACTCCAAGATGCAGTACAAATCCTAAATGACGCAGAGCACTGTGCTGCATTGATCCTTGGAAAAGAAAAATGAAATGCGACATTGTGTACCTAGAAGTAGATCAGCGCAATCGCTTATTACACATATTATTCAATTCGGTTTATTGAGGTTCATCTCCATCTTCGTAGTGTGGATACTTTCGATACCAGTCTTTCGGATCACCACCTGGTATGCAGAGTCCTAGTCTCCAAAAGTAGTCTCGGTGTGCGAAGAAAAGCTGCCAGAGCTTGTAACGGGTAGGAACGGACCACCAGTTGGAATGTGACTCGCCAGGGAGATGTTCCTGGAAGAAGGTTCCGACATCACCAAAGCTTTCGATATCATGGTTGCTAGGAGCAGAATCTGTTGGCGTACGATTGTCGTTCCCGGCGATGCAGTCATGGTCATCGTCGCCTCTACAGTGCCTTACATCATGAACCTCAGGCGAAAGATCTGGCTTGGAGATGAAGACCTCTCCACCATGCATTTGGTAGCCCCATTCCTCTAGCGGTAAGAGCGGGACAGGATCGTCTGCGTGGGTGACTCGGCGCATTTTTGATTCCGTCATGACAGATGAGCTGTTGCTTGATGGAAGACCAAAGATTGCGTCGATGTAGTGTACAAAGTGCTCATTTCCGATTCGTGGCTCTCCAAACGTGGTCGTAATTGGATCCCAGCCTCTTGCTTTCAGGTCCAGAGCTGCCAATGTTGCAACAGCACCGCCTAAAGAGTGTCCAACCAGTGTGAGCTGATAGTCCGGGTGAGAATCAAGTGCATCAGCTAAGTCCTCCAGGATCGCTGTTCGCGTATTAAGCCACGATCGGTTGAATCCCATATGCACTGTACAGTTGTTACATTTGGGTGGTTCTGCGGATGGGACGTCATCTTCTGCGTCGAATGATTTTTTCCGAATCTGCTTGAATAACGGTAGGTCCGATGTATCATCATCATCACCACCAGGATATGGAACGTACTCCTGGGGGACAGTGGAGAGGTCTGCGATGGTATTTGCAAGGGAGTAGGTGCCGCGGAAGGCTACAATGATGCGCTTAGGTGAAGGAGGATGAGATAACACAACGTATCCGCATGAGTCTGAGAGAAGAGGTCCTGTGTTCCATGCCTGCGTATGTCAGTGGCTCTACACGAGTCTTGTCTGCTTGACTAACCTTTACTAATTCGAAGTTCTTGAACTCCGAGCACCGACTTGCGCATTGAAATGGTTTCTGTATCCCTAACCCTGTGATTCCAACACAGTACGAGATGTCCACGATACGCGCCAGCTCCTCCAGCTCATTAAAGAGAATCGTTGAGACTGTGGTGTTGTCATAATGGAGAAGCGGGATTTGCGCCGGATGCGCGAACGCATATTGGGCGCCAAGGAGGTAGGTAAGGAAAGAACCTGTTCGCATGGCTGCCACCGGGGAGTATCTCTACATGTTCTGGAGGTATACGAGGATTCGGAGTAGAGATAGGTTCTGTTGTGATGAGTGCCGTACTGCTGTGCTGCAGAATGATCACGAGTGTGGACCGTGACAGGCGAGTTTAGGCCTTGTGAGGTTGGCGTCGTGCTTGGACTCTTGGCTCTACGTCACTACGGAAAGCGTTTATGACGGATGGGAGAAGACTGCGCTGCATGGATTGCCGGCTGCGAACTGTTCTACGTACGCTTATTGTTTTTCCATTCTCTCATCATCACAAGATATCACACGTCTCTCCTCTATCATCACGTCGACTTCTATTTCACTGAGAGTCACGATTATCACTTACAGTGAACGGACCTCACCGAGTCACTGGTCCTTCGCATTCCTCCCTGTATTGTACGCGGGATCCATCTCACAGTAAGTTACTCTACAATTTGGAACCGTCCAAGGTCATCTCGAGCGCCGGTAACCCAATGCTTCACAGAACTTCAGGAGACACCTCTAACTCTTTTACGACCATGTCTTTCACTACCGAGAAGACCGATCACGCCGACCATCTGACAGATGACAACGTACCTGTAGCTAACGGCGGTGCTACCAGTCCAAATGGCCATCTGCAACCTCCCCTCCCGAACAGTGCACCATTGCCAGAGAGTGCAGTCAATCCTGATGTAGCTGGCTCCACTGCCCCATCTGCAGCTTCGACAAGACCGCCATCGGCAATACATGCGCCTACACAAGTTACCTATGATCCCGAATTCACGCAGCCACCAACTCTGAACTATTCGCTACGAACAAGGAAGGGATGGATCGCATTCTTTTGGACCTTGGTAGTCTTAGATTGTGTCGCCATGCCAATCGCTCTATACTTTGGTCTTTGGTATGGCACAGGGCTGTCGCATAATGCCGTCTTCAGTATCAGTACTGGTCTCCTGGGAACTGTATCTATTGTCGAGTATTTCCTGCGATTCCACAGACTGTGGAAGCAAGGCTCGACGTGCCGAGTCATTGGTGCGAGACGATTTTATCTCGACTGGTTCCATTGGAACCTCTCTTTCGCCTGGATCGCAGTCATGATCGAGCTGATTGTGGGCACTGTACCTGAAGAGCCGCCCATCCGCCTTTTGGCTATGCCTGTATCAAGTATGCTGTTTGCCTTTGGCGTCCAGCTTCTAGTAATCGATGCGGCTCGCATCATGGGCTACAAAGCACCTGTTCGGATTTCCTCACTCCCGCGTGGATCCCCTCTTCGACCTGGTATCTACTCTTTGATCGAAGACATCGTCGCCGTTGATGGGTCAGGGGGTACCGAGTTTAGACAGCGGTTGAATCTGCGCTACCAAGCAAGCAAAGACTTCAGACTTATGCTCCACCGCATTACTCTTTTCTGGGCAGCTGGCGCTCTCGGTGCTGCTGTGCTTACCACTGTTCTTATCTTTACGCTGAGCCGAGATGCTGCATACGTGGTGTGTATAAATGTTTCGATATGGATTAGTCTCTCACTAACACTTGTAGGTCGGTTGGTGTATTCCCTTCCTGTGGGCTGGAATCTGGGCTGTCATTACAACGAAATGGGTCCAAGTCGGTCTCAAACATGAGTACGCCAATTGGTCCGAGACCAAGTGGAAGGCGTAAAGCAGCAATGGCAATCTTGACTAGGTTGCCTATCAATACAAGCATAAAGGAGTTCTGGATGGGTAAAGAATCATTGGCACAAATTACATTTTTGCAGCGAAGATACCACTTACCGATTATAAGACGGTATAACCATCCGCAGAGATCGGACTGTATCACTAGTGTACAATAGGTACCGTAATGATAAGATCACGTTGAGCGGGTGGTCGAGAAGAGCCGACCATGTGCAGTCAATCTTTCATCTCTTAACTGCTGTCAGCTCAGGTCAGGGTCTTCCCAATGCTAAGTTGTCAACGCAAACCGTTTGGTACGTTGACATATCGCAAGATCACCATGAGCAGCAGACAGAATCCACTAGCCCCTTACAACATAATTGGACATCTATATACGATATATTTGCTCAGCAAGTCACCTATTGGTGTGAGGGAGTCTCCAAAAGCAATTCAGTAGAGTTGTGTGATACGCCTGCATTTCAAGGTCTGGAGCGCCTCCAAGTACCTGGCACTCGTATTCGGGCGCGCCTCAGTGTACACAATTCAGCATTCATTGGTCGAGCACGCAGTCCCTGCATCCTTAGCATTCTGAGATGACTTGATAATTCTAGTTGTCTGGCGGAGGCTTGAGGCTGAGCATAATACTAACAATAACTTTGGACATCAGTGGCCACCGGCAACCTGAGCGTACCGACACACCACCTGTGAACTTCCACCCGCAAAGCTCTTTTATCGGTGAGTATGACGATCTTCTCGCAAATGGGAACTGGCTTCGAAGGCTGTCTTTCGTGCATCATGCTATGTTTCTTACAGCCACAGTCAACAGATCAGAATGGGCTGGCCTCGCCTCGACTCTTGGAAGCCTGCAGCACACCATGCGACACTTATAAAAAGGCCCAGACTAAGATCCTATATTGTCTTCGACGCTCGCGTCCGACACTCGACCATGCCCAAGCTTGTCACAATACTTGTGGCGGTATTTGTGGTAGGATGCTTGCTCACAAACGTGGACGCACAATATGCATTTGTGATACCAAACCCTGATCTAGCGGACTTCGACCCGCGAAACGATGTCGAGCAGTACTCTGTCCATAACTTCGAATGGAGCCTCGATCGTAAGTGTCTAGCTCTGTACATAGATCCTTCATAAAGCCTTTGACTTCTCGCTCATGAGCGTGAGCAGTGAACAACCAGCGCGACTTGTCTTTGGATGGTGGTGATATCATGGCCAGCGATGGCATGGTGTCTCTCTGGGTCGTATCGTTCGACCTCAGTTGGTCACAGATCCTAAACCGTACGTCCAGTATTCATTCTGGTCCTCTCCTCCCTTCCATGCTTTCTTTATTTTTCGGCCTGGTACTAACACATCGCAGCCTATTGCAATTCCTCACATGGCGGCTCCTGGGCCTGGGAGGTCAATCTATCTGACGATCTGCTTGCGTCCTGTGGCTACCAATTTGCATATCACATTCTACCTCCCGTTACTGATTCATCGACGAAATTCACCGAAACGCTCAAGCAAGCACCTTCGCGCGGCTTCCGAATCTTTAGGAAATCAGATGGCGACGCCGAAACAGCAGCTATAGAGCCTACGCCTACCGTTGCCGCTGGGGGAGGCGGCGAACCAACCTCCGCAACTCCTACTACTACGGATCCGCAACCGACATCGACGTCTTCAGACAGTGGCAGTGCTAGTGGTGGAGACGGAGGTGGTATGAGCACTGAGGCCAAGATTGGCATAGGAGTTGGTGTGCCCTCTGTTGCCATCGCGGCGATAACTTTATGGGTCATGATTCTGCGTCATCGATAATTTCGACCTGCTGCGGACTCATAGTGGAGAAACTTTGAATAATCAAATACTATAGTAGAGAGCCCAAGTAAAGATCAAGCGATTGCGATGCCAAGAAGATCAAGCGATTGCGATGCCAAGCAAGATTGGCGTCCAACGACTCTAGCCCAAAGGAGACTTTAAGGAGAGTTTTGATTGAGTCTGGCTTGTGACGTTGCTAAGCACTAGGGCAGATCCATCCAGCGTGGATAGACGTCATTACGCCAAGTCTTTCTCTGATTCATGCGTACTATTATACAACATTTTTTGTTTCCCGTTCCAACGAAATAATGAATTAGACTGTTGGACAGGTTCAAGTGTGCATGTCACGCCCTGAGATGTTTTTGGTAACTTAGAGACGGTGATAGACTAACCTTGAAATTATCCGATCGACAACAGCTTCCGCTCTAATGGCCCGAAAAGATCGCAAGCATCCCGAACTCCTAGTTCGCACACCGGATTCTAATCCGGGGACATAACGGTGCCTATTTATCTTCCCCCATCTCTTGCACAAGATACTTAAGGAGGACGTAATGCACCACATCGTCATCTTCCACAAACACATCCCACATCACACCTCAAAACTCATTGCCAATTATCACTTATCTTCTTACTTTAAGATATCGAATATCAAATATCAAACTGCCCTCGAGTAATAGAACCATGGCTCCAACAATCTACGACGTCCTCATTCTCGGCGGCGGCCCGGCCGGCCTCTCCGTCGCCCTAGGCCTCTCGCGCCAGCTGCGCACCTGCGTCGTCTTCGACTCGCAAATATACCGCAATGCGCCCACCTCCCACATGCACAACTTCCCGACCTGGGACCACCGCGACCCGGAGGATTTCCGCGACGCCACGCGACGCAACATTCTCTCACGGTACAAGACGGCCCGATTCGAGACCCGCAAGGTAGTCGAGGTGAAGCGTGCTGCCGATGCTGGCGAGGGCAAGTCCGAGGCTCTGTTCAAGGCCAGCGACGACAAGGGCGAGGAGTGGTGGGGCCGCAAAGTCGTGCTTGCAACAGGCGTGCGCGACGTGTTTCCAGCCGGCATTCAGGGGTACGGCGATGTATGGGGCAAGGCAGTGTAAGTGTAGTATCCTCCTCGGGTCCCCCGACACTATATTCTCGGACGGTTCTGCTAACGCGTCACCCCTTGTCTGTAGCTTCCACTGCCTGTTTTGCCACGGCTACGAGGAATCCGGGGCGCCGTCGGCCGGCGTGTTCGCCGATGCGGAGTCGATGTTAGCAAAGCCGCAAGGCGCGCTGCACGGGCTGCGCATGGCTGCCGGACTGGCGGGCCGCGTGACGCTGTATACGAACGGACATGCGGCGACGACGGCCGCGATGGAGGAGTTCTTTGGGCCGCGCAATGTTGTGGTCGAGGCGCGGCGGATGGTAGGCATGGCGTACCACCCCGAGACGCCGGACGAGCGGTTACATGTCACTTTTGAGGATGGCGAGGTGCAGAAGATGGGGTTTATGATGCATGCGCCGAAGACGGAGGTTGTGGGTCCGTGGGTGGATATGCTAGGGCTGGAGTTGACGGAGATGGGGGTAGTGAAGACGAACGCGCCGTTCTATGAGACGACTGTGAAGGGGGTATTTGCTGTGGGTGATATAGCGACGCCGATGAAGAGTGTGGGCCAAGCAGTTGCTATGGCTGGGTTTGCGGCCGCAGGGATTGTTGGGCAGTTAGGTGCTGAGTTTGAGGGGTTGCATGACTAGATGATGTACAATGGAGTGGCCATTTTTTCATATCATTAGCGTTCCCAAATACAAATCTGTGCGAACCTTATACCTCTATCTTGAACAATTTCTTGTGGACGTCGCATGAATTCCAACTGTGTTTTCTTTCCTCACAATCGTCTAACAGATACTTATGACCTCGAAAGCCTATGAACAAAGGATGACTCGCTAAACTAAGCGCAATGAGAAAGTGAATACTCATATATGTACTATTCGTGGGTATATACACTTCCTCCCCCAACTCGTTAATCACGGCATAATGAACTTCTTCGCCCGACTTCCCGACACAGCAAGGGGGTAATCGCCAAATGGATTGCCCTGCTCTTGGAGCGACGGGACGAACGTGCCTCGGTCCTGATATGTATTTACTCCCCACCTGGTCGTTATGAAACCAGGTGAAGGCTTCCGCTCGGGGTCTGGTATGTCTGCATCACGATCGTGCTGAAATGCGGGGTGCTCTGCGATCGGCGGTGTTGCCATTCGTTTGAGTGAAGAAGAATTTGCAGGAGGTATAGCGATAAGAGGAGATTTTGGAAACTGACAGGAGAGACTCGTAGGCGAGCTTGTGGAGCGAGAACGAGAGAGCCTCACAATGGGGACTGGGCTGTGGGATGTGCAGCTGAAGGAGCGGGTGTGGGCGTGTACTGGAATTTCGGCTGGGAGACCGGTCGCCGGTGTGCCTAAGGCCGTGGATGTGTGAGAGAGCGGTTGGGTCTCGTCGTCCTTTGAGTCATTGTTGCCTAGCACCGTGACAAAGCCGTTGGGAACGTAGTCTGGGACTTCTACCGATCCGGGTACCCTTACAGGGCGGACGAACGAGTTTGACTTTTTGTACAATGAGCCGGTTCTGCCTGATTTTCGGTGAACTGAGAGTGGCTTTACTACCATCTCGATATCGATAGATCTCGATGACTGTATGGAGCTACTTCGGCGAAGATCGAAAGCTCGATGGTATGAGGAGTCAATCGAAAGTTCTGACACCTGTGACTGGGACTTGGCCTTTTCAGCGACACTTGAGTATGATCGCATTTGACCAAGCCAAGACTCTGGTTCGTCCCGTCGCAGCGTAGGGGGAAAGAAGTGAGCTGCGCAGTCGTAGCAGAAGAAAAGTAGATGTGCAGCGCTGGCTACGTAAGTCGAGGACAAAATATCACTAGAAGTCAAAAACGTACCCAGTTAAAGACAACAATGTCAATGCCACAACCTGAAGGATTTTCTCCTCACCTCCAATTATACCGCCATGCCATTCGGTGACCAGACTATAGACAAAGCTAACATATCCTAGTGCGGCCACTTCAATTGCAGCGAAGACGTCGACGGCGTTGCGAGTGCGTTTCGAGATCCACTGTGCGGCTCGGACCTCCAAGGATATCAGGCTGAACCCATTCAATATGAGTGACAGACTCAACTACTGCATGTCAGCGTTGAGAATTCTGCGATGGTCATACTACGTACGCCTCCAATTGGCAGATATTTGTAAAGATCTCGTCCTGGCGCAGTCGAAACAGCAGTATCCTCACGCTTGTTGTACTTGTTCAAGATGATGAGATATAGGATCAAGGCTCCTATTGAGACGGCCACGGCAACTGCTCTACATAGAACGCCTGTAGATCTTCTGAGACGAGGCAATTTTTCTTCCATGGTGCAGTGTCTATGAGATATCTCAGGTTCGGTCTGGCATTAGTAAGTTTAGAAGACACTGTCCGAATGAACGGAACTTGTCCAAGCACACGAGGTAGTGAAATGACAGAGGTTGAAAGTGCAAGGACATGATTGAGGGACAGTAATATAATATAGATGATACACATCTACATGGACCATACTACGGTAGCTGAAGCCATAGTTACAGTCGACTGGCATGGAATACAATTGCATGAAGGACCCCTGACATGACTTTGGAGAAGACACACTGATCCGTGGCTAGGGCCTGGGAGCCTAGGACGAGTTTGTGAGGTGATCAACGAAGGCCAATATGGAGCCGGAACAGTGAGGACAGCCCGTAACATCCTAGCACACGGTGGGGAGTTAGGCGAGAGAAAAGGAAACGTCAAGCCAGGCTACCACATTGTGGTTGGCGTAGTGTGGGAGGTGGTGGTGGTGCATAGGATTGACAGCTGCCTCTTCACGATGCGCCAATCCTGTTTGGGAAGGTTACTCGAGACTGGAGTTCATGCGCTAACCCTATGCCTCCTCTCGGTCGGAATCAGTGTAGCATCTTTCCGGAAAGTGCAATCACCATAGAATACCACCCACATACACATGATCAGCGTCGGCCAATGATCATACGTTTAGTGTTCCTTTGGGACGTTGTGGTGAACGCACAAATTGCATATATTCTTCCGACAATCTCTCGTCTGAAGGTTGCACCGTGCGGTGATGAAGCCATCTTTGTTGTTACACGGAGAAAGGCTTGCCATCGTCATTCAGAGAGCGTGTTTGAGATCGTCCATCATTCTTGCAAAGCTGTGCGGTCGACCATGTACGAATCAGATGTCGTTCCTCCAAGCCTTGCTCTTTACTTTTACCGCCCTTTTTGCTTCGGGTCTCGTACCTATAAGATCATTCAAAATTCCCCAAAGGGTAATTTTGCGCCACAGTTGAGACTGTTCCTCGATAAGCTCTCCACTTCCGACCGAGGTGTTAAGCATACTTTGATTAGTAGTGTAGTCCAAGTAAATGTATGGTGATGCCTATGCCATAATTAGGTACCATTCAAAGGAATGTCTCGTAAGCTTGGACTAATTATCGAGACTACAATGCTAGATTGTCGTGCATGTAGTCGCCAGGCACCGCCGTCAAAGATGCGATGTCATGGTGGATATGTAGCTCTAAACGTGCGCGCAATCCGGTTGAGCTTCATATCTACCAGGTGGGAACTCCATTCATGGATTGCTTAGTTCAAGAAATGTAAATAATGTAGTGACAGACTGAGAAAACCTCATATCAGCGATGGGAGTAACATGTTAGGATTGAAGATTGAATATGGTATGTAATGTCCGAAGCGCACCATCAACATGGGGGAAAAGCTGACTGACGCCCGGTATATCGTCATTAGACGGCTTCTCATAGTGAGACAGGGTCCATTGATCAAGGGCCAAAAGGGTGGAGACTTGGACGGAAAAGACTTGGAACGAATCGAAGTCAGCGCAAATGGTCCTTATGCGGACGGAGGCAGTCAAGCCTTTTTTTGTGGGATGGAGCTTATTTGCGCACGTGGTCGCTAGGAATAGTTCATGCATCGCGGCTGGATTGACGACAGCAACTGCAAGTACGCCGAACCGGCAAATGCTCCCGTTCCTTAGCGGAAGCTTCTAGAAAAAGACAAAGATGATTCTAAGAGATGGTAGTTAGCTAATGGCGCGGCAGACTGTAATGGAGAGATGTTAGACTTTGGAGGCCAAAGATTTTGTATATTGCACGCGTCGTTAAAGAGGCACAGCACAGCACACAGCACAGGGCGATTGCGACAATTATGGAGGCTGAGCGAATTAGGTATTGGATGCAGACGGAGAATAGATGACAGCGATCAGCGAAAAGACGTAAGGTGGAGTCACATCAGCAGAGTGTATTGCGCGTGGGAATGGGGTCAACAAGTCTCGAGGCGAGGGGAGGAGACTGGAGTTGAGGGTTTAGCGGCGGGAGAAAGACATGAGAGCCCCAGCTAAGGATTAATCCTCACAAAGTGGCCCCGCGACTCCCCGGGACATTGCCAGATGTAGTCCAAGTCCATAGTAAGAAGAGCTGCATGAGATACTACGCAGTGCAGTCTAAAGCCGCCATAATGCATCTGAAGCCGATAAGGGCTGCGTGAATTTACGAGGCTGTATAAGACTACTGTCGTCACCTTGCCTCCGCTCCCATTCCCCTGGAACTCAGCACTCAGGAGACGAAAACGCGAGTGATAGCAGTTGGTAGCACCAGCTGATTTCTGCAGACCTCACGTCAGTTAAACATTAGTTTCCGACGCCGCCTCCCCCAGCCCCAACATGTCCGCGTCCATGTCCGCGTCCACATCGACCTCGCGTCCCGCCCTTTCTGCCAGAAATTCAGACTCCCTGTACCCCGAAGGACGCCGCAGGTCTAGCCTTCGCATCTTGCCCCCTCCAATCAACACAAACCACTCAAAGGACGATTTCCCCCACAGTCCAAGAAAACAAAGAACTCCAAAGTCGGCCACCTTCGTTCTTCCTCCTACGCCAGAAGGCAAAGAATATACACCTCATCTGTTATTGAGTCCAGACATGAACGGTCACGCCAATGGCAATGGCAAGCTTCTGGCCCGCCGTCCGTCGGCGCCCATGATGCCTCCCATGATGGTCTCTGCTCCTGGAAAGGTCATTGTCTTTGGGGAGCATGCCGTCGTTCATGGCAAGGTGAGTATTCCGGTTGTATGAAGTCGTTACAATTCTGTCTTCTGACCGCACCTAGAAAGCAATCGCCGCCGCCATCTCTCTCCGTTCCTATCTACTCGTAACTTTCCTCTCCAAGACTCGCCGCTCCGTCTCCTTACGCTTCCCTGACGTCGGCCTGAGCCATTCATGGAATATAGACGATCTTCCCTGGGCGGCATTCGCTGCGCCCGGTAAGAAGAAGTACTACTATGACCTAGTGACTTCTCTTGATGAAGAGCTTGTTGAAGCACTGCAACCTCATATCCAATCCATCTCCCCCAAAAAACCAGAGCAAATTCGCAAGATACATCAAGCCTCTGCTTCCGCCTTCCTTTACCTCTTCCTCTCACTCGGATCTCAGAAAAGCCCACCGTGCATCTACACCCTCCGCTCTACAATTCCGATTGGCGCCGGTCTGGGCAGCAGCGCGTCAATTGCTGTGTGTCTCGCAACCGCCTTGTTACTACAAATTCGCGCACTCAGCGGCCCGCATGAGGATCAACCTTCGGCCGAATCAGAACTACAAATCCAAAGAATCAATCATTGGGCGTTTGTTGCAGAGTGTGCCATTCATGGTAATCCTTCTGGCGTGGACAACACTGTGTCATCCGGCGGCAAAGCCGTGTTGTTTCAGCGCACCGATTATGCGGCACCTCCTAGAGTAGAGCCTCTTCGGTCTTTCCCCGAACTACCTCTTTTGCTCGTCGATACACGCCAATCGCGGAGCACCTCGGCGGAGGTGGCTAAGGTCGCTACGCTCAAAAAGACACATCCGATCATTGCTGACAATATTCTCAATTCCATTCACGATGTCACCGAATCTGCACACAATCTAATTACCAGAGACGACTTTGAGCTGAACGCCGAATCTCTACAGCATCTAGGCGAGCTCATTACTATAAACCACGGCCTTCTCGTCTCACTCGGTGTCTCCCACCCTAAACTAGAGCGCATTCGCGCCCTCATCGATCATACAGGTATCGGGTGGACTAAGCTCACTGGTGCAGGAGGAGGTGGATGTGCCATCACCATTGTCAAGCCCACAGAAGATGATGAAGTTCCTCGCCCACCTGTAGATCTCGAAAATACCCTCATCGACGAGGGTTTCCAAACCTTCCACACTACCCTTGCCGGTGACGGAGTAGGCGTTCTCTGGCCTGCCGTGCTCCACAACGGTCTTGAGGAAGAAGGTGGCACCGAAATTGATCAAGAGAAATTCCTGAATGCCGAAGGTACTGAGGGTGTTGAGACGCTCGTAGGTGTTTCGGTCAACCTCGGCAACGTCAACGCAGTCCGCGAGGGCTGGCGATTCTGGAGACCTTAAACTGAACACGATGGCCATCTCAGATAACGTGATGTTCTTGCAAGTGAACAACACTGACCTTGCGAAAGGGTATGTAAATAGTATCTTCAATCTGACTTTACATGGCGCTACTCGGATTAAAAAGAGTAGCCTCGCGGCTGGAGTTTGTGTGTCGGAAAGCGAGGCAATGGGTTGGGTTTGTTTTATTACCAAGGAGCGAAATGTACACTACACCTCTATCTATTACCGACGGCAGTAGTATCGTGATTCTAACGTAGCGAAGCTGCTGCTAAGAGTCGTCATAATGCTTATTACATGTATACATTTTATTCATGAAACTTGCGTGCTCGAAACCTAAAACCTCGCTGTGTGCGTCTCGAGTTCAGCTATTTACGATTCATGCCTCTCTTCTGTCTCTGAACACACTGTTGCCAGAGCCGTCGATAGTATCTCGTTATGCACACCCCCATTTATATACGCGGAAAACAAGTAGCGGCGTTCCCAAAACAAGATAGCCCCGAAAATATCGCAATGGCAAAGTATTCGACACCTACAGAATATTACATGACGTCGCATCTGTCCCATTTCCCGAAAGAACTGGCCATTGCATCTCGGATATTACCGCTTCAAGATACCATACCGTATGCTGCGGTATGTGTCTTTCGTTGGGGTGGTTTGGCCGTGCGTCATAGGTAATTAGAGGTAGGGCTGTGGTGCGGCTGCTGGATTGGGGAATTCCCGCGTGCTGACACGCGCGGGATGTATATTAAGTCTAAATCATAGCTACATACATGTGTGTATCTTGTATGTGTTATGATATGCAAGGCAAGTTATCCGCGCTAGAATGTGCGCGGGAACAAGTGACGTATGTATGCTCGTCTGCCTGTCTGGCTGACTATGCAAATCGTAAATGAACCTCACTCATGCGCGAGGGCGACGATGGTGTGTATATAGTTTATAACCCCAGCATGTATGGTCTGGTATGACACGGTACGGAATACAACGCGCGTGTATGGGGTAGACCAAACAAAATACGTACGCGGTCGGCCGAGATTTTTTCCCTCTGTTAGCCCGCGTCATTGGATATCGATGCCGCGAGAAAAAAATTCTTCACCAAACAAAGCGGGCGCGCAATACACACAACCGCATGCCCTTCATATTTATTTATCCTCTTCTTCCCCATACGCAGGCACACAATCACCACAGCAATCAAAAATCACACGAAAATGAAAGGGATGTATCCGCTCAATCAGCACTCCCACCTCACGGCAATCTGAGGCGACAGTTTCCTAGAGCGGCATGCTTGTTCTCCAGAGCCAATAAAGTCTGCGGTATGCAGAATGGCAACCACAATGGTTTTTCCTATGGCAGAGCGAGGACGTGGTCGTGGCATTGCTCTGTTGGTTTTTGATCGAGGAGCAGAAGAGGGTGCGAGGGGACGGCGGGCTTTTATAGAACTGTGGGAGAACCGTGCGGGGGGGACGTGCGAGTGGGCTAGAGGTGTTGGGGTTAGATCTATTGTGTTGCGCTGGGTGATTAAGGGTGCCTGAGGCCGCAAGGGCCGGGAACATCCAGGGGTGGTTTTGGTAGAAGATAATAGATAATTATGTACACTGGCTTTGTTGGTGGCTGTGTACTGTCTCGATCCTGAAGACGTACGCATTGAGTTGTCAGATAGCCGAGACAGCCACGTGAGGGCTGCATGGATTTCGATAGAAAAAGATAATCGATTTGTGAATGACTAACCACAGCAGGCATGACTGATTGTCCAAAATCAAAGAGAAAAAGTCCGTATCCGAATTACAGTACTGGAACTATCGTGACCATAAGTATACAATGACTATAAACCCACACAATGACGGCATATCAAAAGAAAGTCTACGCTATCCAAATACAACGCCTGATATATTCTCAGGCACACGTCTTGCCCATCTAGTTCTTCATTTCTTCGCCTGTACCGCCTTGGCAATATCCTGTGGCTCAGCACCACAGTTTCGGCGCTGCTCGCGACAATCGTCAATGTTCCCGCCCTGCAGCGCACCCGCCTGTGCCATAGCCTTACAGGTGCGGTACTGGATACGGCATGAGCGCACCACAGCCTCCTGTGCGTTACTAAACATGATGCTGTTGACCATGAACGGATTTGCGGCATCGCCAGAGTCAACGATGAAAGGCGCTTGTCCACCTAGAACGCCTGATGACATGCGAATCTGTTCACCTGCACCACCGAGACCAGCAACCATATCAATCACGGCTTCAGTGATATCTGCAAGCTGAGGCTGTTGCTCGACTGGTGGGGCTTCCTCGGCGGGAGTCTCGACGGGGTTTTCGCCAGGCGCAGGGGCAACGACTTCTGGAAGAGGAGCAGCTTCAACCGGGGCAGCTGGTTGCTCGCCATTGGCAGGAGCATCGCCGATAGGGGCGTCACCGGCTGGAGTAACGACACCAGACTCGGCATCGTCTGCTTCGTCTTGGGCGGGGTCGACGGCCGGCGTGCCATTATCGACAACGGTAAATTTGGTACAGTCGTCTTGAGCACCGCGCTGGGCGACAGGCATCATCACTGGTTGATGGTTCCTCGCGGATATCATGGTGCACACGCGGTAGAACCCGGGGCGGAGACCACCACCGACGAGAGCACTAAGCAAACCTTGGCCGTTCCCAGCGTCATCTATACCCTTGAAGAACGCAACACTGCTGGCATTCGGATCCCCCTTGATCGGGTCGGGAGGAGTGGTGAGACCTTGTTGGTCATCGGCACTCTCCCCGAGTCGCGAGATAGTGATGTGGCAGTGGCCGATGATCTGACCATTATTGTTGAGGTCTTGTGGGGCCGAGTAGTACGTAACGTCAGGATTGGTGAACCTATGCCAGTCAGTGATGGTTGCTATAGCAAAGGCGGTGTCGTCTTACGCTCCCGCGTCAAGACCTCTTGTCTGAACGCTGACAGTGAAGTCTGTATTAGCTGGGACCTCCGCATTGTGGGCAGGCTCAGTGATTATCGCGCTGATCATGTTCTCGACACTTGGAATGCGGCCCATGGGGATGGGGTTGCATGATCCACCATTAGCTTGTAGCCCGTTAGTGATGAGCGATCCTGTACAGAAGTTGATGAAGTTGTTTTCATCTCTATGCCATGGTCAGCATGTAAAGGATATATTGACTTGTCTCGCTCACGTGGCGGAGGCGGCTTGTCCGGCCTTAATACCTGCTGTTCCTTCCTCTTGTCCTGTCTTGGCACTGTTGGGCGAAATAACATCTGCAAAAAGACAGACTCCCTGCCGCTTGTTGAAGTAGCTCGGGGTGGGCGTGGCTGAGATCAAGCTGACCGAAGCCGCCAAGATGAGTGAAGAAGTGTAGAATTGCATGGTGGAGCGGACAACTGATTAATGGAAATAGATAGTTGAATGTAGAGATCAATATGAAAAGGTAGTAGACCTGCCACGAACGTAAAGAGAGGATAAATGAAGGGATAGTACAGTCAATGTACTGAAGACAAGGAGCCAATTGATGATCTGCGGGACCATGTGCACCTGGAGCGGAATTCTTTGAACTTATATTCAGGGTCCCCAGCAAGTCATCCCATGTACAATGGAGATTCTCTTTAGCCGTGGCTCAGTGTGCAGAGTTCATATGTGCATGACGATGAGACGAAGTGTCGCATCCAGATCCAGACTCAGGTCTCAAGGCTACTTCTTGGGGCGGATTGTGGTCCTTGGCAATCAAATATACCTCTCAAGAGTGTGAAATGGTCTCACAATTCGAGCCAGAATGCCTGATCTGAAATTCATACGGCATCTAATCATTTCAGCGCAAAGCTATCAGTCAGGTCGACCATGATATCCACTCGATACCTTGAGTGAGGATGCAGTTTGTGGACTGGACGTGATGGAAGCGATACCGATATGGCGCAGTAGCTATTGCTGACTGCACATGGTAGAAAACTGTGCTCGGGTGGGATCGAGATGGCATCAAGATGAGATCAACGCCAAAACCAAGATTTCTTCCTATAGCAAGGAATCAAGGGTGATGGGAATGTCAAACCACGAAGATTCCTGGTTCACGGCGGACCAGGTTGCTAAGTACGACTTGCGAGAACCATCGGGGCCGAAAGGCTACAAGCTTCGGTAAGGGGGTGCTTGGCATGCTTCAGGCAGGCCTTGTGAGACGAATAAAGCCAAATGTCGATCAGACGAAGCGACGCTTCACTACGAACTGCTAATTGTAGCAACTGGGGACAAGCACACAAGAGTACGCATGATGACAAGCGAGACTTGAAGTGAGAGAAGCTGAGGATCTTGACTCGGGCGGGACTAAGATGAGTAGTTTATATGAGCTTATTTTTAAACCTAAGGTAGATTTATCTTAGTAAGCTCAGACCCTACTAGACTAAGTAATTAGCAGTGTAGCACATATTAGCAGGCTTAATTAACGCCCACTTTTTCTTTCTTTCTACAGAGAGCCCAAAGCCTGTGTGCCGTTAACCCTCAGGCGTCATTCATCATACCATCCCCAAGATATGGTGTGTCACTTTTGATTAGATGTGCAAGCAACACCCACTGGCGGTCGAGTACTTCTTGTTCATGGCATGCATCGCATCGGTATTCCACAGTCCCTGCTATCGCGATATTTTCTGCTGCGATAGACGAAGGCGATCAGGACGCTGACCGGGTACGCATGAATTACTTTAAACGAGTTTCAGGGTTCTCCAATCACTCAAGCTCATAGTCTTGTAATACACTGATACTGATATCGTCCATGATCTCAGTTGCTCTTGAATATTGTTTCACACTTTCGTACAATGTCTCCTACATGAAGTCTTTCTAAAAGAGGAAAGTCGCCCTTTTCGAATCGTCCTCGGATCTCGTCAAGGCATCGATGCTATGGTGTTTTCAGCCGCTCCTCCATCGAGGAGAACTGAACCATCGCTATTAAGGAGTTTTCCTTAGAAGTCGCACAGTTTGACATCCAGGTTGCCATCTAGAAGAAGGTTTCCAATGCTGAAATCACAATGTAAAACATTTCTCCCATGGACGTAAGCAAGGCCTTCTGCAACCTGCCATGCCCACTTCAGCTTCTGGCACAGTGATATCTTGGTGGCATCCAAAAGAGTCTTATTGTCTATGTTCTTCTTAAAGATTTATCCCATAAGAAATCTCAGGGAGCATCCTATAAACGTCGAGGACCGTACTCAAGTTCGATTGCCAAACAGTCGCTTCTTCTACCACCTTGAGCGCGTCTCGTATGCCTCAGGCACCTGCTTGCGCAATTTGTCTGATCAACACTGAACCTCGCTTGCTACTTGCCCCAAAAGTTCGGCGTGTATCTTAGTGACTTTCCATATGGCCCGGTACCACTGTGTCTCTCCTTCATCATGTTAAATCAACTCGTTTAGGCCCAGCGTGTTCCCGACCGTACCGCTCATTCTTGGGATAAATGCTGGGGACATTTGTAATGCGTTGTTGATTCCCAGTCCTACATGACATATGGTGAATCCGCTCATGTCAGTCACTTGGCAGGGGCTATTCCTATATTCTAATTTGATGCCATCGATGTGGCATGATGTCTGCACGTCATGGGTTGAACGTCCTTGCCAAGAGGCTCTCCACATCGAAGTCCTAATCAGGATCTATAGGCGGAGGATTGCTTCGAGTCGTTGCCCAGGTCTCTATCCTGTCGATCTAAGTTGGCCATTAAAATTTGCGCTTACAGTGCAGTCTCTGTGGTGTAGCTTACATGGTGTAATGCGGCAACGTCTTTAACGGAATTACCGCTCATGAACTGCTCAATTGCATCTTCATCGCGTCTTACTTTTTGGAGAAGCGTTTCATAGAAGCTTTTGCATTTCTCCTGGTCAGCCACGAGTGTTGCGATCTCCAACATGGGAGGATATGCACCACTGTTGGCCCAGTCAATCAGCCAGACCTTGCCGTCAGAATCGAGAACTAAATTGCGTGGTGCTATATCCAGATGTGTAAGGACGAATATGGAAGTTTCTAAATTAAAGGGAGGTATGCTCTTGGAGACTCTGCTAAAGTTTTTGGCTATCTGCAGCCTTTCGTTGAAGTATTTCTCCAAATCTAGAGGTCCAGTGAACGGACCAGCACCGTATGGCGTGAACCATTTTCCTTGGCTAGGCCCACCGCCTAGAGGACCTGGTGTGGGTAATTGGACAGACTGTAGCTGCGCTATCATGTCTGCAACCTGATGGATTATATCATCGCGTGTGGATTGTGGAAGTGTTTCCCAGCATTTGTCTAAGGATAGACCATCAATATAGTCCATGACAATGTAGCCTAAACTTTGGAACAGGCCATAAGATTGAACAAAAAAGGATCGATGAACCTTCGGAACACGAATCGATGTCTTTTCCGCGACCAATTCCATAGCATTCACCTCCGAAGGAAGTGTATACGTATGTGATTTGATAACGAGGCCGCGGGTGATTCGGCTGACTCTGTTCCTATCCAAGGCATGAATCGTAGGTGCTGTCTCTGCGGCCAAGATCAGTTCGGCTTGTGGTATACTAAGTATATCGCGGCCTTCAAGAGGGAAGGCCGTATTGGGATCTGTCGCTGAAGGCTGTGTAACGCGTTATTCTTTTGTCAATACAGCAAACCCCGCGCTGAACTCACGTCCGACCTGGGCTCCCAGAAGTTGGAGGGGTTTGTTGTGTCCATGGTCTCGTGTTAGTACTCATCTTTGACGACGGGCTAACCAAGTAGTAGGGATTTCCTTTTCTTAGTAAACTCAGACCCTTACGTAATGGACGTTGAGGCGCCGGCCATTCTCGAAGCCTGCACTAAACTCGAACGTATCCGGGCCGAGGTGGTTCGAGTGGCGGTAAACTGTTATATATAGTATAGATTGGCACTCCTTTGTATATATACCCTTTAATAACTATTAAGAGAGCTTAATAGTAATTTATTCTATAATAGAATATATCCAATAGTTCGGGGAAATTGAGGTGGCAAATAAAGGTGAACTATGATCCTTGAAGTCATGCAGCTTCAGAATCCAGAAAAATTGTGAGAGTGCGAGCGAGGCTGAAGCGCCGATAGTTGTCGCGACGTGCAAGGATGCAGAAGTCTCACATAGAGATAACGAACGATAATGAGGTGCCATAAATGGCATGAGAGCGCAATTAAACGTAGCGGTGTTAATAGTGTCCTTTTGGGTTCAACAGCCGGGCACACAACGCTAAAACTTCTCGGCTTAGGGACACGTATGCAGCAAACAGTGTGGCTTTGCCATGGGATTTGGCTTTCTGATTGCTGACTCGGGGCAGCCTTCACACAAGAGCGCTGGGCATGGCTGCTGTTGGTCCGTCTACACGTGGCCCCAGCCCTCCCACTCCTATACATCTGTCTACTCGGCCTCCATTAGCTCCGGCCTGGCCAATACAGAGCAAGGGTAGTGAAAACGTTTCCTGGCTGCTATGATTTCTTATGATTCTCATTATAGCATCTTTGTCGCCTTCTGAAGGTAGACAGAAGGGGGTACATCTGACGTGGGCGTATGGAACATGGACCACTTTGAGCAGCCGCTGCACAGGCATTGGTGACGATGACGATCTCGCCCTAGGATCGTGCTCGTTGCCGACGAGGCGCATCTTTGCCGGACTTGGGCTAGACCACGATACCACAGGCGATGGAATCATAGCCATCATCATGATCAATTGAAGTGCACCACGAGCCGCGCTGCTGTGCTTCGGACGTTAGCAGCTGTAGCTTTAGGACCTAGATCCTGCACAGGTGGAGACATTGGATTCATACCGCTTCGTTCCACTTAGTCTGAGAAGTCTATGGAGATTCAATATCACAGCCCGTTCGCCGTGCTCAAGCCTGGTAAATACCTCGCTCAAAGTAGCTTGAGAGCAATATACAAAGAGGTGACACGTCATTGCTGCAAGATACCGCGGCATATTACCAGTGTTTGCCAGTATTGGGCTGGTTGCTGGTAGATGCGAATCGAAAATGGCGATAGTCTGGCTGCATACTATGTATGTGGACTGTCAGTGGGGCTGTGGGCACGGGCGAAATACCGTATTTGGCAAAATCCATTTGAGCCATTTCCATATTGCTTCTGCAACATAGGATTAGAGCATGAAGGTATAGTGAGCAGGTATCATCGACTAATTTATCCATATCCTTCTCCTATTAGCATTCATCCTCGATGGAAGACAGGTGCCCTGTTTAAGAGGGGGAGAGGAAGTGGGATCAGAGTTAAGACTTCATTACGGGCGTTAAGGCTTATACTACGAACGGGAACCGGAATCGGTTCCGTATCTTGAAGTAGAAATTCACTTGTGGAGCAGGGTGAATGGGTAAGTGTGCTGCAGAACGGGAACTATTTAGCGTGTTGAAGTTATTATTGGAGATTCGTTGCGATCTGGAAACTATAACATATTAAGCCAGACATTGGTACGCTGGTCTACCCTTCGTGGTCTGATATCGTATGATAAGTACACACTAGAAGCAAACAGGAGCTTGTGCGGCCCATCTAAGTACTCTTAGCGCTTTATAAGCCACTGCATTCCAGTGGACCATCCCCGGAAACTGACTGAGGAATTGAGGTTTCTTGCATGGCAATTTGTTCAATGAGACGAAGAGGATCTTGGCGAGATAGACGCATTCAATGGAGATGAATCCATGAAACACTATTGTGGAACACTGTAAAACTGCGATTCTGTAGGCGATGCTGCGTGTATAGTCGTTCCTTATCTTGATGTAACATATACGTCGTAAGTTTCACACTGGCTAGCGCTTGGCAATGAACGCAGTATAGTTGAACAAATTGATCACAGGCAGGATGAATGGCAAGCTGCCATTTGCGAGTGACCTCCGAGAATAATGCCTGATCCTGCAGGCACGTAAACGTGGAGTTTATATACTAAAATTGTTCGTATTGTCAATGGATGTTGTTATCAGGCTGACACAGGCTCGAACAAGAATCATCGCATACGCAGTGAGTTGAGCGGAATTCCTACTCATCAACTTACAACGAGCCTGACACTGAGGAATCCCCTCATATCGCGTTATAGGTTAATATGCTCGAGAACCAACTGCGCCTCCCATCGGGCTAGATGAATGTCCACGCGGAAACATCTGAATGAGACGTCTCCCGATGCCGGTCTCCAATTCAGTCCCATCTCTGGCTATCTTAACTTCCCTATTTGCGTTCCAGGGATTGCGCAATCCTCTAGTCTTGAAAAACGGTAGACGATTTGTGGAAATCCACTCTACTTTGAACGCCTTTCCCCATTCCTGATCTGCTGCAATGTCACCGTTATCAATATCCTTTGTGGAGTTATCTTCTTCTTCTGTTGCATCTTCTTCCTCGTTCTCAGACCCAGAAAGATCGGCTTCCCAAAAGATAGTGCCTCGAGCAGAGTCGTCGATGATCTTCCCTTTCGGAGCGTGCTCGGTAGCTGGAGTAGGTATCGATCGAGGTGCGTCAGCAATAGCAGTGGCAGTGGACTTGGGGAGGGAGCTCAGAAGCTGCGAGGCGTCCGAGCTGATTGGTGATGCCATGCGAGCAAAGCCAAAATACTCGCCAGACTTGTTTGCGGAAAATATCAAGTATACATTGTCTGCTGTCTAGCTGTTGTTAGTGATACTCTGGGACTACAAGATATACATGAATACCTACAGCATACGCTGTGTTGAGCGCTTGCTCATTGTGAGATTGCGTGGCCCAAATACCATTTTGAACGCTTTGCTCCAGATCTTGCATTGTCAGGCTTTTCACTATGAAGAACTTCTCAGGCATTCTATTTGTTGTTGTTTCCCCATTGACCATACCAGCTATAGGATTTTTCCCCTCTTGCGCGATGTCAACTACAGTCTCAGATGACATTGATGTTAGATCAGGAGAAGGTCCTGATGCACGACCGTCTGACATGGCTGAAGGCCCTGTAGGAACCCCAGAAGTAGGCGCTGCACTACGTCGCAGTCTACAGACTAGTCGGACTCCATAGAAACGCGAGTCATGGAATCTATGCATAGCTGCAGTGCAAGAAGTCTCGGTGCGGTAGTTGACAAAGGCGCAATTACTCTTGGAGATTAGGAAAAGACTCTCAATATCTGTGGTTGCATCGCGTGAAAAATGGTCTTTTAGATCAGTGACATTCGTCCCTGGAGGTAAGTTGCCAACCCAGAGGGCATGACCTGACTGTTTCGGTTTTCGAGGAGGACCGCGGGGTGTGGAATTCATGCTTTCAGGAGAAGGATGTGATGCGACTGCCTCTGTTTAGCAAAAGCCTGGGGGAATATTTTGCTTAATTTCAGGACTTACTCTGTATAGTATTGGTTTGATTCAAGTTTGGCTGGTTGGGTGAGTCAGTGCTATAGGTGATGGCCCCTGAATATTTATCTGGGTAGCCAAGGAGTAGGGGCGAATCTGCACCTGTGGGTGCATATTGGATCTGGCCATGTGGTATGCTTGCTTTCCTGCCGTGAGCCCTAGCATATTGCTGGGCGGGGAGAATCTGTGGTCCGTATTGTGCTGATACATAATAACCGTACTGTGGCGTTTGTGGAAGGTAACTGGGGCATGGACGTTGTTGGTGGACAGAGTAAGAAGTATAAGAGCTGGTTGCAGACATATGCCCTTGACAAAGTAAGTTGGGGTAATGACCTGAATGAGCATGTCCCACGGCATACAACGGTTGGGGTTGTCCAGAATATTGTGCGACGTGCTGGTGGTCGTAAGTTGTTGCCAAGGGAGAGGCACCGGACATGCGACTTTCGGAAGGTGTATACTGAGGAATAGTTGCTGTTATTGCGGCCATATTGAAGGCAGGAAATTGATCGTGCGAAGCAAATCCGCCATGAGGAACGTGCTGTATAGAACCTCTAGGCAGAGTCAAGTGAGAGAGATGGGACTGAGGAAGTGTTGAGTATTGATCTTGAAAAGCATACGAGGATGGCTGAGGTTGATACGAAGGTCCAGGACCTTCAGACGAATTTCCTTGGTTCCCACTATGGCCGGCTCCATGGCTTTCAGAGTCTTGCGGCTCTCTCATTTGATGTTTGACAATAACCGGTACGGCTAGCCGCTGTTGGAATCAGAAAATCTGTCATGTTAGCCAATGATTTTATGGAACACCACTATCAGTGGAGCAGAGAGAATCTGGAACAAAGAATGAGATGTAAGTACGTGGGCATGACTTACGGGAAACGAGATACCTGGTGTTTTAGGATCAGAATGCTGTTACTACCTTGATTAGAAATAAGTGAAGCTGAAGAGGACTCCAGTCAGGGACACGTTGTAAGCTCCAATTGACTGAACAGATAAGCCAAGTCGGATGACAATGGTAGATGTATAGACAAAGGGAGCTTGGGTGGACAAGATCAGTCGCGATAAGCAAGGCTGCGCACCACGGCTACGTGCTCGCTTAGGAGGAGTTGATAATGATGAACAGTATTGGCCACTAACGGAGTGAAAGCGGTCTGAAAATGAAGTTTACGTTTCAATGGTAGCCAGTACGGAGTGCAAATTCGATCGACAGCGGCAATGCCGTGTGTTGTAATTGCGCCCTAAAGGTCAGTGATGAGGAAGCGAAAATCACGGTCAGAGTATGGGGAGAATGCGGGATAAGGGGAATTTTGGCTGGATCGAAATAGTGATCCTCTGCCTCGACTTTCGCTGTTACGACTGTGACGTGGAGATTTGATTGGGCACTGTAGGCGGGTACCTTGTCGAAGGGACGTGCGCGACAGGTGAACTGTAGCTCCGGAAAGGTGAGATGATCTGCCAAGGGTCGACAACGAAGGTTCTGTCAGAGATCCTACCAACGAAGTATAGTGTCCATGCACCCAGCTGGATGATAGGCAAAGATCATTGATGGGTGTGGCGAGTGAAACTGCCGGGCCCAGTAACAGAAACTACCTGGCTGTGCAAGAGTGAGGTATGGCTGCCCGGTCGGTTCTAGGCAGAGGTTTAGGATGTAAACAATGTGAGAAATGGCTGTGTACTTTTCTCAGAACGAGCACATGTATCGGCACTCTCTGACGAGAGCAGAGATATATGCTAATGATAATGGGGCGGGCTGAGGTTGGCTAGAATATCTACTGTCTGGACTTGTAGCCACCAAAGCCAGGGGGAGTGCTCAGGGTTTTGACGAGCATAGACACTTAATGTGGGCTTCTGGATACCCAGATTACGCAACAATGCTATAGCTGGGCCGACTTGGAGTAAAAATGACTTCCATGTTGCTCGAATCCTCCACAAAACAAGGACGGGAAGTGCTCGAGTAGATGGAATCTTAGGAGACGTCAGACCTCCTCTCTTCAAACCCATGAGGTGGTAGGCACGCGCTCTTTCGAGTAAAATGCGGATCAAGGGAACCGAGCTGAGTAGAATATGGAACGCGACAGGATCTGTGCTCTAGTACAATAGGTGCACTGCCGATTTGATTGGGTGTAAGAAGAATGCACTGCGTTGGATCCGACCCGTAAAACCTGGCTCAAGTTACTAGACTAGTGCTAAAGGAGTGTCAGATGTGTCCCGTAGCTGTACAGCCACAATTTGTCCAGACACACTAACTAGCCTTGTAAGGGAAGGAAACAACGGGTTATAACAACCTCGCAAACTCGCAAACCGTTGAGAATCTGCGCCAGAACTATCCTTGGGAGTGCGGATTGCCACAAACACTCCCATTGAGGTACTCGAGTATTACTTGCATTCACTGAGTAGTCTCTATCAACGACAGGTCAGTATTGGACATGTGAAAGAGTGAGAAGTCTCAACAGGCGCTTTTTTTCTCTGGACTAGAATGTGAGCCCTTTGCAGTAGTGCTAGCATTCCGGAGAAGACTCCTTTGCCCCATCGCCAATCAGTTCCATCCGTTTCACGTGTAATAGGCTGCAATGCCGAGGAACATTTGGTCCAGGTCTTCTCTAGTTCATTTGATAACTTGGTGCCCCTTGGCCTTGTAGACCACTTACGACCGCAGCCACAGCAGGTTACTGACGAAATAAGACAGGTTAGGCATGTTCTGGTCCGCCTGTTGTTGATCTTGTGTAATACACTACGCACAATTATCTACAATCACTGATAAGTTGCCAAAAATAGAAGGACTTTCGGCAAATGACCCCGGCTCCTATGTGTTCACGATGGTTCGGATTATGGCTAGCCACATCCGATCCCGTAGATTCATGTAACCTACGGCCATGTCTTGTTGTGGTAAACCCAGCGTCGACGCTTGAGAGGTAGAATTATCGGAGCGTTGGTTCAGATGCACATAGACCAAAGGATCGGGGCACACGAACATCAGTCTACGACCGCGCGCAAGATCGCATTTGCTGAATTCTCTACCGTAGGCTAGTTGTGGCTGCTTTACAGATGCCGTTCCGAAAGCGGATAGCTTGAGTCGAGGGTCACCGCCACCACGCTGGAACTTGTGAATGTGATTTGGTGGTCGGACAGTATAATCTTGGGGTTCGGGCGGCTAGGAAAATTCCGCCTCCCTGGTTTGGAGACGGCCCGCCAGAATGACGTCTCTGGGGCGCAGGTTCGGGTTCCGCGATGACTCGACAGCTGGCCCTGATGGATCGACAAGCGAGCTTCTACACCCACTGTCAACCAGTTTGGCTCAGCCCGTATTCGTTGCCAGCACTAAGCCGCTCTGACTAGGATGGTGATATTAGGAGCAGACGCATATTGCAAGACCGTTGAGCGTGTCTGCATGTTCGCTTCAACCAATCACGAAGCGTCCATTGCTGCCTCTTCACCGACTGCTATGTCGTCGTATCTGGACTCTGCAATTAGTAATGGTGTGCGTTAATAGAGAAAGAAGCGTTCACCTTATACCGTGACAACTGGCGCAATCATCCTGCTGATATAGCCTGGAGGTCTGGTCTCATTATCCCGCGCTATCGAATCTCCACACCCTGGGGTCTGGATCTAGCCACAGATCGAGCCACACCTAAGGCACAGCCACAGCTCCGGACACTAGAGCTGGATAAAAACCACAGTAAATTACAAGGTCTACACTACAGTGCATCTATGTATATGCAATGTAATGTAACCCTGCTCTAGTATCTACTTGAATGGACTCTAGCTCATAGTCTAGATCTCTCTCCTACTGACGGCCTCCTCGTCCGTGAAGTCATTCACGGTGGCGAGCGGAACGCGAAACAGCGAACAGTAAACGGGGCTCGCCGTTCGGGGGCAACAGGGGCGGTTGAGAAATCTACGACTTTCCAATTTGACTGGCTGCTATCTAATGATCCTTTCACTCGTATACTTCATATTAAGCGGCAGATGGACAATGCTCTTCCTAAGACAGCTGATAAACAACACGTAGATCGTTCGCTGAGTCCAGAGTCAGGCGTATCGATCTGAAAACCCTACTATCTCCTCTATGGGCTACGATAGGTACTCATCACGGTTTTCATTTGGCCCACCCGACAATACTGCATTAGCTTTGCTGTAGAGTACTTGGGTAGCATAACCTGGACCGCCGTATGCGCCCCTTTCTCAAACAAATCAAGTCCATACATATGCTACTGGTCGTGCCATCTTTGAGATGTGGATCATTGTCGCTATCAGTAACACAGAAAATTTCACCATGCTACTAGCAAATCCGCCTTCTAGGCATGGCAAGATCATGGCCCGTCTCATCTCGTCCACCTTGCTATACATATTGAAAAGGACATACTAGAGAACGTGGATTAAGCGCGCCTTGGTGCAGATGGAATACCTGTTAGCATTACCCACGCCTGCCCAAAGCAGAAATCGTGACTGAAATCAATATTGAAAGAAACAGCGGCATGACGTTCAGGTCTGAGGCCTCAGAGACGATTAAAGCCAGCTTCATGCTGATCATGATAGTTGAAGACAATTAAGAAACCTAGAAGTGAGGGTCTGGTAATCCAGAGGTAATGATGACGCAATCTCCCACTGCCCGCCTTGCGTTCAGTGTTGCAGTATCACTATATTTAAACAGAAATTTATCTATAGCAGGAAGATAGACTTTCGGGCATAAGCAACGTCTTCTCCGTAAACATGGATACATTCAAGTATGTATCGCTAATTAGCATAGCCATATCAACGATGTGTAGTCGATTTTACAATAGCAGCCATTCAACGTAGTCCTCCAACGATCGGGATGGCTTATCGTGTTAAGATATATTGCAAGCCAGTTCTACGGGGGCCCACTTCTGTAAAACACGTTACAGCCTCTACCTTCCTATCTATAGTCGCCTACATCTCTTTATTGTACCACACAAGGTTATAGCGAAGTCTCGGCGCCTCGTTCTCAAACTTGTCTTCGTGTTCAAATTACTTCCAATACGGGAATAGAATCATCAGGTGTGCGAGACAAGCCCATAGAACGTACGGACTAGGATGGCATTATCTGCAGTCTTCCGAGTAAACGATTAAATCTACCTCTGCTAATATATTGATATACAGAAACTCGTAGTAATGCCGTTTATGAGTACGAGACATTTTATCCAACACGAACACGCGGAATAGGTCCTACTCGTACAGATATGTCGATACATTCCCTGTGCGCACTATAATTTCATCCGTAATAGGCACGGAAGCAAAGGTCTGAGTGCGTGGTTCCTATTTTGCTGTTTGTACTAGCTACTTGTCTCATATGAGCCCCTGGAAGTGACTGAAATGAGGAGAACACAAAGCTGCGACCAGCATCGCCCGTACACAACTCCATTGGAGTTAGACAAACTTCTAGAAAATTGAGTCGCGATCTACGTAGGCCCTGATCGTCGATTGAATCCATACTCCGCACTTGCCGCGGTGAAACCAACCGCTGGCACAACCTGTCTCGTGTATGTAGGACTTCCAGTTCTAGAGCAATTGAGGATGTAGGTACTATAGTCAGCATGTTCGGTACTCAACTTTGCGCCACGTTGCCCAACTAGAGAAATGCAGAATTTGCGAACTAGATGTTCATAAATTTGTATAGCAGCGCCGATGTGTATGGTACGACACGCATAAACGAGACCTAAATGTGAATAGTGCCCTCACAAAACCGGGGAAGATACCATGCGAAAGAAAGAGCATTGTGAGGTATTTGAGGTATCATTATTCCGTAGATACGTGTATCTATAACCACCAGACAGGTTCCACCGATTCATATGATGACTTGTTCATAAGCTTGCGTGTAGCCATCATCTTGCTTTTGAAATGACGGATTCGACTCCGGATGTGCGCAGAGACAGGTACAGCGGAAAGTTCATCTTTTCGTCCAACAGAACTGCCTAGTCCTTCGGCCATGTTCACATCGGAGTCAGATTTCGTTGGCCATTGCGCGGTCTCAACCCAGCTTCGGACTAGGTCTCGGATTGACCCATCCACCCGCGGGTCGTGTTGCTGTTCCAGCTGTGCAAGATTTGTACAGGTATCAGTATCTTGCTGCATCGAGGGCTCTGACGCCAATAGTGAAACTGGGCGCTTGAGAAGCCGAGAGAGATAGTCTCGCGTATGCACATATGAATCCGGGGGGAACAAACACTCCAAGATGTCGATGAACATTGCGCGGTGAGAGTCCGGGTAGTCTCTGGATAGACGAGCTTGCCAGCGTTCTTCCGCCCGCTCGTTGTCCTTTTCTTTCATGTACCTGCCCACTTCTCGTCGCATGATTATGAACTGCCATCGACCTAGGGTTCACCCAGTATCAGTATATGGGTTACATTATAATGCGTAGATCCAAGAGTAGATAGGCATGTGTATATGTGTAAGCTGCAGAGGTTCTGCCTTGTTCATCTCTTACTCATGCGTCTCCGGTACGAAGTAGGTGCGCGATTGGCGATGTAAGTGTTGATGAAATCTTCTATGAATTGGAAATACTCCGGTTCAGCGACAGTATCATTATGTGTTCCATTGGGAAAGGTGCGCATGATTCTCCGTTTGGTTCTGCTCAGGTTGTAAAGCTGTTTCATGTGGTATGCTCTTGGGTGTCGTTAGCACAGGCAGATCCCATTCATGGTCTGCCCTGAGTACTCACGGAACGATCTCATCCTGCTCGCCGCTGAGGAACAGAATGGGGACATCTGTGATTCGTGAAATCATCTCGTCACTTGGCCAGATCTGGTGACAGAGGATGGCAAGGAAGCGAGCCGGAGGGAATGCACTGAATATTGTTAGTCTGCAGTTAAACAGCATGTAGCACATGGCAGACCTAGGAATAAGTTTTCGCATACTCAGGAACGTGTTCTCAAGGATGAGACCTGCGATGTCTTTCTGCTCCAAGTTCCTTGCGACCAAGCCAATGCTCACAGCACCGCCGAGACTCTGTCCATATATGATGATTTTGGTATTACAAAGCTCCGCTCTTTCGCGGATGTAATCCAAACCTGTCTGCGCATCGATTGTGAGCCCCTTCTCATTTGGTGTGCCCGTACTTAGGCCATAGCCACGATACTGAAGCATCAACACATTACACCCAAGGTCTTCCTCCAGCACCTTGGCAATCGGTAGACGATAGCCAATGTTGCCAGCGTTACCATGGAACATCAGTATGGTGACCTTCCTCGCATGCGATTTGTTCGAGGGCCGAATGAGGAAAGCGTTGAGACTCTCGCCGTCCGGTGTTGGGATCATAAGCTCTTCGAAATCCGTAATACCGAATTGGGATGGCTTTGGTACATTTGCACGGCAGCCGGAAGGAATGTCGCGTGGATATATGAGTTCACTGGAATCTTACTTAGTAATGATGTAGGGTCCAGGGGTTAGGCATGCTACTTTTGTTTGAAATAAAGTACACCACTCAGAACTGCGGCGATGCTCGAGGATATGAACATAGGAATGCGCAAATAAGATAGTATGTTGTTCATGCTTGTGTGCGTGGTGGCTGTGCTATTCCTACAACCGAGGGCCTCTCACAAGGTCATTATGCCTCGTGTGCCTGAGTACAAGTTATCGGGGAGAGGTCTCGTGAGGTATGGTATATGTCGACGCAATGTGGGCGTAGGGATTCGGCTCTGAATAGGTAGGCGAGGTAGATCAGCGTTAAGGAAGAGGGTCGAGACGAGGGAGGAGAAGGAGAAGGAGGAGAAGGTAGTCTGGCGCAACACATGTTATCAAAAAGATACCTTCAGGCGGATGTATCTACGGTCGGTTTCATGTTTCATATCTTAGTGCCTGGCCTAGAAGCTTGGACCACCTGGTTTGTCGTCTTCGCAAGTGTGTTTGCCTGACCGTCAGCAACTATCACGAAGCTTCAACATCAGATCAAGCTTCGTCCATCGCTTCATCGTACCGTTGAATATCCACTCTGTTCATACCTGTCGTACTCCATTTGAACACTCCACGATCTGATCCAACATGCAGCCCACAGGCATCCTCGGTGAAGGTGAGAGCTTCCAGGCGCCTGGAAGCTTAAAGCTCACATAACAACAGATGGGATTCACGTCGATATGAACCACCTAAAGAAGGGCGAGGTCAAGTAAGATAACTTTTTGATCTTGTTTGAAACCGTCGCTAATAGTAACATAGCCTTGGAACGTCGATGTTAGACTTCCCGCATGCCTATACTTGCCGTTCGATGCTGATACAGCCTCTAGTATGGCGATCAACTTCAAAGATGGAGTTATACTGGGTGCGGATAGTCGAACGACGACGGGTGCCTACATTGCGAATCGCGTGACAGACAAGCTTACACAAGTACACGATACGATATGGTGTTGCCGGTCAGGTTCAGCAGCCGATACTCAGGCAGTTGCGGACATCGTCCATTACTATCTCGGCATGTACGGCGTCAGTAATGACGAGCCACCTACCACCCAGACTGCTGCTGCGCTGTTCCAAGATCTCTGCTACTCAAACAAGGACCAACTCAGGTAGGCATACTTACAATTGCAAGCTTTCAAGTTTGCTAATGCATCTCCAGCGCTGGCATGATCATTGCCGGCTACGATGCACGACATGGAGGTCAGGTGTACTCCATTCCTCTCGGTGGATCTCTTCATAAACAATCCTACGCAATAGGAGGATCTGGCTCAACATACATCTACGGATATTGCGACGCCAACTGGCAGGAGGGTATGACCGAGGAAGAGGGTGTGAGATTCGTCAAGGGAGCACTCGCGGAGGCGATCAAGTGGGACGGCAGTTCCGGAGGTGTGATCAGGATGGTTGTTCTGACGGCGAAGGGAGCACAAAGACACCTATATCTACCCGACAATGGCTACACAGGTCCTGGAACAAAATGAATGGCACGCTTGCGGGTGGGCAGGATGTATTATACATATGCTTCTTTGAGTCGAAGCTTTGACAAGCATATAGATCAATGACGTGCATGAGAGCGATCTTGATCGTTTTGCTGTTTGAACATACATTTGCAATGTTATTAGATATGTTTCGCCACGATGCAAGAAGGACTATCTATACCGAATCTTCCCAAGACTGAATGAAGCTGAGTCATGGTGTGGAGAGATTGCAAAAACCGTAGAAGGGCAGGGTCGGTGAAGTCAAACCCCCGACAGGGCTAATGACAGACAGCGCAAATGAAGGGCGTGCAGCTTGCATAAGCCAATCAAATGGGCGACGACGAGCATGACTGGGGACTCGGGGGTCAACGTGTTCCCCACGAGTTGGATCATCTCTATCCCATCTCAATCCCACGCCAGTGACAGAATCTCACTCTAGTCTCTAGCGACAGAAGGAATAGCTCGTGGCTCGTGGCTCATGGCTCGTGGCTCGTGGCTCGTAGCTCGTGGAGCTTGAAGGTTGTGCGGGAAGGGCGAAAATACAAAAAGTCTAACGGTGGAAATGGCGGCATCTACGCAATGAAGGCAGCGAGCGATTGGTAGGAATGCCTGTGCAATGACGAATTGTGTTATTGCAACGAACTCGGCGACGATGCGTGGACCCTGATTTCTGTGAATTGTCTTGGGCCCTAGGTGGGCAGGGTATCATCTGCGCTGGGCAGGTAATATTAGCTGTAGTAGCCTAGTACTGGCCAGGTGGAGGCCCTTCGGTCCCGCGCGCGCCGCTCTTGGGCGTCGACGAACACACACCACCATTACCACCACCACCACCACCACCACCCATGAACCCATTCGAATCTTTGCACTTACGTACTCGACCTCAACCCCTTCAACCTTTCATACCCTCCTCCCTCAACATCACCCTATACACGACACCTGTTGCTGTATCGTCTTCATCTCCGTCCTCGGGATTTTCGTATATTAATTGTAATAGCTGCCCACGCAACAAAGCTGGCCAGCTTTTGGGCGCGACTGCCTTGACTACCCTACAACCTTCTTCTACCTTATCTTGCCTATCAGAAGCCCGCATTACTTCACGACCCCGAACTTCGCTGCTTGGAAGCCTGCAATCACGAATCCTCGCTCTACGTCAATTCTCTCCATCTGCCTCCCTCACCCTACAACACACGGTCCCTCCGTCTACCTGCATCACCTAGAAGTGTACGTTCTCTCCGCATATCCTGCACATCCCACCTTACGCAGCTGTATTCGAGAGTCTCGGTAGACCCACTGCCAAGGGCTCGTTACGTCTGTCGCCCTGTTCCACCTTTGCTTCGTGCAGAAGTCGGGAACTGCGCCTCCCCTCTGCCCTGCCACGCATTGCACCTTCTTACCACAATTCACAGTGATGTTCGATATTGACGCGCTCGACCTTTCAGCGTGCTGCCGCATAGTTCGCTAACAGACTGTTCCTCCGACAGATCTTAGAATCGCATCAACAATAGCGCATATGGGATCGCTCGTAATCAGCGACGTGGTCCACCACTTTCCACATAGCGGCATGTATGGTGCCGGAAGTAGCACCCATCACCAGTCGCAGGAGTCGCATCACAGGTCTACTCCTTCCAGAAGCTCACAACAAGATGGATCCAATAACTTTCTACACACGACCGGTTCTACAGACACGCCGATGTCTGACGCCGCCGACGATCCTGCCGGGGGATACAGAAATCCACATATACAAATCGCGCACTCAGATGATATAGCGTCGCAAGCAACATCATCAGTGTCACAAGTGTCTAGTCAGCCTCCACCTAGTCCACGTTTTCGACCACATTCACAGCAATCAGCACCGATCTCAGGAGGACCAAACGACGCGTCAATTGACAGATCACAATATGTACCGTCATCAGGACCAGCATCCTCTGCTCCGTCGCCCGCCACATCAGTTCGGGTATCTACAGGTCCAGCGATAGCCTCACCACGTAGAATCAAAGTAAAAAGTCTATCACACATACAGAGCTTTGCTACGGATGAGACCAGCCCATTCTCACAAACACGCTTGATGTCGCGTCGTTCACGGAGAGATACCAATGATGTCGGACCGCAGTATGAGATTAGCGAAATGCCGGTATCGGATATCATTGAAATGGTGGCAGGCTTATTGACCAAAATCACCACGACGAATGATCGACAGCATGAACATCTTCATCGACAAATACCGCCTCCAGAAGGCGCCGGGCATCTCAGTCAGCAAACAACAAGTGTACTAGCTTTCCATGGCAAGAACGTGCCAAGTATCTCTATTCTCAGCTATCTCAGCAGAATTCATAAATACTGCCCTACCACATACGAGGTTTTCCTCAGTCTATTGGTCTATTTTGACCGTATGACCGAGAGGGTAAATGCTGGACCGATGCAAAGCCTCCGACAGGCCAATCAGCAGTCACTTGAACGCGCAGCTGCAGCCAGTGAGGGAAGTCGACATAGTTCAATATCATCGTCAGCGCTCGCTAGCCATACATCACCGGCGTCCGCAGCCCAAGCTGCTACCCCGCCTCCCTCAGGTTCTTTAGGGAATTCAACACATGCCAGCATTTCAGAGGCACATCCACCGTCTCCTCCTAATAATATGGATCGCTCACTTGACATGGACCCTTACAATCTTTCGCATTTCTTTGTAGTCGACAGTTTCAACATCCATCGTTTGGTAATTGCTGGCGTCACTTGCGCAAGCAAATTCTTCTCGGATGTATTCTACACAAACTCTAGATACGCAAAAGTATGTTCTTCTCCTTATTCTTCTATATTATTAGGCTAACATGGATTTAGGTCGGGGGGCTACCATTGGTAGAGCTAAATCACCTCGAACTCCAATTCCTTCTCCTGAACGACTTTCGGCTCGCGGTTCCACTAGAAGAGATGGAGGCATATGGGACTATGCTGGTCGAGTTCTACGCTCGTGAAGTGGTGGCACAGTCTCAAGCTTCAAGGAGTGCGCTCCCTGGAGGTCAACTCGCAGCGGTATCCACTTGAAGGACAACCTGTTGGGGGCATGACGTCACATAGACAGTCTGGCCAACTGTGTTGAAAGCTCGCATTCGAAGATCATACTAGATACCACTCAATTAGGTGGACCGAGTCACTGAGGTGGGGCAATCTCAGAGTAAAGTCGAGCCATTGTCAGGCCGGGCTCACGTTTGACACCAATTTAAATCACAACCATCACCACACATGCCGATGATATCTACGATCATTTTATACGACTCAGAGACTCACCAAGCCCTGCTGATTCTTTTTCGACATTCACACGTTGCGCTTTACAATTACACGCACATAGACTACTTCCAGACATACGATAGTAACCCCTAGAACGCCTCTACCCTTTTTTCGATAGACCGTTTTCTGTATCTTCCCATTTTCCTTCCATTCTCAATCGAGAAAACACCTCAGTCTGGTGTCCTGAGCTTAACATGTTTCCTTACTTATTTACCTGCCATATCTTTCATTAAGCTGGAAAGCAAATTCTACCCTTGGATATCGTATCTGGAAGGGGTCTTATGAAGGGCGTTCTCGGTTCCTGTTTCTGGAGGCGCATTAGGTTAGCTTGTCATGAAACGTATTTGCGGCAAGGGATTGTAAACGGGGGAAGCAGGAACCATGGCGGATGATTTCTAGTTTGCAAGGTCAAAGGGTGGGCTAACAGGGGTATGCTGGACGGTTGAGTCCACCCAACCGCGCTGCTGAACTGATGTGATAGATGTGGATGGCGTTCGAAGCGATATAGCTATTGGACTGCGTATCTTGTTGCGAGATATACTCCTTTTGCGCTTTTTCTGCGCAAAGTCTATGTTGTGAAGCTTTAACTTGACGTCAGTCCTGTGATGTTGACTAAGTTACTGATGGCTTACGACCTGTACTGCGGGTGTTCATGCGTGCCCATCGTGCACGTGTGAGTGTCATTAATGGATCGACTGACCTAATACCTAGATGGTCACAGTGCTCACAGCCCGCCCTTGATGCCTTACCCATATTCCAGGCAGTACCATATGTGTGGATATTTCAGATTTATAATACATACTGGCTATATTCATAAACTCCTGAGCGATGTGCTGTATATCACGATATCATAATCGCCGTAGAAACCGTAACAGTCATCACTTTGGACCACGGTACTCCATCTTATTTCGTTGTCGTCGTTGTTGCTGTATCGTCCATTTCGCACCTTTAGACGAGCCCCATGGCGAACAATCCAGCGAATGCGCCAACAACAAACGTCACGAAACCACCGTCTAATGTTGTCGCTGCGACCGGATTCGCTGCGGCAGACGAACTGCTCGGTGCGGCAGTTGTACTCTGCGAAGTACTCTCACGATCCGTTGAACTGGCCGCCGGTGTCGAGCTTGCTGGGGGCGTCGTTGCGTCGCCAGTCAAGTCATTTGTGACAATGATGGTCGGCTCCATGTTCGTCGGCGTCTCTACGGGGGTCTCACTGGGCATAGGCGTTTCCATAGGAGTCGAGCTAGGCATAGCTGATGGAGTCTGCTCGACTGATGTGGGCGGAGCGTTCGTGGGCTCGGGATCACCCGTTATGGACGGCATCGGAAAGAGATTATCAGTTGCAGTAGTGGCGCAAAATCCGGATGAGGATGGGTTGCATGTTGAGCCTGGGTTGCAGCATATATCGGAGAGATCACCGGAACAGAGGACGGCGGGAGACTCGCATGAAGCGCTGGCGCAAATGGCTTGAGAGGCCGCATTGAAAGAACATGGCGAGCCTGAAGGTATGGTTAGTAGTTGTTCAATCCTCAAAGTATTTGTGGCTTGGTCGCCGACGCTGGCCGGTGGGGCCTGAAAGAGAAGAACGTACCGCTTGGACAGCAACCAAAATCGTTCGGACAGAGTGTATTTGTTGTTGCAGCGCACTGAGCTTGACGTTTGCCAAGGTGATCTGGAGCTCCCGTGATCATAGGATGACGGCCTGCGAAAACGGCGGCGAGAGAGACGTGAATGTAGGAGAGTAGCAGTAAGCTGCCAGCAATCGAATAGCGACCCATGATGATGAAATTACCAAAAGTGAGGTTCTGGAGATGTATTATGTACTTGACGGTTGTGGAGGTATTGTGTGAGATAGCTGCACGCGAATCTGGTATATAATAGCGTTCCTGTCCCCCGCATTCCTTACAATAGAACTAGTAAGAGCCATCCGGACGGAACGACGGCATGTGTGTCCTGGGTTACGTACTACCTTTGTTAACAAGTGCACGACGGCCTCGGCGAAACGTGTGTGGCACATTGATTGACGGCTGCGAAGAGGCTTGATACAAATACGGCAGTCCGCATGGATTGTTAGTCCCAGAATAGCATGGTGGCCATGACTCTGCCGATTGGGGTCTAAGCAGGATCTTATGGCCGGGCCGCTCTGCACGTGAATACCAAGCACATCGGGAAAAGGATCTAGTGGTGATAATTGCTGACCAGGGTCATGTTGGTACTGCTAGATTGTAGCAGTACTAATCTACAGATTTCCCCAACCAAATGCGTGTCTACCTTGCCACAACGTTAGGCCATAGTGGCAACCCCAAAGACCGGCAAAGAAACTGTACTCAATCATAGTACAAAGTGCCCAGTTGCTGGCTGCAGTAACGATAACGCCAAGCCTGAGGTTTCGGAATAGATTGAGCCAGAAAGACAATGTATGGAAAGCTGTCGGACCTGTTGAGCCCGCTATCGGGGTATTAATGAAATATAAGGCGTAAAAGTTGGTAGTGATGATGCGCGATGGCAGGTACAGCAACTCTCTTTCGAGGAAGATATGTATAAAGTGAGCAAGTAGTTTAGAGGGACCCCGAGACAGATCTGTGGCTCGATTGTGTTCTGTCTCTTCCTCGAGATGCGGTGCCGGGATTTCGATCTCCAGTTCGAGATAGCCGCGGTCATTATCCCTTGACGTGATCCGGACTGACGGTTGTGTATTGGCAGTGGAAGTGTCGACATTGGCACGGGCCGATGAAGGTAGTGCTGCCTCATGTGGAGGGTTCTGAAGTGTTTCCGGGACATTAGATCCTGATCCCTGCAAGCCATGTAATTCGTCCTCCCAGTCATCCCTAGACCTGTCCGCGGTTTCTTGACCGTGTAGCACATCTATGTTTGACTGCGACATTAGTAATGAATCAGAAGGCTGATGACTAGCTTCGAATATGACAGTCCTTCTAGGAATTTGATGTCCCCAGCCAAAGAACCTAAGAACACGGGAGAGTGATGGGAGGTTCTTGGTGAGGCGCAGTTCAGCACGCTGCTGTCTTCGTTTCTGTGCAACTGTTCTACCAACTTCATTGGGATGAACAAGGGCCAAAGCTAGATCATCCTCTGAGATGCGGGTTATCGATCTTAGAACAGTATTGCCGATATAACGTACAACATTGTGTACCACAATGGGAGACAGTAGTATTTGCTGCCAGCTCCGGAAGCTTGGAAAGGGCGACAGTGCTGAGCCTGGCTTCCATGCCGATATGGATGGTAGAAGTGATGATAATAGTCCCGTTTGAACGAGAACCGAGTGGTAGAGCATCGGCGCGCAAAGAGAGTTCACAAACAAATCGCCACTGCGAAAGCGTTAGCATCTAATTATTCGAAACAGATTTAGATCGTACATCAGACTTGTAAGGACTAATGGGCCAGCCACATTATGCTTCTTGAAACCCAGAGTTGATAGAACAGAGTCAAACAAGCCCCTCCATAACCAAGACAGACATTCAACACCTGTAGGCACAATACCAGCACCTATGAAATGGCAGAGAAATGAACGGGAGACCGGACGGAAGCTACGATTATACTCCTCGACAAGGATTTGCATGAATGTCATATCAGAGGAAGCCCATTTAACCTATCAAATTGTCAATCGTTATCAAGGGAATGGTAGCGAGACTCCCTACCGCAAATCGAGTCTTCATTACAACTGCCCACCAGCTAAATGGTATGGAAGCAAATGTAATGCCGTCCATGAGCACTTCGGCATACTCATTTTCCATGCGTTCGACTGAGTGACTCTGTGTGTTCGAAGATCCATCCCTGTGCAAAGGCCACTTCCGTTCAACGGCGCCAATTGCCGCGAGCACATCGTTTTGTGCTTCTCGCAGGCGTTTCCCTAGTTCATGTGATCTATGATTGACGGGGTGTCCTCTTGTGTCATATTGCTGCACATAGGTCCTGTTGGCTTGGCCGTGAACATCTCTATCATGATCGTTACACGCTTCGGCCACTGGAAATGGAACTAAGTCTGGATCTGGAGGCTCAAAAGCTGATCGGCCCTGGTATCGTCAGTCGCGCTCGAGACATTTGCATTTTCATGCAGTGAGGTCGATGGAAGGATTAGATTGTGGCAAGTCAAACGCGTGAGTCGCAGCTTCTTCGTTGACTCAGCTAGCTACTACTTTGTGCGCGTTGGAATTATTATGTCGACGATTTCAAGGTTTAATAGGCAAGGTGTACTCACAAAGGCAAGGCGGGATAGGTACACTTGTCTGCCCATGTCTCCCTATCTGGGTAGTGCGTGTGTCATGGTTCGCTACTTATAATCTCACACTTTTTCGTTGACTCTCTGTACGAGCACTAAGGTTGATGTCTGTTCGAGGCTCTGATACCCAGTCCTATGGGCATATTCGCACTAAAATACTAGCGTCACTATACCTAAGCACTAACCCTAATTTTGACCCGATTATCGATAAGGAACATTTTTTAGATCAACGTCTACAAGGAATGAAGACATAACTTTGCGCCCATTACATCAGCTCTCATACCCACGATCCGACATACAACCCATCTGATGGAAATTATCACACGTAGGTAGTAGCTAGTCTCGAATACTTAGAGAGTCAAAAATAGGCACAACCTACTATGGCGCATCGCCCGACCGTCAAAACGACCTACGCACAAAGCCGAACAATACAACCAATATATACTGGTGGTAGTATAGATCTCAATGAGGAAGGTAGCATTCTTGCGACATGCTTGGGAGAAGATGTTCTTATTACGAACCTTAGTTCAGGTCAGGAGCTTGCACGTATTGAAGGCGTAAGTGGCCATGCTATAGAGCATCGTGTCTATGTCCTGACGTTGACCAATAGTGTAGGACGGTGAGGTAATAACCAGCCTCGTATGTGAGTAAATTCTGTTCAATATATAGACCATTTGACTAATCTCTTTTAGTGACGCCAAAGTCAACGCAATTGATCATATGTTCACGATCCTTATCCATGCGGATATACTCACTGCGCAAAGATGAGTCCCTTGAGGAGAGACTTGTCGCAGAACTCAAATACACACTCAAACCACATACAGCTCCTGTTGTTACTACTGCTGTGAATCGGCATGGATCGCACCTTGCTACAGGTGGTGCAGATGGAATTGTGAAGATATGGGACATTCAAGGAGGGTTCAATACACATAACTTTCACGGTCATGGAGGTTTAGTCACTGCACTACACTTCTTTGAGGTTGAATCGCCAGCGGTCGGGACGGAGAAGACATCCGATAAGCGAAGGAAGACTCTGGATGAGCAAGCTGGTATTCGACTTGCTTCAGGAGCAGAGGATGGAAAGATAAGAATCTGGAACCTGTCAGAAAAGTCTAAAGCATCAAGTGTGGCGACACTTGATTCTCATGTAACGGTTGTGAGGAGCATTGACTTCTCACCGGAAGAGAATGCACTCGTGTCCGCAAGTCGCGACAAGACAATGGTTGTTTGGGATGCCAGAACATGGAAACCCAGGATCACGGTTCCAATACTGGAAAGTCTCGAAGCTGTTGGATTCATGCAAGCTGGAACAGTGGTCTATACTGGAGGCGAGAACGGGCATGTCCGACTGTGGGCTACAGATGGCGGGCGCGAATTGACGGGAGCTCAAGAGCCCTGTTCCGAGACCGATGCTATTGTCAATATCCTGCACCGGCAAGATGTTGTACTCTCTGTGCATGCAGATCAAACATTGGTTCTCCTGTCCAAGGCTTCACTAGCCCAACTTGACAGAAGTAAAATGATAAAGCCTCTAGAAGTCATCAGAAGGATATCTGGAACGCACGATGAAGTCATTGATCTTGCGTATGTAGGAAAAGATCGGTCATGTCTAGCTCTTGCGACTAACCTTGAGGATATTCGAATCATATCGGTAGCCGAACCAGGGAAGTCAAACACACAGCATGATAGCTTACATTTTGGATCAGACATTGCGCTCTTGAAGGGACACGAGGACATCATTATATGCCTTGATGTTGACTGGTCTGGGCACTGGCTAGCAACAGGGGCAAAAGACAATACAGCTCGACTTTGGCGACTCGACCCTCAGGGAAAATCGTTCACTTGTTATGCAACGTTTACCGGCCATGCTGAATCGCTTGGAGCCATAGCATTACCACACACAGTTCCGGCTATAAGCTCTCAGGCATACTCACACCCGCTCGAGCACCCACCGTCTTTTCTGATAACTGGCTCTCAAGACAAGACTGTCAAGCGATGGGATGTGTCCAAGTCAGATAACAGCAAGTCTTCACGAGCAGTATATACACGTAAAGCGCACGACAAAGACATCAACGCCTTGGATACGTCTCCGAACGATTGTCTGTTCGCCTCAGCATCTCAGGACCGGACAGTCAAGATCTGGGACACAGAGTCAGGAGAAACTATTGGTGTCCTTCGAGGCCATCGACGAGGTGTTTGGACTGTCAAATTTGCGCCCACCGGTATACCATCCATCGAAGGAGGCGGGACGCGTGGAGTGATAGCCACAGGCAGTGGAGATAAGACTGTCAAAATTTGGAGCCTAGAAAATTACAACTGTCTACATACCTTTGAAGGCCACTCGAACAGCGTATTGAAGGTGATTTGGCTACCTATCAAGGTAATTGATGCGCGAGACAGACGAGGAGCACAAGTAGCATCGGCAGCTGGTGATGGTCTTGTCAAAATATGGGATACTCAATCAGGAGAAGAGGAATGCACGTTGGACAACCACATTGATCGCGTATGGGCTCTTACTGTGAACCCAGAGACCAATGTTGTTGCATCTGGTGCCGCAGATAGTGTCATCACGTTCTGGAACGACACAACCAGCACAACAGTATCAGAAGCTGTGACCCGTGCGACAGAACGCGTCGAGCAAGATCAAAAATTACAGAACCTGATACACTCCTCGAACTACCGGGAAGCCATCGTCCTCGCACTTCAGCTCAATCACCCAGCACGCCTATTCTCTTTGTTTCAATCAGTTGTGGAGTCCGACCCTCACGATGAAGGCTCTATGTCTGGTCGTCTTGCAGTAGACGAGGTGCTTGGGTCACTAGCGGATGAACAGTTATTTCACTTACTCATGAGACTGCGCGACTGGAATGCAAGCGCTAAGACATGCCAGGTTGCCCAGCGCATATTGTGGACAATTGTCAGAACCTATGATGCAGAAAGACTTGCTAGCATTAGGAGCAGAACTAAGGGAAGGGAACAAGTACAGATGAGAGATCTGCTTGATGGCATAAAAGCGTATACCGAGAGACATTTCAAACGTCTGGAAGAGATGATAGACGAAAGCTTCCTCGTGGACTTTACCTTGGCGCAAATGGATGGCTTGGGTCTTGTGAGGAACGTCATTAAAGGAAATTCTGACAGCGCAGGAAACCCGAGTGGCGTTGACGATATAATCATGGTTGAATAAGTAGAATATCTACCTCTGGTGTAAACATAAAATCATATCAGTTTCGTGCACGTGAAATTCATATATGTATAACTTGTGGAGTGATAGTCATCATTTGTATGCTATATAAACTCGTAAAATACTCCATACACTACATTGGTATCTCGATATCAGTACATTGTTGTGCCACCAATGGTACGATGTTAACGCTGGGTACGAGTAGTCACCGATTGCTCTCGTAAACCACACTCAATTCTCATAACTCTAACCGTTCCTATAGCTCAAAAAATAAACCACATTCTGGGTAAGATTGAAAGAAAAGATATTCCGATCTGTATTCTGCTAAATATTTAAAGTATATGAATAAAGTTAGGTATAGTTACGGATTTCTTTAGTGAGGTCTTGACCTAAAAAGAGCCTACCCGTCGGCGTTATTGTGTTATGATTGGCCGAAGTCGAGCGCTAGCGGTCGATATCCGGCATCGAAATTTTGAGGTCGCGCGTCGGTATAATATTAGAGAAGGGAGACAACTTTGAACAACCAAGCTCCAAACCCCTACTAAAGCCTTGAGATACGCATCATGGTTTGTTGTGTTATCTTGATGTTCGAAGCATGAGCTAACTCCACACACAGTCTCAGAATCCTACTCAGATCTTCGCGGACGATGTCACGGAGGAGAAAGGCGAGAATGCGCGTCTTTCAGCTTTTGTTGGTGCTATAGCCGTCGGTGATCTTGTCAAAAGCACGCTGGGTCCGAAAGGCATGGACAAGATCTTACAGTCTGCGTAAGTGTACCGGGGACGCATACGATAAGACTATATTCTCACAACTATTGGCAGGTCTACGGGCGAAATCATGGTCACGAACGACGGTGCCACCATCCTCAAGTCAATCGCACTGGATAATGCTGCTGCGAAAGTCCTAGTAAATATCTCAAAAGTACAAGACGACGAGGTCGGTGATGGCACTACGTCAGTAGCTGTACTTGCTGCGGAACTGTTACGCGAGGCGGAATTCCTCGTGAACCAGAAGATTCACCCACAAACGATCATCGAAGGCTATAGGATAGCAAGCCATGCTGCACTGAAGGCGCTCGAGAATGAAGCTGTGGATCATAGCAAAGATCCAATCGCGTTCCGTAAAGATCTCATCGCAATTGCGCGGACTACGCTCAGTTCGAAAGTTCTCAGTCAAGATCGCGAACATTTTGCGGAGCTAGCGGTGGATGCTGTTCTTAGGATGCAAGGCTCGACTGATTTGACGCATATACAGATCATTAAGAAGGCAGGAGGAAAGCTGAGGGAGTCATATCTCGATGAGGGGTTCATCCTGGACAAGAGATTTGGTGTCAACCAGCCGAAGCGGATAGAGAATGCCAAAATTCTAGTCGCGAACACATCCATGGATACAGATAAAATCAAGATATTCGGCGCGAGGGTAAAGGTAGACTCCACAGGCAAGCTCGCTGAGCTGGAGAAGGCCGAAAGGGAAAAGATGAAAGGCAAGGTCGATCGCATTAAGGCCCACGGAATCAACTGTTTTGTGAACAGGCAGCTCATCTACAACTGGCCCGAGCAGCTCTTCGCCGATGCCGGGGTATCGTCCATCGAACACGCAGACTTTGATGGAGTCGAACGACTAGCTTTAGTGACGGGAGGAGAAATCACATCAACCTTCGATCACCCCGAACAGGTCAAACTCGGACACTGTGATCTGATTGAGGAGGTGATAATTGGAGAAGACACATTGATAAAGTTCTCGGGCTGCGCCGCAGGTAAGGCATGCACTGTGGTTCTACGCGGAGCTACCGAGCAACTACTTGACGAGGCAGAGCGATCTCTGCACGATGCCCTTGCCGTGCTATCACAGACAGTCAAAGAGCCGAAGGTTACACTGGGAGGAGGATGTGCGGAGATGGTTATGGCTAAGGCGGTTGACCAAGCATCTCAAAACGTGGCAGGCAAGAAGGCACTAGCAGTCGATTCGTTTTCGAAAGCTTTAAGGCAACTCCCTACAATTCTCGCAGACAATGCCGGTTTTGACTCTAGCGATCTTGTGGCACGGCTCCGCAAAGCAGTCTATTCTGGCATGACCAATTCCGGGCTAGACATGCTCTCTCCAGGTGGAGGCATCGCAGACATGCGTGAACTTGGTGTGATCGAGAGCTACAAGCTCAAGCGCGCGGTGGTATCGTCGGCATCAGAAGCCGCAGAAGTAAGTTTGATTAATATGAAACTCTGCCCACGGAGAGGATTAACAAGATACCAGCTACTCTTGAGAGTCGACAATATCATCAGAAGCGCACCACGGAAGCGTGATCGCATGTGAGGAGATGTTATGGAGTCAAAACGTCAACACGACGGACCTGGACAGGGGACTTGTGCGCATTGTGGTGAAAGTACGGTACCTTTCGTGCCAAAGGCAAAGTAGCATCGGCAATCATTTCTTCATTGCATGCCGGCAAGCGCAGAATAATAATGTCTCTCCGTAGGCGACTTTAGAAGATACCATGTAGACCGAAAGTCACACAGTCCACGCTCCAAGTTACAGAGACTTTAATTGCATATGCGATATGCTGTATGAGATATAACTAGATCCGACCTCTTCACTCTCAATCAATCTGGAGCAATATGCACGTACTACAATGCAACATGCTGGTCGTATCGTCAGGACTGTACCAGTCGCTGGTTGGAGTACAAATTTCATTCAGAGGTTGGATCAGCAATGCTAAAAATGCATCACACAGCGTTAAAATGCCGATTCACCCCTTTCGTCGCGCTCACCGGATTGCTCCATTTTGGCAAACGTTAGAGTGGCCATTACTAGCTGCGTCTGAAGAACACCTAACGTGTTATTCTGAGTTCATTCGATCTTTGCAGACTTAACAGAAGTTAGCAGCATCATGGCGAGTGAATGTGTCCTGACGTGAGAGCAGCGCGATGAAACAGAGGGAAGATGTAGGGCTCTGATGGTGATCCGTGGGTGACAGGCGGGCTAGAAAAACCACCTGGCGGATTGGTTGGCCTGACCTGAGACGAGCGAACGCGATTCCAGAGTGTTCGCTAATAATGCTCCGCCTCTCCAACCACAAAACCTCCTCATTTGCTTCTTATACCTCACCCTTCACGTAGCGCAACGGCAATCCCAACGTCCATCACATTTATTACCCCTGGTCTGATGCTACATCCTCCGAATACTTCTAGCCTACCGCAGGCTCGACTCTCGAAACCGTAGTGCCGTCGAACTGAACCTACCAAAATGCCGCGAGGCCGACCTCGCAATCTAACCCCAACTCTCAGCTCCTCGTTGTTGACAGTCCTCCTCCTTTCTTCGCTTTCGACATTCGCCGCGACCGCTCCGCAGCAGCAACCGCAAGATGGCATTCCATTCGTCGGACAACATCACATAGTAGATACGGTAAGCCCGGATCAACATACCCACGCGGGCCGCATACCGTACCAACAGAAACGCAATCTCCCAGTAGCCGCACAGAATGAGCGCGCCGTTGCAACTCTGCCCTCTGCTCCAGCAGTCTCGCTTGCTGCCGTACATAGAGCGCCTTCCAGTTCTACCGCCGCTGGTGGTATTATCACGCGACCAGACAGTGCGCGGAATCTCCAGGACTGGGAGGTAGAGGACTTTGTTCTCTTGGCGACCGTTGACGGTCAGATTCATGCAAGAGATAGAGAGACGGGCCAGGAGAGATGGTCCCTTTACGTTGGACGCCCGATGGTAGAAACAACGTATAGCAAGAACAAAAGCTCTGATCCTGACGTGGAGTCCCAAGAGATGCCCTTTATATGGATTGTGGAGCCTAGTCAAGATGGGAACATCTATGTTTATACGCCTCAAGCCAACTCGATGCAAAAGTTAGATGTTACCGTCCAGATGTTAGCCGAGATGTCGCCTTGGTCAACCAGTGATCCCCCTATGGTATACACTGCCGAAAAACGAACGACACTTTACACTATCGATGCTCGAAGTGGGAATGTCCTGCGGCGGTTCAGCTCAGGGGGCTCGACCACGTACAACACCACCAAATGTGATCGTACCACAGGATTTGAACCTTCGAACAAGGAATGTGTAGGTTCCTTGACATTGGGTCAGATCGAGTACACCGTCAGCATACAGAACAGAGACACGGGCGAGGATATATGTACCATCAACTTCTTCGAGTGGAGTCACAACAAGAAAGACAATGATCTGTACGACCAATACTTGTCTACAATGGACAATAAGTACGTGTACAGCAAGTATGACGGTACCATATTCGCACTAGATCATACACAGCACCGTAAGATCTACCCGCAGCGTCCTGTATATACGCGCAAGCTCGATTCGCCCGTAGTTCGGGTCTTCGACGTCGCCCGACCGTACCATGATGACTCTCCTGATCCACCTCTTCTCCTCCTACCGCAACCACATTCAAATGTCGAGAATGAAGGGAAGGATATATGGGTCAATTGTACGGAGGCTGGCTCGTGGTACGCGATGTCAGAGTTCAATTATCCCGCTGTAACCGATGGAGCTTCCGAGGCGAAATGCTATCATCCTGAACAGCCATTTTTGTCTTGGTCTGAAGATACCAAATCGTTTTCGTCTAGGAAATCCTTGGTCGGCGTGCACTCCCTAGCTAATGAATTAGAGAAGATTGAGTATCCGGATGTGCCATTCATTGAGGCTGGGCCGTCCAAAGAAACTCAACGACCCACAGAGCCAGAAGTACCTTCAGACACCGCGCCTTTCGGCGCAGTTTCAACAGCAAAGTCATCCTTGACCATTCTTTTCTTGGCGATTTTAGTCCCTCTATGTTTGGCTTTGGCTCCAAAGGACGTTGTGAAGCAGATGTCACGAGACATACTGGGAAAGGTACATGTCAGTCCCGAAAAGAGCGACTCCTGCGGTCCAACTTTCCAAGAGCAACCGATCACCGTGGACCCTTGCATATCAGAGGATGTAGACGAGTCGAAACCTCGAGTTCATTTCGCCGACGAAGCTAACCGCTCTATGGAAAGCGGTAATTCTCATCAAGTCACAGTCGTCAAGACTGTAAGCTCTTCTCACGAAGATAGCGACGACATCCAACAAGGCTCAACTCATGCTCCAAAAAATTCGAACAGTGAAGACTCAGCTCATGAAAACGATGAACGCAAACCCAATGGAGATGACGCAGATCCTGATGCGACCCCTAAAAAGAAGAAGGCCCATAGAGGGCAAAGAGGTGGAAGAAAACGCAGGAAACCTACGAAGAGTGGCATCGACGATATAGCGGCCGAGCAAGACGATATCGCGAAAATCATTGAACAAGCCAAAAATGTGGAGTTGGAAAGTGGATTGCACCCTGATGAAATCACAATCAATGGTCGCAGTAGTGTCACAGACATTTCTGGCCCCATTCAACTTGGAAAACTGACAATCTACACCGATCGGATTCTGGGCAATGGAAGTGGCGGTACGTTTGTCTTTGAGGGCAAATGGAAGGAAAGAGACGTAGCAATCAAACGTATGCTGCCGCAGTATTTTGGTCTGGCCGAGCAAGAAGTGTCTCTTCTCCAACAAAGCGACCTCCATCCAAACGTCATTCGTTACTTCGATGATGAGCGAGACCAGAATTTTCTTTACATCGCCGTCGAGCTTTGTCAGGCTAGCTTGTGGGACTTGTATCGCGAAGCAGGAAGTGGGGAACCATTGACCGATGAACAACACGCACTTGTCACACAGATCAATAGCGATGTTCCAACAGTCCTAAAACAGCTCGCAGCTGGACTTGCCCATCTGCACAGCCTCCGCATTATTCATCGCGATATAAAACCACAGAACATTCTGATAGCATATCCACACAAAGGCCATAAAGGAGGACCACGTTTGGTGATTTCAGACTTTGGTCTCTGCAAGACTCTTCCCGACAATGTCAGCACTCTCATAGGCACGACAAATAATGCAGGAACAATCGGGTGGAAGGCCCCAGAACTCATTCTGCAGCCTAAAGAGAATGAGCGCAATAGCGCGAGCGCGGCACACAGCCGTGATTCAACGAGCTCGACCGACCTAGTCTCAGGTGTCAAACGTGCTGTCGACATATTCTCTTTAGGATGCGTGTTTTATTACGTTCTCACGAATGGCTCGCATCCTTTCGATGATGAAGAGGGCTGGGCGCAAGTTCGCGAGCTCAATATTAAGAAGAACAAGTTTAACTTCAGTCGTCTGGACTACCTTGGATCTGATGTTGAGGAGCCAATCGACCTGCTTCACTGGATGCTCTCGCCTCATCCAGAGATGCGGCCCACGGCATGGCAAGTCATGCAACATCCATTCTTTTGGTCTGCGGAGAAACGCCTCAATTTCCTGTGCGACGTGTCCGACCATTGGGAACGTGAGCCTCGCGATCCTCCCTCTGTACACCTGACTAGGCTTGAGAATATGAATCTTGAGGTTATCATGGACCGATCCAGAAAAGGTGGTTTCCCAGATTTCCTCGCCCGTCTTGATCGGAAGTTCGTCGACACTCTCGGCAAACAAAGGAAATACACAGGCGATCGTCTACTGGATCTGCTACGTGCTTTCAGGAACAAGAAGAACCACTACGAGGACATGCCTGCCGACGTCAAAGCCAAGGTGGGACCACTCCCGCATGGATACCTTGCGTATTGGAATTCGAGGTTCCCGAAGCTACTAATGGCGTGCTACAAAGTTGTGATGGAGTGTGATCTGCAAGAGCAACCGCGATTCCTACCGTACTTCACGGGCGAGTCGTGAGAGGGTATATCACAACATCTTGCATCGGTTCCTAACATACATATCGCTTACATAGGAATGGAGGACCGCTAAATGACGGTAGCATTCTGATCAACTCTATTCCCCGAGATATTCCCCGTACAAAGCACTCCTTTTTCCCGGTCGAAGACAAGCTACGCCACTCATGAATGTGCTGTGATTATACACGAGATCCCCGCATCCGTCCTTTAGGCCCTGAATGCGCACCTTACTCATTCGCTACACAAGACTTCAATGTTGTAGTGTCATGTGCTGGAAACAAGACGCGAGAGCTCACCATGTTGCGCATCTTTCGCCTTTGGCTAGTCAGCGCAGCTAATAGTGGAAGGCACGTTCGATACTTGCCGCTGGCGACCTGACAGAGGTGCGGAACATTGACCTACCTATGAGTTAGATGAGCGAATTTTTGAGTTATCCTTCCCGTGATAGCTGGCCTGTATAATATGTACGTTCATCATTACTGAAACGACAGAAAAAATATTATGAAGCACACGACTTAGGATGTATCTAACCCTACCGAGTTCGTGTGTATTAGAGATCTCGTCGGTATTCTCCCACTAAGCAGACTGTCCTCTCTTATATGCCCGTGTGCTATCTACACATAATCACACACGACCCCACTACTTCCACTCACGGCACAACTCGTCAACACTGTGCCACTCTGTTTGATATCCAGTATACTAGCCCCCGTCACCCCAACCGTTGCACTTCCAGTGCTCGCACTCGCGCCCGTGAACTCCACCTTCCCGAAATCCGCAAACGGGACCAGACCCCCGCTGCTGCTAAAGTCCTCGACGATCCATTCAGCATTTGTCTCACAGAGATGCGCGGACTGCGCGGTGAACGTGTGCGTGACAGTCTTGCCGGTGGACTCGTTTGTGACGGTGGCGCTGCCGCCGGACACCGAGGACGCGGTGACGGTCATGGTGATGGTGTTGCCGGCAGAGATGGGGATAGAGGCAAAATTATAGGCGTAGTCTGGATACCATTCGTACCAGGCGTCGAAGCTGACAGTGCCTGTGGTGGTTCCTCAGCATTCTGACAGTTTGAGGGGTATTGGTGTGCTTATGGATGGCTTGTTGAAGTGGGCTAATAACTTACTGCCTTGGACATAGAAATCTACACCCGTCTGCAGGATTGACGTGCTACATGTGTCTCCATCGATTCCGACCCATGCGGACGCGGCGTACTCGGTTTTGGACGAGCCGCCAGAGGGGATACTGGGTGTGGGCACGACGATAGTGCCGGTGACGGACTTATAGCCCGTTCCGATGAGCACAGCGCCGGCCCAGTTGGTAGAGTATTCGGCGTGGGTAGTGTTTACTGGGATGCCGACATGAGTGCTGTCGAGAGTGGTCTCGACAACAGGAATTGGGGGATTGGATTGGCGTTGAGCAGCTCGTTTGAGATGGCGATCGCGGCGTTGGGAAGTGAAGGGGGCAGCGAAAGCCGGGACAGTACACAGGATGGTTGTCAGAGGGGTGGAAAGTTTCATGGTGATGGTACTGGGTAATGAATGTATGATCGGATGGGCGGTATGGCTTTGATATACGTTGTTTGGGGAGCTGGAAGTGTGAGGGTTGAGACTGAGAGGGAGCGAAGGAATATATGGGGTTATATAGACATGTTGAGAGATAGTATTGATACCGGACAACGCTTCACTGTAAGCTGTCCTATCGCGCGTCGCCAAGGGGATCATAGTAGAAGGAGAGATTGTGATATCGAAAGGATATGCGATACAACCCTAGCCCATATTCTGGGAGATGGATCATGCACCTACCTTTTCGAGAATCAACATGCCAACACTGGAGGATCACAGTTTCTAGCGAGATCCTCGGGCCCCATGTGATCCGATGTATTGCTGTATATACGGGATCGCTCAAAGACATGCAGGACGCGCTTTGTTGGTCCCTGTCGAGGATGAGGTCGGGGTGTGCAAATGGTTCAATGATAATGTTCCAGCTGGGATCTTGCCATATATTGTGGTCTAAGGATAAATAAGTGTTCGAGTGGCCTGGTGGTAGTATTAGATATGGCGTGGCAAACAACTCGCGACCTGTGCCACTCAGCGAGGCTATCCGTGCCATGAGTGGTTGGACTGTCCATATCTCTTTCTGCAATATTCTTGGTACAGCCCTTTGAACATGACGTGAAACCCAGATCCCTAGCTGTCAAGTGACTCGTTTCGGCACACGAGATGGCATAGGTTGGGATTGTGTTTGACTGAAGTAGGCTGCATTCGTGGACTCAGTCTAAGTATGCAATGATCCATACAAGTTCCAGACGATCAATTCCCCAAAGACAACTTTGAGTGCTCATGGCTAGCCAATCTTCTGCATGCACGAGACGAGAAGTCGTCGTGAACCTGGTTACCCTTGTCAACAAGATACGCGCCGAGCCACATGAAGCTTTCACAAGCATTGCTTGTTCACCAGAATGATGGCAGTCTCCTCCCATGGTATGAGATAAGCTTTTATAAGACCAATCTTGTTGTTAGCCAGACGAATAGAGTAGATGATCAGGCGAGGACTATAAGCGAGGCAGGGACGTGGTGCTTAAGAGATAAGGCCGATATAGCAAGTTTCCTATTCCAGCTGGACTCCCGTAGGCCCTAGGTGTTTTGCCATCTTTTCCAACCATGGAAAGCGAGTTCGCGATGGAGTATAGGTCTGGAGCTTCCAACACACTTTTGAGAGGACATATACTAGTTTAGCACACGCAGAGAAACAAGAATCGTCTATTCAGACCTTACCAGCATGGTTTGATATTGTTCTCAATCTTGAGAGGACATGCATCTGGATTTAATGGAAGAACTCAATAACCAACGAAATATCGTTCAGAGTCGCCACGTGAACGATCGACTTTGAACTACCCAGGTGATCTGAGAAGTTGTTGATAGACAAGCTTCACACGGTATTAAAGTAGGGAACGTGACGAGCATCGCTTTGTAACATGACATTCAAATTGGCGAAAGGAAAACAACAGCGAATTCTGGAGAGCTGAAGTTTCACTTGGTTTGGACTTAATTTTCTGGTAGTACTTCGATCACGTGATATTGTCCCTCCTTAGCTCGGGCTGAACTAAGCGGCATGTGCAGAAGCCATCAAGGTCCTCTCCCAATCCACGACTCTCTTGACACCTCAATATGAAGGGTACATGGTTGTTAAGCTCCCTGGTGGGCATCTCCCCAGTCCTTGGAAGATTGTCTTCGCTAGATGAGCACCAATTACTCCCATATCATGAGGTCAGCCACGAAGCTCAAGCTGCCCAGGTACCTGTGAACGAGCTTCACAAATCTAACGCACATATCCCATTGCTTGACACAGCTTTCCGCGAGAAACTGTTAGACCTGCACAAGCATCTTGTCGAGATTGAGTCTGTGTCTGGGAACGAGCTGATGGTCGGAAAATGGTTATGGAGATATCTCATCAACAATGGCTTCTCGGTCGAGAGACAGGAGGTTGAGAAGGATCGATATAATATTTACGCATGGGGTGGAAACGAGGATGAGAAGGACGATGTAGAGGTGATCTTGACAAGCCATATCGATACGGTACGTGCGATTCGACGGCCATTGCTTCTTGTCTAATGCCACCAGGTCCCACCATTCATCCCATACAGCATTATCGACAACGGTACATCGATTGCTGGTCGAGGATCTGTCGATGCGAAGGGTAGTGTTGCTACTCAGATCACCGCCGTATTGTCCCTCCTTGCAGAAGACAGTATCCCACGTTCCAAGATCGGCCTGCTCTACGTGGTCGGGGAAGAAGTCAACGCAGCTGGGATGAGATTTTTTTCGTCTTCTCCATTGAATAAGAAAAATTACACTGCCGTAATATTTGGAGAACCAACTGAGGAGAAGCTTTGCAGTGGTCATAAGGGTAACTTCAGGCTCGTAATCGACGTACAAGGAAGAGCTGCCCATAGCGGCTACCCCTGGCTTGGACTCAGTGCCAATGATGTGCTCGTTGAGGCGCTCAGCATCATCAAGGGGCTAGAGTCTGGTCAAGGAGACGGTCTGCCATGGGATGAGGACATGGGAAACACAACGGTAAATATTGGAAAGGTGGAAGGAGGTGTTGCTGCGAACGTTGTGGCAGAACATGCAACAGCTGAACTACTCTTTCGCGTTGCAGCTTCTACGCCTGAGAAGATTGCAGCTAGTGTTGAGCATGCCCTCAAGGATGTGATCAAATATACTAGAAGTAACGGCGGAAACTTTACTCTCGACACCAGTGGGAAAGGCTCCATCCCGGTACACTTGGATTGCGACATCGATGGCTTTGAGTGTTTTGGAGTCAATTACGGCACAGACATTCCTCACATGGAGCTGAGTCAGCAGACCAAGAGATATCTCTATGGACCTGGCAGCATTTTCGTCGCCCATGCAGCGAACGAGGCGGTCAAGATCAAGGATCTTGAACAGGCCGTATTGGATTACAAGCAGATCCTATATGGCATTTTCGACAAAGAGCAGATGAAAGGCAGGCTCGAGTTGTAATCGTCGCGCTGGCACCAACCGTAGCACGTCCCTGGGGGTACAGCACCAACAGAGATCTTGGTGGGGTGACGATATCCCGCAATTGAATCTGGAGAACCCCAACCCGGGATTAATATACGCGTACTCAGTCAGCGTTCGCGTCTGCAGAAGTTCAGACAGGGTTTGCTGGTCAGAGTGTCATCCTTTGCTGGAGAAAATTGACGATGACTTGTCAACAAACCATGCGGAGACGAACGGAATGAGTGAGGGGTGAGGTAATGTTCTCGGGCTAGAAGCTGGGGAGGCTTCTGTAAGCCAATCAGTGCCGCGACTGTTGCTGAATAAACTGGAGCCGCGTTTGTTGGTGCGCCAGCTTCATTGTACCATTTTCCCATTGTCCCGCATTGTTTTCTTTGGCCCAGCCCGCTTGACCATGTTGAGCACTGCAACTCCATTCATTCTTCTTAGGCCGATGATGATTGCGGTATTTGATTTGTTCAGCCAGGCTGCTTTTCGGTGAACCAGCCGCCGGTTTTGGCCGTCTGGTGGGCTGCTTAGAGAGCTCTGGTGGGGCAAACACCGACAGGGCCTGAGTATCGGGTACTGTAGATTGGAATACCCCTCCAACGCTGCCCCTTCGTCATAAGAAACCCAGCTCCCCACCCACCATCAGGGCACACTTCAAATTTTCATCTCCTCGTCCTCTTCATCTCTCTTCATCCTTTCCATCCTTTATCTTAGGCAGCGTCTTCGTCAATCAATTGTCGAATCCATTCAAGCTGATCTACGCACACTCTGTCCATCATGCCTATCGCAATTGCCAAGGCCGACTCCCTTTTGGAGATGTTCAATCTCAAGGGTAAAGTCGTTGTCGTCACCGGTGCCTCTGGTCCGAGAGGTATGGGTATCGAGGCCGCCCGTGGTTGTGCTGAGTTTGGCGCCAACGTCGCCATCACATATGCTTCCCGTGCCGAGGGTGCGAAGAAGAACGTCGAGGAGCTCCGTTCCAAGTATGGCGTAAAGGCAGAGGCCTACAAGCTCGATGTCGGTGATTACAAGACCGTCGAGGCGTTCGTCGCCCAGGTTATCAAGGACTTCGGCAAGATCGATGGCTTCGTCGCCAACGCAGGCAAGACCGCCGACAGTGGCATCCTTGACGGCACCCCCGAGGCCTGGGAAGAGGTTATCAAGACCGACCTGAACGGTGTCTTCAACTGCGCCAAGGCTGTCGGTCACCACTTCAAGGAGCGTGGCACTGGTTCACTCGTCATCACCTCCTCCATGTCCGGCCACATCGCGAACTACCCACAGGAGCAGACCTCCTATAACGTCGCGAAGGCTGGCTGCATACACATGGCCAAGTCGCTCGCCAACGAATGGCGCGACTTCGCCCGTGTCAACTCTATCTCGCCCGGCTACATTGACACTGGTCTTTCAGACTTCGTCGCACAGGACATTCAGAAGCTTTGGAAGTCCATGATCCCCATGGGTCGGGACGGCGACGCCAAGGAGACCAAGGGTGCCTATGTCTACTACATTTCCGACGCGTCGACCTACACCACTGGTACTGATCTCCTGATCGACGGTGGCTACTGCTGCAGGTGAAAGATCACATGTGTTTCGCAATGAGAAAAGGGATATATGCATCAAAGGCTGAATCATGTCTTACTGGGTTGTACTGAGATACCATGAAGTAGCACAAAAGACAAATGAGAGCCAAGTTCAGTATATGCCTCCTCTAACCAGTGCTCCTCTGTCTGCCTTACTTTTAACTTTACTGGTCGTAGTAAAAAGTGTAAATGAAGAACTCTTATGTGTTGTGTAACAGAAGATACATTGTAACCTTAACACAACACATGTGATCCAGTCAAGGAATAACATAGATTCCTTCCGCGAAGGCACTCTACATATCGAGGCTCAAACGCCCAGCCGCCGTTAGATAGATCAATTATGACATATAACAATATTCTATAGAAAATTACTTCTGCAGTAGAGTTATACTATTGAGATCCTATTAATCTAGTAAAGAAGACTATACTATTTGCTTTTTGGATTAGAAGGATATCTTAGATAGTAATCAAGTATTACTTTTGTAGATAGATATAGCTTTATAGATCTTATCTGTCCGAGACATATATAATTAGAAGTCGTGTCCCTAGAATAGCTATCAAGGAATAGAAACCTTTATCTTCTATCTATACATAGAACTACCTTATAGTTACTTAGTGTGGTTTGATGAGATTTCAATATAGAGATAATTAATAGTGTTTCTCGCTCATTATGAGTGCTCGACTTCAGGGAACTTACCTCCAGGCTACCATACCTGTACTAACTGTGGTGTGATGGTAGCAACTGCTGCACGCTTCACATAGCGCAGATACAACTCGGTAGCTGTCTGTCGAGCCTTCAGTGTATTAGCAATGAATGTACTCTAGCGAGGTGTCCACACGAGCATCCTACTAATCATTCCCTGCCTATCTTGTCTACCATCTAAATGGCTTTCTTTGTATGGATCGCTTATAACTTTTATCCGGCACGCTAAAGCAGATGGTTTCGTATGTCCTTCCGCAGTAATAGGTTTATTCCTAATCTGTCTAAGTGGCCGTCAACGCGGACGAAAGCCCCATAAGTCATAACACGGGCCAATACACTAAAGGGAGCCGCCTCCAATTCAACGCGTTTCCGGGAACGAAGACATCAATCTTAAAAACCTAAATAAGCGTATTGCTACGTTTTTGAGCCCGAGGAACAAGGTGACATAGAACCTGAATTGTTGTTGCCAGCTGGTGAATATTTGTAGGGGGATTTCAAGGATTTAGAAGGCTCAGAATGCCGCAGGTGGCGTAGGTATAGAGTAAGCAAGCACTTCCTTCACTTGCTTACGTAGAACCCAATAATCTTGGCACATAAAATGCCAACTATTCTTCCTCTTTTGATATTACGGCTAGATCATATAAGAATCATCAGGCCTTATGATTAGGCATTAAACTTCATATATGGGCTTGGTAGCTCTGTAAAGTCTACGTGCTACAATTATAATAGATATGTCACGATAAGTTATAGTAACGATTTAATAAAAAGTATCAATCACAACCAAGAAGTAAAGTTACGTCTGGAGATACTAGTGCCTCTTATGAACGAGGCGTACGTAGTCTACCACATTATACTACTCACGTGTTCTAAGCAAGACTAGCAACGCGATGTCCTAGTTCGTAATGTAATAAATTATATTGTATATCTCCTTCCTTTCTCTGGAGATGACTCAATGCTAGAAACACTAGAATACTTAAAAAGCTAATATATGATATGTTAGAAAGGTAGTAAAGGAATCCAAAAGCGGCTTCTAGTAGTAACCCTAACTCTTTTGCACAACTCCTAGCCCAGCCTCCTTACAGGGGTGAAACACGCCACACCCGTCGCCGATGCTGATCACCATACGTCCACCCGCCAAGCCGCGCCACGAACCCACACACCAACTACCCCCTGCTGCACATCATCATTTCGAAATCCCATGGTAGCGTAAGTGAACACATCAGCACTTCGCCGCCAAGATGTCGCTGGCTACACAATACATATACACCCGCCTCCGGCAGGCTGCTCCATTCTTGTGCATTTGCTCTGCAATACGTGTTGGCTTTGGTGATCGCAAACGTGTATGTCCGCATACGTCATTGAGAGCGCGGCATGAATGTCCTCGGATTTTAGGCCTATTCTTCGCTGCTTGTAGTTTTGATCAGTGCACCTGAGTGCGCACGTCGTAGACCAGCTGGCTGATAGGGTGCGTGCTGGGAGTTGAAGGCGATATCACATGTCCGATTCGAAAGGTTGCAAGGTGCGTTGCCGCCAAAGTCATTGCCCTCGAGCCTTAGAAAGGAATCCAAACGTGTTTAGTGAGCGACATGTATGAGCCAGAGACCACTCGTACCGAGGACAGGCTCGTTGTGACGGACCAGATATGAGCAAGAAGCCACGAATAATGCTGAGAGAGAACTGACTATTTCTTCTATCTACTTATTCTATCCCCCTACAAATGTGAAATGAAAGGTGTATATGCCAGGATCGCTAATGATCAGATGAACTGCTCAACCGACTGTCCCTGACAGCGTCTTCCTCGGGCTATGCATGCGCTATGCGAAGAATGAACCAAGTGCGTCGCTAATACCAGATCAGTCGGTAAAATTGAATAATCTATGTGGATATCTGAAAAATAAGAAACAAAACCGAGACGTTCAGCGAATATGCCCTCTAGTCTTCAACGTCCTCGTCCCGACCAGGCCAAAGGATATGATTCTTGAGGATTGCGCGGATTTGGAATGACACAATGATGAGCCACATAAGAACGATGACTACCGTCATTGAGTTTCCGACGTATCTAATTGCCTCGTTGTCCAATGCGTTGCCAATGCTGATGGTCGCAATGGTAAAGCCAGTGTTTGGGAATACACATGCCCACATCCCAAGATGGAAGAATTTAGGTGGCTGAATGGCGACGGCTATGACAGTTATACAGAAGAACCAGAAAGCCAAGAGCCACAGAGAGATGGCGCATAGGGTCGCGACAGTCCGAAATAGAGATGGGTCCACAGGATTACCCAGGATGTAGATATCATCCGGTATCGCTTTCGACATACCGATAAGAGCGAGAGCAGTGAAAGATGGAGGACCAACGCCAATGAATAAAGCCGCTCGATGCTCGCGATTAGGTAGTCCAACCTGCATCAAACGGCCGATAAGGTGGGCGTACATGAGAATAGCAACCCAGAAGCCCAGACCTTGTGCTGCTAGACCAGAAACAAGCATGGGAAGTCGCATCGACACGGGCTGGTCGATGGCAATGATCGAGGCAATGGTGCCAGAAAGCATGCTCGGGAAGATTGGCAACAACCACGACGGCATCATCTTGGTCAAGTGATAGTCGTGCCCGGCGAAGAGGTAAGCGTACTGTGCGATCGCTAAGCAGAACGTTGCTACATAGTAGACCCAGTACGCAAGAGCAATGCTCATAAGCAGCCAAGTTGACGCAGGACTTTCGCCCCCAGCACGAGAAGGTATAACAATGAACCTGTGAGTCCCTGAGATGATAGTTGCGATTGTGAGGAAGAATGTTGGGACGAAAAGGCCTTCTCTTTCATGCCGGATGGAGTTCATAAGGTCGCCCGGGTGCGCTATGAAGCGCACGATAAGCGTTATGGTGACTCCAGCAAAGATGGTCAGGTTCAGGCCGTAGAAGAAGACACCAATCTCGAACAGGCCAGGAAAACTGTGAGGCTGACCCTCTAACAGCGTAGCAATACCACCTGTGCTCATAGTCAAAGTATACCTAGATTAGAATCAGAAATCTTCATTTAATGATACTTCAATGTAGGAAGATATACCATGCCCACGTAAAATGATGGATCCTGTCTTTGGCGGAGAGACCAGCGAAGGGACCACTTGAGTCTACACTGTTGTTTCTGGAGCTGTCCGAGTCGTGGTGATCTTGCTTTTCGACATCCAGAGATCGAGGAGTCGATTTATTGGGCATTGATGATCTCCGCGATGGTACAGGTGTTGGCTCTGTACTAGAGTAGACAGCATTGGATCTTCCTGGTGGTTGGCGGTGTGGTAGATATGATTGATCCTGGTCGCTCGTGGTCATCGAAGACGGTTGGTATAGTGGCTTCTCCGACTCAGTCGGCGAGACTGCTCTCGAACAATCCATCATGTGCGCGAGTCTACTTGTCTTGCTCTATGAACGGGGGTTTAGTCGATACTAATGTAGAGAACGGTTTTTCAATGTATGTGTATAAAGTGATAAACTATGAGGTTCGAGTGAACAATGAGTGTAGTGAAGATGTTACGAATGTGGGGGTAATGAATGTGGGAATTAGGAGTATATAAATGCTCCAGAATGGCAAATCGACAAAGAAAGACGGAGGGTTTAGAAAAGATGGCGATGATGCGTGGGCCATGTCGCCTCTAGTACACCATGCTCATATATGCATTGGTACAATGCAAGGTTTGGAGATCCCGACCATTTCCTAAATATGCCAAGACTACTCGGAGGAAGCTTTGTGTCTTGTCCAGCGGCGGCGAGCGCAAGGAGTTTGATTTAGAATTCGCCTAGCGCCAGTATCGAGCCCATCCTCTCGTGCCCCCCCTTAAAATCTTAAATTGTGCTCAGGAAGAAGCAGTAAGAAGGCCTCAATTGACTGCATTTGACCGAACGAGCATCTGTTCTTCGATAAAGCATATGAAGAGGAATCATCATCGGGTGTCCAAGGCGGCATTCGCGATCACAGTACTATGAAATTCTGAGGTGTGGGCGTACGTGGACGTGGCTATTTCCTACGTCGATCTTGGGTAGGCGCCAAGCTGCGATAAATGACATTTGAATGCATAAGAGTATTAGTTGTGCATGTCCATTGATAGATCTGCGGCTTTTGAACGACTCGAAACGACATGAGCAATAGGCGTGTACGACGCCCGTGGGTACGAGCGGGGCGGAGGGGATCAAAGCGTCTATAAGCGGGCCTCTCTTAGGTATGTATTATGATTTGGGCATCAAATGTAGAGAGGAAAGCTCAAGCAAATTGGTACTCTTATAACATGATCATATTCTAGCAATTCAGATCATATGAATGCGATAGAGTCACCTTTCTGTCAGCAGACCCATGTATGCGAATGTTGTTTGGTGTATAACAATGTAAGGGTCTATAAAAAAAATAACGAAGTAGGAGATACCGGCATGTCTTGACTGTGGAAGTGGCTGTTGTGGCTGTTGCTATCCGAATCCATTCCCGTCTATGTTAAACATAGCAGGCCAAGACGCCAAGAAGTAGGCGGCAGTCAACAGTGGACACCCGCCATCGCCCTGTACCTACCACGGGGCCGCCGTCCGCCCGCTTCCTTCTTGGAACCCATGTACCACCACCACTCAACAACCCTCAACGAGTCAACAGCATGTCATTGTCTCATTGCCGCCACACGGGTCCGTAGCAGCCGTGAAGCCGCCACACTCTTCAAACGTCAAAAGTGGGTAATAGATAACTTGGCGTGCCAGACATGTCAGGGAATAGTATCCTATACCAAGTGCATTCCTGCTTGGACCGCGCTTCCCTGGGCCACGGTCGACCAAACTTCGCAGGGCCACAAAGCATCATCTTGTAACGTCTCTATAGACTAGGAAGAAGTATATGGCCGCATCTGATCAGAGCTTGAGCTCCGTGATCCAGAATAGAGTTAATGGAGCAGCTGAAGCCGCCATCCTTATCAGAACTCACACCATTCATGACGCCTCGGCCCGAGTCACTTAGCTCACCCTTGAGTTCTCCGTCAAAGAGCAGAGCGCCAACCTCATATGGTAATACAGCAATCGATCACACCAAGGTACCCATCGCTATACAAAGAGGTGGAAAAAATCTTCAATCCCGATTGATAATTAATTGACGCATTGCTAAAAAAAAAAACAGCATAGACACAGCCCTAACATCAAACAGTGTACTATCATTCAGGGTAATTAGTATCCATCTGTCAACCTTTCTCCAAGCTCCAGCGTGATCGACATAGCCTACATGCGTATCTCGCCAGGAAACTTAAACTCAGTCACACCTATATGTGTTGCGCGGGTGGTTTGAAGACCTCCTTTAGACACCACTTTTTTGAGACTCCCAGTGATACAGATACTTTGATGTGACCCTCCACGCCGGACGATCTTCAGTTCCTTCAAGGTGGAGTTCATAACACTTCACATATACATCATAGAATTCAAAGCTTCGACGCAAGATCTGCCAGTCTAGCAAAGTATCATCCCTAAGAGCATTCCATGTATGTCTTAATCATAATATATGTGTACAACTGGAGCTATGACAATGTCGGACTCCAAGATGTTTGACTTCCACTGTATGTTTTGATGGATCAGCCAGACTAACTCATCTGTAGATATGAGCTCTTCTCAACACTAGTAATCTTTAAGCTTGATCCTGGAGCCACACGGCGAGATGAGCCCACGGTAGGATTTATGTTGGGCACTGGGAGCATCCTCACGAGCCAGTGATCCCAGCAACAGCACGGCGACGCAACACAGCTCACAGCTATCGCTACAGAGATTTACACAGTGAATCTGCTCATTTTGGCTATTTGACAGAGTCCTTCAATCTTATGTTACGCTAAGAAATTGACACTATGTGATAGCAGAGTGATAGTACAGTATTGCATATTTATTTGGACCACCGGTGACGGTCCGAAAAGACGACACTGTTGATGAGGGGAGGACTAGCATATTGTCATACTCGCTTGTATCACTGACATGTGATTCCAACCCTACCGTTGCTGCATTAGAGAACATGTATAAAAGTCTAATTAGCTGACATAGATGTATAGCCCTGTTTCGAATGAAAGCCAAGTTCATAAGTATACATCGCTTCAAGAGGCAGTGCTGTTGTGAGCCTAAATCCTCGCGTGTAGAACCATACTCCAGTTCTATATATAAGTCTACTCAATGGACTGTGCTAATCAGATGTACTATACTATGGAAAGCCAGTCCATCTAGCAATTGAAGTACGCACCGCTACCAATGCTGCCTCAGACCACGCTCCAGCGCTAAGCTAAGCTTAGTGCATACACACTGAGATAAGCTAGGATGGTACGCCTATCGTTCGAAATTTCGCCGAGGGCCATAGTATGACTTGCGGCGCACTTCATACTCCAGTCATAATGCGGTGGTCTGAGATCTCAAGATATACGAATGCAAAGTGTGTTTGTAACTTATTCAACAAAGCCCCTATCAAGAACGCAAAAGTTCGCCGAGGCTAGCCAGCACATGTGCGGTGTGAACATCCGTGGCATCGGACGATCCTTGTAAGTACGAACACTATGTCTCCACCCGAAAACTGGAATCTTCGCTGCACTTGTCTCAACATTCTGATAAGATCAACTCCCGTCTCTACGTCCTTCGATCGTATTCCATCAAGGATATCAACACCCCACCATAGCCCCAATTTCCTCGCCTGGACACATCCACCCTTCCCGGCCCGTCAAACTATCGCCAGCAACGGTCATAGCAATCCACAACGACCCATTCCTGTCCCCACCGCCTGCATTAACTGACCAGGTTCCGCCACGCGCTAACCAATATATGGAGCTGCTTGAAGGCAGCCGGATGTCTTGAAACCCGTCCTGTTCAAGATTAACCACTGTGTACTGTAGTACGCTTCGGTCCTCAAGGACAGAATCCAGTTCGCTCAATTGGCGATAGAATCGATACCGAGACTGGTAGTTTGGGCATATGTCGACGAAAAGGTGTATACTGGGGTGAGCTGGGGCTTGTTGGTATGATGATAGGGTATAGCAGAGAGATCTCTATGGTGATTCCGGTCGTACTGGACTGTGAGTGATGAAAATCAGGCTTGATCAATATGTTTCTCAGTCTTGTGGCGTCGTGAAGAAACTTGGACTCGCTTTGCTTGGCATCAATGACGGAGACGTTGGCGATGCCTCCAAGAAGTCCGTCTACACGCGAAGTGTCTTGCGAACATCAAAAACTCGAGGCTTTGTCTGCCTAGACTTGCTCGAGCGTGTCGTCTCTATGCTACCTGGTAGAACATATCCGCGCTGATTGCTAAACAATCGCACCCCAGAACGAACGAAATCTGTGGTATAGTGAGTGTGGCCAAAAATCCACACGCCCACATTCCTCCAAGCTTCACGGTCAGAGATGAGATCGGTTGCGAAAGCCGAACTCCAGGGATTCTGCTCATGGTTCGGATGAGATGTCCCGCACATCGAAGGTGCGTGATGGGTCACGACTAAAGCCGTCCGTGTTCGGCTCCGCTGACTGGATACTGGATTGGTCTCGTTCATTGAGGATACTGCTCTCTTTAGCCAGGTGTAATCAGACTCAAAAGCTTTGTTGTGGTCTTCAACAGTCCAGTCGCAAATCTTCTGGAAATCTTTCACGCGTGATTGAACTACTTGCATTGATTCTTCAGGAATTTTCGACCAAAGTGTACAGCCTAATATGGTGACTGCGGAGTTGGGTACATCAAAACAGGCCTGATGGAGGATGACAAGCTTGCAATCCAGTATTGGCTCATCCTGAAGTTTCTGGGCCTGCTCTAAGCCCGCCGCATACGACAATCCATAAAATTCATGATTGCCAAGGACAAGAAATATCTTTTCGAATCTGGCTTTATGAACTTTCAGGAATTCGAGATAAGGTTCATAGTCGATGAGTCGTCCAATGTCGCCACCAAGTATAAGATACGGCGCTTGCGATATGATGTTATATGTGCTGTATTGCTGGCCGATTTCGAGATGCAAGTCTGAGACAACTTGGAACGTTGGTGATAATGACTTGGGTAGCAAGTACCGGAGAAGTTTGTTCATGCTCGCGTTCTGTGGAGCCACTAGCCCTCGCTATAAGCGTGAGCTTCTGTAATCCAGTTTCGAGTTGTATCCGCACCCGAAGAACTGATGTGATCAATGAACGACGTGAAGTGGCAATCAAGAGTTCAAAATTGTGATGGCAACAATCACAAGCCGCTCAGACGTCTGTTGTGACTTTTACGCGACGAACGAAGACATGGTGCTTGGCATTACACGTGACACCCTTGGACCCTTGCTTCAGCCACCCACTTGCAGGTGGATTGTAACCGCTCCCTTCGTAGTACCTTGAGGAGACTTTCGACCTAATCCGCACGAGCATCGTCAGAGCACATCACTGTTCGCGCTGTTCCGACATGGAAGCCGTGCAAATTAAAGTCGCTTTACATATCCTTGGACACGCTGGTATACAAGCCTGCATCGTTGGTGAGATAGCATTGAACTACTACAACGTTCCGCGAGTACTCCATGTAAGCTCTATTAGCTATCTTAATCTACGCTGTGACCCAAATTATAGTAACTTCTGATAGGATGTCGAATTATGTGTTCCTGAGCATAAAGTATCAGACGCCTTAACGACCCTCGAAATCTCTGGACTGTTTCATGCGGAAGCAATTCAAGAGTTTGATATCTACAATGAGTACAAGCGTGGCTCACCAAGGCTTCGCACTTCTAGCTGGATCGCCCCAACTTGCACATTTGTGATACTCAGCGACACGAGTCATCATCTCGCTCCGTTGGAAAAGCACATCATCTCTCAGGAATCAAAATTGTCCAATCCGACATACAGCTCGCAATTGCTCGACATGATCTCCACAGACGATATCAATTCGCTTCCATTGCCCAAGCTTTCGTCTCTATTCAGTGGACTCTGTCAAAGATATGTTCAGACGAAAGATGATGTTGCTATGATAGCCGCTGAGCAGCTGGTGGACGGAACTGACATGAACGAGATGTGGTGCCTACGGCACCTCAACGGTGCGAGCCTTGAGGTTCGGGCGTTAGCATCTAGGTTAATCGATGAAAAACCGTGCCGCTTGGATGCGTTCTCTGGCTATAGTGTTACTTGCTTTATTGCAGATTCCGCAGCATCTGACAGGATTAAACGTCTTCCTGGATATGAATAGCAATCAGCGCGAACCACGTTCTTTCATTGGTACACAGGTGTTTATGAGTTAAGTCCATGTCGAACGGTGTGTAGGTCTTAGATGCAATAGTAGTGAACTTGTCAGCCCGAGCGACTAACGCCGCACATGCATTGGCTGCCCCGATGAACGTCTAATTGCTGAAAATTATATGGACTTCGGTCCAGTTACACTTTTTAGTTGGACCGGAACGCGCGCGTAACAAATTGATCTGATTTGCCGCAATACCCTGATGAAGGCATGCAAAAATAGTCCTTTTCTACTGCCGCCAATGGTTCACAATACAACGCTCAGCGCGGCGTCTACCTCACGTTTCACACAATCCGCGCCATCCATAGAAAGATCACTTTCATGGTAAGCACGCCAGGAGCCTTGGAATCTAGCCGACTATTAAGTAGCTCATCTCACCCGACTGAGAGACTAGACTCACTCTAACATATTATCTTCAAACAAAACCTTGCACTGTAAAGACAGCACATTGAGCCCCGCAACATCCACGACAACTCAACTTACGACACAAACGAAAATTCAATCATTGAAGCCTGCAGCTTATCGTACGACCTTGTTCATATCATGCGTCAAAGTAGGCTGAACGACGCTGCCATTGCTCTGGACCGAGTACTGGGTCATGCACAAATCCGATTCGGGATCTTCGGCGGATATGCTATCGGCGCATTAGGGGGTAACCGAGAGAGCAAGGATATCGATTGTGTCGCATCCGTCACAAAGCAGCAGATCATCAACATTCTTGACAAAAAAGAAGGCTTCGAAGCAGTCATGCAGAGCCGCCAGGACTACGTTGCTTTTCTATGGTCCGATAAACCTAACCGTGAAGGTGCTGTATTAGTCGAGATATTTTGTGAGCAATTTCCAGGTATCTTCTGCCTTTCTAAGCGCAAATATTGTGTTCGTTTGATGTACAACTATCTGATCCAACTAGGAGCGCGGTATTCAATGCGTAACGCCGAAGTAAGACCAATCACTATCAATGGCGAAGGGCTTGGCCAGGGATCGTCCAATTTCTTCGATCCTGTGTACATCTTCAAGGGGAAGCTCCGCGCTGCTGCGTTGCGAAAAAAGTTTCATGACTCGGCAGACCTACGATGGATCGAAGGGCGTTATAGTGCACAGATTCACGAGCGACGTTCTGAACTAAGTATGCTGTACATCGGTATTGCTTTGAAACGATACCCAGAGCTCGATCTGCTGTTCACACGACTTGGTGTCGACGTCGAGGCTTGTAAGAAGGCCGCAAATGAGGTAGATCTGGAAAAATTACCAGCACCAGCACCAGGTGATGTTCAGGGTGGTATACTGGGCTGATATAGCGCATTATGGAATAAATCAGTCCGATTGTGCAAGGCCAAAATGGCTAGACAGTACAATACTCATACCGCACTACCATTTCGATGCGTTGGTTGTTACATTATTGTCCCAATTCCTTTACTGTTGCTTCTTCTGAGCCGCAGGACCCATTTCCTTGCTGAATGCAAAGTATGACACTTCGAGACCAGCAACAGCAGAAACACCGACGTATGCTAAGAGAAAGAGAGGAAGGATTGCGATGAAGCCCATGAAGATACCTAGATTTTTAGTACCGTGGCACAGATGAGAGAAGTTTTGGGAACACACCTGGGGATAGAAACATGTACTTCTCGAAGAGTGGGAGTGAGTCGTTGGATGTTCGGATACCAAGGTCTCTCTTCAGCTCAACGTGCAGGGCGGACATCCCGTCATCCATCTCATATTGCCCGTATACGTGCTCTTGCTGTGAGAGACCCGGGTCATCTGTTCTGGGCGGAGGTGTTGTGGTATATATGACTGTAAAATTGGCTTCGTCGTGGAGGCTTTGAATGACAGCGTCGAGGAAAATGTCTGCATTATGATTAATCTAGTGGCTTAGAACAGTGCCTCGAATGGAGATTTGATTGAGACTCGGGGAGTCCTTACCGTTTTGCTTGAGACTCGCCATTCTCTCTTCTGGATATTGAGCGAGGTTCATGAATTGTACCTTGATCACCCTTGGATAATTGTCCGCAAGTGAGATGTATCCGTCCGCAGCATTCACCTCCGTGACACTCGCTCCACATTGTTTTTTCAGATATGTGGTCATCACTTCTGCATCCGTTCCTCCAACTACTTCTGGTATCGTCGTCGACGAAACTATCTTTTTGTTGTCTCTTGCAACGTAGCGTTGTAGATATGGTGCTGCAGCCGCGCTGGCATAGTCCGCAGTCCTCACGTTCGGTTGCGATACAACCACGTATGACTTCGTTGTGCACCCTTTCAATACATTTTGCACCTGTGCTGTAACGTGCGATTCTGTCGTTAGTTGCGGAACTCTCGTTTCGAAGCCATCAAGCTCTCTATGGCCAGTCAGTTTCGGTGCTTTCAGAGATTATCAGCGGGCAGCTTACTTCGACGTCGAGAACAAGAACAATGGCGACGTATCCTGGAATGCGAACGCGAGGGCCAGAGATGAAAGGGTAAACGCTCCTAGCCGTAGGAGACCCATTTTGTCTTTGGTGATGCTCTTTGTGATGATGATGTTGCAAGCTTCCAGCTTCACGGGCTGTGCAGGCGGAGGTGGTTATGCCGTTTCTGGGCTAGACTCGCCCTAAGCCGAGAACGTTTAGTGGCATGGAATGATCTATGGATTTGGATGACTTCACTAGAAAACCTTTATTTCTAAGCTATATTGGCCTGAGCGTTTGGAACAGAGACTTCAATTTCTTGACTATTGAAGATCCGTCTGAGCTACGAGCCACAAAGAACAATTGACTGATGATTCATATAGCGAATTGCGAAGCCTTGGTGTAATAGGCGAAGTGACTCACACTGATTCTTCGGGGGCTCGTGCCACGGGTGGCGGTGTTTGTAAAGACTTCCGCCGAAACAGAACCTTGGAAGTCTACAACAACAACGTCGCCACAGCTCCTGCCATATCTCATCGTTCATATCTGGCTGTCGCTGAAACCCAGGAATTTCTATTACAACTTTATAGTCTACGTCATAGGATCATATCACTTCGTTTCGCAAAGATATACCAATATCAAGTGACGACTCATTTAATCGTGGAAGGGCCAACCCACGGGAGCTGCAATCTTTTGCTAATATGTCTACTACTGGCCCAGAATCGCTACCGGCGGGCCCTGCGGACAGTACCCGAAGACGGGCGAGAAATCGTCAAAGGCCAAGTCGCACCATTCCAGATGCCCAGGATCAAGGAGAGGACACAAACGTAGCGCGACAAGTTCAAAGTCGTGGGAGAGATGGCGTACGAGGACGGCCAGGCAGAGGCGCCCACACAACTTTGAGACCAATGAGCGTTCCACCCGTTCCGGAAAGCCAACATACAAGCCCGAATATCTCCAACAATGAAACGCGAACGCCGCGGCAGTCAGGTCCGCGTCGTCGCGGCGGTGGTCGTGGTGGTCGTGGTGGTCGAGTGGACACCCATATGGACGAAGGACGCAATTCACGAAGACAACGAGGCGAGCCAGCTCACAATGTGAATACTTCTCAGACCTTTCAAGGAAGGCGATTCGGTGGTCAATTGACAGAAGCGAATAGCAGTATTGAAGCGTCGGCCGACACAAGTCTATCGGCCAATGCAACAGCTTTCGTTCCTGGTCAACCACATGAATCTCGTCCAATTCCTCCGGCTGCAGTCCCTCCACACAATCTTCCCCGTAAACGAAAAGCTTCGAAATCTACGGCGCCAGACATAGCTACCAGGATCCACGAGGACATCGAGAACCACCAGTACGAATGCGCTATATGCACCAATGAAATCCTTCCAAACTCGAAAGCTTGGTCATGTAGGACATGCTGGACGGTCTTCCATCTGAGTTGCATCAAGAAATGGTCAAGTAGAGAAGGCTCAGCAGTCTCACAGCAGCCACCTGGTCAAAACGGCGAGCTACCTCCGCCTAGACAATGGCGATGTCCTGGTTGCAACCTACCAAAGGACGATGCTCCGAAGGCATTTACTTGTTGGTGCGAAAAAGAAATTGACCCTAAACCTCTCGCTGGTCTTCCCCCTTTCTCTTGTGGGCAGACTTGCGCCCGGGATCATCTCATACCTAAGAAGTGCCCCCATCCATGCCCATTGAGTTGTCATGCGGGTCCTTGTCCACCATGTACACATACCGGGCCCACTCAAGAGTGCTTCTGCGGTAAGCAATCCGCCACACGGCGATGTGTCGACACGAATTACGAGTCTGGATGGAGTTGTCAGCAACTGTGTGGGAAGTCTATGTCGTGTCGCGAGCATGTGTGCCCCCGCAAATGCCACGAAGGTCCTTGTGGTTCGTGTGAGATCAAAATTCCTGCGCGGTGCTATTGTGGTAGATCAGAAAAGGCGATACTGTGCATGAATCAGGGCCAGCCCAAGCCAAGCCAATCAGCAGAAGAAAATTGGGTTGGCACTTTTGATTGCGCCAGCGAGTGCAAGCGTCTCCTTGATTGCGGTATCCATCGATGTACTAAAGGATGTCACCCCCAAGATGCAGATGCCTCCCACTGTCCTCGTTCACCTGATAATGTTGATCATTGTCCATGTGGAAAGACAAAGCTCGCGGATCTCAGTACAGCACTTCGTCAAAACTGTGAAGATCCAATACCGAATTGCAATGAACCCTGCCATACAACGTTGGCATGCGGCCATACTTGTGAACAGACATGCCACGGTGGGGAATGCAGTCCTTGTATGAGACGTGTCTCGATCAAATGTCGTTGCGGCCGAGTCGAGGCAGCAACGGTGTGCCATCAAGGCTCGTATTCACAGCCCCAATGCAGACGGAAATGCAAAGCATTGCTCAACTGCAAACGTCACGAATGCGGAGAACATTGCTGCCCAGGCGAACAGAAAGCAGCGGTACGGACGAAGAAGAAACTAAGACCCCTGAATACAGCGCCGCGGCCAATGGACAACGACTTTGAAGCCGAACACATTTGTACACGCTCCTGTGGACGACCGCTTGGCTGTGGTCTTCACAATTGTCAGGAGCTATGCCACTCTGGACGATGTGGTAGTTGCCCTGAAGCAATTTTCCACGATGTTGCCTGTCATTGCGGTCGTACTGTTCTTCAGCCGCCTCTTCCTTGTGGTACCAAGGTTCCAGCCTGTCGTTTTGAATGTACGAGAGTGAAAAGCTGTGGACATCCGCAAGTTTCCCACAGCTGCCATACAAACGACGAGGCATGTCCCAAATGTCCGTTTCTAACAAACAAGACTTGTTCTTGCGGCAGAAACGTTCTAAAAAATCAACCATGCTTTCTGCCTGAGGTGAGATGTACTGAAGAGTGCGGACGAAAACTGAAATGTGGATCCCACAGTTGTCGCAAAATATGCCACAAACCTGGAGATTGCGAGGATTCAACATCCGGGTGCCAGCAGAAGTGTGGAAAGGAAAAGTCCTGTGGCCATCCTTGCTCAGAATTATGTCACTCTCCGTATGAGTGCAAAGAAGAGAAGCCATGCGACTCAAAGATTCTGATTACATGCCCTTGTATGCAGCTAAAAAAAGAGACCCGATGCAATGCGACAAAGACGAATGGGGGAAATAATAAGAAAGAATTGGATTGCAACGATGAGTGCGCTCGGTTAGAACGAAATCGCAAACTCGCTGCAGCTCTCAACATCGACCCTGAGACGCACTCTGACGATCATGTGCCATATTCCTCGGATACCCTCAACATGTATCTAGCCAATTCCATATGGGCTTATGCTCAAGAGAAAGAGTTCCGCATGTTTGCTGCAGATGCGGAGGCGAGGCGACTGCGGTTCAAGCCAATGCAAGCGCCACAGAGAGCTTTCATTCACTGTTTGGCTGAAGACTTTGGTCTTGATTCTGAAAGTATGGATCCGGAGCCGCACCGGCATGTTCTGATATTCAAAACGCCACGCTTCATCATGGCCCCTATGAAGACGCTGGCGGAGAGTGCGAGGATTAGACAACGTCAACGAAGCACCGTCAGTACTGCTGCAAAGATTATTGCCCAACCTGCTGCTCCCATTATCCGACAGAATGCTAGCAATACGGTTGATGAACCGTATAACGGCTTTGTCCTGACCAATGCTCGCTTTGCGCTAACAGCCGAGGAGCTACGATCTGCGCTCAAGACCGTCATGGACCCGAAGTCTGGTGTAATCTTCGATATAACTTTTCTACCCAACGAGGATGTTGTACTAAAAGCAGCTTCTCGGACGTTGATAGAGCATGATTTAGAAGTTTACCTCAGGTCCGTTAAGCCCGGAGTCGCACGCACAGTTTCCAATCAGAGACTGGGCAGCATCGAGCTTTGCCGCCTGGATCCCTCGTCTAATATCACCCGACGCGAGTCAGACATAACAAGCAATGGTGGCTGGAGTCAAGTAGCAGCCAAGGCAAATTCTACGGGCCGATTTGTGCGACAGGTGCCAGTCATTGGATCTGCCAGTTCCTTTACTGTTCTTAGCCTTTCGTCGAGAAATAAGAAGCTACCAGTATCCAAGAGAGAGGAGAGTATCGTAGATGACTGGGAGGCTGCGGAGTCGCTGGAGGAGGAGAAGGAGAAAGTGTCTGCTAGCGCTTGTAGTGAGGATGTTATTGAATCCTCCCAGATCCATGGGAATGACAACGCTGAGACGGCGAAAGCGACAGAGGAAGAAGTGAGGTGAAGAGATAGAAACCTATAGCGCAGACCTAGGCTGTAAAAGAAGCGGAGGCAGCTTCACTTCGTCCGAAGGACTGGCGTGTTGCCATTGCAGTGATGTCGATATTAGCGTATAAACATAGCCTTGAAGTCAAGGCAGTGGACCTGATAAAGGCTGTACATATTAGCTGGATCTCAGGGCGTTTTCTGATAGTATGTTCTCGAAGAAGAACGCAAATGTGGTTGATCTCAAGAAAACCGGCCATCATTGTACTGCATCCAGGACAGAAGTCACACATGTTGACAGCCAATATCACCTGCCTTTTTATTGGCTGGTCCCGATAGTTCTAGAAGAAGCAGACTGTGGGTCAGGTTTTGGGCACGAGTCGGAGCTATTGGTCACAGCTACCTGGCACCCTTGCTGCAGTTAGCTTGACCCGCGTTTCGAAGATGCCACCTTGGACATATGGTTTTCGTCTGCCGTGTACTGTACCGTAGTATTTTCTCATGTCTTCACCGCAGTGATGCTTAATATGACATTGTCTATTATTCTCATCCAGTAGTACGTCGTGATCGAGATAATACCTCCCTACCATCATTACAGCTCGTCGAACATCCGAGCCGCCGATCTGCGCCGCCCCTCAACCTTTCCCTCCCTCACTGAGGGTCTGTTACACTACCAGAACCACTCTGCAACATGGAGGCCGCTTACGCTCGTCCAACAAGGGAGACTTTGGAATTCTTCCAAGTCTCGGAGCAACATGGCTTGAACGAGGAGCGCGTAGAAGCCCTGCGCAAGAAATATGGGAAGAACGGTAACTGCGAGAAGAACTCGTTCCTCGGCAACATGAGAGCTAATAGTACATTTGCAGCCTTACCTGAAGATCCACCAACTCCCTTATGGGAGCTCATACTAGAGCAGTTCAAAGATCAACTCGTCATAATACTTCTTGGATCCGCCGCGGTTTCATTCGTCCTTGCGCTCTTCGAGGGTGGCGACGATTGGACCGCTTTTGTGGACCCTGTTGTTGTAAGTTCCCTGTATACGTATGTTGAGTAGTCGAGAAGCTGACTATCCCACAGATCCTGACGATTCTCATCCTCAACGCCGTCGTCGGCGTATCGCAGGAAAGCAGCGCCGAAAAAGCCATTGCTGCACTCCAAGAATACTCCGCGAATGAGGCGAAGGTCATAAGAAATGGGGGTATCAAGCGTGTAAAGGCTGATGACCTGGTACCTGGTGATGTCATTACCGTGGCTATAGGAGATCGTATTCCCGCAGATTGCAGATTGCTCTCCATTCAGAGCAATAGCTTCAGTGTAGACCAGTCCATCTTGACAGGCGAAAGCGAGAGTGTTGGCAAGGATACTAGAATCGTCAAAGACAAGGATGCTGTGAAGCAGGACCAGGTCAACATGCTATTCTCTGGTACGACTGTGGTCAACGGTCATGCTAACGCTTTGGTCGTTCTCACCGGAAGTAACACTGCCATCGGCGATATTCATGAAAGTATCACGTCACAAATTTCGCAGCCTACCCCTTTGAAAGAGAAGCTCAATGACTTTGGCGATGTGTTGGCCAAGGTCATTACTGGTATCTGTATTCTCGTCTGGCTCATCAATATTCGTCATTTCAGTGATCCTTCGCACGGAAGCTTCACCAAGGGTGCCATTTACTACCTGAAAATTGCCGTGTCACTTGGTGTTGCTGCTATTCCTGAAGGTCTCGCAGTTGTTATAACTACCTGTTTGGCCCTAGGTACTCGGAAGATGGCTGCCAGGAACGCCGTGGTCAGAAGTCTTCCATCCGTCGAAACACTTGGTAGTTGTAGCGTAATATGTTCCGACAAGACTGGGACTCTGACGACGAACCAAATGAGCGCCAACAAGATCGTCTTCATCAATGAGTCTGGTACAGATCTCGAAGAGGTTGACATCGAAGGTACTAGCTTCGCTCCCGAAGGACAAATATCTTTCAAAGGAAAGGGCCTCATAAATGCTGCTGCCACATCAGCCACTATAACGCAGATCTGCGAGGTCACTGCTCTGTGCAATGAGGCCAAGCTCTCAATCGATCCTAAGACGGGCAATCACAGTGTCGTGGGTGAGCCTACTGAAGGCGCGCTTCGTGTATTGGTAGAGAAGGTTGGGACTCCTGTCGCAGATGTGAACGCGAAGCGATTGGCTGCATCTCTCTCTGACCGCCTACATTATTCCAGCGCATACTATGAATCACAGTATCCCAAACTCGCCACCTATGAGTTCTCTCGCGATAGAAAGAGCATGTCAGTCCTGGTCCAAGGTCGAAGTGGTCCAAAATTGCTTGTCAAGGGAGCCCCGGAATCCATTCTGGACCGATGCACCCACGTCCTCGTCGGAGCTCAAGGCAAGAAGGAAAAGCTCAATCCGAAGTTGGCCAACCTCATCAACCAAGAGATTGTTGAATATGGTAACCGAGGTCTCCGTGTTATTGCACTTGCCTCTGTCGAGGATATCGGGTCAAACCCATTGACGAAGACAGCTAAATCGACCAAGGAGTACGCACAACTCGAGACCAAGATGACACTTATTGGCCTGGTAGGTATGCTGGATCCTCCTCGACCAGAAGTTCGCCGTTCCATTGAGCTATGTCGCGAGGCAGGCATACGTGTAGTGGTTATCACGGGTGACAATCAGAATACAGCAGAGGCGATCTGTCGACAGATTGGTGTCTTTGGTGCAAACGAAAGTCTATCTGGTAAGAGCTACACTGGGCGACAATTCGATGCTTTGTCCGAATCCGAAAAGCTCGAAGCAGCAAAGCGAGCATCACTGTTCTCTCGGACCGAGCCGTCTCACAAGTCCAAGCTTGTAGATCTGCTTCAATCAGCCGGAGAAGTTGTGGCTATGACTGGTGATGGCGTCAACGACGCGCCCGCGTTGAAGAAGGCCGATATTGGCGTTGCTATGGGCTCAGGTACTGACGTAGCCAAGCTGGCCGCCGATATGGTTCTAGTTGACGACAACTTTGCAACTATCGAAGGTGCCATTGAAGAAGGGCGATCCATCTACAGTAACACACAGCAATTCATCCGGTACCTCATATCCTCCAACATCGGCGAAGTTGTTTCGATTTTCTTGACCGCCGCAGCGGGTATGCCTGAAGCTCTTATACCTGTACAACTCCTCTGGGTCAACTTAGTCACCGATGGTCTTCCAGCGACAGCCCTTTCCTTCAACCCCCCTGATCACGATGTCATGCGGAGACAGCCAAGAAAGCGCGACGAGCCACTTGTCGGTGGGTGGTTATTTTTCCGCTACATGGTCATTGGTACCTACGTAGGTGCAGCAACCGTTTTCGGATACGCTTGGTGGTTCATGTTCTACTCAGAGGGTCCACAGATCAACTTCTCTCAGCTTGTAAGTTCCGAAGTATGCATAAGTGTAGGGGGCTCAGGTTCTAACTCGAACCAGTCTAATTTTCATCAATGCTCGACCAAATTCCCTGAGATTGGATGTGAGATGTTCGGAAATGATATGGCTAAGTCGGCATCAACGGTCTCTCTGTCAATGTAAGCTCGATCTTCAAATCGTTGTGCTCCCACACTAACATGCCAACAGCTTGGTCGTCATTGAGATGTTCAATGCAGTCAATGCGCTCTCTTCGTCCGAATCTCTTATCACCCTGCCTCTCTGGAAGAACATGATGCTCGTCTACGCTATTTGCCTTTCCATGGCTCTCCACTTTGCACTCTTGTACATTCCTTTCTTGCAAAGCTTGTTCTCGATCGTGCCACTGAACTGGACCGAATGGAAGGCTGTTTTATATATCAGCGCTCCGATCGTCGCGATTGATGAGGTACTAAAGTTTGTTGAGCGGACATTCTTTATGAAGAAGATCGACATCTCGAACCTCCAAGCTGGGGTAAATGGCAGCCTGCAGAAGAAAAGGAATTGAGCGTTGGATTGGCAGGGGCCGGGCCACAGCGCGAATCCTGTCGTAGACTAGTATTGCAATGCTATAGAAACTAGACACATAGCCAGATTACACAAGACAACTAGAGTAAAGAATAAAAGAACAAAGGGCATTATGCGCCGCAGAACCACGCCGCTTAGGAAGATTGTCTGATATGCCTATACGCAGTTATAGCTACACATACACACATGACCATTGTCGTTCTCCATGTCTAGTAGGAGATTTTCAGGTGGCGACCTAAGAGTCCAAATAGGGAGTCGGCACGAAGCAGAGAATCGGGAACGGGGACGGTATGTCAGCGCAACGGAGGCTCAACACCAAGGAACTAAGTCGAACGTTGAGATTTTAGGCGCTGGAGATTTCAAGGGTGGGAGGTACTGTGTGCTCTGCTCTGTACGCTATATGTTGTGTGTTGAATGATACTATTTGTATGGCGTGAGACTGGTAGAGAGGATGCAGTTGGGGAGTACAGCATCGAGGACGAGGAGGGGGAATGATGACAGGAATATTGATAGGTCATTACTTTGATGACTAGGAGGTGGAGGCACAAATCGACAGGTATGAGATGAATATCTGTCGTTTTCGCTCCTTTAGAATTCGAGGCGGCTAACCTCGCATTTATCCGAGCCGCCGATCAGTCTTCTGGTGGGTGTGGAGGTAGTAGGGCTTGGACGCTAATTAATAGGGATCGAGTAGGCAGAGACCCACTGGTTGGCAGGTGCCACATTTGCGCCAGGAAGCAGCCATGTTTATTATATTAAAGCACCCGCGCCCAAGCTTCTTTCAGTCTTGAACTTGCTACCCGTGTGAATTATATTTTGACTAACACGAAACTTCCATTACCTCCTTCTGCGCTCGGGACAGTCGTTATCTGTGCACCGTTTGGCCACGAAGAAGATACGCGAGATCGGAGTATTTACGCGGGCTTTATCGCCAGGGAGACTAGCTACAGAAGTGGGGTTGTGTTGTAGGTGCGAGGTCTGAAAACGGTGAGTGTGTTCAACGACATAGCATGATGGTAGAGATCTTTACAAGGAGATGCCCTGGTGCTTTGTTAGTAGCCTCAACCTAGCATGCGGGTTTCCACTATGCAAGATCTTGCGTGGCTTTCACATGAACTGTCCGATTCAAGCTGATATTGATTATTTAGCATCTATCACAGCCGCGTCATGACTTCGATTCGTTCTGGCGCGCCACTGGCCAGCACAGCTAACGTTACTGAGCCTCAAGTCGCTCTCCCCCACCAAGAAGGTGATGACGCTGATACGCCCTCGAACATTAGATCGCACAAGGAAGACAGGTCCACCGCCTCGTGGTCCGAGAGAGATGCCGAGCTTGGGATTGATGGATTACAGGAGAAAAATGAGCTACAGGATTCCGCCGACGAACAGGATCCTAATGTAGTTTTCTGGGACGAGCCGATTGATCAGGACCCTAACAATCCAATCAATTGGAAAGAGGGATGGAAGTGGATGAATATTGCGGTGCTGGCGATATGTACACTTATCACGCACGAACTCCTGGCAACACGCCGAGGACATAAGCTAATATGATACAGACCTCTCGCCTCGAGTATGTTTGCTCCGGGTGTTCCTCAAATCATGCGGGAGTTCAACACCTCCGACCCAAAGCTCGCCACTTTTGTCGTTTCTGTCTATATTCTCGGTTTCGCTTTTGGGCCACTCCTAGTCGCGCCCCTGAGTGAAATGTATGGAAGGACAGTTTGCTACCATAGCTGCAATGTGTTGTTTGTCATATTCGCAATTGGCTGTGCTGTGTCGAACAGCTATGGCATGCTCGTGGCGTTCCGTTTCCTTATGGGTTGCGCCGGATCTGCACCACTGACTATCGGTGGAGGTACTATCGCAGACATGATGCCTCCCGAACGCCGTGGGTCAGCTATGGCTATCTGGGCCTTGGGGCCCTTGCTTGGACCCGTTATTGGACCTGTCGCCGGTGGGTTTCTGGTTGAAGGTGCAGGGTGGAGATGGGTATTCTGGCTGCTAGCAATTGTCGTAAGTCTGGTACGAGTGCCTACTGTGGAATATACTTACTATCTCGCCAGGGCGGTGTCTTTACAGTGCTTGCATTTCTCTTGCTCCGTGAATCCTATGCTCCTGTCTTGATCGGACGCAAGGTAGCTCGCCTTCGGAAAGAGACCGGAAATATGAATCTACGCAGTAAGCTTGACAACGGACTGACTTCCAAAGAACTGCTCAAGCGTGCTCTTGTGCGCCCAACCAAGATGCTCTTCCTCTCACCCATCGTGTTCCTCCTTTCGCTCTACATGGCCGTTGCCTACGCCATCCTCTACCTCCTCTTCACCACATTCACATTCGTATTTGAGCGGAGCTACGGCTTCAGTCCCGGCAACGTCGGCTTAACCTATATCCCCATTGGTATCGGCATGATTATCGGCTTAGCAGTTCTAGGAACACTCAGCGATCGTCATATCAAAGCGCTAATAGCCCATGGCGTGACACTTCAACCGGAGCACCGGCTACCTTATCTCTTGACTATCCCAGGGGGTTTTTGCATCCCCCTTGGTATGTTCATATATGGCTGGACGGCGCAATATCAGGTCCATTGGGCAGTACCGTTGCTTGGCACTATTTTCGTGGGCATTGGACTGATCAGTTGCATGGTATACTCTTTTCCTCCTGAATGATCTTGCCAATCTACTAACATTCAGACAAGATGTCTATTAACACATACATGATTGATGCGTTCACGCTTCACGCTGCCTCCGCCATGGCTGCCAATACCGTGCTGCGATCTCTAGCCGGTGCGCTACTGCCGTTGGGTGGCCTGCAAATGTACAATGCTCTAGGATTGGGTTGGGGAAATAGTTTGATGGGTTTCATTGCGCTTGCCCTCGTACCAGTGCCGGCGGTATTCAAGATCTACGGGCCGTGGTTGAGAAATAGGTTCTGGGTCGAGTTTTAGAGGGCCAGAGGATCAGTGTAAACAAGTGACACTTGCATTACGTTGCATTGCAGGCGTTGGGGCATACCGAGCGTGTCGAGAAATCCACTGTAGACTTTATGTAATCATGATTGATGGGTGAAATACCGTTTTTGAGCGACTGAGTCACTGTGGTAAAGCTGCAGTTTGTACTGCACGGCCTCGTAGGTCCTTTGTCGTGTTTGCATGCCTGTACAGACGATGCCATCCCTGCCCCTGAACCATCTTATGTCAAGAGACTGGGGCCATGTGCAATGTGATGTACTTCGTTTGATTAGTATGGTGTACGATGTGGGCGGCAAACCTGGCAATTCTATGACAAACATGCAAATTGCCAGCCTTCTCTTCTCTAACTCATCAACATCATTTCCATCCCATCACATATTATATAAGACATGTAGGTGGGTTCTAGACAGCTTACACACCAAGCCTGACGACACCATCCAGGAGAGGTGTATGGTGTATGGCAGTAGCTTTGCCGGAATCAAAGCCCTGGCCGTGTTCGCACTCCCTAAACAGCAGAAATTTTATCTTTTCCCTCTGCCACTAGCCAACGGGATTGGAGGGAGGCCTGACGGCTGTGCACTGATCGTGTAGCGCCGTAGACCATAGCGTAGCTTGGCCCGAAGCAGCAGTGTGTATGTGTATAGTGTGAGGGGAACTGACTGTCGTCGCTGTCACTCTTGTAGTCGCTCCTCAGAGGTACCGACCGAGCCATTCGAGACCCTGATGATAACCTACAGATCAATGCCAAATCAATCAGATCAGTCCTCTGGTCCGCACGGGTAAGAGGGTATAGGGTGTTTCCTTCCTCCTACCTTGTCCCCTCAAAACAGAGCACATAAACAGCCCAACCGGCCTATCCCTCCCTCCTCTGCCCCCCTCCGCCCCACTAGCACCACCACCCCGATCAAGCCCCAACTCGGCCCGAAGCTGTTCCTCGCTCACCGCGTCAACGGCATCGATCTTATTCCCTAGCACGAGGAAGGGTACCGTGGTGGTGCTGGCCAGGCACTCCAAGGACAGGGCCGAGTCGAGCGCGGCCTTGGCCTGGCGGAAGCGTTCGTGGTCCTGTGCGTCGACGAGGAAGATGACGGCGTTGATGGGGTGGATGTGGGTGGCGGTGCGCCAGGGTTGGGGCGTGTGTTTGTACATTAGGCCGCCGAAGTCGTAGGGGGTGATGGGTGTGGAGCTGATGGTGAGTTTTTGGGGGGTTTTTGCTGCTGTGAGGGTGTGTTGTGAGTTGGTGAGTTGGTGAGTTGGTGAGTTGGTGAGTTGGTGAGTTGGTGAGTTGATGTGTCTTGCGTGGATGCTTCGTGTGCGTTTTCCGGAGGGGGATGTATATGTTGTATATTTCAAATCGGCGGACTCACAGGATTGGGCATCTGGGGATGGCGAAGTTAGTTAGCGTGCAGCGGGTATCTGAATCGGAAGCAGCAATTCATGCAGTCTGTCTGGCATTGAGGGGGAAAGGGGACATGCTTACTATGTGGCTTTGCGGCCATCTGCTCTGTCCGGAGGACGTGGAGAAGGGTCGTCTTGCCGGAGTTGTCGAGTCCGAGAAAGAGGACTTTGATGTCCTTCTCTACGAGGCCTAGCCAGGAGAGGCCATTGAGGACTATTTGGAGGGGACGGTACTTAGTATTTATATCTGGACATGCTGGTGCTATGGTTGTAGTTGTTGTTTTCTGGGATTGAGTCATGACTTACACCTAAGGTAGACTAGTTAGAAGAAAGGTTCTAGGGAAAGGGTTTGAGTGGGGTCTTCGTACCATTCTAGGAACCACATGGGTGCATGTCTGGGGTCTCGACGTGGGTAGGGGAGATTATGGCTTAGTTGTTGCTAATAGGCTGGATGTACTTATTCTAGAATTTGCTCGGGTTTCTTTTTTTGTTCTACAAGTCAGGGCTCCTATGACGTATGTGGCTTCATACCCGCTATGCTAGTTGATCCATCAAAACTTCTCCATAAACAAATGTTCCTTGTTCTTGAATGCGATGATACTCCGATATCCCTATTTGATTGCGCAGGCTACGTAGAAATGAAGCGCGCGGTATCCGAGCGGTATACCTCTGCCGTATCGTGAGGCCACTGTCCGGCTTGGAAAAATATGTAAACACAATAGGGGTAGTGTGTTCACTGACTCCAAAGGCATTACATCACCTAGTACAATATCTACTCAAGCGACTCCCTGGAAGACGACATGTTCAAGTTTCTGCTCGCTAGACTTGCATAGTCGTGCGATAGTGAAGCCGATAATATCACGACATGTCTCTATTTTACCCCGTCCTAAATGCCTCTTTTCCATTTTACAAACTCATCGTACGGCATAACAGTCACGATTCAAATCTACAGACCTCACTCACCGTGCCTAGAAGAGAAGAACAGGACGTTGATGTCCGCCACAAAAATATCCGCTAACCACCCGGCATAAAACCCTCGATAGCAACGATGACAATCGCCACTACCCCATGCCGCTGCTCATCATCACCATTCAATAAACACACCAAACCAACCACACATAGGAAGGCCAAATATACTTCCAAGCACAACCACCACCACCACCACCCTTCGGCTGCAATGGTAGTGCTAGCAAGGCAATAGTTGTGTTGAGCGAGGGCTCACATACTGAATCCATGCGTCTAGCTCCGGGAGACTGTTGTGTGTAGACGTATTGCTTCTGGAACTGGGAGGGAGGATAGGGATGGGAGGCGTGCTATATATATATTAGTGTAAGTAAGTAAATCAACTGCCGGGTAACACCGCCCCTGTCACACGCATTTGTCATGCATTCACTATCCACAAAACATGCATCTGTCTGCTGGATCAGTCAGTATCATTGTGCGACTTACCCGGCAGTGGTGCCTCTCCTTACATATATATCTATCCTCGCACAGAGTATACGGCTACTCTACTCGCATACCTACAACAAGGCATTATGGTTCCGTCTTCGACGGATGGGACTTGTGACGACGGTAGACAGAACATTGGTCCGAAAGCCCCATGTGTGGCGTGCGAAGCGGTGGAAATGTTGGTGATGATCATTGGTATTGGGGGTGGATGGTGGGTAGTAGCTGGGCGCGGGTGGTATTTGGTGGGGAGTATACGATTGTAAGAGTGAGGGCGGAGTTGTACTGTGGGGTTGGGGAGTGTGAATTGTGATTCTAAATGCTGTGAGTATGAATGGAGAATATGATAGTATGTATGCATTATGTCCAGCTATGATAATGACGACCATCACCACGGTAACAAACTATCAAAACCCTGATGATGAATAGCGTATAGTGATGCTAATCATCACCATCATCACGACAGCATAAAGACACATGTCCCAGAACCCTGCGATCAGAAAAAAGCAATCATTCCCACACATAGTTGTCGTGTAGTGTAAACAAGTGGGAGACACTTAGACAGCATAGTCTTCCATACCGATGTCCCTTGCACATGTTTGCTGACGAGAGGAAGAAGTTTTGGGGCTTGAGGGGGTGGTATATATATGCACATCTGTAGCTGTTCTGCGTGTGAATAGACTAGACGAATGCCGGGTACGCATCGTATCACACGTCATGCTCGCACGTCACGTTCGCCGGGTTGGATCGTGGATGAGACGTTGTAGCTGATGACAGAGACAGACATATCTTCACTTTTCAATGTGTGATAACAATATACATCATGTCTGAACAGCGATAACGTGCACCACTAATGTATAACAACGATGAGCAACACTACTCCCTTGCTCCCTCCCTCCCTCCTCCACATCCCAAACACCAAACAAAGCACCCATTCGCAGCACATGCACATACTCCTGGCCCCAAGCATAGATGTGAAACGTTCCTAGGGGCTTATAATTGCATCCCGTTAGCGCTTAGACGGGCGGTTGATGTATCAGAGTCTTATTGCTGGTGAGTAGGATAACAAAGCAAGATAGAGTAGAGGAGGGGGATATATATAGACAGATACGTGTATATAAGCACGCGTGAAGTTCCAGCTAGATGAATAGCCGGGTACGTACATACGTACATACGTCCCGCCTCGTGCTTCCACGCCTCATGCTATGGAGGGTAGGAGAAGGAGAGAGGCAGGGAGGGACAAGCTACGCACAAGACTTATAATAACCCAGACCTCGTGAATAATCTAATCTCAACGAGGGCACAGTGCTTATATTTCTCGTTCCACGGCCACTGCCTGCGGATCATGTGGATATGGTGGTGGTGGTAATAACCATCTTCACCATTTAATAACATTACTATAGGAGGAAAGTCCACTCAGCACGAGCGAGACATATGTACCGACGTCGATGCCTTGAGGTAGTGTGTGGGAAAGGGGGTTGTATTGGGAATCTAGTGATGGCCGGGGGATAGCATGGTAGTATGATATGGAAACTGCGGAGATGGAAGAAAAGGAAGATGGGATAGGCGTATGACGAGTGTTTAATTGAGAGGGAGAGGATATGCTCGGAATGCCGGGTAGGTGTGCTTTTCACACAGTCATATATTCAAAGTGACGCACATTTCTGTGAAAGGGGTTCCACTACACTCGACACAAGTATATATAAATAGATGACTATAAGTCCCGTGGACAACTCAATCACTCACAGCACCCAGAACATAGAAATCTATATTTCCGACATCAATAAGGATATCCGCGATGGATGGCGTGGACCAGGCTTGCCGGTTTCTTGTGTGCTTTGTCGGGCGCCTTCCCGTCGCGGTGATCTTTCGACCTTGACAACAACATGATTATGCGGCTTGTCGCGCTGCTGCATTGCTACGAGTGTGTGATGATGGGTAGTAGCTTTTGGTGCTGATGTGCGGCATGTCTGTGCAGTGATGAAGGCTTGGGTATAGTGGTGATGATGGTGATAGCCATCTGGGAGCTTGTGAGAGATTCACGCATGCAATGTTGGATGAGTGTTTTACCCCCTATTCACAGCCAATCCGAGGCCAGTCCAGCCAGGTAGATGCCTGGACGCACTCGATTGAGGACGAGAGCCAGAAGACTCGAAACAGAATGAAGCGCTGGAGTGCTCTTCCTATGCTAGTCTCACCGCCGCCGTTACTACTTCTGCTGCTCAAAGATATCCAGCGAGGCTTTCTAGTCCATGGCGTTTGAGCTAGAGTCTCGTGGCCTTCTTGATGGAAAAATGCTCTTATCTCTACTGGTGATTGCCGTGCGATTCCACGATCCGAAAGCGCTGCCTCCGCCATCGACAACATCCAAGTCTCGGCTCTTGTGGCTTGTAGACGAGACGTCGCGACTCGTGAACGAGGGGGCTCATCTTAAAATAGTCGTCACCTGATATGAGTGCGCTTGACAGAAGCCACGGAATGGGGCGGTCTGGGGCGAGACGTCCCGTTGAAGCCACAACCTCGCAGACCGGGCAGGGCGTCCACGATGTTCTGCCTTCCTCATGCTTTCAGCGGCGTTGCTAGTGGCTGTTTGTCACAGAGTCAGTCAGTCAGTGGCGCGCTCGAGAATGTGGCGATGGAGTGAGTAGTGAGTGGATATATAATTGGCATTGAGTGGAGTCGGAGCCGTGGTGGACTCATCTGTAGTGTACTGTAGTAAGTAAGATACGTACGAAAGGTAAAACAGGGCGAAGTCTGGAATCGTGGTCGCGGCAGCACCATATCTGATATAGTGGACGGCTACATGATGCCATGCAACAGGGTATCAGTACCGGCTGGCAGCGCAGTACAGTACAGTGCAGTACTGCCATGAGGCTCCCCTGTTTCAGAACGCGCCGTGACAGTCTCTGGGCGCGATCGCCGATAAGCGAAATCCAGACTCAGGCTGGCAGTGCGCCAGCAGGCATGTGTTGAACGGTATCTTTCACGGACAGCACGTCGCGCCATCAGGAATGGAATGGGAAATGATTGTAAGAATAAGCTCACGGAGAGAAGGCCTCACAGCGTGACATCGCGCAAGATGGATGAATGAAGTCGATTTGTCGGTCCCGGGGCGAGGTTGGTTGCAACGTCGCCAAAAGGGAATATAATTGTGCTGCCTGGGCGGACGGGTTCTATGCAAGTCTGGAACGTGTTGCGATGACGCCGGTTCCGGGTTCCTGGGATCGACAGGGAGGGCCTGGGCGTAGGATATACGAACGTGCAGCTTCTTACGGGCGTAAGGGAACGGGCGTAAGAGAGCGCACGCGCGGAGGAGAGAGGAAGAGAGAGAGAGGGCGGGCAGTTGGTTCGAGGCTGGCAAAGCAAAAGCGCAATGTGCGGATTAGGAGTCTGCGTTGTCCTTTTGTGATGACTTTCCAAGGTTTTGCTTGCTGATGTGATTGAGATGCGCGTACAGTCAAGCTCGCCGAAGCTTCTCTGCTGCTGCGTCTTCATCTCGAGTTTGCACCACTACAGATGTATTAAAATATTACCAAGCCTACCCAGGGTCCTCTTTCGTGCCCGTTTCAGCCTCACGATTAAAACTGGAGAAGTGAGCGTTATATGCGATTAATGCCTATCGATTAGAAAATCTCCTGAAATGGCCCGGGCTGCTGCTGACTGAGACTGCTAGGTGGATGAGGCTTCCCCGCCAAGAGACGGTGGAGTTAAGGCGCGCGTGGATTGTGCGAAGTCCGAAGCCGCTCTCTCTTACTCTCATCGCTTTCATCACAGTCATAAATAGGCTGATTGATCTATGTAAGCACTATTTTTGCTTGGCATCAATTGTGTAGCGAACTGGATACAGTCGTAGAGTGCGTGCTACCGTACGTACGTCCTGACATCATCAGGCATGCATAGTTTGTTATACTGAAAGAGCCGTGCCTATGGATGAAATTCACCATGTGTTTTGCACCTGACGATCGGCAGCCAGCCACGCGACGAGACATTTTCCAGCCTCGCCGACGATCTCCTTGTGTCCGCTGTCAAATCGCGATTAGAAATGTTGCAAGGAGAAAGACTAGCTCGAGGATAGATTGAACGGACGTCAACGGTGAATTTAGAGCGCAATTCGCAGCAACGGCGTGATTGGTTGGCTGTGCAGGATGCTCAATGCAGATTGGCTACCGGCCATCGTCGATGGCACCAGGATGCGATGGAAGGGTTAGGCAGTACTAAGAAGTAGTACATGTATGCCACGAGTCTCGAGAGAAGCTTCTCGGAGCCGTGGACCCTGGGGCGCTTGCAACTAGAGTGGCCAGCAAGACTCCAAGACTCCAGAACTCCCAGGACTGGAGGTTACGTTACATGTAGAGGAGAGGCGCGTCAAACCAAGTGACGAGACGTCTAGAGGGGCCTGGCGACGCGCGCCTCGTAGCTGGCTGGTGTCATCGTCCAACCATCAACGGGGTCACGGGCTGTAGCAGAGAACCGCATTGCCGTCGAGAAGATGATATTGTATGCTTTCTAGCGGTAGCACCGTCGTCTTCTGCTTCTGATTCTTCTCCGCATAGGATGATAAATCATGGTAATATCACATGGAATAAATAACAAAGGGTGTTAGCGGCACTCGCACGCTCAACGAGGCTTTTTGTCCGACCGGCGTCCCTGGTCTTGGCTCGCTCATCTCTTGACACTTGAGTGGTGGTGGTAGGCAATTGTGATCGGCAGATCGGCAGGCCGCATGTCCCCTCCCCGCATAGAAGAATAGTGATATAGATGGCTGGCTCATGAAAAGTGTCTGAGATGGATCCAAGTGAGGAGGTCGTTGTAGTAGAAGGGTAGAACGGCCAGACTTGAAGCGGTAGTGTTTGGAAAGTATAGCTTGCAGACCGCCTCCGGAACTGGCAAGCAACCGAGAAGCCACTGACGATGGTGTTCTTTGGGTGGTGGTTTGGATTGATGCGTGGGGACAGCAAAGAGAGATATGCCTGGTTAGTCGACGGCTTTGGGTGCGCGGCAATAATAACATTAGATTACAGCCTGTGTCCTTGTACCTTTCTGGCCCCGTCGGAGACAGAAGTCGGACCGAGAGCGGCGAGTGGGCGCAGATATCAGCATAGCGGGCGCAGACTCAAGTCTGATAGTCGGAGAGGAGTGGCTTACGGAGAGTATTGTAAAGATGGATGGTACCTGGCTAGTTGTTCTGCTAAAGCACGTTATCGCTTGATCGGCGCCAAACTCAGTAGCACAGCGGACGATCCCGAACGCTCTCGACCCAGCGGTGTTTGAGTCGCGGCCTTGTCTTTTGTGTTCTGACGGCTGTTACATTGCGGTCGGTCCTGGACAAAGGGCGGTACGGTAGCTATGTGGGTGGATGTGGTATTATAGTTACTATCATTATTATGATTGTCGTTGTTACTATCATTATAGTAAGCCATGTCGCACACCAATAATAACAACGATAATTAACATCTCCAACGTCAAATGCTGCTGCTGCACTACCTCGGAAATATTCTGCACACTGCACACTGCAAACTCCCAAACCGCAAGCTGCTGCAGGCTGCAAGCAGACTCGAACAGTATGGCGCAGGACAGGCAGGACAGGACGGCATGGTAGGTAGGTAGGTAGGTTAGTTAGCTTTTGATCGTATATCGTATCCAAGACCAGGTGTAATAAGCCGAAAAACAATCATATCATATGTCATTTTGAGTGTATCAGATGAGATGATGAGATGAGTAGTGTGTGTAGTTACCGTCACAGGGCCCCATGTCGACCGTTGACGCGATCATAGCGGGTTGGTTTGTTGGTTGGAGGAGGCAGACAGTGATTTATTCGGGGGACGAGGAGACGCCAACCTTGCGGCAGGCTTGAAGGGGCTTGGGGGCTTGGAGGGGGGGAGGGAGACTTGATTAGGCTGGATTAGGCTGGATTAGGCTGGAGTAGGCTTGGGTAGTTGACACAACTTCAGTCTAGAGCGCGTCCAAATCCTGGGCGGCTCCCCGTGCGCTCTCAACGCCAAGACCCACTTTTCTGCCCTCCGCCTCGCGCTCCATTCATTCATTGATTCACTCATTCATGGGTTCATGCTTTCTTTCTTACACGAACTAATCATTACTTACTACTTACTACTACTACTTACTGTCTACCATGCTCTTGTCGTCATAACACACCTACTACTACTACTACTACTTACTACGCTCACTAATACTGTAATCTGTAATCTGTTTGTTACCCACCACCCTTCAACTCTTCTTCTTGGCCCTCTTGACTCACCACCACCTATCTGTGTCCACTCCCTGTCTCCCTCTCTCTGCTCATTCCACCTTGCTGCTCGCATTGCTTGCATACTTCACCTCCCGTCGTTGCTTGCGACCACTTGCATCCTCCGTGCCAATCACATCCCACTCGGCTTCCCTACTTCCGCTTCCGACCACTTCGAAACTCGTTCTTGCACTCGCACTCGACTCGACTCGAACGCTCTCCCATACACTCTCTCGTTGCTTCCGACTCTTCAGCCGTGGCGCCCAACACTACTTCTACCAAGGACGTCCAACAGCTGCATCTCACCAGGATCCAACTCCAACTTGGAACATCGGCCCCTCTTCGTCTTGGAAGCAGATCTCTCCAGCCAGGCAACGCTGGAGCAATCCAGGAATGGAGAATGGCGGGGTGGATTTGAGCAATAGGCCACCTGACTCCTTCGCCCGCGAATCTTTATGCTTTTCCGGTCCTGAACCTGGTCTTGTCATCCACAATGGTGACCCGAAGCATCATGAGCAGCAGCAGGAGCTGTTCGCTCACGACGAAAGCCGCGCCATCGAGAATCTGATCAAGTTAAAGGCCCGATTACGAAACTTGGCCGGTTCGGACTTCTGGGAGCAGATGACGGAAGGACTGGCCAAGATGATGGGTGCCCAGTATGCCTTTGTTTCCAAGCGTATCGTGACCGACGACGAGAACGCTGCTGTTGAGATGCCTCCCATTGGCATGCCTGGATCTTGCCTGATGGGTCTCGCAATCTACATTTCAGACGGTCTGGCAATGGAGAATCGCATGACAAACTTCAAATACCACGCCTACTCATGCCCCTGTGCATACATGCGTCACGACAAGGTCTTTGTCATTGCAAAACACCTCGAGGAATTCGTTGTCGGCAACCCAAATGTGCTCCCTCTTCCCGCAGAATCCTATATTGGTATCCCACTCTTCGCCCATGGAAAATGTATAGGCCATTTTGGGGTCATGTGGGGCCCCAAGGAGTCTCACAAGAGAGGCCTCGGTTGGGCTCATATGGAATTGCTGTTGCATTCTGTCGAAGACATGATTCTGAACCGGATGCTGGAGAAAAGAGACTTTAGCGAAAATGTCGTCGATGCCATGAAATGCGGCCATTCCAAGGTAATACCTCATGATGCAATCGCTACAGCCACTCAATCACTCAAACCGTACGCTCGAAGCCTATCGCATGAATTGAGAACACCGATGCAAGGCGTGGTGGGAATGCTTGATGTCATGTACGCCACCGTACAAGATGCCGTTCAAGAACACCGGGACCTCCGTGTGCGCAAGGTCTTTACTGACCTGAAGAAGAACATTGAAGACATTCAAGGTCAGAAACATATTCTATCTAATATTAGGGCCCTCACTGATACCTCCCAGATTCATCACGCCGTGCAGTGGAAGCTGCAGACAATGTAGTGCACGCCTATGACATGAATATGGGCGTCCCTGAGACTCCCGCCACTCCATTCGACGACGACGAGCCACGATCAGCCGTTTTGAATCTGCCAGAGAAGAGGCCAGATATAGTTGTTGCCGGTAACAATATGCATCTCAATCTCAAATCAAACAAACGAAAGCGGGAACCGACGTCCTGGGACTTTGGACCTGCTCCAAAAGTTCGTGTCCCAGTCTCTCCTCAAAGCTCACGTGGTCGAAACAGCTTCGACACCCAATATGCAGCCAGTCTGGCCGAGGATGTCAGTGCATCCAGACAATCGCATCACGACGACGCCGAAGCTTATACCAGTCCGAAGAGTGAGCCAAGGTCGCCTGTCTTCGCCACGGAACGCAACATCGTTCCTGGACTCCGACACACCAATCTTCCCGATGTGCTTCAATACATCATCAATGACTCTCTCAAAATAGGTGGCAGACCTGAATCTGCCATCGCAAAAGAAACGGAGAATGGTGAGATCATCGAGGTTCACACGAGGTCACCAGCTGGCGAAGACAAAGTCAAGATCATCGAATGGTCGGTAGCCAACAATGTCCCAGATTCCATGTTGATTGATGAGCGAGAGCTGGGCAAGATGATATCTTGTGTTGTTCTCAATGCCATCAAGTTCACCGAAGAGGGCAAAATCACCATCACGGCCCGTCTCAGTCATCGCAATCGATACATCATCATCAACGTAAAGGACAGTGGCCCAGGCATACCGACCGCTTTCCACCCAAACCTCTTCAAGGCTTTCTCACGAGAGGACGACTCTCTAACACGACAGAGCGAGGGTCTCGGTCTCGGTCTTCTGGTGGCCAAAGGTCTCGCCCGTAAACTTGGCGGTGACATCCGCTGTGTACACACAGAGACATACGGGCCTGACAAGGGATCCGACTTCGAGATGCGCGTGCCCTTGACGCCGAGTGACGTGTGCAGTAGGCCATGCTCACCGTCAGGCTCTATGAGCCCTGCCACCCGGTCTCGCACTCGCACTCCAGGAGATTCAGATGAGCGTCTGCAGACACCTGCCTTACCACCTACTACGACCAAAGTCCTCACGGACTTGATACACGAAAGCCGCAACGACTCACACCATCCGAACCCTTCTCAGACCTCCACATCATCTCCGTCTCTACTCCGATCTCCCCGAATTCCTGCTTCTCCATCCCGCCGGCCAAGCGCACCTCAGATGTCCCGAAGACTCTCCACCAAAAGCACCTCGGGAGGTAGTCTCGCCAAGCGCCACCCGTTGAACTTTCTCGTTGCCGAAGACAACAAAATAAATCGCAGCATTCTTGTCAGCATGCTTAAAAAGCTTGGCTACTCGTCAATTAAAGAAGCATACGACGGTGCTGACGCTGTTCGAAAAATGACCGAAGATACTCAAAATGGCCGTCATGTAGATGTCATCCTGATGGATCTTTGGATGCCGTTCATGGATGGATATGAAGCCACCGAACGCATCCTCGAGATGGGCAATGGTCCGAAAGACCCCAAACCTCCCACGATTCTCGCTGTTACAGCCGACGTTACGGACGGAGCTCTGGAACGCGCTGCTAGGGCGGGCATGAAAGGCTTCATGACGAAGCCCTACAAACTTACTGATCTTGAAAGACTTATCGTTGAGTACTGCGCACAGCAAACCAACACCGATACCACATGAACTGACACGCTTATGCATATGTCCTCGCAGACAAGGTGTGCTCGGGGTTTTTATTTCTTCTATTTCTGTGTTGTGTGATGAGCACACAAATTACAAATCATATTCATGCATAGCGAGAGGATATGGGCATACCACTAATGGCGTTTACTTGTTCAAAGCACCTGCCAGGGGCAGAGTCGCATGTCATGTATAGTGTATTTGAACTATGCTAGAGCGCCACCGACATGCGCAAAGACTTAGATAATCAGATGTTAAATTCACGATATCAGGGACTTTCAAAAGTGATACGTGCGGTGTGCCTCAGGCAGCAGCTATAGCCGTAGCATTGGCTTGGCGTCCGTGTAATCATCCCCACATTAATGTAGCTCTCTACGAGTTGCATGCAACCTTTCATCTCAACTTCATATCCTCGCGACAGATGACTGTATCATAGGAACTAACCATGGCAGTAAAAGCATCCCTTCCTCTCCCACCACCTCCTCCTCCATCATCTGGCTCTCTCGCACCACCACCACCCCCTCTAGATTCATCAGCACCGCCGCCTCCACCAGAGGACATTCCACCACCTCCGCCACCAAGCGATGAACCGCTCGGGCCTGCTTTAGGTGTTCGCGGCAGTGTCGGTAGTGTGACTGGATCAATTCCAAGCAGGAAAGTAGCTAAGCAGCCACCCAGTATCGAGGATTTTCTGAAGAAGAAGAGGGAAGCGGACGCGCTAGCTGCAAAGGTATGCTGCCATCTGAGTACTATGCAAGGTAGTGCTTCCAGTAAACGTTTAAATGACCTAACTGTCATGTAGCCAAGGTTTATACCCCGAGCTCAACGTGAAAAATACGCGAAGGCCGAAGAACAGCGTCAAGCTGAAGAGCGAGCGCGAAGGGAAGAGGCAACGCGTTTGGAAAGAGCCAAGTTCATGGCAGAGGCTGGTATGAGTGAAACAGCGAGCAGTACACGTGGGACCAATGGAAGCGCGCGACCTGCCATACCTACCGGACCAAGATCACAAAGACAAGAGGCTCCTAGAGGACCTAGCGCGATGCGCAACAGGCCTGGAGAAAAGACAAACATGCCACCGCCTGGCAAGCAGAGTGCTACTGTCGCGGCACCCACGGATAACAAGAAACGAGCAATAAACCCCGAAGAAGCGGAGAAGGAGTTGATCAGACAGCGATACATGGGTGTGGACAACAATGTTTCGACTTTCTCGGCGAAAAAGAAGCGAAAGCGGACCACAGAGAAGAAATTCAACTTTGAGTGGAACCCAGAAGAAGATACCAGCCAGGATTACAACCCTCTGTACCAAGACCGGACGGTGGCATCTTTCTACGGACGAGGTCGATTAGGTGGTTATGCAGATAACGAGGCCGGTGCTCGTGCGTACACAGATGCTATCAAAAAGCTCAGCAAGAGCGATGAGACAGCACGAATAAATGCAATCATGGACATGGAAAGACGTCAAAGGGATGCAGGTGGACGCGGTGTATTGGAGAAGCACTGGAGTGATAAGGAGTTGTCTCAGATGCGCGAACGTGACTGGCGCATCTTCAAGGAAGACTTCAGCATCAGCACCAAAGGCGGAACATTACCAAATCCGATGCGGTCATGGGACGAGTCCGATCTGCCCGAAGATGTCCTCGCTATCATCAGACGGGTCGGTTATACCGATCCTTCGCCAGTACAAAGGGCTTCTATCCCTATTGCTCTGCTCAACCGCGACCTGATCGGAGTTGCTGTCACTGGTTCCGGTAAAACTGCTGCCTTCCTGCTACCTTTACTAGTCTATATCAAAGATCTGCCTACCTTCAACGACTTCAACCGCAATGACGGGCCGTACGCAGTCATTCTCGCTCCAACTCGTGAGTTGGCGCAACAGATCGAATCAGAAGCAACAAAATTTGCGTCGCCACTCGGCTTCAAGGCTGTCAGTATCGTTGGTGGTCACTCTATTGAAGAGCAAGCATACAACATGCGCGAAGGAGCACATATTCTCATTGCTACGCCTGGTCGTCTCCTAGACTGCATCGAGCGTCGTGTCCTAGTCCTCAGCCAATGTTGCTACGTTATTATGGATGAGGCTGATCGCATGGTCGACCAAGGTTTCGAAGAGCCGCTGAACAAGATCCTTAACGCTCTCCCAGTCTCCAACGAGAAGCCCGACAACGATGATGCTGAGAATCCGGTGGTAATGAGCCGTCGTCTAGGAGGCAAAGACCGCTACCGCCAGACAATGATGTTTACAGCCACTATGCCAGCAGCTGTCGAGCGCATCGCAAAGAAATACCTGCGCCGCCCCGCCACAGTAACCATTGGTAACGCCGGCGAAGCAGTCGACACAGTCGAGCAACGTGTCGAGATGATCTCAGGCGAAGAGAAGCGGAAGAAGCGCCTCGAGGAAATCCTACGCTCGAACCAGTACGCGCCACCAATCATTGTCTTTGTCAACATCAAGCGTAACTGTGACACGATCGCGCGTGACATCAAGCACTGGGGATACTCGGCTGTCACACTGCATGGTAACAAGACACAAGAACAGCGTGAGGCGTCTCTGTCTCAGCTGCGTAATGGAACTGCAGACATCCTCGTCGCAACCGATCTTGCGGGTCGTGGTATCGACGTGCCGGACGTTAGTCTGGTGGTTAACTTTAACATGACTGGGAGCATCGAGGCTTATACACATCGTATTGGACGTACGGGTCGTGCAGGGAAGACGGGTACAGCGATTACTTTCTTGGGACACGAGGATGAGGACGTCATGTACGTGCACCCCTCATTCTATCTTGCTGTCAGTGGCAGTGCTAACCAAGCCATAGGTACGATCTCAAGTCCATGCTGCAGAAGTCGGACAAGAGCCGCGTTCCGGAGGAGCTACGCAAGCATCCTGCTGCGCAGCAGAAGAAGACACACGGCCAGAGAAAGGCCGAGAAGACGGAGGAGAATGGTGGCGGACAGCAGCGTGGCAGCGGGTGGTGAGAGGTGAGAGGTGGAGTGTTCATACTGACTATCGTATCGTCGCAATCAGGATATTACTGCTGTGTGTAGCAAAGCGGACGGCTTTCTTGCAAGCATCATTTGGGTATTCATGGCACTTTTTATCATATCATGTATCAACAACACTCGTCATCGACGGAGAAACCCTGCTGTCGAGTACGACAGGCAAGATAATACATGACTCATTATGATCCTACCTGAAAAAACATTTCAATCTGCATTCCAAGTAACGCGAGTCAAAGACTCTTTCTTCACTACTCTAATCAATAGTATAGTCGGAAAGGAAGATAGCAGGCTTAATTATAGTAAATGCGCATTCAATCGTATATGTTCTTGGGTAATTAGTGGCAGCATGCAAGCCCCCTGGAAATTCGCCCCTTTTTTAGAGGGTGGTCCACCAAAGTTGCAGAATAACATGCGTAATGTGTGCTGTGCTGTGCTGTGATGTGCTGTGCTGTGCTGTGCTGTGAGAGAGGGAGAGAGAGTAGCCCGCGTAGCTAAGCAATATAATGTCCTTAGTGAGTAAACGTATATATGTTTGTATTTGAGCAACTTACACCCATCTCTCAGCTACACACCTACCTGCCTAAGCAATGCACACATTTGAGTAAACTCACACACCTCTTGAGTACTTCACACACCTCTTAAGCAAACCCACATACCTCTTGAGTAACTCATACACACACCCGGTAGTAAACCGTCACATACACATATAGGCAACCTGGAAAATGAGTTGAGTTTTCTATCCCCCTTTTCTCTTCTTTGGGTGGTTTTGCAGAGCTTCTTATACCTATTTTACGTTCTACGTATCTACCATTCTCCGATTGTTGTCGTGATGCTTGGTATAGGTACACTTTTTAGTTCACTGTATAGGAAGGAAGAAGGACTGGGTAGGGTGTTTGAAAGCAGTAAGATTGGGCTGGTTTACGTATCCTGGGCTGCCCTGCCTACCTGCTTGCCCTATGACTCTACTCTGACTAAGCAAAGTAGGTGGCGAAATGGAGATTGTTGACGCTGTGGGACATATTCTCAGAATTGCACGTTGGTTGGGGCGGATCCCGATGCCATCCGTATAAAAAGGGGTATGTGGATGAACACCTTGAGACCATCAACAAAGCAGACCATCCCCAGAAAGTACCCCGCATAAACACATCACTTATACACCAGACCGCTAAACTCACCAGCCAAGTAAACCTGTGACTCGACGGGCGATTCCACCATTCGGTTCGTAAGAGAAACTTGACGTTCTACGACCCTATTGCCGTTTTTCCAGTCGAATACTGTCCCGATGTCTAGCGCACAGGCGATTCGACTGCGCTCGATAGGACCGTGTGATGTGTGCTCGAGGATCATATCCTGGAGCTCGGAGGGGAGCCCATGAATGAGGGACGGGCGCGCCTTGGTGAGTGTGCATTCGAGGAGCATCTCGAGGCCCCGTGCAGAGACCGTGTATCCGTCTTCTTCAAAGAGGTTTTCTGGTGCGGAGTAGGCCTCTGAGTCGTCGGAGATGAAGTATCGGACGATCTTGTCCATTGTTAGGATTAGGTAGAAGTTGGCATTACTGGGTGTGCGGGAGGAATCTCGTTTCAAGGCGTTTCGTTCCGCGAAATTCTGCCGGATCAATGCGATTGCGTGGGGCATGTGCCGTGACACGACAATGGATGTCGAGGGGTATCGGATGATGTTCCCTTGTACTGTGGCCCAATGAGGGAGATCGTGGATCCAAAGCAGATGTCCACCGCAGCTCCTACGAGGGCTGTTGATTTCCAGAACATTAATGTCCAAAGTGGCAATTTTGAGCACTGCGTTTGCCAGCCGTTTGAAAGTAATATCGTTGTATCGGCTGCAGAGGATGTGCCTCCATTGAAATGCAAAGTCGGAAAGCATCCGACTCACAAAAGCCTTGTGCCGCTCGAGGTTACGTTTCTCCGTTGTAAGTCGCCGGAAGTTCCAAGTTGGTGCTGTAAACATGGAAAATATTGTATTCTTTAGAGGTAGTGGTTGCTCATAAGGCTGGAGATCCAGCAGACCGATCTCACGTTGTCGAAGTACACTAAGAGGCACTTGGGAGTTACCAGTTTTCTTCTCGCAACGGAGCACACCGGCATCCAGGTCAAAAGTCCAAATTGCGGTGAGATGGATATGGCGTCGATCTTCAAATGGGCGAACGATATCATCCTGTTGAAGCCAATCCCAGCAGAAGCCCAGATAGATTGCGCCAAATGTATGTTCTATCACTGTAATGTGAACAACACAGCTACTTTACGACGCAGACTCGGGGGACTGACCGTTTGTTGCACCTCGTAGCCTTTTGGACGCTACTTGCAGGAAATCAATGTCGTCTGACCAGCGACGCTGGGAAAAGTAGATAGTGCCTAGGTTCCAATAAGCGGCTGGTGACTGTGTTGCGCCAGGGGGCGCGAAGCTATGCTACCTTGGTGTACGATGTTGATGAAAATAGACATGTTGTGATGATCATTCGCCTCGACGTTACGGCTATAAATTTGCAGTGAATGAGTCAACGATACGCTAGTTATAGTATGGCGTTGATTCCCGTATAATGAAACGTGATAATTAATGTAGTATGAATATCAATTCGTTGATTAATTAAAGTTGCTCTTACTAAGAGCGAGAGAGTAGTAGAAGCCTGAGTAAGGCAATTAGGTAGATATGCCGCTAGACCTAATCCGGAATGGTCGGTGGATACCGCCTGGTCATAGCTTTTAATAGACCTAGCCGTCCAAACCTTTATATTCCTAACTATAAATACTACTATATACTTGGGATCTTCCTGCTCTCCTTACATTCTATCGTTTAGATACAACTATCATTACTGTCTTAAGGTAGTCATTATTGCCCTGCCTCTGCCTTGACATCTCTGTATTTTACCACGGAAAGCGAACTGCCTACCTATAATGGTGCTGGGCCACCTCGCATCTATCGACCTCCGGTATCCTTGAACTCAAGATCGTGGTGTGAACTTGACCCGGGGACCAGCGACCGGCCTTACAATCAGCCATCCACGAGCCTTCACCTCACCGGAGTCCTCTCGGCTTCTTGATACACTAAATTTCCGAAGGATCTCAACTAGAGCCGTTTTGATCCACATCTTGCTGAAGTCGCGTCCGGCACAGATCCTTGGCCCTTGCAGGAAAGTCATGTTCTGGTAGTTGCTCGACGCGCCGCCGTGCTTGTTGGCCCGCTCGATGCCATGCTCGTCAATCGTGATCCACCGGCTTGGATCGAACACGTCGGCCTTGGGGCCCCAGTACTGTGGATTCCGATTGATCGCTCCGACCCACATGTGGATTGCGGTCCCTGTGGGTACCGTTCGTCCTACGATGCTTATGGGCTTGCATGTCGCCCGGGATGTGTAGGGCAGGGGAGGGTGGAGTCGTAGAACCTCCTCTACGACTGCATTGAGATATACCATTCGTTCTAGCTCTTCATGCTCAAAGTCTCTACCGGCAACGACGTTATCGATCTCGGATATGAGGGTTTCCTGATGGCATAGATTCTCCGCGAGGGTGAGGTATGGATCGCCCATATGATCGCGGCGGTAGTTGTCTCGAGACCAGCCATGAGGAACGTGAGGATATGCTCGACCAACTCGTCATCGTCGAGGGTCTGCGTGTCCTCACCGACGGAGCACCCGGCCGATTGTACGATCTGACGCAAAGCTTGATGAGGCAGCGGCTTGCCCTCTCCATTTTGAAGTTTAGCAGATTCCAGTATCTTCCAGCAGATCCTGCGCAACGCCTTTGCTCTCCGATCCCGCGCCCGGTTTATGCGCAAAGGGAGCAACTTCATGCATCCGACCGGCAGATACGTAGCCACACTGAGGAACCGCACAGCGCCCTGACTAACATTCAGCGTCCGCTCCCACAACCTGGTATCCGCATCGTCCCACCGCGATACCAGCGCATCCCAATCATAGCACAGCAAACTCGCACTCGACACATCCAGCACATACCGCAACGCAAACGGTGTAACATCCATATAATCGCGATCCACACCCACACCCACACCTCCCCTCCCAATCGCACCCGCAAGAAGCCCCGCTTTCCGCCTCACGACCGCAAAGTTGCCCCGGACAGACTCGAGCCGGAGATGGGGCAGCATGATGCCGCGCGCTGTGCGATACCGCGCGCCCTCGCTGAGAATCAGACCCCACCCGAGGAACGGCGCGTCGAGGGCGGCCCATTCGGCGGGTTTGGTGTGGCCGTAGGCATGGGCGGAGAAGACGTCGCGGAGGGCGTCTGGGCTGATGGGCAGGATGGTGCTGCCTTCAATGAGGCCGTGGGTGTGCAGCGCGTGGGCGGTTGGGTGCTGCTTGAACCAGGCTAAGGGGGTGGTTCCGCGGGGCTCTTCGAGGAGGAGCTGTGTTGATCGCAGGATGCCGTTCGTCTGTTATATGCGAAAGTCTTTTCGTTAGTTGTGGTTAGAGATGGGGGAGGTAGGCGGAGGTGTATCATTTCGTCCGACTTGTGGTGATGACTTACGTATATCGTGGGGAACAGCCTACGGAGTGGATTTCTGAGATAGGGCCAGAGGAGGAGTCGATCGAAAAGGTACAACATTACTCCAGATGATAATACTTTAGCCCAGTCGCTCCGGAGAACCTCTAAAGACAATCTGATTGGCTTCGTTGAGGGCATGACGATGCACCATCCGACGACCCAGAGCACCGCTGCTATGGTCAGGCATTCAACTAGATATAAAGGTCTTTGCGAGAGAAAGGCCGGAGGTTTCATTTTTTGTCTTCTCTAGGTCGTATGTGGAGCCTTCTTTCATCAGGCATGCGCTAAGCAGTGGCAGTTGGAGGATCTATTTGATTATATCAACCAGAGTACCAGCAAGAGCACATAAAACTTGGATTACCAAGTTCCAATATGAGAATGGCAGGAGGGGTTTATATGACAACGACTCTAGAAAATGTCCGAAAACCCCTCGCATACGGGGAATTAGTAGCAGTAGCAATTATGCAGTCCTTCCGCCGTAACCGCTATGTCCGCCTTTCAACGGTAGATCTTCTCCACCTGCATGTCATCAGGTTTCGGCTTCCAAAGCCAGCCATGTCTGCTCTTCACAGAGGTGTGTGCAGTCGCGTGTGCGGAGATCTTGGTAGTACATAACGGAGATAAACTCGATCGATTCGGGAGATCTGAATCGGATCACAAGACAGCACCACCGATTGGCGTGCTGTAGTGCATGAGCGATCGCTGACATATACGCAATGGCTTTGGTCATTACATTTTCTGTCATGTATGGTTATGCACAGCCGGCGCTGTGATTCGATGTGCATCTTTGCAAATCCCACCAGTTACCTGCGCCAACGTTGCAGGCGCGTCATGCATTGGAAGAAGTGGAAGATAAGAAATCGATAGTAATGGGGGCTTTGGGGACGTAGGAATTAGCAAGCATTAGTAGGTATTAGCAGGAAATAGCAAGAAATTGCAAGAAATAGCAAGAAATAGCAGGAAATAGCAGGAAATAGCAGAAAATGGTAGGAAATAGTAAGAAATACCAAAAATAAGCAGGAAATTATAAGAAATCATAAGAAATTATAAGATATTATAAGAAATTACGATAAATTATTATAAATTATAAGAAAAAGTAAGATTTAGTAAGAGTTATAGATTATAAGTATAGAATACTATGTATCTCTTTAATTTTTAGAGCCATTTTCACCTCTACATAAGATACATAATTTTTGTATCCTATCCTTAGCTCGGACGGTATATACGTAGAGAGTGTTAGTAGTGGCTTCAATGATCAAAGGAGAAGGGGCTGGCTCGGCAGAATAGCAGTCTTCATGTAGGCGTAATCGGTATGTAGTCACCATTGCCAAGTAGTTTCATCTCTTATGGAATTTAATCATGTATAGCTGATGTATTTAGTGTCTGCCTAAGTCCATGTCCTTGTCATTCGTCTCACTGGGTAGCTGAGCCGACCCAAGGATGAGCGCCTATTACATCCGAAACGTGACTTTCGGTAACTGGTGCAGTGTAACATATAGATATAAACGTGTGGCGTGTATATAAGCCCTAGCTAGTTAATAGGATGAATGTATGCGCGCAGCAGTAACTAGGATCTGGGCAACCGAATGATTTCTCGAATAAGTAGGCATTAGCAGAATCTAGCAGGGAATGGCAAGATTTAGTAGAAATTAGCAAAATTTCTCGAGAAAGTAGCAAAATTTCTTGAGAAAGTAGTAAAATGTACTATAATTCTATACTAGACAGCGCTTAGCAGAAGACTGATGACGATATATCCATGCGTATGGAAATTCATTGCACATTGGCCCAGTATTTCGAAAATGGTTCGAGACACAAAGCAGGCAACTATGCATGACATGGATGCGAATATCGCTGCGTCTTCACTACTGTCAAAGACCGGGTCGTTGGCTGAGGTATATAAACCAGCCAGATCCATCCGAATTGTGCAAAGGAACAATCAACCTTCAGAAGAACTTTACATTCATATCCCAGCGAAGTACCAACAACATGTGTTATACCGCAATAAGATGGCATCGCTGCGGGATTCATACCGCGACAAAGGGGGTTCATTGCCGAGATGCGACGCTCAACGAAGCCACCGGAAGGCTGAATTCATGCGGGCAGCCTGGGGGCACATATGATGCTGGATTTACCCACCTTCTTTGCGGTAAACCAGAGTGTCCGCATAACGTGCTAGGCGGATGTTGGACTTGTTGCCAATGTGGAGCAACAGAGAATTACATCAATCCATGCAAAAACTGCGCCCATCAATGCTGCTGGAACTGCCGACCCATAGGTAAATCTTCTTTTGCTGGATTGAATGTGGAAGCAAGTAACTGATTGATGACAGTTGTCAATGGTTGAGTGGTAGAAGACCTTGCCTGGAAAGGATCGATGGTTTTCAACGTTTCATCTATGTATTTAAGTAATACATAGAGCGAGACAATTTTCAATCATTGCGTAGGAGACTTTGAATCTTCTGCAAACCCATCATATCGCCTTCTTTGGTGTTAGCAAGTTCGCCCGTCACCCAACCATCCGTGAAGCTGCCTCCAAAATCCACCACCCAAGCATTGTCGTCACAGCTTATCAATACGTTTTGTGCTTTAACATCGCCCCATACGAGGCCATGCAAGTGAAGCTGCTGTACCATGTCACTGATCTGCGTTGCCCACTTCTGTCGTTGCTGTTTACTCGCCGACTCCACGAGAGCTTGTAGGTGGGGCTTTGTGGTGTCGGTATCAATATAGTCCATCAGGAACCCGAGAGCGGAACAGCAGTCCTCATCTGAAGTTATGAGACCCACAACGGACGGGATAGAGAGCCGCGTGCGGAAGTCCGTTCGTTGGATCTGGAGCAGAGAAGATATCTCCCTCTTCAAGGAGTGTAATTCAGATTGGTGACTGGTCATTTTCGCGCATAATGTCGTGCCCTCTATGCAAACTTTGAAAACCGCGTCATGTTTCATGACGTCCAGAACCTCGATCTGAGACAGCGCAAATGCTGGTATACCTGGACCAAGCTGGTACCGACTCAGGCCAGCGTGGTTCCAGTAGTAAGGAAACGTACTCAGGTCTTCCTCGAGTATGATGCATAATTTCTCATCCCGTGTGCACACTCGTAGTCCGACAACTTTTGGATTACAATAATCGTTCAGTGTCCGCGGAGAGAATGCTCCGTGACACTGGGCGAACTGCCGGAAGAAGGGCTGGCACGATACGGCGAGAACATCCGATATTTCATCGAACAGTAGGTCGAGTTCATCTTGGTTTTTTGCTTTCTGTAGAGCATGAATGCGATCGAGGTAGTCACGCTCGATGGTGTGCGGTGGAGAGTCAACAGACAAGAGTACTTCAAAGTGCACGCCGTTGCTTGTTATTGTAAACTGACAATCATCTTCAAGTCCATAACGGATAGAGTCGACTGCGTTGACACAAGGAGGCAGAGAAGGTGAATGCATAGCGTTGGAGTTGGTGGTGTTGAAGTTATGACTGCCTAGGTGTTAACCTAAGACTAGCTTTTATATTACTCGATAGAACCATTTATGATCAGAGGGTATTACGATTAGTCACAAGATCACAGGGATGCTGTCGCCTAGAATGTGCTACTCAATGCATACATCACCACGCTTGGGCATTTTCAAACCTTCAGGCTGCAATTCTGGGGATGGCTGTCAGCACTTCCTGTTTCTGTTGGGACCTTTCATAATGAATTCTGCAGTAATAATAACAGTCACTAAAAATATTACAACTGAGCCTGCAGGCTAAAAGCCTTGGCTGGGAATGATATGTTATTTGCTTGTATTGGTAACAAAGGTTGTACTGTTATCTAATGCTAAGCCGGCATTAACATAGCCTTCATTTTGGCAGCGACTTTCTATTGAGTTGCAAATTGTATGATCGCCTTGATGATGTGTAAAAGGTATGTCAAGAGCAAGTCGCTATTAGATGTTACTAGATTACTCAAAGATATGTTTGCTCGTATGGGCGTACTTGAATGGCACGCCAACAGCACAGATCTTACTTTCCATATACAACGCACGATATGCCCTGGCGATCGATTGTCTCTGGAGTCGGCCACCGGGCTCTTTTGACTAAACAGAGTGGACGACGGGTGTCTGATGTGCAGCTCCTTGATGTATTGTAGCGAGCTTGCAGGATCCCACAAAGCTAAGACCTGGATCGAGTACTTCTGCCTTGGACTCAGCTCTATGTCACTCTGCAACAACCTGACTGTATGCTGGTTCTCCGTCGTGCGAACTGGAGATGGCTCCAGCTCGAGCACCTGGGAATGTAGCTAACCGCATCGGTGCTAACAGTTTCTTGCCCGCTGCAATAAGCTATTGGAATCAAGCTCTTCATTGATCAATAGCGCTTATCCGGTGCTCGCACCAAGTGCCCCAGATTCTCCAGACCGAGGACCTTGCTACTGACGATGGGGTTGAGAACTTGAGATACTTCTGTTCGAAGGGATTCTTGCTGTATCTTGACCTCTTCCAGAACATACACAGGTAACGTGCGGCGCAGATCAGAGAGCGGACGGTCATACGCTGAAGCCGACCGCAGATGGCTCTGAACGCGAATATTATTCGTTCGGGAAATATTTGATCATTCGGGTGTATATTATGCGTCAATGTATACAAAGCGATATTGACGTATCACGTGAATAAGCTCTTGTGACACCTCTGTCCTTGCGACACGTATTACATGCTCACCCCTCACCTTATAACTGTCAAAGCTGTCCTAACGAAATCACCATTGCACCTGACATCCTCTCATCGACAAAGTTGGGCAACTAGAGCATTCAAGGACCCCGATAAGTGTATAACCTGGAATTTCGAGTTTTAGTAAGCCTACGTCCTCAACAGCGATTTTTGTTCGACATACTAAAGTAACTCATTATGTAGGCCTACTACATGAGATATCCCTTATTTTAAGACCTCCTCGGCGTCCATCCGAATCGCATAAATGACTGACCCCATGACAACCGGACAGGGTTTTCTGTCAGAAACAGTGAGTCTAGGGAAGAGCCCTTCGTGTCTGTAACGCTCACCGCACTTATACGTGCAGATGATACAAGAAGCCCTACGAGAAGGACTTGGCTACATCACCGGAAACATGTTTCATGCAGAGGAAGAAGACAGGACCATTCGATTTGTAGGGGCTTTCATCAGGATATCTAAAAGAGGTACCAAACCACTGGAGCTCACAGATATTGCGGAAATTCGAGAGTTTCGGATTCCTGCTGGATATTATGCGGAAGTGATAGATGGGTATGCAAAGCTGACCAAATGCGGTCCATCTCCAGTGTTTGGAGAATCCTGTAACCCTCAGACCGACCAACCTTCAAACTAATCGACATATCTTCGCTCTCTCCGAAAGGTATTAGCAATGTTAAGCACTCTGTGGTCGATATCTGCGACCTAATTTCCATCTGCCACTGATTGCTAGCCCGGACAGCGTTGTAAAACAGTGCGGCCAAAATCGGTACATGTGTAATAGGCGGTTTTGAAAATATGTACTTTATGTCTGTAACCTTTTAGGCTTCGTTTTAAGTGTAACTTTTGGGTCATGCTTACGCCTAGGAGTCTGCATGGTCTGTGTTTCCACGAAAGTCTCTCGTTCTTGTCCGATTGCTGACTGTTGCCTAACAGTAGAGGCAGAGGAATGCGATAGAGAGAGATTAAATTGGTCTGTGCTGTTCATTTCGTCGACGTTCATACCGTAAAATTCTGGATCCTCGTTAATCTACTACAGTAAGGATCCTGAGTTCGACACTATGTACCTTGGAACTCAGGTTGTAAGGTCATCCTTCGTTTCCGTTTCCTCATGCCCGAAATAGGAACAATCTGGGGGCCTGGTCGTCTTAGCTGCTGTTCACCAAGATGTTGACATGCTTACTGTCCAAGGATGGCACTCCATAATCATCTGCGAGCACATCAAGCGAAGGCGATTGCAAGCTGCCCCCCTTGACTCTCACCACGTCCAAAATGTTCATTCTCTCGTCCTCGCGCATGTTTGCGAGCTTTTGTTTTCCAAATGCCACAGCGCAGAGCATCACTACACCAGGACTGCTGTGGCGTAGAACATCATGTAGGAACTCTTGGTAAACCTGACCCGAGCGATTCGTCTGAACTTGGGTAAGAATGGTTATAGCAGTGTCTACATGCTTCGAAGCACGGTTGTCAACACGATCTACGACCTTGAACCTTCTCGCTGCTTTGTCTAACGCGTTGTAGAACTGAGAAGAATTTTCCGGAATGAAATTAGGGATACGAAGCTGTCGCGTTTTCATTTCAGCTTTCAGAGATTCTGCTGTATCGTGACATAGTCGAAGTAGGGTCGCTAACTCTTCGTCTGATACGTCAACATAGCCTTCTTCCAAAGAGGTCGTCCTTCGTTCTGTTTCAAGAACAACGCGGGTGGGCTGCATCTGAAGAGAGGACCATAAAAATGCAGAATGTAGAATATGCAGAATGCTGCAAGATTCTGTTTACTTTTACAATGGGCCATGGATGTATAGACGAGTTTAGGCATCAGCCCTCTGGTTATTTTGCATGGTTATACGTGATGCAAGTCACCTTGGTAAGGCGGGCCAGACCAGCCAATGAGGATAATTCGATTCAGGAAAGCGTAAGATATCGCGTAAATGTGCAGAGTATCACAAGAAGCCCTAGAGCAGGTTTAAAGACTTTTGCCTCCTGCAAGGTTGTGCAAATTGTTCCAGTAAGCAGTCATGATCGTGGCGAGCGATAGGCTGTATTCCTAGGTCTGTAGAAGCGGCACAGTCTGGTGTGTATGTCCACCAGGATCGGGCAGAAGTCTAGTCACCATTGGTATACACCCCACGTATCGACTTGGGACACTTAGCAGAATAGGGCTTGTGGAGTAATGGATATCGTGACTCTAGGACGATAGACGGATGAACTATAAAACTTGGCACGTCGGTGAACAACCATGTAATCTGAATGCTCTGTGTTCGGAAGCTGCTCGAATATCAGCCGAAGCTTAACGTTGTCGCACTCTCCGCCAGACGAAAAGTCGTCTTCTGGACCTTTAGATCGGAATTCCACGCTGCAGCCTCATGGCTAACTCGTCAAATCCTAGGCTACGAGTGTCACTCCCTTACCAGTTGAGATTGATATATCCAGAAGGTATACCGCAAAGGACGTATGGCCTCCATTGCACCGCACTCTTACAGCTTAGGCCCATCGCATGGAAGCGAGAGATTTAGTGTGATAGCAAAAGTAGACTCGGGCATGGGAGTCGCTCTAGCCTCGGCTCGCTACGCGTGGCTGAGGGGATTTATGCTGAGACAGCCATGGTTCGACTGGCTACATTTATTGAGAGTCAAGTGTGCATGATATGTGAGGTGTATATGCAAAGCCCGGAATGTTGAGTGAGAACTGTGCTGACGTTTGACTGTGGGTGTTGTTCGTACTATACCATAGGGGCAAGGGTTAGCATGTCAGCATCAAAGATGTTTTGCGGTCGGGCGCTTGCCGGTCATGGTCTTCCTAGATAAGTCAAATAACGGTAGAATGATTTCAGTGTATGGTTGGGTCGAATACCTCTATAGTTATTCACGTGGCCAGAAAACAGAAACCCTAATTATCACTGAAGATCAGGGAGAGGAATGTGTACGATGCTGTAACAACTTCTTGATGTCATTTATACGTATTGAAAGCTCGAATAGGATATCCAATCATCATTGGAGCTACAGCCACAAATATCTTCCGTAAAAGAGGGTAGAGCTTCAATTGTATATCCCGTCTTCGACAATGAAAGCATTCCAGCAGACGAGCCTATTCTTCATCAATCATGGCACGCATGACGCGGCTCTTGCCTTTGCGAGCCCATTGGGCAGGATCGACGTCCGCATATGTCGTCCCAATAGCCAGCTCGTCAATCCAAACCTGTCTAAAGTTCTGACCGCCTGGGGGGGCCTGGTTGTTGCTATCGAACCACTGATTGGCATAGAGACCAACCTGGAATCGAAACTGACGGTTTCCATTGTCATTCAGTGTCGATGGTTTCCCAAGGTCGTTCACCACTTTTGTGCCATCGTACCAGACCTTGTAGTAGCCAGTGTTGTCAGACGCCCATTTGGCTTGGATGATGACGGTGTGCCAGACGCCGGCGGTGACAGTGGCCAGTCCCTCGTGGTATACGTTCTCGTTCTTGCAGTCTGAATCGGCCTCAATGTTGCCGAACGTTCTGCGGGCGTAGAACTGATTGCCTCTGATTCCGAGCATGGCAGCGGGCTTCCAGTCATCGCATTTGTTGTTTAACTGAGCAATGAACTGTGCCAGGTTGTAGCTCTGTGCACCCTGGAAGTCCCAGTTCTGTTGGAGGCGGAACGAGAAGCTGTAGAATCGCTCGTCGCCGCGCTTGTATCCATCGTTGTGGACGCACTCGGCATGGTAGCGGCCGCCCCAGTTGCTGTTGTACGTCTGCTGAGCCTTGAGAGACTGCGGGGATTCCAGAAACTCGCTGGTCGACTCGAGTACCGCGCCGGTGCCTGTGTTGTCGATGTTGAAGCTGTCACAGCCGCTTCTGTAGCCCTTGTTGGACCATAGCTGAGTCGCCTGGGCCGTGAGGCAGAGGCCGGAGAGCAAGACTGCGGAGAAGCGCTTGGTGAGCATATCGAGTGATGCTTGAAGGCGGAGACGATTCTGTTCGCTGGTGTCCTACTCTAGACTACAGGACCGTGAAGGGACCTTTTATAAAAGATTAACAGGTACCCACGGCGATCATCCTGGGGATATCGTGCTTCAGCCCCAGGTTTCTGCATGTCATGTAATTCAGGTCAAGTGGATAACAAACACCTGGACCGGCTAGTGTTGAATTGATTCCTTTGTTCGGCGATTTAGTCAGAAATCCGTGGCTTGCCAAAGGAGTAGCCTGTCGTCCATAGATGATGCATCTTAGATCGTATGGCTTCGTCCATGACAGCGACAGCGATATCTCATTGGCAGCTTCTGGGACAGATGACCATCTCAACTATTGTTCTTCGGCCTCGATCCATCGATACAGCGAAGAGCAAGTCGTATTTGCCAAGACCTGCTAGATGATAAAAGGCCACTTTCCATATCAGGAAGCTCCCTGGTCAAAGTCTGCAGCTTAGAGAGCCGTTCAAGCTTTTGGGGCCACTATGTGGAGAGGGATCGCCATGTTTACGCTTCGTATTACCGGAGATGCAACAAAGGTAAGAGAGGATAGTCTACTGTCGAAGACCAGACGAAATGACGACCTCGTGGTATACGGTAGGCTGACATACGCCACTTATCTTTTGGGGTCATTGGAGCTTTCAGCTAGACGCTTCAGTGGAGCATCGTTTGACCGATCCCTGTTGTAGCATTTGTGAGGTGAATTCCCAATTGTTTAGATGAAATCCAACTAGTGTTGTGATGCGAGTGACGTGAGATGCAGAGAATTAGGATGTGTTTAAGAGATCAGCGTTAGCCCCGATTAAGCTTAGCTCACAGGAACGTTACTTATAAATAGATCAATGTGCTTTACCCGAATCTAAACGAATTGATGGCCCTTGCATTCTTCACATTTCTCAAGTTTTTCTGACATCCTCTGCCCCAACTGGGCCTACGCTCAAGTAGCGCTATAGGCCTTGGCGACATACCGTAAGCCTTTATAAGCGTTGCCCTGTGGGGTGGCGTTCATTGATGTCCACAAACGAGCCTGACGTGTTGGAGTTGTATACTTGTTGACTGAATAGCCAATGTAAACAAACCCTCAGGCCTCACTTTGGGAATATGTTTTGGCGACAGTTTTACTTTCCCGAACGTTGAACGCGGCTCTGTTTGTTCCGACCTTGTTTCTCTCTTGTCGTCAGCTGTCGCACTGCATGCATGTGTAGCTACAAGCTTGAGATGCGAGAGCTGGGAACTCGTCGCAATCTTCCGCAGTTGACACTCTGGCAAGCCGATACATCTTCCTACCATTGCTACTATCGAGAGACGAGGCACGAAGGGAAGCACCCAGCGAGTAGATTTATGTCTTCGTAAGCAAGCCTTCCCAAGCACAAACATAAATGGCTTGGATACCCAAGCGTAACACGCCCGATACAACGGTTGACCAACTGATATGGTACATTACGGAATAGAACATTTGCATCCAAGGCAAAGAGACAAAGCGGACACTTGACACAAAGAGATGCCCGATATCAGCCGACCCAGTGGTGAGCGCGCTAGGCCTATTGCGGATGAGAGCGGCCGTCACCTGGAGTCGTGATATTATTCCATGAATGTAGAGGTGTCGTCCTACACCGACACCACCACGTTCGACACAGCATCTCGGATTCCATCACACACTCGGTGCAGCGATGGACATCCTGTCTGTCTAACATCGAACGCATGGATGAATATCTCCCAGACGTTAGCTCTTTCGCTTGAACGCACTCAACGCATCCCGATCGTGTGACCCGGGCTCGTATTTGTCGGCTCATACTTCCCTTGCACGCAGTGTCCTGCAGAAGGGAAGGGAGTAGTAAACAATGAATTCTGATATCTAGGTAGCCATACTTGTCGGCCGGCTTGCAGACGAATCGAAGAAATGTATGGTATCAGTCCAGGACAAGATTCCACGAGGAAGAATCTAGGGCTAAGGCTACCCGCCTGTCAAACACGTCAAGTCGCATGGCAGCCATACCATCTTCGTTCAGGCTGTGCCAAAGCACGGCGATCCAGCCCAGGACCGGAGAGTCTGTGTGGGGAGAGCCTTCGCTTGTCGCACCCGAATACGGATCGATGGCGTTTTTAGGGTGTTTTGAAGCCCCTCCAGCTGAAAGACCGCAGCTTCATGTCTGCCTTGCGTCGGGGTCGATGTTGGTATTTGATTGTTCTTGTCTGTTGCCTCTTTGCGCAAGCTTTTTGTGTTTTGCTTCAAGGCCTACGTTGTAGTGTGTGTTTGACTTTTCTTCGGCGTCGAGGATCGTCGTGCGCGTCTGGTTGATCGTTTCGCGTTGGGTTTGTTCACGATTCTATAGACGATTACTTTTTCTACTTTCGCTTCTCATATACGATGAATCAAGTGTATCCTCCTGCGCAACAACAGCATGGAACTCTGGGATACGCTCCCCCTCCCCCGTATGGCAATCAGACGCAGTATGCGGTCCCGCAACAACCAACATATCCGGCACCGACGACGTATCAGCAGAGTCACGTTGGCGGTCAAGAAAAGCAGCAATATCAAGTGAATGCGGTCCCGATAGCAGCGACGCAGACACTCTCGGCACCTCCTGGATACCAGACCGCTCCTGGATACCAGACCGCTCCTGGATACCAGACCGCAAGCGCAACACCACATACTCAACAGTATGCCGGCGCACTGCCGCAAGCACATCAACAACCGCAGCAATACGTGCCTCCACAGCAGGCGATGACGCCTCAGCCTCCTCCGGCATACCAGCAACAGGTCCAATACGGGCAACAGCCTACGATGAACCCAGGCCAACAACAGCCTGTGATGACGCCAGCCCAGCAACAGGCTGTGATGACTCCAGCCCAGCAACATCAAGTCCAGCAATTCATCTCGCACATGCCGCCAGAGAAGCTCCAAGCCATCCAACAAATCGCCCAGCAACAGCCCATCTTCTCCCCTCCGCCCACACAGCCCAACGCAGCCCCTCCGCCCAACTTCGTCTCGACCGCGCCGGCCGGCCTCTTCGGCGCCAAACAGACCGGCCACGGCCACGGCCACAAACACGACCACTCCAAGGACGCCCAGCAGACGGGCAAAGTGCAACGCTTCCTCGGCGACACGCTCGTCGGCCGCTTCGCCCGCGCATCGGTGCAAACCGCCACCTCCGTCGCCAAAATGCCCGCGGCGCTGTCCCCCTGGGGCGACAACAACCCCGTCACGCTGCCAAACGTGCGGTACCGCGACGCAGTGCTCTTCACCGTCTTCGCGGGCGTGGGCGCGCCGCTGATCGAGGGCGCAGACTCGCTCGTCAGCGACCTCTTTGGCGCAGACAGCTTCGTGTCCGACGTCGTGTCCTCGGGCGCGGGCTTCGTGACGGGCAGCACCGTCGTCAAGTACGGCGTGTTTCAGATTGTGGAGCAGGCCATTGACAAGGGCGTCGTCGAGCATCTGCTGCCGGAGGAGGAGCGCATGATTCAGACGGTCAGTGTCAAGAGCTTGCAGGTCGGCATCAAGCATAAGCTCATGGGCGTGGACGCGGATATCCGGTTCCATGGCGTGCGGGCGACGCAGAGCACGCAGGCGTGCGAGAAGGGCTGGTTTGCACCGTATTTCTTTGCGAGCAGTCGCACGCCCGTCATCCCGCGCGCAAACGACTTTGCGATCGGGCAGTTCTTTGGGCCGTTTCTGGGCGGTGCGTGGCTCTCTCTCTCTCTCTCTCTTCCCTTCCATCTCTCCGTGCATCTCCATTTGACTTTGAAGTGCCCACACTGACATTTACACCCAACAGCGGACTACGCAATGGCGCACAAACTGCTCGCCGAAGCACCGCACGCCCTCGCCATGTGCGACCCCGACCCCAGCCACGACATCGGCACAAACCGCCTCCTCTGCATCTTCACGGCCATCTCGCCGTTCCGCGCAAACATGTGGTCCACCTCGCGGCGCCCGGGCTGCGGCACGCTCATCTTCCACCTCTTCGACGGCTGCCCGGCGCTTGTCGTCCCCGTGACGCAGAAGTGCCCCGTCGTGGCATGGTCGCCGTGGACGCTGTCGCAGATGCGCGGTGGGGGTGCGGGTGGCGGTGCCGGGTGGGCGGCCGAGCGGCACCATGGGGAGATGTGCGAGTGGCTTGATGGGGTGGTGAGTCTGGAGCATTTGACGGCGGGGGGCGTGCGGGAGAAGTATGTGGATGTGCTGGGGCGGGCGGTGAGTTTGGTGCTGAATGGGGCGTTGGGGCTGGAGAAGGTGGCGGATAAGACGGTGTTGGGGAAGGTGGATGCGGAGAGGGCGGGCGTGGTGTTTTTTCGGTATTGAGGCTTGCGTTGAGGGGTGTTGGATACTACCTGCGTGTATGGCGAATATTGTATGGTATGGTATGGTATGGCATTTACGAGTCGTCAAGAGTCTACGCACAGCGCCGTTGCTTATCATCATCATCACCCCCTTCAAAGCCGCACCCCATCACCGCAGCCCATCACCGCTCCTCCCCACCACGACGACGACGACAAAGCATGCGAACATAGAAGGTCACGCTGTTAAAACACCCTCCCCAACAACAAGAAGCATCGCATGTGGTTGTCTACATACGGACATCGATCTTTATGTCAAGCTTGAGTACGGGAGGAAAAGGGGAGGAGGGAGAGGGCGATGGATATGTATATGCGTAGATAGGTATGGGTCTGGGTCTGGGTATAGGTATAGGCACAGAAATACAACACGCGCATCTGGCATGAATGACGGGTACGCCCGCGTGTCGAGTCAAGCCAAAGGCGTGAAAAGCACGTACCACAATCCACGCAGCGTTGGTCATTCACACTGCACAACGTGACCCTGCACAACGTCACGTACCCGACAACGACCATTCAATACATATATATAAATACCCAAACCTCAACAGCCCTACCTAATTACTTTCCTACCTACCTCCCCACAAGGCGACTCAGTGACTCAGTGACTCAGTGCACGCAAGACCTGCCTACGAGAGGCATCTATGGTTGTTATGTGCAGGCTTAGAGATTGGAAAGGGATGGATGGGTCGTGCTTGGGGCGGGTTGAGGTCGAGGTGTATGATGTGTGTGTGTGCGTGTGGGTGGACTCGTGGTGGAGGGCATTGGCGGGGTGTGGTGGTGGAGGTTGTTGTTGTGTGATGGTGGTGGAGGTTGTTGTGTGATTGGGGTTGTGTGATGATGATAATTATGGTGGTGGTGATGATGATGGTTGTTGTTGTGTGGTGGTGGTTGTTGTTGTGTAATAGTAGTGATAGTAACAATGATTGTATATGTGTGTGAGAAGTCAAGATACAAAGTACAGGCACAGCAAACACAGTGCGATTCACGCCAGTTCACTCCTTATCATGTAATGTCAAGTCAAGTCAAGTCACTTCACGCCAAATAAAGCCATGTAATGTCAAACAATCCCACATCCAATTGATGGTAAATAAGTATATATCGTCGCCGTATATATATATCTTCTTCTCCTTCATCTACTTTTCATCCCCTATCCCATCCTATCCCCTTTCTCATCCCATCCCCATCCCATCCCAACCCAACCCAACCCAAACCCAAACAAGTATACAAATTACAACAAGACTGTACAGTCCCGCGTGGGTATATATATAAAGTAAAAAGAAATAAAAAACACAAAAGCACCACTCGCGTCCCATATAGATAGATATGGTAGCCGCGATGATGACGATGATGACGATGGTAATCATCATCAGAGAAAAGAAAAGAAAAAGAAAAAAGAGACATGAATGCCCAGGAGCCGGATCCCGAGACTTCCGGCGATGAGCTGAGCTGAGCTGAGCTGAGATGGATGGATGGATAGAGACGGATCAAGATCCCCGCTATGCAAACCCGAAACCCGCAGCCGAGAAATTGAAAAACCCGCGCGTCCACGACAGACACCCCAACCCATCCCCAAACCCCCTAAATCAACAAACAATCCCACCCCTTCCTCCGCATAACATCCCTCCAATGCACACTCCCCCCACCAACACCACCAACCCCACAATCCGCATCCGCCTCCGCCCAAACCTCCGCCAACAAAATCCCCACCCGACCAAAACTTCCCTCGGCGCCCCCAACAACCCCCTCCTCACCCATGCGCGCCGCCCTCGCCGCAAACATGCCGCGAAACGCACTATCCGGCAGCGCCACCGAGCCAGCCACAAGCAGCGGCCAGGCAAGACACTTGTCGAAGGCGACGGGGATGAAAGCCATAGCATCGACGAGCGCGGAGACCAGCGATGTGATGGAGGCGCTGGTGCGGTCAATGTCCGGGATGAGGCCGCAGAGGGCGATGCGCGCGGCGAGGCGGAAGACGGCTGTGATGGCGCGGCTGAGGTGTTTGGGGCGGATGGCGCCTGTTGGGCTGTAGGGGGAGGATAGGGCGGATGTGGAAGCTGTGGAAGAGGAGGAGGTAGTCTCCGTCAGACTGATCTGGTCGCCGAGGAGCTTAATGTGGGAGCAGAGGGTGACGTCGTCCATGCCGTCGGCCTTGAGGGCCTCGAGACAGGCGATTTCGGAAATCAGGTACATGACGCGGTCGTCGCAGCCCATGAGCTCGGCGAGGCCGGACGGGGCGTCGGCGATGAGTTTCTCGCGGTAGGTGTCTGCGAAGACGGGGGTGCGGGCGAGCATGGTGGCGCCGAGGATGTCGATCCAGGCGGCGAGGGTCATGTTGAAGGGGGGTTGGTGGGTGTTGGTATTATTCATGGCCACGAGCTGGGCCGGCAGCTCGAGCTTGTTGAGGAGGTTGGTGACGGCTTGGTAGTGCTGGTGCCAGGGGATGTCGGGGAGGGAGTCGTCCGGGCGGCCGACCATGCACTGGAAGAAGATCATGCTGAGGGTGGCCTCGAGGATCTGGGCGTGGTCGACGTCGCGGTTGAGGGCGTCGCAGAGCTCGGAGACGGTGGCGAAGCGGTGGCGCATAATGTCCTGGTCTATGGAGTCGTCGTTTTCGGTGCCGCTGCCAGCCCTGAGGCCCTTGAGGTGCAGGGCCGCGATGCTGAGGCAGCAGTGGAGGTAGCACTTGTTCGACTGGAGGGCCGGGAGGATGACGTCGGAGCGGGCGGAGCCGTGCTGGTTGACCTCGAGGATGGGGAAGATGAGGCCGATGACGTTGTTGATAAAGTGGTCGAGCAGGTACTGGTCCTCGTCCTCGACCTGGATGACGACGGCCGGGTGGGATGGGGTCAGGGGCGGCTGCCCCTGGGTAAAGTCAAAGTAGTGAAAGTCGATGGGCTCCTCGGCAAAGGACTCGCGGCGGCTCTCAAAGTAGTCCTGCTGGATCCAGCTGTCGGAGTGGGAGCTGGTGCTGCCAGGGGCTTGGTATGTGCTAAAGGTTGAGATGCTGGAGTCGCGGCGGGTGGGGACGTCGTTGACAAAGGTCTGGCGCTCCGTCTTGATGTCGACTTCGTAGGGGACGCAGGGCGGGAAGGGATGGTGGTGGTGGCCGTAGGACGACGGGGCGTACATGGGCGGCGGCGGCGGCAGCATCGAAGTCGAGTCGTAGTACTCTGGCGACTGCACATGGTGGAAGTGGGGTTGGTGGTGGTGGTGGTGGTGGTTGATCGAGCTGTTATGATCATAGTCGAGCGAGAGCTGCGAGTCGACCGAGGCGGCGCGGGTGTGAGCAGCGCCGCCGTCCGAGTAGCCATCCGAGGCCGGCAAGGAATGGCATAGACTCGGGGGTGAGTGTGTGGAGGAGCAGGGCGGCGCGACGGGCTGTGAGGTCTTTTCGGCAAGCTTGGTGCGCTTGATGATGTTCTTGATGAGCTCCTTCTGGTGCCGCCTCTGCTCGTTGTTGCTCCACCAGACCGGCCGCTTGTACTCGCACTTCAGGCCGAGATGATTGCAAGCACGACAGCCCGGCTTGCCCTCGTCGCACTTCTTCCTCCGCAGACGGCAAGTGAAGCAGCCGGTGCGAGACCTTCTGTGCATCTTTGCCTGAGCAGCCTTTGCGGCCTGTGTCTGGGCGGCGGTGGGAGTGGTAGTGATGGTAGTAGTAGTAATAGGATTGATAGTGGTGCCGACCATGTTTAAGGGATGTTTGGATATGGACATGGACGGATTGAGCGAGGTAGACATCGATGGCAGGAATATATGGGGAGAGCTTTTTTGTTTCGAAAAGACGAGACAGGAGAGCGAGAGTGAGAGTGACAGTAAACAACAATATGAAGTAGCTCGCCGGGAGACTAGACTGGGGTGGGGAGAGAGAGAGAGGAGGGATCTCCAGTGGTAAGGGACAGTGGGTGTGTGTGTGTGTGTGTGGCTTTGGACCGGCTCTTTGCCTATTAGATGGAAGTTTGGTCTGGGGGAGGGGGGGTGGCAATAAATTAAAGACTGGATACTGCGAAGCCTGCTTCGAGCTGTGTGTGAATATAGAAAGGAAAGGGAAGGAAAGCGAAACAAGCACGAGCAAATTACTCGGGACGGCCGTTAGATGGGACTGCTGGAGAAGGAGAGAGAGGTGGTGGAGGTCGAGCAGTATCAAAGTACCTTATATGTTCCGTAAGCTGCGAGAAATGCACATAAAAAGCCACGGATCTATTCTTAGGCTTGATGGGCCTGTCATGGGGTTGTTGCTGGTGCTGGTGATGGTGCTAGGCTGGAGAGCAGGTTGGGGCAATAGCAGGCTTGCAGGATGTGTGTGTGTGAGTGGAATGGAGTGCAAATAGCGACTAGTTTGGGATAGTCCAGCGCTTAAGGGGACGGTGATTGGGCCAGATGGTGTGCATGTACATGTACAGCAGTGCCGAGAGAGAGATAGTAGTGGTATGTTAGCTATTATGCCATGTATGCTCGGACCGGGACTTGGGTTGATGTGTGTCTAGGGGGGGGGAGGGGGGTACTGGGGATGGATGCAAAGAAGAGGAGGCTTGTTTGCTGGCCCGCGGACACTATACTGGAGTGAGCAAGGGAAAGCAAGTCAAATCAGGCAACGGATTGGCTGGATGGGATTACTGTAGTGTAGTATTTAGGGGAGCGGGCGGGGGAACCTATTTTTGCGAGCCGCCCACCGCCCGTCGGGCAGTCAGGACGAGCGTGTGAGTGGCCAGTGCAGTGCAGATTAGACAGCGGGCAGTAATTAGTAGAGTGGATGGTGGATGGTGGATGGTGGATAGACTGGATAGTGGGTACAGCAGCAGCAGAGGGCATGTGCATCACACGAAAGAGAAAGGCTAATAAAGTGTCCCGTCGCGTGTCGTCCGTATTTTCGTATCAGCAACGATGCGACTTGCAAGACATGTAGTTAGAGAGAGGAGGAGGAAGAAGAAGAAGAGGAGAATAGGACAATTAGGCTTCGCGTAAGAAGGTGAGCGCCCGATAACCAGACTTTTGAGCCAGACTCGGGCCTCCGACTCTCCGACGTGGTGAAGTAGGTGGTGTGAATGAATGGTATAGAGTAGGACAGAGAGGTGGTGTAGTAATTAGGTAGAAGAAGGTAGTAGTAGTACTGTCGTATCAGCCAGCAAAAGTCGCACGCCGTCTGTGGCTGCTGGACGATGATGGATGACAAAGGCGAGGACTGCCATGCTGCCAGCACAACAACCATAGCACATTATCTATTCACTGCCTTTGTAATACCTCCAACAGAAGTGTATGCAGGCTGTGTGTGTGTGAGTGTGTGAGTGGTGGACAGAGAGAGAGAGAGAGAGAGAGAGAGAGTGAGGGGGCATGCAGGAATACTGTGTGCTGTGTGTGTGCTGTGTGTGTTGCTGTGCTGTGCTGTGCTGTACTGTACGGTACTCGGGTACCAGACATACCTGGGGTCTCCAGGTGCAGCAGGCCATTCCCTTCCCTCATCATCACCAACTAATTACCATTAATTAATTATTACTCTGTTTGTGCTCAGTGCTCTGTCTGCCTTGTCTCACCAGCACAGGAATGAATATTCGATCGGGTACTAGGTTCGTAGGTAGTAAGTATGTAGGTATGTTGTAGCCGGGCTGGCCGTTTGTAGTCTGTGCCGAGGTTTGCCTTGATTATTTTTGCCTGATCCACCACCACTGCGGATTGCGTGCATCGTCGTCGTCGCGTCGTCGTCGTCTATTAAAAGATCACTAATTAGCTGTCAATAGTCCCGTCGCCTGATCCAATTTAGCGGCTCTTCCACTCGGATTCTGCCATAATTAGCTCGCCCATCTTCGCACCCACTTTCACTCCCCACTTTCGCTTCTTCTTCTTCTTCTTCTTCTTCATCTATCAAGTCCAACACTCATCGCGATATTCGCCATCTTCGTCGTCTGATTGGGTACCGGCTGCAATTACCAATATTCCGCCATCTGCGAATCGCAAGCCTGGCCACCATCAAACCTGCATCTGCCACTACAACACTAGAACACTCTCCCTGACTCGGGTGTGAAAGCCAGCAGCCACCATCACCACCACCCCCTCCATCCTCCATCCTCCATCCTCCACTCGTCACTCGTCATGTCCGTCAATCACTCTCTCTCTCTCTCCACTATCATCTATCCACTACCCACTCACTACCTGTTGACCCACTACCCACTACCCACTACCCACTATCCACTGCTACGACAATCACCAGATCACACGACTCCGCGAATCTCCTTCTTCCAACCCGCCGACTGTTGACCTGGGCTACTCACGAGCCTCAACGGTCGTCGGCCTTGCCATCCATCCCTAATCTCCCCGTTCGCTTCCTACACTCCTAGCGAGATCAGAACGCCCGGACGAAGAATGAGGCAATTACACGACGAGAGGCTGACTTTTGCTCTCAAATACACTATCCACAGCCCTAACTAATTAGTTATCAACCTTACTGTAATACTTACTGTCCATCCACTCGAGCTCGTCATCTGGCTGGCCCCGAACTTGATCCGTCGGCTACTTGGCGGGCCGCTAGCTTCTGCCACCTGATCCGTTAATCCTCCATCAATTCCATTCCATCCGTCACATACATTCTCCATCTTTTCTTGTTCAGCCCTGGGAGGTAATTAGTTTATGGTGTGTTCGTTGCGGATAATGCTCGTGCGCGGTGCTCGTACTTCGTACTCAATTTATTTGACTTTACTACTAACTACACTTCTTCCTCTTCCTCTTCTCATCTCTCGGAAAACCACGGCCTACTAGTTAGTTACTTACTGGGCTGCGATGCATCATCCCATCACATCCGTCAAATCCTACCTTGTTGCTAATTACTGCTGCTGCTGCTGCTGCTACTACTACTGCTTAACCTCTAATTACATCCTGTGTGAACAATGACAAATACCTTCCCAATCACAAACTATTACACTTTCTCCCATCCTACTACCACCAAACCTCTGCTTCTTACTAATAATCCTTTAGTCTTTTTTCCTCCTCCTTCCACCTCCCACCTCGTGCCTTTTTTTCGTTTCCTGTCCGACCTGCTCTCGTCACGCGCGCTGTCAAGCTGTGTAGCCTCACTTCCTGTCGTGTACCCAACAAGGTCGTCTGATGCTCCTTTCACCGCATTAGCCTCCAGTCATGTGAGTGCTGACATGGCCATCAACACGTCCTGCATCGAGACAATGTCCGGTCTGCGAGCTTTCTGTGCCTGGAAGAAGAAGAAGTAGATTGAGAAGAAGATGAAGAAGAGCGGTCTGGCCGCGCGCACTCTACTCCGACAGAAGAGCCGCATGACTACTCCAACTAAATTGCATGCGCTGTAATTCTCCATCATCAATCCAATCCACTTGTTTTTTTTCCCGTCCTTCCTCCCATCTCTGCATGCATGCCCCACCATCCGCTTCCGGGCCAAGCTGCAGCAAGACTTTTATTCGCGAAAGAAGATGAAAATGCAACTTTCTTGACCGTACCGGCGGCCTCCACGTTGTTCATCATCATGGGACGGCATGCTCTGCTATCCAACACACACACACACACGTTCCAATGTACTTCGCTGCATAGAAGTGGCTTGTCATTCGCTTCTTCTTCCTCTTCCTCCTCCTCCTCCTCCTCTTCTCTCCTCCCCTGTCGTTTAGTGCTGCAGCCAGGGTCGGCTGCGTGATGGACGGATCCCATCACCTCAACCACGGGCCCACCGATATCCTGGTCCTGGTGCGCTCAACCCGGAGAACGGGCGATGACTGACCGGGTATCTTACTGCCCGCCTGTCTAGCTGGATGCGATGTTGTAGATGATGGGTCAAACCGTAATTTAGTCTAGTCACATCTTCAGTACATAGCATCAATCAAACACAGGAATATCTATGTAGTAATTAATTAGCAGATCAATCTCCCCGTCTGTCCCATGGATGATGCTAGGTGCTGCAGTGCTGTCAATCCAGCCTGAGGCACGCCGCTCCGCCTAACCCCCGACGCCGATGCTCCCGGTCGATCCCCGTTTGCGACCGTCCATCCATCCATCCAGCCATCCATCCATCATCCCTCATCCATGCACGACGTTTTCCCTAGGTTGGCGGCTAACTTTGATGGTGATGATGATGATGATGATGATGACGGTGATGGTGATAAGACGATGGTTTGGTTACATTCAAACTTCACACGTCCATCTCACCCTTTCATCTACCAGACAATTCATACACACGCACACACACACACACACACACACACACACACACACACACACAGTCAGCGACCATCTCGTATTCCCTTCAACGGAGCCGACCACAAGTCCAGATGCGGGGGCACACGGCTCCACAGCATTATGCCGACTGTTATTGCAGTATCTGGCTAGGTACCTCTCCTCCCTCTCTCCCTCTCCCTCTCAACAGAAATCAGAATCATCGACATCGCGATAACGCTGCGTGCCACGGCGACATGCTGTATAACTGCCCTCTTCCCTCCTACAGGGCCGAAACGTGCATGCCCATCCCGTCCCCCGTCCGTCTGAAGGACGAGCCGAAGCGAGCCAGGGCTAGCGTCCCCGAATGCGGCATAATTAGCACCTGCAGTGTTGCTATTATTACTTTCTTCGTCACTATTAAGGCCGGACATGCCCTTGGCCTGTTTACCTGCTGCAGCCAATCAATGAAGAGAGGCTGGGGTTATCGATTGAGGTTTGGGTTACTTTGAGGACGGGGGAGGGGGGGAGGTGCTTGAATGCATGGATGCATGGATGGTTAGCCATGTCTCTCATGCCTGCCGAGAGCACATCAGCAGGTTAAGCGCTGGCTAAGCCGTCTATGGGCAGACGTCCGGAGCGGGGACGCGCGATTGGCGGTTGCTTTGACTCGAAAGATCTGATACCCTGTTACCCGAACTGGGATTGTCCTGCTATTCCCTGCTCTTCTTCTGCTGCTGTGTGTTTGTTGTCGTGCCTGGCTGGCTCTCCACAGACAGACAGACCGACATCACACAACACACACACATTCATCCATCCATTCACAGTGAGCAAATCATCATCGCACTACTCTCTCTGTCTCTCTCCTCCGCCCTCAGCCATCAATACTTCTTGGAATAGCCCAACCAACCCACTTCCTTTCCGCTGCGGCCGCTACATCCTGTCTGTCTGTCTTCGATCTGTGTCTGGGCGCGCTCCTCCAGCCTATAGCTTCCCACCCTGGTCCGCCTCATATGCAGCCAACAAGTAGCTCCAACATCGTCTCTTGTATCAACCATCAACCCACCACATACTCTCTCTCTCTCCATCAAAACCCTTCTGCATGCCCCCCACCCCGTCCTTTGATCCTCTTTCCGCTATTTCGCCCTCCATCCTCGTACAACAACAACAACAGTACTCCTAGGAATACATGTTGATGCATCCACAACCGCTGGCGACGGTACTGTAGATATCAACCTCTCTCTCTCTCTCTCTCTCTATTCGTACATAGCCCTATATCACAATCGCCAATATCAGTCACCGCAGCAAGCCGTCATGGTAAGTCCTCACCGCCAGACTGTCCTGTTCATAGCGGGGCTTTCCTTCTAATTCTTCTTCAAAAACAGCAGGCCATGACGCCCATTACACCGCTGGAGTCCGGTGTCGAGATGTTTCAGAAGGGTCAGATGCAGACCCTATTCCCACAGCGAGCGTCAGGCTCGACTGCCTTTGCGCAGAGACAGTCGCGCTCCTCCCAGCCGCGCCCTGTCTCCGAAGCGACCGAGATTTTCGACACCGATCTCGAGGACGACTCGACCGATCTGGAAGATGACGATGATGACTCGAGCGACTTTGAGGAGGACTCGCCAAAGTACAGCTTCGACTCGGTAAGTTGCCTGCCGCCTCTGTTGCTGTTGCTGTTCTTGTTCCTAACTACCATCATCAGAGCGAGAGCCGCCGCAGTCAGACGACGCTGTCGAGTTTCGAAGAAATCACCACCCCGTACTCGAGCCGCCCGGTCGAGTTCGACTTCAAGCCCGTCGACATGAAGCCGGTCGAGGGTCCCCGCGGCCCACACCTGTTCCGCGCCTCGCAGACGTCAATCGACTTTGACTTTGACTTTGCCCTCCAGCTCTCGCCCATCGCCCTCAAGTCTCCCATGACGTTACCGCCGCCGCCGCCGCAACAGGAATATCCCACCGAGCGGGAACTCCTCGCAGCAGCAGACACCCCCGCGACCGTCATTGCCCCGCGCCAACTGACCAGCCTCGTGAGCGCAATGCAGGATGTCGACAGCTCCGAGGTGCGCTCGTGGTCGTCGATGCAAGTCGCCATGTGGATGAGTGATTTGGGCTTCGACGGGAGCGTGGTGGAGAAGTTCAAGGAGCACGACATCACCGGCGCCGTGCTGCTGGACATGCAGTTTGAGGACCTCAAGGAGCTTGACATTGCCTCGTTTGGCAAGCGCCATCAGCTCTGGAATCACATCGATGCCCTCCGCGAGAACAACGGCCGGATAAGCCCGGCACCGACGCCCTTCCAGGACACCACCCTCCCGTGCTCGGAACACGGCCGGTCAAAATCACGACGGCGGCGCGACAAGAGTCAGGAGCAGCACTGTGGAAATGGCGGAGACGACGACGAGATCCTGAGCCCCATCACCCCCGGCGGCGCTGCCAACAAGAAGAGGCGAGCACGCAAGCCGCGCAACATCAACGACATTGTCACGCCCGCCGAGTCCGTGTCCATAGTCGCCATCGAGCAGCTGCTCCCCAAACCACACAAGTGCGCCAAGGGCGAGCGCTGCGCAAAGTGGCGGAAGCAGCAGCGCCAACTCGCGCGCCTGCAAGAGGAACACGGCTTCGCAATCTCGCCCGAGAACGGCGGCCAGATCTTCATCGCGGGCGACCCAGGAAACGCCGGGCAGGCCGGACGGATAGTGGAGAATGTCGTGTTGCGGCCCGCGTCGGAGAATGTGGCATCGGTCGTGGCATCCTCCGCCGCGCTGCCGTCCGCCCAGTTCCCGCCCCTCGCCCTGCACGAGGAAATGCTCGACTTTGTCGAACATCGCGACCCGCAGGAGAACGTCAAGCAGTTCCTCTCCCTCCAGGGCTGGGACTCGCCCGACGCAAACTTTCCCGTCGAGCGCCCGCCCACGCCTCCCCTTGACCTCTTCCCGCCTCCCGCTGTCGTCCCCCTCCAGCCCCCCGTGCCCGCAACACCACACACAAACCTCAAGAACCTCCCCAAGCTCAGCATCCCCCGTGCCGCATCAGCACTATCCGCTACTACTACTACTACTACTACTACCACCCAGGACCACCTCGACCCCAAAACAGCCTTCTTCTCCCCATGCCGCTCCGCCCTCTCCCCCGCCGACCCCGGCCTCGCCCACCTAATCTACCGCTTCGGCACCCCGGCCTCCGAAATGGACGTCCCCGTCCCCGTCACCGCCCTCCCGTCCGACCCGCTCTCCCGCGACTCCTCCCAGAGCGTCCCGCCAAACATGCTCTACCGCGACCCGACCCAGCGCTCTGCCTCGCGCGCCGCCCCAGACTGGCGCCGCCCGAGCTTCGCCCTGCCCTCGCTGCTCGAAGACCGCGTCTTTGAAGAGCCTGCCTCGTACCAGAACAACAATCACCACAACAACGCCCACCACGCCTCATCTTCTTCCTCCTCCTCTCTCCCCACCGCCCTCCCCCTCGACCCCAAATCCGCACACGACCTCAAGCCCCCACGCTCCACCCCCTCATCATCCCGCCACCACAACCCCTCCTCCTCCTCTTCCCTCCCATCAACCACCAAACCCACCGCCACCAAATCCCCCTACCCCGGCTCCACCCACGCCGGCTGGATGAAAAAGCGCCGCACCCGCCTCCTCCGCCACGAATGGACAGACGCCCACTTCCGCCTCACCGGCTCCTCGCTCGCCATGCACCCCAACGCCCTGCCTTCCTCGTCCGCCCTCAACACAATCGATATCGACGATTACGCTGTTGCGTGCAGCTCCGTTGCGTCGGGAAAGTTGGCGGCGCGGATTCGGGCGTTGAGGAATGCTTCGTCTTCTTCGTTTTCTTCGGAGGGGGGAAGTGCGGGGAAGGGCAAGGCGGGTGGTTTGGACGCCGCGTTTGAGTTTCAGCTTGTTCCTGCTGTTGAGGGGGAGGGTGGGGCACGGTGGAGAAGGGTTTGGAGGGATGGTGCGGGGATTGGGGGGGGGAGTGGACTTGGTGGGAGTGGAGGGAGTGGAGGGAGTGGGAGTGGAGGGGGCAAGACTTTGCATTTTGCGGTTGAGACGAGGGATGAAAGGATTGATTGGATGCGGGAGTTGATGCTTGCTAAGGCGCTGAGGGCGAAGGGGAGGGGGTTTGAGGTCGAGGTTAATGGGCGGGTTATTTAGTTGTTGATGTTGTTGGGGGTTAGGGTAGGGGTTGTGGGTTGTGATGCCGTTTCCTGCTCTGCGTTTTTCGTGGGGTATGTTTTCGTTTTGTGTGTTTTTGGATTCCCTTTTGCTGTTGCTGTCGTTGCTGTCGTCTGCTTTGCTTTTTCTTTTTCTCGTTTTGGGTTTTTCGGTCGTTATACAGGATCTTTGCCCCACCGCTCCCCTCAATTCCCCCCCTCCTTTTGACATTGTTGTCGACTTTGCACGTTTGTGTGTGTGCATTGCTTATTTTTATACCCTCTTTGTTTTTTGGCTGCTTGGTTTTGGTTGTTGTTGTTGCTTGGTGGTTGTTGGTTAGTGGTTGATGATTAGTGGAAGGACGATGCTGATGATGATGTTATGACTCGGTTTTATTGGTTTGGTATTGGTTTGATTGCTTGATTTTGTCTGGTTGGTTTCGGGTTATAGGTGATGAGGTGGGACGGTATGACGGTATGATGGTGGGATAGGGCGGAGAAGACGAAAGACGAAAGACGTAAGACGAGGGAATAAAGACGAAAGGAGGAGAGTGACGACGGGACGAGAACAGACGTTCGTAGCGGTAGTAGTAGCAGCAGTAGCAGTAGCAGTAGTAGCGGTAGCAGCAGTAGATATACACACCACGACAAGACACGCTGTGGTATAGCGTAATACTCTATCTTCATCATGCAGCGTGGATCTTTGCTTTGGTGCTATGTTATCATGTTTGTGAGCATGTTTGTAATCATGCTTGTAATCGCGTCTATAACACACACACACACACACACACACACACCACGCAGTACTATCCAAGAAACACACACCACACCTACAGCGCCCCGTGTATTCGCCCGTATATCTCTGGGCATATCTACCGAACTAGCTTAGCTTAGCTTAGCCTGGGCTCGTAGTACGTTCTTGGTCGTTGGTTGGTATGTATCCTTGGTTGTTGGGTGGTATGTGGAGCTTATATCTCGCTTTATGGGGTTTATGCTGGTGATAGGATGGCGGAGTTTCACTGGGTCTTGGTGCTTGGTTTTGGGGTCTAGAGGTTGGGGAGTATAGGTTAGAGTATAAGTGTAGAGGTTAGAGGTTAGAGGTTAGAGGTTAGAGGTTAGAGGTTAGAGGTTAGAGGTTAGAGGTTGGAGCTTAGAGAACGGTTAGAGCTTAGAGTCTAGTAGAGTATAGAGTCAAGCAGAGTCTAAGGTTCGAGTCTACAGTCTATAGGTCAGAGGTTAGAGTCTAGGGTAAGTTTAATAGAGTGTAGAGTATAGAGTGTAGAGTATAGAGTAGATAGTATAGAGTATAGAGTGTAGAGTATAGAGTATAGAATATAGAGGGTAGAGTATAGAGTGCAGAGTATAGAGGGTAGAGTATAGAGCCTAGATTATATAATCTACGTACTTATTATAAGATAGTTAGTTAATTTATAAGTCCGTGATTAGAAGCACGTACATGTACATATATATAGGGGTAATTAGGTAGGTAGGTAAGTAGGTAAGTAAGCAAGCAAGCAAGCAAGCAAGCAAGCAACCCACGCGTCCACGTCCACGTACACATACACATCCAAGTACAACATGCATAATCACAAGCCTCCGAAACATCGTTGATCTAGTAGTCATAGCGCACAGAGACGTCCATCTACCTGCTTCTCTCTTCTTCATGCCCTTCCACTAGATCATACCATACACTTGTCCCACATATTCCTGGCTACATTGCGGACTCGTGTGAGCAAGTATAGACTATCCCACTAATCCCAGTAGATGATGTATAGTATAGCATACTACTAATCTCCCGGTCGTGAAGCGTGTATGTAGCGTGTACTTATATTGATACCAGGTGGTAGTAAGCAGTAGGATTCGATGGATTCGGAGGTGTATACTTAGTCCTACTCTCTCCGCCTGCACGAATGGGATGTACTAGTAGGAATCAAGCAGTAGACATGAATAGTAGACCTGAACAGCAGGCACGAAGAGTAGTTATAGAGAGTCTAGTCGATCCTGGTCCGCGACACGTCATTTTGCCCTTCTGCCCTTCACAGGCCTACCTTCTTGATTAGCTTTATGCACTGAGCCTGATTATGCTTCACAACAACAACAAATGCAATGCCCGCATTATCACGGATGATAGAAACGATTGTTGTACGAGACGTTGGTACTTATTGTGATTTTCTAATACAGAGCGTGCTTTTCTCCCGCTTGGTCAGAGTATTATCATGACCGTCTCCCGCAACACAGCGAACGCTAGAATACTGCCATACTCTCCTCTTAGCTGGTAATGTCCCCTTGCGATGACTTTATATGTCTGACCCGTTCAGGAGGCTCCGTGTGTCGTACAGTAGACGTCGTTGGTAACGACATAGAAGCTCGACAATCAAAAACTGGCTCCAAGAAGTAGAAAAGAATACAAGAAGGGGAAGGCCAAAGTATATACAAGAACAGAACCACGCACGCCCATGTAAACACCAAGACGTCTACACACCACGCTGGAGCTCCACAACGCGAAGTTGCACAACCTGGCCGATCTGCACCGTCACGAGATCCGCTGCCGCACCGTTAGCTCCTGTCACACATACAGACATACGTCCATCAAGTCGCAGACTCACGAGATCGGTCATACAGTCCTATGGTCCACGCGCCCTCCTGTCCCACCGGAAAAGCCATCCATTGCGCCTTCTCCAGCCCATAATACCCAAGCACCCGCGGCTCCGCGCTCAGCGTAAACTCCGTCGACTTGTACTCAACGCCCGCGGCACCCGGCATCATATCCAGCTCGACCTCGACCGGCGCCTCCTTCAACACCCAGCCGCCCTTTGGGCCCACCAGCGTCGCCCGAGCGCCGAAATCGCCCGTGACGGTAGCGCTGCCAGCGTGCCCTCCCTTGTAAGCGTTCTGGAGCCCGTACGTCGCGTTGTCTGCCGCCGTGGCGGTGGACTTCTTGACGTTGAAGCGGTAGCAGGTCGAGTTGGGGAAGATGCCAATCTCCCGCCACTGCCCGTGATCCCAGCTGTCTGTCGATTCGACCTTCTTCGTCGTGTTGAGCGCGAGCATGGCACCGTCGATTTCGGCAAAGTTTGGCGAGACGACTGCCAGGGCGTATGGCCCGTTTGATTCGAAGGGGAGAGCGGCGGCAGAGCTGAGCGCGAACAGCCCGAGGACTGTATAGACGGTGGAGAGCTGCATTTGTGTGTATGTCGATGGGAGAGGCTGGCGGGCTTTGCAAAAGCTATCACACAAAGACTCGATGCGCGCTCGATGTTATATTTGCCAGTGTGATCCCGGTGGTTTGATTAAGTGTCATTCGGAGATATTAGGTTGATTGCATGTGCCAGTGCACACCCACCTCTCGGCCATCCTTGTCTCTGGACAGGAATAAACGAAATGAACACCTCCGTCCACAGTCTTGGTTAGGCTGGCTCGGACTCGTTCAGCAGCCTCCTACGAGCGACGGCAATGACATGCTACAGGACTTCAAACGCTTTCTGCCTTCTGTTCTCTGTATTTTGACTGTGAGAGTCCTGCGCGATTTTCGATTAATTTAGATGCCAAGGCGCGATGCTTGGCTTGGCAAGAGCACCGTGTAGTGATAAAATTCCCGCAGGTAAACAAGGGTGAAACATGTGGGCCTTTTTCTACAGTCAGTGCTCCAAGCTGCGTGGACCGTTATGCGCACCCCGCATCAGAACGACCAGTTTTCCGGGGCGGTCATTGGCGTCTCGTTTTCAATAATCGGGCCGATCCGAATCACGGCGCCCGGCTTCTATTATAGGATACATACACACACACGTATCCTTCATGAAGAAGTTGAGTTGACTCCCCAATGATGCTTTCAGTGGAGGGGTGATGGAAACAACAATGACTTGTGTTGAACAAAGCAAGTCAAATCTAACCGTCTCAATCAGGAACCCTCAAGCCTGAGCTGATGCTGATGCCAATGCTGGTACCGCCCGATTGAACCATGTTTCACTCACATAATCCTTCTTCGGTCCTTTGACGTCGTATGCCAGCACAAAACGTTCGATTTGCGCACCCCGGAACCTGAATTCGCAGCGTGAGTTATACATGTCCTTGATGCAGAGATGGTCGGATGTTGCGATCCAGCCTTGATGCTTCTCGCCAGGTCGGGGATGTGGCTCGAACTTCATCTCGTTGAAGAGATAGTCGACCTTCAAGTCTGGCTGTGAATCCGTCTCTCTCTTGACGAACCACACAGTGATCGTGTCTGTCCGGGCGGAGTAGCGGTAGACGTAACGATGAGATGTCTGAAACGACTGTCCGGTTTTAGTATACGCAGTCCCTTGCTCGATGTAGAGGTATTCGCCATCATACCCAACGTCTGTTGGTGCGCGTGGATGGAAGGTTCCAGTCCCTTCATAGCGGTTTATGGGGAACTCATCCAATTTGCTGTTCAGAGATCTCTTTTGCTCCCATGATCCCTGCAATGATCGGAAAACTGCAGCGGCAACGAAGCGTGCAGACTCTTTCGAAGCGGTTAATGTGGACTGAAGGTACGAAAGCGTCGATTGTGCGGCAGTCTTTTCGACAGCGTTCGACGTATATCGTGCAGGGATGACTGGTCCTTCTTGCTCGCCGTCGCGAGTGATCCCAATCTGCTTAGACAGAGACTCCATCAGGCCAACATAATCACCCATCCAGTATTGTGGTGCAGCCAGATTGCGCGTCAGCATCGATTGCCGAAACGAACGCAACTCTGCCAACTCCCTGGCGGTGTCGCTTTCGGACTGCTGAATTTGAGATTCAGACCACTTGTCTGCGAGAATTCTTGCTTGCATCTCCATCACTCCCCAGTAAGGCCCTTCATACGAACCAACAAATCCAAGCGTAGGACACTGTGGATGCAGGATACTAGCATTCGCAAGCAGGACAGGCATCCTTGTGGATGCCGGTTCAAACTCGAGCCTTTCAAGCACGTCTTGGGACAGCCATGACAGTGTGATTTGCGGCATGAAGCCAGTCCCATGCACAATGGCCACGACATCAGATATGCTAGTCGATGGGCTGGAGTCTGACGCTGGCTCTCCATCCTTGGTTTGCATCTGTATGGTCACCGTGCAATCGTTTCCGCCTCGATTTATGACAAACTTAGTTGCTCTGCCCAGCACCGGTACGATACTGCCTGATCGAACGAATTCAGGATACAGATCAGTAATCGCCGCAAACGGAGCCGACTTCTCATCCCTATCGACGAGCCCCACAGACCCAAGATCACTCTGATCTCCTCCGAGTATGCTTCGAAAATACTGCTTTACCTCAGCAGCCTTGGTCGATGACACGAGCCCTGTGGAATACATGACCGGTCCTGTGGGTCTGCTTCTGAGGTCGAACATTGCAAGATCAAGAGGGAGAAATGCTGGCCTGTTGTTAACCTCTTTGGTGTCTTCATCGACCGGCTTCAACGGAAAGTAACGAGGTATCGCGTGGAATGGCTTGCTATGGATATTGACCAGTTTGTACCCGTCGTACGATCTCGGTGAGTCCGGTGCAAAACTCGCATTTGAAATCTGGGCCGCAAGAAAGGCAGAGGCCTCGACACCACTGTTGCTACCTCCAAGGACAACAATGGTGCCGCCTGTAGTATGATCTGGAGGTATGATGTCCTTGATCTCGCGCAGCTGGGAGCTATGCTTGACGGATACTCTGGAATCCTCGGACGCATCCCTTGATAGAGCTATGTCTGCTGGCTTCTGGAAAAAGCCAGAAGCGACGATTACATGGTCAAAATTTCGTTCGTTGATCGCTGGTGTAGTGCTGTCCATCGGACTACTTGCTGTGACTATATCGGGTTGAGTAGACCTCCAAGATACCTTCCACCTTTTCGTGCCATCTTCGCCTTGAACTTCTGAAGCATTGATAACCTCGCAGCCGTATTTGATCGACCCATCTGGTAATTTTCTTTCAGCGTATGCATTCAAATAACGACCTACTTGCCATGCTGTTGGAAACATTGGTATATCGTCAATAGTTGCCGTAGACCGATCGCAGACCTCATGAGCTATGTCTTCCCAAGGGAAGTCGCTGAAAGCTACGCTAAAGCGGCTTATATTTGTAGGCATGTCGAAGTTGCATTTTGGGTCTTGATGGCGTTTGTTTTTGTCAAATGCCCATATACCGCCCACACAGGGCAGCTTCTCCAAGACTGTGACATCAAACTTGCATTGTCTTCCATTCGCATCCTGCCACTCCTTTTGTAGCAGTGTCTTGGCCGAGACAAGACCCGCCGGTCCAGCTCCCACGATACAGACAGACGGCATTCGGAGTTGTAGGGTAGAAAGAGTTCTGACTATACTCATGCCAATTACCCCTCTACGGTTTCTGAGTGCAAGGACCACTTCACCTGTGATCATATACCTCAGGGGATCTGTAATTAGTGGAACTCACGAAGGTCAGACAATTCGACGCAATAACGCTAGTTTGCGTGGGGGCTATTTAAGCACTAATATCTGCCTAGAGAACAGATGCATATCTGGCGGCTACGACGCACGCCACGTTACATTAATATACTCTGTTGATTGTGTCCCAATGATATCCGACCGAAGCTGTATCCAGCGAAAGGAACATGTCAGTCGAGCCCAGCAAGCCTCCTGAACCCTTTATTTGATATGGTTCTTCCATCTCCCTCAACGCCGGCCCCATCCAGCGGCCTTCCATCGCCTGCAGCGAGCTCTGCCATCCACCTGCCCAGAGGTTTAGTCGGGCTATGAAAGCCACTCAGAAGCATTTTCGTAGTCGGGAATAATACCGGCCTCAATACTCGCTGATAGGCTGGCCGCCTGGGAACGTATTCGTGAATCGCCGGGTGATCAGTTTCGTCGACCATTGCCGGCCGCACAGAGAATGCTTTCAGCTCAGGATTCCTCTTGTGTTGTTCCAAGATAGCAGCCTCGGTCTCGCCTTTGACACGTCCAAATATGGGCGTAAAGACCCCTGGTGTGAGCGTTGCGCCTTCGCCCGAAACATAGACAAAATTGAACGGCGACTTGGGCGCAAAGGCCTCGATGAACTTGATGGGATAGTCTTTTGTGATCTCGATATATTTCCTAAACAATCTATCAGCATGTGCAGGCATTGATTCCGCTGTGACGGTAGCAATGAGACTGACTCCTTGTCCACGTCGTTTTGCGATACACCCAGTGCCCATACAATGCCCTTTGCATCTCTAATCCTCGTGAGCGCTTCTTCACCTGCGTCCCATTTCCCGAAGTCTTCCTTGAGTATCACTTCGGTTTTGTCGGTGCCCTTTGCCATTGCCACTGGCCGCCTGCTGATGATGGAAATCTTGGTCACATTCTGCATCGCGAGCATTGCATCGAGTACCCCAGAGCCAACGAGGCCAGTAGCGCCAGTAAGGACCAAGTGCACCATAGTAACCAATACTTCACGACAAGGGTTGTTATTTCTTTCAGAGGCAAGATTGAGAAGTAGGTACGAGAAGACAAGTGTTATTGAAGCGTCGTAGATCTTAAATACACGGCTGAAAAGGCACCACAAGCTGACGCCATCAACGGTCAAGGACCAGAGAGTTTCGCGGACGAATTTACGTTACCTTTGCGGAGTTTACAAGTACTGCTTATGGCCGGCTTCAGCGCCGGCCCAGACGCGCACTAACTAGCATTCCAAGCAGTGCCAAATATAGCCTTGGAGGATGATTAAGAATTTCTGGCGCCGAGGGACGATCTTTACGAGGGAGCATGAGTGCTGCAGGCTCATATGCCGTTTCACGATGCCTGAGGGAGCAGTCAACGACAAAATTCAGCAGTCTACTCCTATGGGCTTCGGGGCTTTCTCGAACGGGATAATGGTATTGGCGAGCATGTTTAGGTATGGGGATATGAATATCTATGCTCATATCGGGAGATCGGACAAGCGGTATATCACGAGCGCCTATGATTGAGCGTATACGTGCTTCCTCGCATCTCATCTGAGGCTATCCTAAACTGACATAACCCTTTCCACCACTTTCAGCGACAATCACATTGTCCCCATTAGCTTCCTTAGTCACTGGAGCTGGAACATCTCGCATTTGCGTTCCTTCGCCATCGCCCTCAACCAGTCTAAGCTGCGCATTTCTCTTCGCCATCTCCTTTCGCTCCTGTTCTTGAGTCTGGGTCATGTAGGTGGAGTATCTCAGCGTTGCAAGGATCATCACGGCTGATATGGCTAGAGCCGTAGCTGCACGTCGCGTCAGGAGCCACCGAAGGCTCTCAACTTCAGACCGGGCGTCTGAATTGAGCGATACGGTGATTTTATAGTTCAGCTCCTGGATCTAGGTCGAATTAGTACATGAGGTATCACAGCCTAACACGAACAGCTACTTACTGTGTTCTCCATAGACTTTTGCTCCGCCCTAACTGCCATCTTACGATCGTCGAACAGTCCCTTCAATTCGTCTTTTAGTGTCTCTCTCTCTTGTGAGAAGCGTTGGTTCAATATGTCCACTTCGTGCTGGAGCTGAGTACGCTCTTGACGCATCTTCTCAGTCTCTCCGTTTCGATTGTTCTGAATCTCAGTCCGTAGCTCGCTACAAGCTGCACGAAAGAGATATCCCTCATTCTCCACGTTGGACTTCGACACTAGCGCTTCCCGTGCGGTTTCCATATTCTGCGTTAGCAGCCCCCGGATTGCCTTCATGACCGTCACACTTTGTTCTTGGGAGAACCCTGAACCCTCAAGATGCTTGACTAGCCCATACGTGTCGAAGTGGTGGACGTAAGGTGGGGTCTGGAGATGCGGAGGTTTCTTCGCACTGTCAGCAGGTGACGGCATATGTAGTACGGTTTCCATGGGTGGACTCTCTGATACACTCAAAGTAGGCGGGACTTTTGTTTGTGATTCCTCGGTGGGCAGTTGTGTCGACGGTTGCGAGGCAGCATCCCCACTGGTGGACGAGCCTGAAGCCTCTTTCGTACCATTTTCATTCTCGCTCGTACCCTTGCTGGCTTGCTTTTCTACGGAAGTGACTGATAGTTCATTATCTTTGTCGCTAAGATGGGCTGGTGGCTTATTAGCCGTACCATATCGAGATCTTGCGGCGGAGCTGTGCAGAGGAGCAACTCTTAAACGCGGTCGCGCGCAAATATTGGCATTGGCGTTGCGATGACCGCGTGCGTCACAAGAGCGAGGCTTGAATAGCACGGGGTATAGGAAGGATAAAAATGGTGGACGAGAAGCCGACATACTCCCCAGAAATCGATTGCAGGAATGCGAAATAAGTCTTTACAGCTTTGGGACTGTAGAATCCGTTGAAGCTACCTCGTACGTAAGGCGAAACTGCGCTAACGACAAAACCTCTCTAATATAATCATACAGGTAATTTAGTGGGTGTGTAGATATTTTGACGCAATCGCAATATGCCCTCTTCATCATCTCTACCGTTCATGAGAGAACTAGTGTGTCGATAATTCATGGTCACTGTGAAACAATCGAGTTTTCTTCCATTATGAAACTAAGTCTTAGTGAACACTGCGATTACCCATGAGCTCAAGGTATTGAGGTTGGGATAGGGTATTTCCATCGTGGCAACACGATTCTATGTACCTGTATCAATTACCATATATTACATGTCAAGCAAGAGTGACCAGTTGCACACGGACAGCCTAATAATTCTGGAGGAGATCGCATCAAGCCTATCTCCGAACTAAACTCTTCATCAGATATCGTTCTTAGACGAGCTTGACCAGACTGTGATGAATGGCGGAGGATGCTTAATCATGTGGCATGTGAAGGCCTGAGTAGAATTAGAATAGATCTCATACAGCTATAGCGCTCGTGCAATACCTTTTGATAGCCTGTTGATTGACCCGAGCTTCGTACTGCTGTCGTGCCGCTTCATATTGCTCCTGACTTGGCCTCAGAGAATCTGGTGGGCGATATGCGGCCTACTCCTTCCACATTTGAGTCTTTCGGAGCTTGATTTCGTTCCTCTCCAAATATCTCAATCATCATCGCTTTCCTCCATTGCACTCCCTTCGTCCTCGTCTTCGTCCATAGGGACGTCACTGTCTTCGTCATCCTCCTCCCGTGGCCGCTTCGTGCCCGCGACATCAGACGCCAACGGTTTTAGTTTCCCATCCGAGCTTGCTGCGCTCTTGGCAGCATCTGTGTTACTAGGTGGTGCATCGAAAACAGAGGCCTGCAGCGCAGTCATTCCACTGGCAGTGGCTGCGGACGGAGACTCGAGGCGGCTCTCAGGCACAGGCAATTTGTATGTTCCGTCCAGTTTGGCCAATGTATCTGATTTCGACTTTGCGTAGTAGATTTTCTATTATCAATGTCAGTTCTATCAGGTCTTGAGAAGACAGCACAGGTTCCTACCAATTCACTACCAAAAAATTCGAATCCCTGGAGTGCTCTCATAGCCTGGGTCGCAGACTCAATGCTCTTGAAGGTGACATGCGCCTGACCGCGCATTTTGTCCGATCTCAACGCCACGATGTCCAAGACTGACCCATATGTCGAGAATATCATGTACAGCTCTCGCCGAAGATCGCGTTTGTTAATTTTGGGATTGAGTCGGTTGATATAAAGGCTAAGAAGGTCAGAAACGTACGCGTCATGGCATATGCGAACTTACGTTTGGTTTGGTGGCAGTGTCTTTAGCGGAGGTGCTTTGCTTGAAGCCATGATGAGAGACTTAGGCGGAAAGGAATCCCAATCAGCGGGGAGCGATCGCGGAACGAGCGTTTCTGTCGCAGTGAGTTTGATCAAGTAGCAACTCTGACAAGCCGAGAGGTGGGCTATGTAGCATTAAGTATATATATGTATTGTTGGAGCGAGCTCGCGTACAAACGAGAAGAGTTAGGGACTAGGCTGGTATTGCTAGAAATACTTTACAGGTAGTTAGTGTACCCCACCATCACCTCACCACCCACTGACTAGATGATTCCCACCATCTTCCAATCCACTTGTCGCTCTCATCTCATCACCTCCAGGCGTCCCATGATCTGAGCGACTAAAGTCCAGCTATTGCAGTAGTAGAGAGCTCCTCCTCTGCGTAGCTGCTTGCTCCTACACTATGGCTCCTGAAGTCCATCATCTCTTCCACCATTCCATCGCAGATCACTCATTCACCCCAGACCGCAACACCGTTGCTGTCACCCGCGACAACAACGTAGAGCTTTACGTAAAATCCGGAAAGTCTTTCTCGCTCAAAGATGAGCTCAGGGGTCATGATAAGACTGTAACAGGTGTTGATATTGCCCCCAACAGTGGCAAGATCGTTACATGTGCTCAAGGTGAGCATCTTCCGCTATACTTGTATAAACAGCCTTCTGAGATCCGCTTTTAGATAGAAATGCCTACGTATGGGAGCCCTCATCCACTGGCTGGAAGCCCACACTAGTTCTTCTACGTATTGATAGGGCTGCGACATGTGTGCGATGGTCGCCATCAGAGACAAAATTTGCTGTTGGCTCTGGTGCAAGGCTGATACCCATCTGTTACTTCGAAGAAGAGAACAATTGGTGGGTCTCGAAACATATCAAGAAGCCGATTCGCAGTACCGTGACCTCGGTCGATTGGCACCCTAACTCAGTACTTTTGGCAGCCGGCTCCACAGATGGACACGCCCGTGTTCTATCCACCTTTATCAAAGGTGTGGATGCGCGTCCCGAACCGAGTGCTTGGGGCGAACGATTGCCATTCAATACAGTCTGTGGAGAGTTCTTAAACAGTACTGCAGGCTGGGTTCATGACGTTGCATTCTCGCCTAGTGGTAATGCCATGGCGTTCACATCCCACGACAGCAGTGTCACCGTCGTCTATCCCAGCGCTCCTGATCAGCCCCCGAAAGCAGTGGTCAGTGTAGCTACCCAACTCTTACCTCTGACCACACTGTTATGGACTAGCGAAAGTGAGATCATTGCAGCTGGATACAATTGTGAAGCTTATCGCCTGTCCGGGAATGAGGGTGGTTGGCAACTGGCTGGTTCCCTGGAAGCAAAAGCTGGCCGCGCACAGGATGAACGGGAGGAGTCAGCTCTCAACATGTTTCGGCAAATGGATCTAAAGGGCAAAACCAAGAACGACACCGTTCTGAATACCACCCATCAGAATACAATCTCCACGATCCGAGTTCATGCTGGTAGCCCCGAATCTATCAGTGCAATCAGTTCTAGCGGCGTGGATGGGCGGTTGGTGGTGTGGAACTTGTGATATCGAGTCTTTTCACAGCCTAAGCAGATAGTTGCGCACAGTACTGTTGCATTGATCTTATCGAGGAGTATAGATGATGCATACTAGAATTTTGCCCGTATTGAAGCCCCTGGATTCTTCATTCTCATGCTGTATTGCTCGCATTCAAGAGCTCAACGGGTATAGACAAACCCAAGGTGCTTCCGACGATTCCAAACCACAGCATTAAGTAATCTAGCGTTCTATACGGTCGATTACTGACAACGTTGCTTAAAGCTTCTGCCGTCCTGCAAGGATGAACAAAGAAAGTCGGTCGGTCGGTGATTGGATGACTCTATGTAATCGTGTCAGCTTTCCAACATAGAGACTCATGTCAGAGGAAGTACCGTCATGGATATGGCTCCGATCACACCTATGCTGTTGATTTGACACCTGTGAATCTCTGGCACCAGGATACGATAAACGTCGGCTATGTCCGTCACCGGTTTCGAATGCTGGTCTAACAGATCAAAATACAGTACAGGGACTTGATACGTTGGCGACCGAATGATGGTAAATCGCGCCCGGACAGTTGGCCCATCGGTCTTGACTATCGAGTGATCATCATGCTCGTGAAACTCATCGTCGACGAGCTCATCCGCATCTATCACATTCCGATCTACTTCAATATCACGCTGGATGGTCATGAAAGTGACAGAGTCGACCTTGTCGAGTTGGACTTTCGTCCATGATGATTGAAATTCACCGTGTGACTGATATATACCAACCAGCTGCATACATGCCTCTACAAATCCTTGATCCGAAATGGAAGGGAATGATGGCAAACTGGATTCACTTGCTTTCATGGCGGCTCATGATTCGTATTTGCAGCTGGAGACCGGTCGAGAATGTTGAGTCGCAAATCCAGCACTCGGTCAGCGATGGATACCAAAAGTGACCAAGAACAGTATCGCCGCCAGACTGTAGCAGAAGGGCACGTTGTAGAACCTATTGACCGGATGAAGTGACCTGGGCGCCGTTTTGGCTACCCGCAATTCTTCTTGCTCCACAGTCTTGTATAGATCGGGGTCGGAGCACGGACCAGTAAACGCGCCGTGACGGCTCCACTCCATCTCTGTTGCCTGAACTTTGGTGACCGCTCTGAAGGCTATTGGCGTCTGTCGATCAACTCCAACCCTCGTGAATTACCAATCCCCTTCCGATTCCAGTAGATGAAGCGGCCTAATATTTTGTGTAAACCTCCAGTGTCGTTGTCTGTCTTTGTATCCTGACTGTGGGCCTTTGCACAGCCTGTCGCATCTCATTTGACTGCCCAGGCCATTCGATTGTCGTGCAAGCGTAATGCCACCACTACAGGAGCAGGGAAGCAAGTTGAAGCGTGGTCTTGTAGGCCTAAATCTTCACAATCAGGTTGTCACTGTCTAATATAATGATAGGACACCGTCGGCGAATCAGATAGCAAGAAACCTCGACGGTCGAACCGGATATCGTCGCAAGGCACGGCGCCAGACACGCCGCTGAAGAAGGGACTTGAAGCTGTTCATTTACCTTCACCATTGACACACAAAGATTCAACCGCCACAGAGGACTACCAGGATGGCACTGTTACACCCATAAGCGACAAGAGTCAGTTTGGCTTTGGGAAAAAGACCGGAAGCTCACCGCGTAACGCGCGTAATGGTGCCGGTCTGTCATCGCCACCGCAAGACACCCAGCCGTTCTCGCAATTCATACTCCCACCACATGCACATACTTTCGAGGTCGAAGATGAGGAAGCAGAAGGTGTTTGGGGCTACCTCATACCAGTCGATAGCAAGAATAGAAGTGTTTTGGTCATGAAGGCGAGGAGTGCCTGTCCCGTCTCTAAGGACAGGTTTTCGTCGAAAAAAACCGGCAAGGAGCATGTCAATAAGAAAACGTACGAGGATGAAGAGAATGCATATGAAGCACAAAAGGCGAAAAGTGGGGTTGTTGCAGGAGGATATCTGGTCGGAAGACACCCCGAGTGTGGTAAGTCTTTCATCTCAGTCAAAGCCTGTTGTCTTGTCTGATGTAAGCAGACCTACGGATTGAGGCCAACACTGTCTCCAATCGGCATTGTCTCTTGTTTCCAGAGAAGAAATCCGGTGTTCCTATCGCTCTCGTTGAAGACCTATCCGGAAACGGCACATATGTTAATGATGCGATTGTTGGACGCAACAAGCGCCGAGAGCTCCAAGATCGGGATGAGATATCTATTATCGATGAGGCTCGATTCATATTCAGATACCCTCATCGCCAGACATCAAGTGGTTTTCGTCAGCAGTATATGATACATGAGCAGTTAGGCAAGGGCCACTTTGCTTCGGTCCATTTATGTGTAGAGCGCAGCTCCGGCTCTCGCTTCGCCGTCAAAATTTTCGAGAAACGGGGTGGAAACGATCGTTCTCGGACAGAAGGTCTGCAACAAGAAATTGCCGTTCTCATGAGTGTAAGCCACCCGTCGCTGCTCTGTCTTAAGGATACCTTCGACGAGGAAGATGGTGTATATGTGGTCCTTGAACTAGCCCCCGAGGGCGAACTTTTCAATTGGATTGTAATGAAGCAAAAGCTCAGCGAGTCTGAAGCCCGCAAAGTCTTTATTCAGCTGTTTCAGGCAGTCAAGTTTCTGGTTCGTTCCATCCCGATTCTAGTTTATGAGCTATTACTGATGGTTAGTAGCATGAGCGTAACATTGTTCACCGCGACATCAAGCCTGAGAACATTTTACTGACAGACAAGGACTTGAGTATCAAACTGGCCGACTTTGGTCTAGCAAAAATTATTGGCGAGGAGTCTTTCACCACAACCTTGTAGGCCGCCCTGATTTTGCTTGAATATTTGCGTGCTCATCTTCTATAGATGTGGAACTCCTAGCTACGTTGCGCCCGAGATTCTTGAACCGGGGAACCACCGACGGTATACTCGTGCCGTTGATGTCTGGTCGCTCGGAGTCGTCTTATATATATGTCTTTGCGGCTTCCCGCCCTTCTCAGACGAGTTATGGAGCGACGAGAACCCATACACTCTATCGCAACAGATCAAGATGGGTCGATTCGATTACCCATCGCCGTACTGGGATCCTGTTGGAGATGCTGCTCTTGATTTGATTGACAAGATGCTGACCGTCAACGTTGACGAACGAGCTACCATAGACGAATGCCTCGAGCATCCATGGACCACGCTAGCGGAGATAAATCCTAAGGATAGCACTGACGGTCTCACCGGTGCCATTGCAAGCCTTGACTTCTCGAAAAGGAAACCTCATCGGGAGCGGACACTCTTAGCAACCATGAACGAAGTCCGTGTTAGTCGCGTCATCGATATTGCACCACAGTCACAAGTCAAGGTCTACGAGAAGAATGGGTCCCAATCAAGGAAGCACAACGCTACGAAATCGAAGACTGGTACGAATGGCGCAGCAAACCGCGAAGGTACACCAGGAGCGGACAGAAACACGGAAGAATTCGCTAAACTGGGTGGTAAGGGCGATCAGGCTTTGTTTCCCGATGATGCTGGTTCTATATATGAGCCAGATACTGTAGTGAAAGCTAATCTGAAGAAAGGTCGGAGATAAAGTAACAATATTTCGTTTACTGTTCACTCTGCATTCAGGTACTGGCAAATTCAGGTGCGCATCGCTAGAGCAAGGGATTGGTTTTCTGACGTCATGGGCGCAGAACTATGTATATGGCTTTTCACACAGGGACAGTGTGCCTATGCCGTGAAGTATCGGTCATGGGCCTAAGATAAGATATCATGAATGTATAATAAGGTAAGGACGACGAGCAAATACGCTGTATGTACCTCCATGGCATGTAAGTATCAACTTCTCATCCAACTTGCGACCGTGGAATTCGATTTTGGCAATGCAAGACTATCCGTTCATCAGGTGACATTGGTGTGGGCAACAGCTATTCTTGGAAGTCAGGGTCTCGAAAGTGACCGTTGATCGCGGAGGATTTGCGTTGCCGCTTTCGGTAGTCCACGTGGAGTTGCAAGTGTCCACAGTAGTATCGAGACGAGTGCAAAGCCAGGATAACTCCGTCTGTTGTTGTGTTGTACCTTTTGATCCAGAATCGTACGTCTCTTCGTAAAGTGGTGCCATATATACTTTCTTGGACACATTGTCCGAACGACTTGAATGTAAAGGCAAGATCAAGCCAATTACGATCAAATTATGCTTGATCGCATGGTATGTGGTTGACGATTCCACACGCCACCCCGGAACGTAAGGTCCCGTCGCTCACCGAAACTCACCGCCCGCGTGTCTATTGGCCTGTGCGCGGCAGTACTTTCTCTCAAGAAAACGCGACTCGCAGTCCCCTTTTCCAACGCTTGCCTCAATATCTGGCCGCGATACTGTTTATATTTTCCAGTCCCCCGCCAAAAACATTGTAAATTGCATGACACCTTTTCGTTATCTGGACCAAAACCGAGACGCGCGCATTTCCACACCATGGGGCTTCTCTCCGCCATCGTCAACCCCCTGGTTCATATATCTTCGGACATCTCAACACCAGCATTGATAGGAGCTAGCTTTGCAATCTTCCTCACCCTCTCGATAGTCCTGAATGTCCTCCGCCAACTCCTATTCAAGAACCCGAACGAGCCACCAGTCGTATTCCACTGGGTGCCATTCTTCGGAAGCACCATAGTTTACGGTATCGATCCCTACAAATTCTTTTTCAGCTGTCGCGAGAAGGTACGTAACAGACGCGCATCGCGTAACCCACCAACCCTTCTATTCACACCTAATCTGCATTCTCGGCCTTCGTTATGCGTCGTGCTAACATCTGTACAGTATGGCGATGTATTCACCTTTATACTCCTCGGCCGTAAGACCACTGTATGTCTCGGGACAACTGGCAACAATTTTATTTTGAATGGAAAGATCCAAAATCTCAACGCGGAGGAGATCTATAGCCCTCTTACTACACCCGTATTCGGCAGTGATGTTGTGTATGACTGCCCTAACTCAAAGTTGATGGAACAAAAGAAGGTCAGTCGAGGCTAATCTCGGTGGCAAGGACTGCAGGCTAAAGTTTACACCAGTTTGTGAAGTTTGGATTAACCTCAGACGCACTCAAGTCGTACGTTCGCACCATCACAGATGAGACGAGGGATTTCATCAAGAAGAATGCCGCGTTCAAGGGCAAAAAGGGGACTGTTAACCTCTCATCTGCAATGGCTGAGCTCACCATATATACTGCCTCCGCATCTCTCCAGGGGAAGGAGGTTCGCGCTAAATTCGACTCCACATTCGCAGACCTTTACCACTATCTCGACATGGGTTTTAGCCCTATCAACTTTATGCTGCCTTGGTTTCCATTCCCTCACAATCGCAAGCGCGACTACGCCCAAAAGACCATGACCGATCTTTACTGCGAAATCATTGAGCGACGTCGTGCTGCTGGAGGGAAGCGTGAGGGCGATGAGGATATGATATGGAACTTGATGAGCTGCCAATACAAAGAGGGCCGAGCACCTACCGACAAGGAAATCGCACATATGATGATTGCACTTCTCATGGCTGGACAGCACTCTTCTTCCTCGACGATTGCCTGGATCTTGTTGCGTCTGGCTTCTCAGCCTGAAATCATCGAAGAGTTGCTTCAGGAACAGAAGGACGTACTGGGAGCTGATCTACCAGACCTCACCTATGATGATTTAGCTCGACTATCACTTCATTCCCAAGTCGTCAAAGAAACTTTGCGGATTCATACACCAATTCACTCAATCATGAGGAAAGTCAAGACACCAATGCCAGTGGATGGTACTAAGTACACCGTTCCCACCTCACACGTTCTCCTTGCCTCCCCTGGAGTTACTGCTCGGTCGGCAGAGAACTTCCCAAACCCACTTCACTGGGATCCTCACCGGTGGGATGCCCACAAAGAGGTTGAGGAAGACGATAGCGAGAAGATCGACTACGGGTGGGGTCTGGTCAGTAAGGGAACCGCGAGCCCGTATCTACCATTTGGCGCCGGAAGGCATCGATGCATTGGCGAACAGTTCGCATATGTGCAGTTGCAAACGATCCTGGTGGAATTTGTTCGGGCATTCAAGCTACGTAATCCTGATGGGAGCCGCGAAGTGCTTGTGGAGACTGATTACTCTGTAAGTCTTTCGGGTATAATCATACTGAACGATGTCTAACATGTCCAACAGTCACTGTTCTCACGCCCGCTGAATCCTGCCACCATTGAGTGGGTCCGGAGAGACGCGTAGAAATTTTTAACCTTGTTGCATTGCGGTGTTTGAGCCGTTGGGATCCATACTGTATACTTCCCAGTACATGATTTGAGTAATGCATCAGCAGTGGCGTAAGGTCTGTGATACCTTTTCACTCAGCCGGAAACTATGGCATGCATACACCAGATTAGACATGCCTAATGACGCCTCACTGTTATAGAGGCCTGCTGTACGTAGAATCGCTCTGATGACCTGGCATTGTCTAGAGTTCTTGACTTATCAATCCATATAATATCGAATCACTATTTGGATCCTTGCCGTTCTCAGTTCACGTACCCATAATCCCAGCTGAACATTCATCCGCAATGGAAGCACAAACTGAACGATCAAGCCGTTCGGTTTTGTGTGTTGGGTAATGTCTTCCTCAGTTTCCAGCGTAACGCAACGTCAACAGGTCCAGAAACCTGCTCCCAATTTGACATTATCTTCGATGCCCAAGTGGGCAAAGTACGCTTAGAGCGAAAGAGGAAGCTGATGGTCGTCCTGGGTCTTGTCGTGTTATTTTATATCTATGGTATTGGTACTATGGTACCGAATCGTATCAAACCTTACTAAGGTGACCGAAAGCTTTCGATGTTACAACCTGTTCTAGTAGTTGCGCGCACTTTGGTTGCACACATTCATTGTAATGTAGTAGCTGTCCGTAGCATGTGTCTGAGGCTGCACACATAACACGTTGCTGACTATACTGCCACACACTCGAGTCTGCTCCACGCCAGCGCTGTCAAGTTCGCCCAGGTGGAAATTTGCATAGAGAGCTTAACTTTTTGGTCTGCGTGCGCGTATTTGTGTCAGTGGATGGTGGGGATAGAGGCTGGATTGTATAGTGGATAAATATAACGCGCGTGAGGGAATGAAATTAGGTAAAGCAAGTGGTTGTTGAGTGTCGGATGCGTTGGGCGGCGGTGATGAGCGGTTTTGCGTGTTTGGATGATGGAATTGGAAAACGCAGTTAGGGATGTGAGGGTAGATGTTGTGCTCGTGCATGTATGTATGCGATATCGGCGGCCTCTGGCGCTGGCTTCCTCCGGCTTTATTGTGGATTGTTATGTGTCTTTGGGAATTTATAGTAGGTATTGTGATTGTGAGGTGTCCTCCGCACGCATCTACCTATCCGGATCGTGCAGCGAGTAGGTTTGCGGGGATTGTTAGTGAGATCCAGAAGGTGGACTGCTTGAGGACTGCCCGGTGCTTTGTTATGTTGATGGGTATCAATAAAAGAGCTGGACTTATATTACTTATATATATAAGAGTACCTCCTCGTGGAAAGTGTTCGTCTATGATTACTTCCCACTACCTAGGTAGCCAAGCAAGGCAAGTATAGACGGCCACGCCACGCCTCATCAAGTCTAGCTTGTCCAGGTGGAGGCTAGGTACTCGGACTTACTTTGTACCTACCTCATAGTAGGGCTGCAGCAGAACCTCGTGACGTAGCGAGCACTGCAAGCATTCACGAAGTCGCTTGCGGGAATAGGGAAACACATGTGGCGTGAGCACCCGGAAGAAGAATAATGGTTAACCGGATGCAGCAATTGTTGATGTGCATCCATCCGTATGTCTCCGAAGAGAAAAAAAAAGAGCAAGGGTCGCCACGCGCGCGGGGTCTCGACTGATCCACGAGGGACGAGGCACACGCTGGAGATGACAGATTGATGGATAACGGATTTCGAGGAGTTGAGGATGGGAGGCCGAAAGAAGAGCCGCATTATGGGGAGCTGCGCGGAAAGTGTGTGTGCACATCAGTCAGTTATTAGTGAGAGGCCGCATTGCACGGAAAGGTACCTGACGATCGTCTTTGTATTCAAAGTTCCCAGTTTGCTGCCGCTACAGTCGTGAGAAGCTTGAGGCTTGACACTGACGCTTGACCGACAGCTGCTGGCTCATTGAAATCATGCCTGACAATGTTGTTGCATCAACCCTGACCCCTACAGTATTGTAATACCGTAATATTGGCTGCAGCATGCCCCATCTCCATTTGAAGCAGCAAGGATCGAAGCCGGATCAAACAAGCGAGTAAACGAGTGTCCTTACATCACGCAGATTCTGGAGTCAAGATACCCCGCCTGTTGACCCACACCACAACTGCCAGGACTGAGCAAGACACAGATCTTGTAGATAGGCTATCAAAATGTAGTAGAAGTGATTGATGAGATGGATTGGAGGAGCACAGTGTCAGCCACCTGCGACATGGATGATGCAGATCGTATATCCAGGCTTCCTTGCAGTCACGCGGTTGGGAAAAGCTGGAGCTCCCCCTCCCAATGACGCAGCACAGACTCACCGACATGAGTTGAAAAGTACCGAGTCCTAGTAATGTATTATTCCAGGTTTACATATTGCTGTAGTTGACGATGCGTATTTGATACATGTCTGTTATTTTCAGTCAGCACTATCATGTATAGCCAGGGTGAAGCAGCAGTTGAGGCTGTGAAGGTTAACACCTCTCACCATTATGAGGATTTAAACAATCATCCGACCGATGAAGACTGCTGTATGTAGCAGCATGCTAGATAGCACACTTGAAACTTTCCTCGTGGATCGGATGAGGTCAGGCGGATGCCAGATGGGAACACGGTACAGGGCATGAGCGAAAGAGGTTTAGCGCGCGGCCGGAAAGGGAATAAAGGAGCAAAGCGGGCCAACAACACGCTGCTGTGGCGCTCACTGACCAACGCTCCACCAGCTTCAACACAAATCCACTCGCCCCATTCAGCACATGTGGCCAAGATATGAGCCTATCTCTCTATCCCCGGCCAGAATGCAGCGACCCGGTTGGTTGCAGGTAAGAACACCACACTGCTTGCTGGTGCCAGGTGCAGGTTTGCAAAAGCCAGTCGGCTGCCGTGTGTCCCATAAATCAACCTGATTAGCTGTGAATATAGTCAATCTTGAGATAGGTAAACGGAGGCAGCGAGTAGGTAGTAGCTGGGTAGGAAAGTAGGTAGGCTAAGCTGGGTGTTATATCATATTAGTACCTCAGTATCCATAGATGGATGAGTAATAAAGTAGACCCAGTCGCAACCTCGTCGTAGTCATCATAGGTCAGCTCTCTGCTATTAATTACTACTACATACTTCACTGACCAGCACAGCCTCCTCCCGCCCGCCTCCACCAGCATCGGCCATCGCTATCAGGCACCACAACAGGCACAGGCACAGACAGGCACACTCACTTCCACTCCTCCTCATATCCATCTCTTCGCACTGACAGGCTTGTCGCTCCCTCCTCTGTGTCTACCTCCTCTTGTCATCAGCTGGCCGCCAATTGTGTTTGTTTGACTTCGGATGCTTGTTGGCTTGTCAATTGCAAACAAGCGTATTACTGCTCATTCTCGTTGCTCGCCTACTACCGACCGTAGCGTGTTGATATTTCCCCGCTATACACACCCTCCACCACCAAAGGCCGCACCAGCGCGAGCCGCCTTTCCAGCCACATCACTATTTGCTTTCGCTGCTCTGCCACCACTGCCCATCACTTTATCCTCTTCAGCTACTTCGCCTTGCGCCTCAGCCTTCAAGACGACGAAGCGACTTTTCCTCTTTCTCTCTCTCTCTCACTCTCTCTCTCCCCCCAGAGCCTTTCTTTCTCTCTCTTCCATTCCTCCAGTCACATCCCAACCTCTTCTGTCGTCTCGTCAATTTGTGCTGCAGAACAGACCCGCTTCGCGACACTTGCGCCGCCTAATTCAAAGCTGCCGACTCGAGATTTGCATTCGCCACACCTTCTGGCCCGACTTTTCTTTTCCCGTCGCAGCTGCAGCTTCATGCGACTCGATACCGGAGTCGCTACGAGGCTCTGAAGGGAGAACTGCGACCGTCGCATACTAGTCTCACTGCTGGCCGCCGTCCTCCACACTGGCCTTGCGTATTTTTTTAGAGCTATTCCGGCTTGCTAGCGAATGCTGCGATCCGGACATCTTATCCGTAGCAACCATCCATTGAAGACGAGAAACCTTCCTTCTCTCCTCGACGAATTATTACGAGGTGTGTTTTGCGGTGTATGAAAGCGTGCCAGAAATCCTGCTTTCGCCCAGGTGCGTCATTCCACACGCGCGTCGCGGTCTCCTGCAAATGCAAACCCTGGACCAAGCTTCTTGCCTCAGCCACATGTTGACTTTCGTGCTGTGCTGACTTTGCATTATGAACAGAATCGAATCGTCCGGCTGTACCTCAATCAGACTCGCGAACGCAGCTGCAGTCTCATGGCCGCATCAACCCGGGCCATCACTCCCAGCCAAACCGGACCATTCACGGCATCGGGTGTAGCTCCTGCGACCCCGAACGCCTCCTCTCTCCAACCCGACGCAAATTCAACCATCGCAGCTCTGCGCGCGTCGTCCAAGTCGCCCAGCGCCATCTCTCCTCGCTCATCTCCGCAGCCCCTCACCGGAACTGCTGCCTTAGCCGAGCAGCGCGCCGAGAAGGAACGAAAGGCTCGCGAAGAAGCACGTAACATATCACACAACCCCGCCACGACAGCGCTGAATGCGCTTTTGAAGTCTGAATCAATGAGTCGACCGACAGATGGCCCAGTTGCTCCCGCAGCTCAAATGAGCAAACCTTTACAGCAGGTGGCGAAAAGTATTGTGATACCCGAAAACGTTACCTCAGACACGATGCAGACAAGCCCAGTGAGTCTGTCCAGCTTCGGTTCAAGCGAGAGTACTACTGCTCCAACCGCGACCGCGAACGATACCACGACGGCTCCCTTTCCCCTTCTAGATCCCGCAGTAGCTGGTCAAGAACGCCCGCAAGAAAACAATCACGCCCCATCGCAGGCGGGCCTTGCTCCACCACCACAAGAGAATGCCTCAAATAGATCAATGACTTTCCCTGGGCCGCTACCACTCGATGGAGATCCGCGCGCTCCACAGCGGGGCATGAGTCTTCCAATGTCGGGCTTCCAGAACAATCCCAAGTCACCTTCGACAAAACGCCACAAATGTCCATACTGTGCAACGGATTTCACGCGCCACCATAACCTGAAGAGCCACTTGCTTACACACAGTCAAGAGAAGCCATACGAATGTCCAGACTGCCACGCAAGGTTCAGACGTTTGCACGACCTGAAACGTCACACGAAGCTTCACACCGGTGAACGCCCACATATATGTCCAAAGTGTGGCAGAAGATTTGCAAGAGGCGATGCACTAGCTCGTCACAATAAAGGCCAAGGCGGGTGCGCGGGAAGGCGATCAAGCCTTGGTATGGATGATGAAATGGGTGACGGTCGTGGTGAAGAAATGGATGGTGTTGAATACCAGCATGGCGATCGAGAAAACGAAGACGGTCAAGACGCTACCGATCGCCGGATCAGTGAACCCACCCGACGTGGAAGCGCCCGTCAAGATTCCATGGCGGGATTCCAGCCACATGGAAGCACTTACCCACCTGTCATGGCTGTAAACAGAAATCCAGGGAACAGTGTTCGACCCATATACCCACCGACCACTGCAGGAACACGTGATCAGTCGATGAACCTCAGTCCAAAGCCTAACAGTCTCTCCACGGCGCATTTTGCGTCTGCCCAGCCTTCAGGTGTCTATTCTCACACTGGAATGACAGAAAGTCCCAAGCCAATCTCGCCCGGTCAGACTGACCACAAGAGGCTTGGCTCGACAGGAGGACCTTCGGTTCCTGGGGGAAGATCACCAAACATGTCACAACACATGAATCCTCATTCGTTCGCCCAAGGAGCCGGCCGTGGTGCTTCTCTTCCTCCGCCTCATGGGCTGGCAAATGCGCCGCAGTTACCACAATTACCTGGTCTTGCCCCAAGTACTGGCACTACAGACCCGCGGCTCGCGGTCATGCAACCAAATGCTTCAAACCCAGGTAGTACCTCAAGTCATGGCGCGAGCAGTGGCGGTAGTATGCGTGAGATCATGGGAGGCTCGCGCGACAATGACATGTGGATTGCTCTTCGGGACATGGAACGGGCAAATTCACAGCGCCAAGCTGAATACGAAGCTCGCATTGCTCAGCTTGAGCGTGAACTTGCAACCGTGCGGGCACAGCTACCGGCAAATCAAATACAGCAACTACAGCAACAGTCACAGCCACCACCGCAGCCACAGCTGGCGTCATCTTCGCAAACAGGCTCCGCAACTTGAGTTTGGTCCGATCCTATTGCAGCTGATCAAACACTGCCCAGCTTGTAATCTTCGACCCTACCCCTGGCTTCTTAACCGCTTTGAAATACGACTTTAATCATGTAATATGGCCTATTCACGCCTGAATGTTGACTTGGGCAATACTGCGTAATGCTAGAATAAATATCTTTGTACGATATACGCTCATCCATGGCCGTCCATACAATACCAGGAGCTAGTCTTGGACGATGGAACCATACCCGGCGATTGATTTCTTCCCCGAGAGTCCCGTATACGGTAGTGACTCCCTCGCATTACGAAGGTTGGATACCCCGGCTGCATAGGCCATCACCGGGTTCGGTTGACGGTGTACTCGTTGCGTTTTGCACATTCAGAGCAATCACTTTTCTCACTTTTTGTCATCCACCATGCGATCCATTTGCGGAACACGTTCTGCATCGCTACTGGATATCATTATATGTGGCGTTGTGGTGGATCGGTCGAGATATACATTTTCTGTTTCTTGCTTCTCTCGCTAGCGATTTTTGGCTGACCCTTATTTTATATATATCCTGGAAGATGGCGATGAGCTTTGAACTTTGGGTCTTGATGTCTACAAGAACGAGGCAACGTACAGTTTACTGGCAGCAGGAAAAGTTGTTGGGACACAGTGGGTGGCGATGTCGAGGCCGGTCTATCAATGCATGGGGCTTGTACAGTAGAGCCATGTGAAAGAATAAAAATACCAATGATACCTTGCACTATCATAAGAAGGCAGTAAAGGGCTCATGTGTTCAATCTGGACCTGCTCTCCTTCCTATGCAGCCATAGCACGAGAGGGCCGCGTCAATATACCGTTCTAGGGAGCTAGATTCGCCCACGTGGTGAAGCTTGAGCCCGTATTGGGAGACTCCCAAGTTCTGACTAGGGATGTCGAAGATATAGTTCGTAGCTTGCCTGCACTTACCTATATATTTTCTATATATCGCTTCGGCTAGTATACTGAAGACTAACTTTGATAGGTCGAGCTTAATAGAGATTATAATGGTATTAAGTAGCTATAAGGGTTATAAGATTATAATGGAGGTTTAGTTATATCATGGGGATAAATCAAGCTAGATAAGAGAGTCTGTGTAGTTGATGGACTTAGTAGTAATCTGCTGTACTAGGTAAATAATCTACTACTTTTAGTGCGCGGGTTCCACACTAACTACATCCATCGGATCTGTAAGTCATGCACTAGCCTCATCTCCCTCTGCGACGTAGGAATCTACGCCTGCATATCAGTGACTCCCTGGACTTTGCAATCTCGACCACGCGATCAAACAACGGCTAGCTATGTTGCCAGCTGAGTCCAATAGTCTAAGCATAGCCACGAGCGCACAGGATGCCATAAAGCATGATTGGACAGAAGACCTTCCGCAGACGGATCACCTAAATCTATTCCGCGATACAGACTGGAGTCGCAATGGACTAGGACCCCCTGCTAGCTGGGACGCGACTCTACAGCTCTTTACGAAATTTGTGTTTGCAGACTCCCGAGCAGCGTGTCTATGGTGGGGACCGGATGCTGTCGCCATCTACAATGAAATGTTCGCGCCCTTGTGCTATGCGGTACATCCTACGCTAATGGGCTCGACTTATGCCGAATGCTTTCCGGAGCTATGGCCGTTGATTCGTCTCATGTTCGAAGAGAGCAGAAAGACTGGCGTTGGGCAGAATGTCACTCCGGACGCGCCACTCCTCGTTGAGCGCCACGGATGGAAGGAAGAAGCTTTCTTCTCTGGCTCTTTCGTTCCCATAGGCCCCTCTCATCAGCCGCTAGGTTTTTAGTAAGCTGGTATTGTGAGAAACATCTGGCTGAAGACTAACAGGTGCCCCTAGCAACTCAGTGTTCGAGGTCACAAGTGAGAAACTTGCTGACCGTCGCACATCCATGCTGAATAGGTTAGCTGCCGTACCTTCACAAGCTTCAGGTGCTGTGATTGCCCATATCCTGGATACTCTTGCTACAAATCCAAACGATATAACTATGGCCCTACTGTATGAACTCAAGGATGAGACCGAAGTAACCACGCTACAATTGCATGGACAAATTGGCCTACCTGAGGGACATGGACTGCGTGTTGACTGCGCAGATCTCAGAAGTAGCCAGGGCCTGATCCCTGATCTGCGACATGCCGGCTCAGAAGCGATCTTTATAGATCATGATGATCGATTTACCTCTGTTTCCTGGAAAGGCTGGGAAGTGCCTTCTAAGAAAATCGCCATTCTACCTATTGCAACTCTCGACTGTGCTTTTGGCTACCTCGTGGTCGGCATGAATCCATACCGTCCATTTGACGAAACGTGTCGTCGTTTCGCCCAAGATCTCAATCACATGGTTTCGTCCATCGTCTCTGCAGCCATGACCTATGAACTGGCGGAGTATCAACGGGAACGACTTGTATCAGATCTTGCATTTTCTGATATGAAAGTCCGTCATCTCGTCGAGCACGCAACGGTGGGTATGTGTAATGTTTCTGTAGATGGGAAGATGCTTTGGGCCAATGACCATTATTACAATCTTGCAGGTAGGAGTGCGGAACAACACGTCAATAACTACTCCTTCTATGATGCCTACCTGGAAGAAGACATCTCCAAAGTGGAAGAAATCTGGAATGAACTTGTGGCGGGGAATGTTCACAACAACATCGAGTTACGCCTAAAACGACAGTACATTTCCCCGAACGGAGAGGAGCTACCAGCTACGATCCAGGTTCTCGCATTTCCTTATCGTGATCCAGGTTCCGGCCATGTGAAGTCGGTCATGGCGTGTACTACCGACATATCGCGATTGAAATGGGCCGAGGCCTTCCATGCCCGTTCAGCAGCAGAGGCCAAAGAGGAGAAGAAGCAGCAGGAGGCCTTCATCGATATTGTGTCGCACGAGATGAGAAACCCACTGAGTGCTATTGTACACTGTGCAGATGCTATTGTTGCCGTGTTGGATGCGTGTAAAGACACCGATGTACCAATCAAACATCTCGAAAGTCTGGTCGAGAATGCGCAAAGTGCCACCATCATCTTACAATGTGCTAAGCATCAGAAACGCATATTGGACGATGTTCTTACGCTCAGTAAATTGGACTCAATATTGCTGTCTATTACGCCTTCGTCAGTCGAGCCCTCGCAGATGATACATTCCGTCATAGACATGTTCAAGATGGAGCTGGAAAGCACCAATATTAACTACACAGTTAATGCAGATCCATCTATAATCGACCTCTCCCTAGATTCAGTGTACCTGGACGCCTCTCGAGTCACCCAGATACTCATCAACTTACTGACGAATGCGATGAAGTTTGTGAAATGCTCAAAGCAGCCGTCAGTAACCATCAGATATGGTGCTTGCGTGTCCAATCCACAGGATTTCTTTGCCGAGAACTTTTTCTGGGCTGACAGCCAGTCCTGTGATAACGTGACGAATGATTCAGAATGGGGCTTGGGAGAGAATGTCTACCTCACGTTCCTTGTTCAGGACTCTGGTATAGGTCTCAACTACAACGATATCTCAAAAATCTTCGGCCGCTTCTCACAGGCTAGTCTCAAGACCCATGTCACATATGGAGGGAGTGGACTCGGTCTTTACATTTCCAAGCAGCTGGCCGAGAAACAAGGCGGCAAAATCGGAGTGACCTCTGTGCCGGGTCAGGGCTCGACGTTTGGATTCTATGTCAAAGGACGACGGAGTGAAAAGCAATTATTGCTCCCGACAGCACCGAAACCCATCACGAATGGGACAAAGGAGCGATTGTCTCGAGAGCTGCGTGTCTTGCTGGTAGAAGACAATCTGATCAACCAACAAGTTCTCAGTAAGCAGCTGAGACGGTCCGGATTCATTGTTGATGTCGCCAACCACGGCCTCGAGGCGCTCGAAGTTCTGGAGAAGAGCACGTTTGACGTTGTGCTCATGGACTCCGAGGTCAGTAATAGAGCCCGTGTATCTGATCATACATATGCTTATTCGACATTACAGATGCCTGTCATGGATGGCCTCACTGCCACACGCGCAATACGGAAGAAGGAGCGAGAGGGTCAAGGCCTTCTCGGTGAGGCAGCGACAACAAGATATCGAGCTGGCGGACGCCTACCTATCTTCACGGTGACGGCAAACGTTAGAAACGAACAGATCACAGCGGCACTTGCTGCGGGCTCGGTCTGTCAACATTCGTCAAATTCACAGTCATGTCTCGCTGACCACAGTTTAGGATGCCGTTGTTCAAAAGCCCTTCAAGGTCATTGATCTGATTGAGAAGATGAAAGCACTGGCCACTGCAGGCTGATTCGATTGACCTCCACATTCAGACTGTCGCCATTCATGTCGGTGCTGAGCCTCGCAGTCCTAGCCACTATGGCTGCATTTATATTCCGGTCTCGACTGCGTCTCCATACCAACAGCTACGCATCTGACCATGATACATGATATCTCTGGCCGCAAACAGCTGCTCAATACAAATACGACCGTCGCGGGAAAGCCACTGCGCCTTTCAGTCTCTTAAGGGGAACAAGAGACCGTCGTAGCCTTCGCTGTTCACCCGCCAAATCGGCGCGAGGTGCGGTACATGATATCATAGGTCTCTGTGAGACACTCATGGATGACAACAACCTCTCGCTAGGGAGCCATGTAATGGGCTACACACATCAATCTGCGGCTGTGAAGCCCCGCCTCGGGCCATAACAATGGAAGCAGATCACTGATAGGGATATTCGATGTAAAGTAACGTCCAATAGGAACATTTGCTGGTACTTACAGCTCAACAACGTATGAAACTGGTTCTACACTGCACATTCGCTGAGCGTACTTATGTTCCATCTCGCTGGACAATCTTCGTTGTTTCTCATTGAGCGTCCCTTCCATGCCATTTTCACGGTCGACCTCGTGTATTGTATGACGCTGTCTACTGCTCTGTCGAACGAGGTTCACAATCACCAGCTCTCTCATCACCAGTGCGTTCGGTTTGCGGGATTAGTTGCTATTTGCTGTTTGCGGGCTAATCTTAGCCCGTTATTCATGTTGAGGACTAATAACTCTAGACACATTCACATGTCGTGTGGCCTTTTCGTTGTTCCGTGAGTCGTGATAATCCATTGTTAAAAAGCAACAGTCGAAGCGGCCGGAAAACACCATTATCGTTGGGCTTCACAGAGAGATTGATTGACGAGTCCTTGGTTGCTGAGCATAATGAACGCAGCTGTCAAGTGCTCTAGACTTGCATTACTCGTAACATTTGCGCGATGTGTGGCGGGCTTTTCGAAAGTGAGTGAACCTAGGAGGCTCTCAGTAGTCCATGTCAAGTAAGCGACGCTATGATAGGGGCTTGATGAATCGTGCCTGGATTACAAGGCAACGATACACGATTACGCCGACGCCGACGTCCGACGTATCGTGCGAAAACGGCGGTTGGCAGCGTCATGCTTACAATTCTGAATTAATCAGCGCGGAAGCCGGTCAAACAAACAGAGTGCGAAATGGCCTTCACTCAAGTATATAAAATCAGCAACAAATGATACAGATAGATCAATAAGGGACATCAAAGACACACCTCACCACTGCTTGATACTTCTAGAAGCTCAAAAAAGTTCGACATGGCTGCTCAGAAGCCTGTTTTGATAGCTGGAGCAGGCTTGGCGTCCCTACTCTTCGCCCGCTCGCTTCTTCGTTCCCGGATCCCCTTCATTATCTTCGAGCGTGACCAATCCATTGCGTTTCGCGCGCAAGGCTACCGCCTCCGTCTTTCGACCGAGGGTCTCGATGCCATAGAAGAGGTCCTGGGCCCCGAGCCCAACGGCTTCCCGAAGTTCTGGGATCGCTGCGGTAAGACGGGCGGCTCGAAGGGGTTTGCTGGTCTGAATGCCGTAACCGGAGAGGAATTGGAAGAAAGCACCGGGCCATCTCCGCCGGCGCCGGAGCCTGCGAAAGATGCACCGAAAGCGACACCAACGCAGCCTGGGAAGGAGATGTTGTTCAGCAGGGAAGGCAAGACGATAGGCATTTCGAGAGGGGATATGCGGGCGCTCTTTCTCGAGGGCTGCGAAGATCATGTCAGGTGGGGCCATCATGTTACAGGGTATGAGTCGAGTCCGAACGGTGTCTGGGCGATCTTCAGAGACGGCAGTAAATCTGAAGAAGGAGATCTGCTCGTTGGCGGGGAAGGCATCTACTCGAAAGTGGCGAAACAAGTCTCGAACGGCAAGCTGAAGACATACGACACCGGCGCACGCGGCATCCACGGCCAAGCACCGACGACAGCGTTCAAAGCATTAGGAGAAGGTGTATGGCGGATCCTGGACGATACCCGCTCCGACGGAAAAGTTTTTGCCATCACAAACGTCCGGCCAGACGACATGGACGATCCGGACATCCAGTTTGGCTGGACCATGGGTGGCCAACCGGGGGTGATTGCACCTCCGAACAACGACTTCTCAATCATCGGCAAGGAAGCTGCGGACATTGCGAAATCCTTGACTGCAAACTGGCATCCGCGCATCAAGCCGCTCTTTGATCAGATGGATGAGAAGAACGCTGCGTTCTGGAAGATTACCTGTTCGACTCCCTCAGGGGTGCCTGAATGGCCTAACGATCCACGCGTGACTGTCATCGGAGACGCGGTCCACTCCATGACTCCTGCGGGGGGCATTGGGGCAAATACAGCTGTCCGCGATTCTGCTCTACTTGGAAGGCTTTTGGCTGAGGCTGGTGGCTGGAAAGAAGGCATCACGGCTGCGTATGAGAAGGAAATGAGAGTCTATGGCAGTGAAGCAGTGGCTCATAGTTACGGCATGGCGAAAGGTCAGTTTGGAGTAACTATAGACGAAGACACCTCGCCTACTGTCGGATAAGCATTTTTACCAGAAATATATCATAGACGTTCGAAAGCATAATCATATGGGTTTTCGGAGTTATGCACATGGCCAATTCTACTTGAAACTCTCTAACAATGGAGCTGCACACAACGGTCTATACTCGCACTCGTCAATCTGGTGAGCACACCCGAGATTGTGATACATATAGGCGAAACATGTTTCCTGTAGCTCTTCCACTAGCAATTGAGTGACCGATTTCATGTGCTTAAAGGGGTTCCATCAGTGCAAAATATACTGGGGTCCTCAACAGCTTGACTGCCAATTTATATCTTAACGTAGGAGGACCTGCCATTTGCCCTAGGTCGTGCCAGCATTAACCTTTGGATGATGTGAATGTTTGATATAGGGCACATGAAGCTAGATGTAGGCGCCATCAGTCACTGTTCGGACATGCTGCAGCACAGGCAGCCTGTTCCGAACGTTATGGTGCGCCTGAGAAACCGGATTGTATTCGATGAGGACTTCGCAATGCTCTACAGTGTCATCAGAATCTTCACAGGAACGCGCTTCACATACGTTGGGCGATGATAGTCTGTCTGTGTACGTGAGTGTCAGATCTCGAGGACTCAGACACGTTCTCTGGAATCCTTCTGCTGGCAATTGATATGCCTCATATTTGACCACTTACAATCGAAATCGGTGAGGATGGAAACATAGAAGGAGTCTGTGTGCTGCGTTGTAGGAATGGATGGTCTATCAGAATATTGAGATTTATGGCTGATTCTCGAATACAGACTAACAAGTCTCCAGTTGAAAATACGCCTGTTGCAAGGTCACAAATTTAAGAATAATGACAAAGACGGGAATGTTGATTTCGCCAGGCACAAGAGTATACCCGATCTTCCACTCCGTAGACTCGCTGCCAATGAGTCTGTGCAGTCGACAGAAGGCTGTAGGCAGATACTCTGGATCTTCTGGCCCCTGAGCAATTATCATGAACCTTCACGACTTGATTCCGGCCTATAGTGGTATTCATGCAAGCTTGCAGTAGGCCAACCATCAATATCATGGCTTCATCTAACGTCAGTAAATTGCTGTAGTTGAAACCCGCCAGGGCCTGCAAAGCTCGATAGCTTTGCTCGTGGGTAGAACTTTAATCTACTTCTATCCCATCGATGAACAGGATCACAGCACCAAGAGAGGCGGGATGGTCGTTTGGGTTGCAGTATTGAGCTGCTCTGACAGGAAAGCGAGATCCTAATACACGCGTATCTACCAAGGCTAAGGTCGGGTCGACATTTGACGGAAAAGAAAGTACAATGTGGTATTCAGCAGCATTGTATTTAATGTCAGATCCTTCATCTTGGAGGTGTGGATCACCAACGCATATCCACTCCCAGGCCAGATGTTTGAAAATACGTTCCTTTCAATAGAGGTTTCTGGCATTGACCTTACGGGCTCTGTGAAACCCACGACATTTATTTATATGGCACAGTTTGTACGTACTATGCCCTATTCATTTTACGCGACCTCCTCAGTCTCATCAATGATCTCCTCCACAACCTCTTCAATTTCCTCGCCCTTCCGTTCCTCTTCCTGCTCCTTCTTTTCTTCTTCCGAATGGTCAATACCCATATCCTCTTCATCCTCGCGTACCTCCTCGATAGCTCGCTCGCGCCATGCAAGCCACTCCTCAAGCTGCCTCCTACGCGCCTCAACCACAGCACGATTCGCTGTGTTCTTCTTAGCCAGATCCTGCTCGTCGAATATTCGGCTGTAATTGCGCAGATTGCGGCGAATCTCGGATTGTTCTTCCTTGGAAAGAAGTGTTGCAGGGCGTGGGCGCCAGAGAAATTGCTTGAAACGCTCGACAGGCTCTTCCCGGAGAAGAGTTCCTTTGAAATCGTAAATGTGATAACCGTTTTCCATCTGCACGACAGTCAGTGAGATTTGGATTATGATTGACTTCAATTTCACTTACACCATGTCGGAATGCTGATGCTACGGTGGCTACGTATCTGCCAGTTGGATCCCACTCAACATCAGTAACACCATAATGATCACCAGTGTTCATGAGTTGAAGACTACACATCAAATCCTTATCACTGTCTTTATCCTTCTCTTCTTTGGACTTCTCGAAGCTCAAATCCCAGAAATCGAGATCGAAACTCTGCTGGGATTGGAGAGTGGCTACAACGACGAAACGACCCTTGGGCGACCAGAAAATGGCATTGCTATTTTTCTTGTCGACCGTTCGTACATGGTGAAAGTTGCCGGGAATACCACTCTTTGTTCGCTCAGGAGCGAAGAAAGAGACTGAGGTCTTAGGTGGAACAGCCACACCTGCGGCGGGTATTTCGCCCGTTGTAATCAGCACGAAGCGGTTGCCTTTTGGTTCCCAGGCAAAGTTGATCACAGTTTCTTTGATGGCCTCAACGACCTCGACTGGGACGCCTTTCTCGCGGACGCGAAAGATTTCAAGGTTAGTGGCGAGCGACTTCTTTGACTTTGAATGACGATCAACTTTTACACACACGTACGCGGCTTCAGATTGCCAATGAAGTTTGGCGTCTGAAACATTGAACAGATTTCTCGTGCGTACAACCTCTTTCGATGGAACGCTCATCAGGCCAACTTTTGCAGGATTAGAGCCTAACTCAGGTGTCCAGTAGCAGAAAAGCTGTTCATATGTCTTGACACCATCGCGGCGAGGAAGGGCAGGAGCCCACTCAAAGTCCATGACGCCTTCAATCTTGATGCTGGTCTTCTCAAGAAGATTCATCCGTGGGGTCTCATAAACTGATATCGATTGCCCTTGCGTCATTCGAGCGACATACTTGTCGTCCGAGGACCATTTGAAGGTTGGCCATTGCATCTTCTTCTTAATAGGTTGACCCGCATCGTCCATTTGCGAGCTTGGGACGTCAAGTGTGACGAAAGAACGAAGAGGCTTCCCAGTGGCAATGTCCCAGATGATATAGTTCTTGCCATCCTCCTCAAGTGAAAGAGTTGGGACCGGGTGGTTCTCATCAACTTGTAGCGGGCGATGGGACCAAGTAACGAGGTACTTCTCGTTGGGAGAATAATCGACCAAGTTCACGCCAGGATGCGCGAACCGCTTCTGCCTGTGCCAAGATTTTCCACCCCAGAGCTGCACGCCTTGCCCGTGAAGCGAAGTGAGGTATGTTCCGAGTGGCGACCACTGCACGAAAAAATCTGTCCAGTGTTCGCGATCGACGACGTTTTCCGGCGCGTCTTCTTTCTCATTCCAGAACACGCCCACTTTATCGCCGCGATACATGACCATCTGATCTCTACCGTCCACATCTCCGAGCCACGACCTTAGGTGCTCCTTCTGCTCAAAAGGTTGAATTGTGGGAGGAGTGTATTCATCCTCGATACGTCCTCCACCACCGTAGCGTTCAATATCTGTTAGCTTATTGACTGCCATATTGTGTCTCTTGTCGAGCGGGACACCGTGGCATTTCTTGACCGCGGCAGCTGCCTCTGCAGGAGACCCAAATTCAACAAAGGCGAATCTATAAAAGAGGAGTCAGTGCGCACGTTCACACTCGTAGAAATCTTCGAATAGTTGCGTACCCTTCAGTCATGCCCTCATCGTTTGTGGGCATGAAGAAACCATCCTCTCTTGGCTTCGCAGCCTCAGTGAGCTTGCGAATCACGTATTTTTGTAGCTTTGCTTTGCTGTCTTCTGGTACGCGCGGGAGACCATCTAGCACGACGAAGGCGTCCAGACCCTCCTCAAGGCGCACTTCATATTGTTCTTGGAGATCTGAAAAGTCGATCTCGGATTCGTCAAAGTCATCGTCTATAGGTAGATTGTCGTAAGAGGGCGCCATGACTGAAGTGTGTGAATATCGTGGAGACGTCGCGGGGTCGGCTGTGCGTGTGAATTTGGACTGCGCCGCCAAGAGTTCGGTATGCTAGGCGAAGCAACTCGTCACGTGATGGTATTACAGCAATCTTTTAGCCGTGCTGTTCAATAGATTGGAATGATAGTTTAAGCCATGTGAATTTTGTTTCGATAACACTTATTGATATATTATTGCTTTGTGACGTATTGGAGCTTGCGCCACAGACCAAATCACCCTGCCAGTACTTGTTTTGCGTCTGTGTTAGTGCCCCTGCGTCCTGCTAACAGCTTCATGAGGGTCTCAATACCTCCCATTCCTTCATTTCATCTTCTACGCTATCGTCCATCGGCCCCGCTGTCATCATACCTGTACCTTTCCTCCTGGGTGGTAAGGCCGGGCCGGTACGCTCCTCCGCACTCCCATTTTCCTTCCGTAAACGCTGAGGAGGTGACCTCGAGATAACGTTGCTACTAGACCCTGATGTTGCACTCGTCACTGTCCTCCTAGGGGGCGGTAATGTAGGTGCTATTTTCTCGAATGACTCTGTCAATGGAGGCGTTGGGGAGCTGGATGAGCTGAAGGCAGCTGGCTTCTTCGGAACAGGTGGTGCTGGCTTGCGGGTTATGCTTGTGGAAGAGATGGATTGTGAAGAGGGCGATCTAGCTTGCGCATATGGAGATTGTACGGATGCACGGGAGTCAGAACGTGCATCGCGGTTCGAAGGTGGTGTCGATACTTGATAATGGTGTGATGAGGTATTCGAATTACGGGATGACGAGGCTAGGGCTTCAGTCGTATCGAATGGTGGTGGAATTTTGCGCGTTATTGACCTACTTGACATGTTGCTACGTGCTGATGCAGTAGTATTAGACCGGCGTGGCTTCGGTGGGTCGGGGTATGTATCGTATTTCCTAATGTCGACCCAATCTTGCTCGGAGGATGGAGTGAAAGGATTCGGCTTACGATTAGGGTTAGGAATCATATTTGGCTGAGGTGGTCGAACTTGAGAGCGGACAGGCTGGCCGTTATCTATCCACCATTTTCGACGGTCGGAGCTTGCTGGTGGAAGACCGGGCTCAATAGACTCATATCCTATAAGGTCCTCATCCGAGGTTTCATGCCCCCTATCATTCACCGTAGGATCACCAACGACGCCCCTCCGTTGTCTGTAGAGTCTGTTGCCGAGGTGATCCTTCTTCTTTTCATCGATAATGTTGATTGTGCAAAAGAATGTGGCATAGACGGGACGATGGTCGGAAAAGCGTAATGGGGCAGCATTGTAACTCGTTTGACGCAAATTGGTGCCTTTCGTCAAGATCCGGTCACACCACGCAGGTATGCGAGCCTTTTCTGAAGAGTCGTAGTAGTCTGTGCCCAAGTCGAACTTATATGTGGGATCAAATGTGATTCGGGCTTCATTGTAGTAGGGGAACGTTAGCCCCGCGACCATTTGTAGGTTCAGCTATATTTATTATTAGTCTCACAACATTTGGATTGAATCACAACTGCTCACCTGATCATTTGCATATAGTGTCTCAAGATCTCTAGCCTCTATGAGCCGACGAACCTTCTCGTTACTTAGGCCGATACGGTAGTTGAAATCTCCTAGCCAGATAACACTATCATGATCCTCTATCGAACGGTCGCGCTGGAATCGTAAGCCCTGAACAATAGTCTTGTAATCTCTATTACGCTCCTCGTAGTTCGCAAATCCAGCTGCAAGATGAGCCGTGACGAAGCATATCGAAGTATCCGCAAAGTCGACGCGTATTGCAACAGCACCTTTGTTACCTGCTATACCAGACATACCAGTTTTCTTGATACTCCCTTCCACATTCTTGATAAAGTTCAATATGCTCGCCTTCACGAAAATCGATAGAGAGGCTCCAACGAGCTGACCACCGCGAAGAAGTACGTATTCTTCTTGCCTATGAAGTCTAGCATGCTCATTCAAAGTATTCTTGACTGCACTTTCCCAATTTTGCCGCCGCGCAGGGTCTGTCGACATGATCTGCTGTGGACTGAGCTCCACGATCTCTTGAAAGCCCACAGCCACGATCTCAGCAGATTCTTGGGCTGCATCTATCTTGGGCAGTAACCAAGGAGAAAGATCATCTCGAAGGCCATTAGTCTTGCCGTTGAGATTGAAGGTCCCAGCCCAGATGCGGATTGTGTCTGATGATGTATATTCGGCAAACCGCCGCATCAGTTCCGTATTCACGAAGTCGTTGACCGGGTCATAAAGCGTGACAGGACTCTGACCAATGAGACGCCCTAGCAACATGTCAACAGTGTTTTGACGGCCCTTGTCTGCAAAATTGTTGATATATAGTCGTTGTGCGCTCTTCCTCGCATCCGCCAGTGCTCCAGCGAACGACATCTTCCCAGACCGGGTGAAAGAGGACTTCAAAGCCCCCGTGCCGGCATATATCTTCGAGAGTGCGTCTCCGTTGTCCGCCCACAGACTCCCATGTCTAGTCCAAAAGTCGTTGCTGGCTCTTTCGCTGCGATGTCCGAGGAAACTTAATAAAGCCATCTTACTGATGATCGTCTGGACTAGATTAGTCCGGTCCAAACAATCCAAACAGTTGGTTCGGAAGACACCTTCTTGTTGCAAGATAGTGACTGATCTTCGGATGACCTGATTCGCGGTTTCTATGCTCCCTCTCAACCGATCCTCAACTTCCTCCGCCAGATAGTATGAGAAGCTGTCTGCTGAGTCCTGAATGTACCGTGAAATGTCACTCGCAGCTTCATAGCCCACCGGACCACGTGTCTCCGCGTGGAAGTCGTATTCAGTATGCTTCAGGAGGTCATGTTCGCGCGACTGCTTCCCATGGGTGTTGTTGAGAGGGCTTTGCTCGATATGATGAATATATCGTTGAGTTAAGTCAGTTTCTTGAGGCTTGTCAAAGCTTAGCAGATTTACGACATGTACTGCTCCATATGTGTGCTCCAGGTGCTCAAAGTGTCTGTCGAATGAAGGTTGCGTAGCTTCTTGGGAGCGGGTTATACTGATCTTCTGTTGGTTCGGGAGGAGTCCAGTGGCTTGCTCCCAGAATATTGGAACACTGCCCCGGATTTGAGTGTAGGAAAAACAGAGACCTGAGGGGGTACAGAACACAGTCTCGGTCTCTACGAAGTTGGCAACGTTGCCGTCGTCATCTATGCCTCGCGAGTTGAACCGTGTCCCAGCTCTCCGACATGAAAGTCTTGATATCAGTGTAAGTGTGGAAGGTAGGCCAGTGGTAGTATTCCTAGCCGGAGACGAGCTTGCCGGTACTGGGATGGTACTGACGAAACCTCTGATCGCCGATGTCAACAACTTGGAGCCGTCCAGCGCTATTTTCTCCTTGGGAGAAAGTCTTGACCGAAAGTTCACCAGTGGCTGTATCATATAAGAATTCCACAGGAAGCCTGCATCGAGGCTGTCTAATGCGACTGCTGCCGTATCTGTGCTCCGCTCTTGCACACGCCTCGTAAGATCGAAATCTGCAGAGTAATAAAATGTACCACTGCTAAGCAGCTTCTTTAACGTCACGCATGGATGCTCCATGAGCGCCTCTCCTCTTCCGCGTCCATAGCCATGATCATAAACTTCGTCGTCTAGGCTTTCCGTCGGGTAGGGGTTGATGTCGTCGCTCAAGATACGATCGTAGTCCGTGCGATTGAGACAATGGAACTCAACCGAATGTATCCGCAGAACACTTTCATCTTCGCGTACTCTTGCGACTTTGCCCGCACCGCTGACGACGCAAAGGAACACGTCTCCTTCAACACTCATCAACCCCAGCGTGCCATGCACGGCTAGGCTGTTCAATTGTCTGAACCCTTCAAGATCGACATGACCAAGCTCCGCAAATTCTACCATGCATCGTGGTCCGGCTGTCCCATTACTTGTAGTCAAAGATGTTTGCGAGGAGCTTTTAAGGTTGTTGTGTGGAGTATTGTAGGACGGTTCGGTTGACGACGGCGAGTGTCGGAATATGAGGACGTGTGTTTGGGTAGCGAGAGCGATGGCTCGATGTGGATGCTCTTTTATCAGTAGACGTATAGACATCGCAATAGGTCTTTAGTGAGGTAACAATGCAAAGCTACTCTACGAGCGGCGTGGCCTCTTTGTTGTCGGAGGTGTACGGCGAGCCGGCATAGTTGGTGGTTCAAGGACCAAGAATATGAGATCGAGATTGACGTATCATCACAAGTATAGACAACGCAGAGTTCAGAACTCTTCACAAGCACCGACCTGGAGACAGAGAAGAGTCTGTAGTGGTCGCATGCACTGAAGAACGTCCTCATGGGATCAGGGTCTCACAACGCGACTCTCGTCTAAGAAGCCAACCGCCATGTGGCCCCGCGATCGGCATTGTCGATTTTCAAGAGCGGCCGGAATGGAATTATTTTACGATTTGTGATTGGCTTGATATTATTTGTTCAAAAGGAGCATACGGCTGGATTCGAGATGTTGAAAAATGATACGAGGTTGCGATGGACCGCACATGGGCGAAGGGTACGTTTCATATGATATAAAACAAAAAGTCCCCCCAACGGATGCATCGCATCATTTAAATTGTGTTTTATATCTACATGACAATTTTCACCTCAAATACTCCCTCCTCCTTCTGCCATTGTCGTCTACTATTACGACTTTCTCCCTTCCGTACGACGATGCCCTCCCATCCCGATCATCGTCATATGCGCCCCGACTTCTACTTCTAGATCTCGTTGAGTGCGTTCGGGTGAATTCTGCCCTGTTGTCATGCAGCGGCCTGCTGTCAATGTACCTATATGTCGCAGGCCTTTCGTGATATCTATCACTACTCCGACTCCTGCTCCTCCGTCTACTCCGGTCCCTGCTGTGATCCCTCTCCCGGTGCCGCTCTCTCTCTACCCTGTATTCATGCTCGCTGACATAGTAGTCGCTATGTGTGCGACTATGGCTCGTCACGCTGCTCGCCGGGGATACATGTACGTATTGCGTGCTATGTCTACCCACACTGCTCGCCGGCGGTGGTGGCGTGGGCGGCTGATTTATGAAGACAGGCACCGGCTGAGGGGCAGGGATAGGATTTGGTCGAGGTGATGGGATAACAGTGCTAACATGCGTGGAATGATAGCTTGTGCGGGGTGAGGGGATGGGCCGGCGGTGGTCCTCCTCCACTATCTGAGTGCGTGAATAGTGGCGCGATGTGCGACGAGGAGAGGCAACGCGGTAGGGGACAACTACGTCTTCTTCCTGCCGGACTTTGACAAGACACATGTTTGTGAGGTCAAGATAGGGCGTACGATGAGGGGATTTTGCAATAATGAGGCGCGCCTGTAGCCTTGATTTGGCGAGGGCGCGGACTTTGAGGGCGAGTAAAGGTGAGGAGCTGATCGCGGCGATGTCGAGGATGGACTGTCGCTGATGGCAGCCAGATTCGTAGTAAGTAGCTTTAGGCAGCTTATCTTGACCGCAGCATCGCGTCAGGGATCAAGAAAGAGGCTGTGTGTTCGATCGAGGTAATTAGGTTGGGTGGAACTCTCATCCATCTCAAGGGCCACAGGTTCATCAGCTGAATGCACGAAAATGGGGCTAATCTGATGGTCTGACCCGGCCCCCGGTCGCACTTGTGAGGAGTACCTAGACACTATACTCATCAGGCTGCAATCGTAACTCATGCTCTGGTCTGATCTGCTAAGCCCTTATGACCATGTGCTAGTGAGTCAGCAGTGCCAACTTTGATGGCAGAACGACCCTCCAGTATTCAGACGCAGTAGTAGACAGAATATTAGAAGAGTTACGGCCTGGGTAGTTTGGGGGCTGTTTTGTTGAACCATGAACCCCATAACATGAATTACCTAGAGCAACTAATATGATATGAAAGCGTCAGTTGCATCATTAATAGATTCAGACTGCAGATAAGGAGCGTCTCAGTCCTAGATTGACATCATCATCCATCAATTCCGTTGTGCACCAATATCGTCTTATTTCTTCCCAGTAATTTTCCCAAGAAAGTCCTTTCCTTTCTCCGCAAGACCTCGATTGTCCTCGCCAGTCTTGACACGCTGTAGCTCGTTCGAATTCTTCTCGTGGGCGCTCTTAGCCAACCTCTTCTCTTCTTCGCTGCGCTTGGTGTGATTTGCAGCGCCACCTCGCCCGAAGCGAATGTTTCCCTCTGGCTCGCGATGCATTGGTGCTTCGACGTCTTGCGCCGTCCGAGCTAGCTCTGGTTTGTCCTTGTCATTCCTGGCCATGTTTCCTGAGCCACCTCGACCGGTTGTATAAAGATCGCTTTTAAGGGTTGGCGTAACAAGGTCAGCTGCCGTAGTGCCACTGCCACGGCGCTCTACTTTTGCCATGTTGCCTAGCGAGTGACTTAGGACCAACTCAATGTGGGAGGTACGTTGAGCCCGCGGAAGGAAATAGTGTCTCTTGCGGCCTCTTTGTATGAGGCCCGGCAGGCGCGTAGAGATATGGACGCCTGGCTGCGCCATGGCTCGTTTGATAACGCAAAGCATTATAAGAAGCCACGTTCGCACCAGCGTTGCGACTCTCGTGTTGATAGACATGCAAAAATGCACTCACCAGCACCACCACGCCCATGCGAAAGATTTCGGGTGTGATCAGGCCTTCCTTCGCCGAAACCAAGTCTGTCTGCCATTTTCTTCCTGTCAGAATGTCTGCAGGACTTGAAGAAGTAGTAAATCAAGTTGCGGGAATTGAGAGGATGAGAGCAATCCTCGACTATTGGGTGCGACACGGAATATCTAAAAAGTATCAGGACAAGAGACGCGAACGACGACCAAGACACCGAATGACCTGAAAAATTCCTAGCTCTTCTTGGACTTTAGAGGGGCTTTTCTGACTCTGGCAGACGGCAGGCTAATAAGTAGTGTTGATATCTGACCACGCGGTCCGCAACTCCACTTCAGGGCCACCGCATGCCTCGGGGAAGTGATGCCTGGGCAGGCGACGGCACATTGAGACCAACCTTCGACTTGGCTAGTAGGCACTGGTGGGTGACTGCGTACACGAACGATGTATTCCCCTCTTCGTTCGAGCCATACATAAGAGGCCGTGTTACCATCACGTAAGAGATTCAGGGCTTGCAGACTCCCTCACGCTGGGACAATATCGCGTCATTCGCCCAGAAGACAGTTGGACTCGAAATTTACAACTGCCGGGCCTGGAACTTACGGTAGACATGGAGAGAGAGAGAGTGTGTGTGTGTGTGTTGAAGATAAGCTGAGTACCCACCATTCATCGCTATAGGAGAAGGAAACCAATACCTAGGTGAGATACAAGCAAGGGAAGCTAATATTTTAGCAGCTTACTAGCGGGCAAGCAAGAAGTGGGCAACAGCTGGTTCAGGCGCCGTAGGCACTGACGTGCAAGAGTGGAAGCCACTAACACCCCCGCAACTAGAGGAAGCAAAGTGGGTAAACAAGCATCATCAATTTCTTATCATCTATTCCGCATCGGCCTCATGACACCATTTATATACATCCAACATCCTTTCATATCATCGTGGCACAGTACCATATCCAAACTACCTGCTAATGATACAACAGTCTATTGTGAAGCATCACGTCTTCGAATACCCTTCTGCCCGCGCCGTAATGACAACTTTGATATATTCAATCCAAGGGATATCGGAGTGACGACTGCTCGTGAAACCCGATTTGGTGCGCTTCCATATACCAGAATTCTATCCGAGGAGATATGTGCGCCGTCGCTATGCAAGAAAAGTATTTCCGTAGTCGAAAGCCAGGTGGCTATGAGACGCCAAGTAAGAAGAGCATTGCTTAACCGTGCTCGAATCATCGAAATTAAGCTTCGATGGGCTCGACATCCGACTGATAAACGCCAGCCGCTATGCATAAAGACGATGTGGGAAAGAGAATGTGCATCGACATGATGAGTGTCGTCGTAGTAGGTTGGCTACAGATGGCCATGTCCAAGGGGTCGTATGGGCGTTCTCTTGACATACATCCCGCCCTTTATCCTAGTCATCCATTGATGACCGTTCTTTCTCTTCTTCATGTATCATTGCCCGGTTGATGTAGGACGCAGTCGGAGGTCTATTCTCCTATTGAACAGTTAGTATATGAAGCAAGAGATAGATAAAGGGGTAAGAATAAAATTACCGTCAAAGGGCTGCTCTTCTTCTGCATCGCCGGGAGCATTACGGTATTGAGCAGAAGACATGTTGAATCCAGATATGTCTACTGCTCTGAGAATAAAGTCTTCTACAACAGAGATACAAGACTTTGTTGTAGCACGATGCTACGGGGTATATGGATCAAAATCGAATCGACTGAGTGGATTATATGGGATACTTGTTGCGATTATGCCTGGTGTATGCAGCACATTGACCTGGAACGCGTGGGAACGAGGTTATTTTATGGTAAGGGATTGGGAGGCCTCTGCTAACTAGGAGCCGTACAGCAAGATGAAAAAACCAAGCTTTGGAAACACAAGCATTACACGGTAGACCCGCCTCATTTCTAGTGGCTGCTATCATATGTACAATCACAGACGCCTTCTGATCGGTGTATTGACGGAAATGGGGACGGTGGGCAACGGGCATCTATAGCTATGACAGTTGCAGCTTGTCTATTCACTGTGGCCGTGCATTTTCGCTAAGAACGCCTAGGTCAACCTTGCAATTGACACTCGGCGCAGTAAAACCGACCAAACCCTAACTAAATACATTATATGCTTCGAGCAGCCTGCTGGGTCACCTTGCAGGTCAGGCATCGCACCAGGAGCCACTGGTCTATTCTTCGTGGGTTCTGCCGGCGGGGTGGAATGCACACTGCACAGCCACTTGACTGCTCTTTCAATTGCCCAATATTCTCATACGAGGTATGAGAGCGGCTTTTGCAGCGCAATCATGGTTAGCTGGCTTCTAACGCCAATGATCTTCGTCAAAGGATAACAAATACTTCTATACTCCATATAGAGCTGCACCGATGTGCAGACAGATGTTCGCGCAAGCAAGTGAATCACACTTGTACAAAGCGCACGTTTGCGTGAGTACCCAGGCTAACATCCCGGCTGATCATCCCAAGCACCGTGACCCGCCCTGTTGAACTCCAACGTGCATCCGTCATATCGCAGGAAGTGTTGAAGAAGCCAAAAGCCACTCTTGGCTTCTCGTTCCCATGACCACTTTTGTTCAATCCTAGAATTGACCCAGAACAGTATTGATGCCTGGACGTTGCTTTCCCATTGCAGCATCCGGGACCGAGCAAGCACTCATGCTCCTGCGTTACCACCATAGTAGCAGTCAACGGTCAGCCTTATACTCTTGAAGCTTCACTAATTAATATCATCCCTCATACCCGAATATAGCAGTCAGTGGCCTCGTGCAAATGACCGAGTCTCAGTGGCTTGTCCCGGTTCCCCGACCATGCCCAAGCCTCGCTGGGTGAGGATGGCCAGTAGAGGCCGTGAGCTTATCTGGAAGTGCCACACGAACGTGTTGTGAAACTGCGGCCTAGGCTGCCACTTTTGTCGACCGCAGCAAACACCCGCGGCGGAGAGATGCGTGGATAAGGTTGATGTTCCCAGCTCCGAGCTCCAGACCCAATAAGAACGACCTCTGGCTCGCCTGAAAAATGACTTGCAGTGCTTTAATCAAGGAGAGGACACAGCCCCTGGTGAAAGCTGAGCTAGGATTACTCCTGGCGAAGTGATACTACCGGTGCCCAAACCCACTCATCGGATGCTTCTTTGCTTTTTGACACTAGGTAATCAGAAACGCCAGTCGATGGCTGTATTCCCATGGCCCAATTCGATCATTTTCACCGTTGCAACAGCCACCGGATACGCAGTGATGCTCGGTCACTGTTTCCGAGCACTCAGCGGGCCCCGGGCTATGCTTATCTACAGTATTACCTGAAATTCCGCCTCACAGTTTCAGGCATGATATCGGGGACCTGTCCGAGTACTTTACGACTACCTCTTAATTGTTGACATCGACCTGAGTCACAGAACATGTCTCGACCGTAAGCCGTATGGCCGAATCCGTCATCTAAGTTCAAGCGCGATTTGTACGTCCTGAAATTACATCCCAATGGTTGGCGTCTGATACGGTGGAGAGCAAAACTGATACCATTTCAGCTCCACGTGGACTATCTGAAAGCCCCTTCGTTTCCATGAGCTATCGAGCTTGCAGTATGGGTGACGATGATACAGAGGTTTCGCTGTTCTATTCGTCCTCTATTACCATCTTCAACGCACTTGCTGTATCCTAGCTGCTCAGTAGGGTAGGGCATGGAAGAAGCCATAGTCTCGAGAGAGGACTGGGCTAGCCGCCACAACAAGCCCACGCCGCCAGCAAGATCCATGTCGCATTCACGGCTTCTGGCGTTCGCGCGGTTCAGCCACGTTTAGAACTTTCTAGTCTTCTCTAAAAGCGCGATTGTGGATAAGCATATGCTATCTTATATCTCGGGAACTTGTTCGGACATATTCGCGTCAAACTCAGTCCAATGTTCCTCAAATCTACGCGTTGTCATGGAAGTCCAAATTGGCGGACATGCTGAAGTGAGGGTGTCAAGCCTCAATGGAAATGAGGCCGCGCAACCTGGTTGACCGAAGGAATTTTTCAGCGTACTGTATATTATAGATCCACTCTACCATCAAACATCGAACTTACCTGTTTAATATCGATGGTAATTACGCGGTATCATACTTCTACAATATTAACAACAGTAGATTATGGTCCCTGCGCTGCTAGCGCGAGCCCATGCACAGGCTCCACTATTAGTGCTCGTTCTTAGATTCGTTCTTAGACACAGCAGGATTTCGGCACTTTCCTCGTTCATGAAGACTCACGACCTTTGCCGCACAATTTTGTACTTTGGCCTCCCAGTCTTCAAGGCTCTCCAAAATCGAAAGTCGAAAGGCGTCGATCATGCTCTAACACTTATTATCTTCGGGCCTGAAATGTGGAGCAAGTTTCACTCAAAGGGGGGATGTAGCACGTGGGAGGGTGGGACTTATCATTACCAAAGCATCCGAAGACATCCGTCCTTTATATAGGACCGAAAGGATGGATATCAGGCTTCGTCCGTATGATACGCGCTTTTCTCTGGTGTTGAACATGCGCGAAAGAAATCTAGATCCACGCAATCATAGAGATTGGAGAAACTAGTTGAGTTGCAGCAACCTCTCCATGATTGAGCCACGGCACCAATTGAATCATAGAGTCCGCATATCTATTAAGCTCTGTGAAAAGAAAGCGCGCCAAAACGATGGGGAAGTGTTGAAACGCCGTCGATCTCTCGGCGGGTCCCTTCAGCTGCCCTGCAACACTGGGGTCAGCTCAACACCGACGTGACAGAGCTTGAAATTAGCCTTTATAGCTTCTTGATCCTCCACCTTCTCCGTATTTGTCTCTTCCTCCTCTACTTGTCTTTGCTTCTTCGACACATATTAGAAGAAAAGTGTGTTCTCTCACATTTGTTCAGGCCACCGATTTCGAATTGACTATTTCCACTAACAAGATGCGTACCTCAATCGCCGTCATCGCAGCTGCCTACTGCTCTGTTGTAGTTGCTCAGATCCAAGGTCTCCCCAATTGCGCTGTATATCTTGCCTCCAACTCCGAGAGTAGCTTCTTCTGACGGTCGAAACAGCAATCGTGCGCCAACAGCGGCCTTGCAGGCTGCGGTATTGACGTCGGCTGCATTTGTGGAAACCAAACACTGATCGCCGATCTATCCTGCTGCGTTGCTGGGTCCTGTTCTTCTGACGAACAACAACGTACGTAAAGTCCCAGTGTTCCAATATACAAACGAAGTATTCACAAAACCACCGGGCTTGATCTAATATTATGCTTACAGAGGTCATCGATTTCGCCGTTGGGATCTGTAGGACCGCCGGGATTACCACCCTCCCAACCATGGCTGGTTGCGCAACCACTTCGATGACTTCGATGGTGCCGAGCTCCGAAGTAGCTCCCTCGTCCACGACTGCTCCAGGTGCTGCAACTACAAACTTTGTCGGCGCCGGTATCTGTGCTGGTGCTGTCGGCCTAGCTGGATGGTTCGCACTGCTATGAAAGTGCAGCGATGCGCTGATCAACTTCGAATGTTTTGGTTACGGGAAGCTTTTGCAATTGCACTCTTTTATCAATTGAAGTTGGGTGGCATTATGTTCGATATAAGAAAAACTATCGAGTTACGTTCGTTCATTTGATAATAGTAATACCTTTTATTATGCACATCCGCAATATTGCTGTGTTGGCGTACAACGTGTACTCTAATTGGAACATTACACATGGCCCATATGGAAGTAGTATCTGCGTTCTTCGCCGATCATGACTCTCTAATACCACAATTGTTGGATGCAACATTCCGTGCATGAGTCCTGATTGTTAGCCCGCATTCGTGTAGCGTCAGTTCTGGGAGCTGAAGTGGGTTATGTTCGCCTACCTGCCCGCACCTACCTCACCCCTCAGACAACTAAACTTATTGTCTTTTTACTAAATCTCAACCTACACATCAGCCATCCTGGTAGGCAACAGGGAATATGGCAATATGCCGGGGTTAGCTACAATGTCTACTTGATCCTCCGGGTCTATAACGATGTCGAACTTCAAACGGGCGATAGCCCCGTCGCCCTCTCGGGTCATGGCCTCACTCAAAGCAACCCAGATTGTAGCCACGAAGCCCATTCTACCAGCAGGTACATATCCACAAGCTATGCCCATTCTGTTATTTGACCGAAATTCTAGAACTAATCGCCACCATTCTCGATCATCTCCCCATAGCCGATCTCTTCCGCTTCGCCAGAACTTCTCGGCGCATGCGTGAGATGGTATACGACGACACACGATGGATAGCAAGGTTGAAGAGCATGAGCGCTTGGAACGAGACAGAAGCACGACAGAGGTTCGAGGAAGGGCTAAAAAGGAAAGTTGAGGCGCAGAAACTCAGGGAGGCAGAGGAGAGGAAGAAGGCTGATGTAGGAATCGGGCTACCTCCAAACGAACCTAATGGCACCAAAGAGGAGCATGGCGTAGGTGGTGATAGAAAGGCGAGTACCACGTTATTCGATGCCGGTTGGGAGGAGGAGAAGGCGAAAGCTACGCGGGAAATTTCAAGAGATAGAAGAGGTACGCTGGAAGGCAACTTTGAGAAGTTAGGCTTGAATAGTCATGAGGTTGTCAGTCGGAGCGCGTCTGTACTTGACCCTGCCGCGGCCCTGGACATTTTGAACAGGGTACGGAGTATAAGAGGGGGTGCTAGGCAGGAATATGGGAAAGTCTACGGAGCGCTGGCACCGTACTACTTCGATCTCGCGAGAAGCAGAAGCCATACCGATCCTATCCTATTCCGCACTTATCGTGACCCAGAGGAACAAGCGCAAATGCTTGCCCAACTAAAAGTGTTTGCAAAAAGCGACTTCGCTCAGGGTTGGCATGAGCGGCATGAGAAACTTGAGACCATGATAGCAGTCTTCGAGAACGCTGTACTGCGGGAGTTCGAGCAAGGCTATGAACTGAAAGATGTAGATGGAAAGATGCATCGTTATGCCCATGTCTTAACGACGCTCAATGGTGGTGCTGCGGGTGTTGATACGTTCATACACAATCATCCGCTAATGGTGGATAAGGATATACTCGGGAGTCCTATGGAGTGCTTGAACGGTGTTTCTGGAGAACATTTCGATTCGAGACCGTCTGAAGACTTCTTTCGACGATTAGCTGGGTCCGTGAACGAGCAAAGTGCAACCATAGATCGGGTCTTCCCACCGACTGCCAATGTCTTGATACCCTTCCTTGAACGGATTACCGACGAAATCATAGCAGACTATATCACCACACTATTTGACGAGGCGCATGAGCGAAATATAGATTCATACCTCAAGGCAGTGTCAGGTGTCTTTGGACAAAGTCTTCGGTTCTCTCGGTCAATAGAAGCTACGAAGGGAGCATCAAAAGATTTTCCAGACCAAGTGGTCGCCATAGTAGCGCGAGCGTTCGAACCTCATGTGGATCTATATCTCACTGAGGAACTGGATTATTTCAAGAAGAGGACGGAGGCAGAGGTGAGAGCCTGGGAGACACGACTCGAGGCCGAGGAAGCTTCCACAGAGTCCTTCTATATGTCGAATGTCGGTCGACAAGCAGCCAAACGAGACTTCTTATCATCGTTTAGGAAGGTAGTGATGTTGCCCGTCAATGCTGTATCGTCTATTCCGCTATCATCCCCATTTGGCGGCACATCTGCGAAGCTCAATGCATCTCCTGTAACTGACTTGAATGGGGATACTTCATATCACAGCCCGTATGGCAAAACACTGGAACCTGTAACACCACGTTCATCTACACCCCAGCCAGGGGAGCGCGCATCGTCACCCAAACCAGAAGCACCTACGACCGAGCTCGCCGCCAAAGCCGCTATCATGAGCACACGTCTCGACGCCATCAAGTCACTCTTCAGCATCGAAGTCGCCCTTGACCTAATTCATAAAGCCAAAACCAGTCTTGAGCGGGCGGCAGTCTTCGTTCAACTAGGTGGTCAGTCTGGCGAGGAAACCAAGGAACAATGTGAGGCCATCTTTGTGCAGCTACTTCACCAACTGGGTGACCGCCATGTGCGTACTGGGTTCGATAAGGCGGTGGCACATCTCAGCGCCTACAATCCTCGCGAGGCCGTCGCACACTCTCCAGACACGGGCGTACAGCCTCTGGTCACCTTCATCGAACTCGTTAATGTCGGTGATCTCATACAGCAAATGGTCGATGTATTTTTCATCCAGGAACTTGTAGCCCAAAAACTCGTTGATCGCGATGACTTCCTCTCTCCCGCGGTCAAAGAAAAGAAGAAGTTTGAGGGCATGCTTGACGAGCGGGTCGCGGCAGGATTGAACAAGGGTATCGATGTGCTAATGGATGAGGTCGAGTATATTTGTGGCACGACACAGAAGCCTTCGGATTACAATCCGCCTGTGGGGGCAGATCTGGATGTTGGGGTCAGCGAGACGGCGACGAGGATTGTGGAGCTTGTGGGTGGTCATACGCGCATGCTGATCGGCAGTACTGAGAAGAACATGCTGGATGTTTTCAATCAGGAGGTCGGAGTGCGATTATTCACAGTGCTTTGCAAACATCTGAAGAGACAGCGTGTAAGCTGCGACGGGGCAGTCAAGCTCATCAGGTATGTCTCACTTGGCACTATCTTTTGTGATGTATCCGCTAATACATATTGTTCAGTGACACAAACGCCTACCATGCATATATATCCACTCTCAAAAACAAGTCCCTCACGCCATACTTCTCTGCGCTTCGCGAACTAAGCCAGATTTACCTCATCGCGCCCACGCATGCCAAAGATATCGCGACCATCATCGCAGACCAGGATCGGTATTACGGTATCCTGCGCGCTGAAGACGTATACGAATTCGCTGAGCGGCGTGCGGATTGGTACACTGTCAAACCAGCAGTCGAGAGGGCCATGTACGGAATTGGATGCAGCGTCATGTAAACACGCACGCCAGCTGCACTAAGGACTATTCAGCCTTCTCTCCACTTACCATTTCCGTTGCATCTCTAGCTAGCTCTACTGCTGGATCGTTGTCTTCCATGGCAATTCGGTCTGCGTCTGTGGGTATGTAGCCACGTTGCAACCAACTCCAGATATTCAATCCGATCTTCACACCTTCATCGACGGGCAGCCCGGCGTGCCATACTTCTTCGTACGGTGTGCCCATGTCAACATCGAAGTTCTCCCAGTACACGGCATTACGCGCGATCGGCTTGAATGTTACTCCGATGTCCTCCTGTTCCCTTTGCCCTGTCCCATGTCTCTCTTCTACGGGACAGTCTATGAACCGACACCACTCGCGCCGTTCAATACTATCCCTGCTTCCTCTACAAGGATGCTCCAAACGGGGAAACTCTGTTCCTCCACCTCGTTCAGGTGCTTGCAACCAAACCATGAAACTGGAAACACGCCCGGAGCGGCGTGATGCGCTGCCATAGTCGTAGTGGTGACGATAGTGGCCACCGGGGTGGTACTTTTGAGTCCAAAGATGTTCGGTGAATATTGAGGGGTGCGGGCCTTGGAACTGCGGGGCGTTACAATGTGCAAAGAAGGAAGAGAAAGATTTGTGTGGTAAGACAGGACATACCTCTCGGGAGCGGGCTTCGATGCATCTCACAATCTGCGTTCGCGGTGGTTTGGCTTTGTGTGACCGGCGGATGCTGGGATCGTATGTTGTATTTGTTGGGGATGTTGTGACCGTGGAGAGGTGGTAGAATGGCTCACTGGACCGTACGAGTCAACCACGTGGGATATGAGGACGGAATTCGGCGGTACGAAATGATAAATGGAACAGAGGCATATCAATGAAAGAACAAAATTGGAGAGCAATGATGAAAATGCCGGCAAGACGTTGATGGTACGCGCATTTCCTGGGTGGTTCTAACATACCTAAGCTCTTTCAGGTGCTCCACCTCCTTCTCACTCAAGAAATTCTCGATGTATATGACCAGTGGGCTCCTCGCGAGAATGCGTGTCTTATACCCATGTTCAGGGCATTGAAGCGCCGGGTCCGGTATAACAATATTTCTTAACTTAGAAGCGGAAATATCAACGTTATCATCAAGGCCATCATAGGAATGCTGGCCAATGCCAAAGAGCGTCTTGGTAAGTGGAGCAATGATGAGCACGTACGCGACACCGGTGACAACTACATATTGAAAAATTGACGCGAAAGAGAATGACATCATATGTGGGACCACGTGGGAAGCTCATTAGACATCAAGGGGATCCGATTGATCAATTGATCGAAGGATAGTGACACCTTTCGAATTAAGAATGTTACCAGAACAGGCAATGCGAAGCTTCTGGCGTGGCGGAATAAGACGAGAGCAGTGTTCATTCAGGGGGCAGAACGATGAACGTGCGCGTGCCAAGGCACATGTCGCTTAAAAATAAGCCACCCATTCTGAACGTTAGTTGCACTGTATTATACATCATACGACTAAATATTAAGATAACCCAAAGCTTTAAGTTTATCCTTGATAGGCACAGAAGATAAAATTAAAAAACTTGAATAACTACCAGAATGTATTGATCATTATTACTGTGATAATAAATATACAAATCGAAAGATATAGGTTCTAATCCTACATAGAATTCATAGATAATAACTATTTTATAGACCAGCTTATTCTCTTAACATACGGGTCAACGTTGTACGTAGTTCAAAACACTTCGAATGTATACACGGACACTCGTTCCATGGAACAGCTTTATTTTTATACTCATGTATATTCTAGCTCGGTAATTGACAACCAAGCCCAATCCTCTGATGAAATACCGCGTACATACAGCGGGTGCTCTTTATACTACTATATGTACTAAAATTTTGTCCTCTATTCATACAGTGGCGCTGAATCCAGTCGCTAAGCAGCCTATGCTAGGCTAGAAAGCCCCGCCTCTGTATAATATATACAGTATATTGAATGGTTATACTTGTTCGAAAAATGAAGGCAGCGTCTGGCGAATCGTTATGGTTGCAAAATCCCCTCTTCTGGGAGCGGATCTATCTTGCTCTAACTAGACGCCCTTCTATGGCTTCTGCTGGATTATCACTAAGCTTGAACCCCATAGCTCCTAGAAGAGCAAGTGCACCGAAGTACCCTGTGTAAATTCTTTAGTACGCTGGTGAATGCAAAAGTCAAAACGTAATACATACCATAGTTCTCCCCATTGTTCAGAGCGTCCTGTGCAGGCTTTCTAATGATATTCCGCCAACCGTACGCGGGCTCTATATCATCCGCTAATGTGATCCGTAAGAGTCGGTTCTACGCAACGTGTAGTTGGTGCAACTTACTTCGAAACGCACCCGCATGCGTAAACTCATGCAGCACTAGCACGCTGGCATAACCCTGTATCTCTCCGTTCCCGAATGTGGTAAAATCATCATCGTCTACATCTACATCTGAATCGTCATCGAGGTTATAAGTGAGTGGGAACCGTGTCCAATCCCGCGTTCTATCTGCCCCTAGCGTTGTAATTTCAGCATCACACATCGGTCCGCAAACGGTGATAATGGACAACCAAGAGCCATAGTATCTCTCTGCCCCAGCTTCCAGGTTGTACGTCACCCCATAAGTCTCAAAGTGATTTTCATCGTCTATTCTCTCCGTATCACCCTCCACCATCATCTTGCAGTGAGGTTTACCAGCATCTCTGAACAGAGGCAAAGTCATACCATTAACATTGACTCGATACGCAGGTGTCGTATCAAACCACATTGCGCCCTCTGTCGGAAGTCGAGCCCAGCGATCTTGGTCATCACAGTAGATATGTGTGTTGGCATCACTCATCCTTTCATACTTGCGTGCGGCACCAATGTTGGCCATGATCCAATGCACGCGGTCCCATGCCTGTCGTTCGGGGTAAGGTTGGGTGCCTCGGGGGTAGAGTTCGGTAAGGAAGACACGCCGGAATGCTTTGAGGATGTCTAGATCACGGTTGATATTTCTCATACGAGACGCGGCTAGCCTAGCCATGAGTATCGCTTCGTCGATAGCTTCAACCATGGCTGGCCTTGCCAGACAACTTTCGTGAACCCAATACTTGACAAGAGGATCCTGGGCGACAACAGAGGTAAAAAGCAGACAAGCGCAAAGTGCGAATAACCTGAGAGTGACCATCTTGAGTGCAGGAGAGATGAATCGATGTCCTAAATGAAACTCGAGAGAGATATAAGTGAGGATAGTCTACTATATATCCTCTTCCACCTTCGAACATGTTTCATCGGCCCTTTCTCTCATTCACGAGGAAACAACCAATCATGAACCGCGGACTCATCGTATGATGCTTGCGCAGACCACCCTGAAGACCCTCCATGTTATACGAGAACATAATGTCGGACACACATCCTGGGCAAGGAATGATCTTGTGTCACTCGGCTAAAGAATCCGTCGTTCTTATAAGGACTTGACGACTTTAGAGCTTAACAGAAAATAAAGTCAGATATCCTACCATAATCTATAAGTCTATAAAAGTTTATGATATGTAGACTCTTAGATAGAGATAAAGAGACTACTTAGACTTCTAGAGAGAGAACACACATGACACGAGTACTAAGAGAGCCAGGTTCTAGGAAAATAAAGCATAAGAACGACGAAATTTTCAGACCCTATTACTTGACTTATGATATTCTAACAATAGACTGGCTTGAAAATTTCTGCAATGTCCGGGCGGAGCTCTTAGTAATGCGTCGGTTTACCCAGAACCTCTTAGCGTCCTCCGTTTTCACGCATACAGTATATTTATACACGCCCATTAGGTATACCTCTCTATCTATATACTATTATACTCATATAGACTTATAGAGTAGAATAAGATAATTAGATCAATATACTTCTTAAGCTCTGAATGTCTTGGTCTAGTATATAATAAGAGAATTGAATTCTTCAGAAATAGAAGAGAAACTCTTCTCTATCTCTTAGAAAAGACGTCATAGCAATAAAAGAAACTTAAACATGGATCAAGATACATCCTAATTATCTACTACGTCTACTTTCAATAGTCTTGTATACTTATTTATAGGTGTAAAAGTAGTAAGAGCTCTATTTGGGAAATTACACGCGTGCACGAGTGCCAAGAGGGTCAGGGTCTAGCTAGGCAAACGACGAATCTACGCTATAAAATTTGGCAGTCAAAGCACTCAACCATCAATTAGGCACAGGCTATAATTATACATCAGCTGACTTCAGGACAGGACCTTGACTTCAGTCTTTCACTTACAATGGGACCGATCGTCTCACAGTATGTCACTCACATCCACCTTCTCAGTTAACAGTCAAATATAAGTACGGTTGTAGCGATGTATACACTCTTCTCACTATTGGCCATAGCGTATACAGTATCTTCAACATGTCCTAGCGCTACACTTGACTCGGGACCTATTGTGGGAACGACCACATCTTTACCAGAAAGTCCCATTACAGTGAATCAATTCTTGGGCGTACCGTTCGCTCAACCTCCACAAAGATTCGAGCGCGCGAAGAAGCCTGCAACATGGTATTCACCATTGAATGCTACCGTAAGGAAACCTTCTTGCATACAGCAAATTAATTGTGAGTACACGAACTCGACTTCTCTACCCTTTTTACTGATGAATTAAATAGACCCCGAAGCGTTGTATGAATTCACGAAGACGTTGTTCAATAATCCACCACCACCAGAAAACGAAGACTGTCTGTATCTGAATGTTTTCGCCCCTGCCTCTCCGGCTCCTCCAGGTGGTAGAGCTGTGATGTTTTGGATCTACGGTGGAAACTTCATGTTTGGCAACGCAGGGCAATATTATTATGACGGATCACCTTTCGCTGCGTACGAAGATGTTATAGTAATCACGCATAACTATCGGACGAACGGTAAGTCTGACCATACAACTCTTCAGCTTAGCGACACTTCAAGCAATCTTTATGTCTAACGAAATCAGTGTTTGGCTTTCCATCTTCGCCCGAGATCCCACTGGAACACCGTAACGTCGGTCTATATGACCAAAGACTTGCTCTCGACTGGGTGCAAAGGAATATCCATGCTTTCGGCGGCGATCCGAAGAAAGTCACTATATTTGGGGAATCTGCCGGTGGTATATCAGTAGACATGTTGGTCACGAGTCTCACCGATGGAGCAGCTCCTTTCCGGGCGGCCATCTTTCAAAGTGGCCAAGCAAGCTACCAATTGAGACCTCCTACAAACGCTATCACGTCTTGGGATACTTTGGTGAAGAATGTGAGCTGTACCGATGCGCTCAGTCAGCTCGAATGTGTTCGCAGAGCCCCCGTCGATAAAATACGCGATGCCGAACAGTACAATCTACTTGAATTCATGCCGTACGTTGATGGTGAGACTCAGATACGGTTCCCAGCCGCAGCTCGTAAAGCTAGGAAGATCGCAAATGTCCCAATTCTTGCAGGATCGAATGCGAATGATGGCTCAACCTTTGCGCATGGGCTCAGTAATCTCACAGCGGTTTTGGAGGGATACTTTCCTGGTAATGCGACCTTGCAGAAGGAGATTGCGGCACTCTACCCTTTGGGTTCAAATGGGTTGACCTCTGGAAGAGATCAGATCAATCAGCTTCTTACCGACTATGGTTTCCAATGCGTACGTGGCTCCAATACAGCAAGGCGGTGACTTCCATTGACTTATCATCTAGCCCACTCGACGCTTCATCGACGATTCTGCTGCCGTGGGTATACCGGCCTGGCGCTTTTATGTGAGTGCCAGCAAACCCCTAATATATCTTTGTACATATAGATTCTGACAAGAGACCAGTACAACGCCAGCTTTCCGAACCTTGGCCATACCCAATATGAAGATCTAGGTGTCTACCACTCGTCTGAGATCTTCTCAGTCTTCAGTACTTATCCCAAAACGAATGCGACCAGCGAACAGGAGAGGCTAAGCAACATCATGCGTTCTGCATGGGCTCGATTTGCGAAGGACCCGACAGGTGGGCCAGGCTGGAGTGCGGTGGGATCAAATAAACTGGACCTTCAAGTCCTCGGAAGTGGACATGAGGCGACTGTGACCACAATTGATTCTGGTGAGGTGGACAATCGATGTGGAACATTCTATGCTGTATATGATGCGATCATTGCAGCGTCAGAATCCTCTCAACCTTAATAATGTGTTATTTAACGCACAGTACTGAGCCTCTATCCAGAGGGTGTCACTACCTGTGCCAATTGGTCCATACACTTTGTGTGTCTGAGGGCTGTGACTATGAGATCTGTCATGCCGTAGTACCTACAGAATCTTCGTTCATCAGAACCTCTTGAGCGCACACTTGAAGGCTTCTATGTAATTCCGGAAAAGGCTATATACTACCTGTGAAAAGGGCAGGTATAAATAGATATATAATATTCCTTATATAAGGAATATATATCTAAATAGAGTTATATAATAGGATCTAGCCGTAATA